CTCTCTCTCTCTCTCTCTCTCTCTCTCTCTCTCTCTCTCTCTCTCTCTTTCTCACACGCACATAGAATTTACTCCGGCTTCTAGGAAGAGTGCCTTCAGGTTCATATTGGTTGGCCCAGAATCCGCCTTTCTTTTTGCACAGGCTCTGCCCGAGATCGTAGCGGTAGCCTTGACAGAAGGTGAGTTTTGCGAGGCAGATGTGTGCGCTGCATGTCCATCGGAAAGACGGTGTTAGCTTTGTTGTTTTCTGTCATTGTGAGTGGAATGATTGGACGCACCTCGCAAGGGGAAGAAGGATGTATTCAATCTTCATTGTCGTTTCGAATGGATTTTCGACTGGAGACTTGTAGATTTTTCGTGGTAGCTGGTAATAGCGGGCTTGCAATGGCAAGTAGATGAACGAGCTTGAGGACTGATGAGAGGCTTGCAATTGAATGCTTCATTCCTACGAGTCTCTTCTGTACGACTATATACTCGTTCTTTCGTGTCTGATTTCTTGCCTGTGACCCGGGAGGTTCGGATGGTCGCAACTACACAACAGTGAATGATCAGAGTTGAATACGATGCCCTCGATGATTCCAGAGAGGCATCCTGCATTCGTTACGTTGAGTGTTCTGAGAACGAAGGCCAAGAATAACCAACATCGAATACGATGCCCTCAGTAGTTCCAGAGAAGCATCCTGCCTTCGTTACACTGAGTGTTCTGAGAACGAAAGCCAAGAATAACAACAGCATACCTTCATGCACGTGGCACGGGTCATTCTACCCGTAAAGTAAACTTCAAAGAATTGGGGTTCGACTCTTAGGGCTGCTTCACCTCGCAAGCTCATGCGACCAATCATGCCCGCCATTCTTCTTATACATCGCGTATACGATCTTACAGCAGAAAATTAAGCAACCGTGAAGAAATCTGGTTGGTATTGAAAAGGTTCTATATGCGATATAGGGCCTCACTCAAGAACGTCATTCACCAGGATAGACAGGGATGCGGTGCATGGAAACTTTCGACATCATTGCCCATTTCTGGCGAGCCGCGTTGTAGCGCCTCTGCGAGTTCATGACAACTCTTCAAATCTTGTGTCGTCTGGCCAAGGATATTTTTTGAGTCCCAAGAAAGAAGACTGGTGGGTGCTCAGTCGAGCGTAGACGGACAGTGTTTCCGCTCCACTTCCTAAGGCTTTTGTTGGATTTTATCGAATACTCGCTTCGTACTTTACTATTGCTCCAAATCACTACAAAGTGTGCGCGTTCTTGTGTCTTTGCCGTCGTCTTCGAACTATTGTAATGGCAACCTCTCAGGTCAAGGGCGTGCCTTCTTCGCTAGAGTATCGATGCTCCAAATTGAGAACAGGAACAACCCCAGCTACAGCAGCGACGCAACGACATGACAACAACAGCCGAAAGCTGCGTATGAAGCCAAATTTACGACTCTAGCTTGAGCGATAGATCAATGAAAGCGAAGCTAGCAGACGTGATTGTGGTCAGCTGTCGCCAACACTAGAGCGCCAAGTCCTTCAGCAGAATAGTGGATAGTTGAGGCACACGGATAATTAACATCATTTGTTTGCTGTGAAACGTCCCCTGATATCATAGTTTTGATCTTTTGTCTTGTTCTCAGCATAGATGCGGTGTGGGCCGGACGAGGCCGAAGAGAATGTCTTGATGTGGTGGTGGTGTTCATAGGCTAGCAGCATCCTAGAAGAGGCTCATGCCTCAAGCCACACTCGACCGGCTAGATGCGGTCATGGCAGTGTTGCAGACTTCGCAATCGACCAGGCTCATGATGCGGACCGCAGCGGCCGCGAAAGCATAACTAAATTGTCCAGATGACCTTCTATACCTCGCATGCCACGTCAGTGGCAGACCGCAGCCAGTTCAGCGCAGCTTGACACTCACACGTGTGTTGAATGATAGGTTATAACTATACGTTATGCAATTGTCGGCTGCCATCTAGCTGCCTACGAACAAATAAGAGAAAGATCATTCCGTCCGTGCTGTCCTGCCTTCCCTGTCCCCATAACCCCATGTTCCGTGTCCCAAACCCATCCTGTGCAACCCAGTCCTATTCCCAAAAAAGGTGCGTGGTATCCAGCATATCAATCAGCGTCAAGACATTCCACCTCACCAAGTGCGCGCCAATTGCGCCAGTCGTATGCCAACATCCTCGGTCTCTTGTCGTCGTCAGTTCCATCCAGGGCGCCAGGAAACAGTTCCAAGCATCTCACATATCCCTAGCATTCAGCTTCGCCCCTCTCGTCATCGGTAACCACTGCCACCTTCGATCTCTCTGTCACTGCCCACGCCACTTGTCAACGTGACCTTTCTCGTTCCTGCGCCATATAGCATCTCCATCATCTTTCTCTTCTGTACATCTCGACTGCCTTTGAGCTGTTGATATGTCGTCTCTAGTCCCTTGATTTGATCATCGATCGTGATCGTGCTGGAGTTGCTTGATCGCACCAGTGGACTGACTAGCCTCCGGCGCAAAATTTCCAAGTTGGACTTGAGCTGCTCGAGACGTTGATTGTGGTCTACCAGAACATGCTTGTTTCGTACTGTGCGCTCGCGGACGGAGTGTAGGAGGTTCTTGTTCTTCTCGTATTTGCGCAACTTGGACGCGTTGACGCCAATGACTTTCGTCCAAAGGCTGCCAAGGAAGTCGTTCTCCATTCGCTCTTGCTGATCCTGTTCACGCACAACGGTACGTTGGAGGTTGAGGAATTGTTTGTCGACCGCTTCGAAAAGTTGAAAGAGAGCGATCGAGTGGGTGAGCTCATTGTTGATACTTTCTTCAAGGACGCCGAGGAACTCGTAAAATGTGCGCTCCAGTGTGGCTCTCGCTCGTTGCTGGTAGGTCATGCCGAGCAGTTCTTGCACAAATTTGCTGTCAGTGTCAACTCCCACTCGTGAAAGCAGATTACGCGCGTTAGACCAGACTGAGCTTAACGTGCTTGGTGGTTCGCTCGATATTGTGCTGAGCTCTCGTTGTGCCCATTCCATCACGATCAGAATCGCATCGATATCTGAGTCCACTGATGTGAAGAAGCTCGTCATCTCTCGCGCCAGCTCCTTGAAGCTATCGGATAATGAGTCTAGTTGGTTGACGATTTGCGGAGCGGAGGTCATGTTGGTGCTTCGAACGCTTTCTCCCAGATCCCACACTGCTACGCTAGTTTCTTGTAATTGCTCGATCTGCGCATGTCCGTTTTCGGAGTAGTATATGCTAGGCTCGAAGGACTTGGCCAGGCCCGCCACCTTGATGAGATCGACAGAGGGAGGTTGTATCGGGGCCGATAGCAAATTTAACATGATCCAGTAAAGTACGAGTGACATGACTCCATAAAATAGTGTGTTGTATTTCGACTTTGTGACGTGATGTACCGTCTGTCGAACGCTCCGTACCATTGCTTCAATGGGTTCTGTCCGTTGTACAACATCAAGCGATGTCGAGAAGCGGATATCTGGTCGCACTGTCAGCTGTAGTCAATACTCAACCGCACTGGCGCAAACATCTATGCGCCGGGCTTACTTACAATTCTTCTGTGTGGGTGTTTCTGCGCCGGGTGATTCTGGCTCTGGTTCTGGTCGTTGTGTCTCCTCACTCGGATGCCGTACGGTGCTCGATGCGCGCCTTCCTTTGTCGTTCACCGCTGCTGCGAGTATTCCAGCAGGCTCTGGAGTGACTCTGGGACTGCGACCTTTCACGGGCGACTCGGGTAACGGTATGCGCCTGGCTGTCCTGTACGCGGTCGCATCGCCATCATCCCCTTCTTCGTCCGCGCTCTGGTACAGCGGGCTCGTGTCCTTGCTCCTATATCCATTGCGATTCGGTGAGAGTGCTTCTTGGTGCTTGAACCAGCCGCTGCCTGCTTTGCGCCATGCTGGAGGTGAGTAGCTTCGCCGTGAGCTCGCTTCGCTGTATTCTGAGTGTCCATTGCTGCGGAAGCCGGAGTGTTGCGACGGCATGTCCGGAATCGTGGGAGAGAATTCGCGCGCATCAAAGTCGTCCATGCTGGCGTTGAGGCTCGGGTGCGAGTCGAGATAGTGCTGCCGCGAGGTCATATCTGCGGGGACTATCATTCACGGGAGGGAGGATTGCGGGCTTCCAAGAGTGAAGCCCGGCAACAGGTCACAGGAGGGGGTGAATGGAAGACGGGAGAGCAGAGGAGATGGTGGGATCTGAGACAGGATCTGGTATGGATTGATCGTTTGCGCTGCGTGTCGCGGGCTGTCTGGGACGTCGGGCGATGGCTGTCTCGCACGTGTGCTTTGAGCGTGTCGTGCGTCGCGGTCTAGTGACGCGACGGTCGAGGAGCTGGTGCCTGGCGGGCGTGACTGTCGCGAGCGGCAAGTGCGATGCAGGTACGGCGTGCGTGTTCTACAGAGGCAGAGGGAGAGAGAGCTCATCACAGTCATTGATAGCCAGACCGCATCTCCACGAAGGTGCCACGAGCGAGGTGCGGCATGGGCGAGGAGGGGTGGCTGGCGAGGGCCTGCCCGCCTGCATCACGCTTTCCAGTCTAATCTAGCGCGCCTGCACCCGTCCAGCATTGTGAGCCAATCCTTCCCTCCCCGGCTCCCTCCGTCATCCCCGCCGTCGAGCGTCTTGCTGCCCAGATGCGTCTGCCTTTGGGGATGCTTCTGCAGCAACAAACGCTTGCCTTCGTCCACGCATACTCGAGCGCAATCGTTCCAGCGCGACGGAGATGCGTCGCAACGCCATACAGATCTGTCCGCTTGCGGCACGCGGCCCCCGTACACAACTCCCGCTCATATCGGCTGCGCGCAGCCAGATGTGCCGGGCCACACACATCTGAGGAATGCGCCTGGCTCGAGCCGGGGAGTTGGCCTTGTGCGACCCGCATTGTAAACGTGACGGCATCTGGAGCGTTCGGGCGGAGCGCGGCCAGTGAGAAACCGATGGCTGGCAGGAGTACCGCGAATCTGGGCCGTACCGATTCGTGCTCTGCAAGGCAGTGCGACTGTTCCGTTTGTCTGTGTTTCATGTTGCAAACCATGTGCATATTCATTGGACCCGGATCTGATAGCCGCATGAGATGCGATCGCTCTCAAATTGAACAAACGTCCATGTGTCAAACATGATGACTGGGACGAGGGCATAGAGCATTTTCAAATCAGCACAATGTCTTCGGCATTGGTCCAATTGTTGCGCAGTAGATCGCCAGACATGACCGCGGGAGCCTGTATGTAGCACTCACAAAGCAGCTTGAAGATTCTGCTCTTCCTTGCTGGGTCCGGGCAAGGTCGCAAAATGACAGGCACATCACCCGCCAACAATATCGCGCATTCGTCCCCAGCTACGATGCCAGGGGTCGCCATTCCCACGTGGCCATTGATGGTGGTGAAGAAATGTCTCCCATATCGGATCTCAGGTGAATCGTGGCCAGCGCTGCTTGGGCGAGAGATTTCCTGGCTGGCAGCGGGCGTTGACGCAGGGGTGAGTTCGTCAACGAGCAGGATTTTGTCGAATATGAGCGCCGATATCCTCAATTGTCCGCGACTTCCTTCCAGTATTTCAAACGTCTCCAGTTTGTCGTCACCAGCGCGATGTTCACTTCGTATACCAGTCGTCCATTCATCCTTGCCAAAGGCAGGAACGAAGTTGGGAATGCCCGAAGCCCAGACTGGTGCGATGTGCCACGAGTATGTCCAGTCTGGAATCCATGATGGCAGCTCATAATGCTGGTGGAGGGCACCAGCGCTGTACAATATGCTCATGAGCTGAAAGGTCTTTTGGTGGTCAGTCAAATTATGCGCAGAGTCGTACGAGGCTTCGTATTGAAGCGCGTTGATGTACATGTGCGTGACTTCGATGAAAAGCCATTCTGCCGATCTTGAATAATTCACTGCCGTGGTGAGGTAAGTCAAACCATAGAACGCATAGACCATGTCTCGAGGGTCGGTCGCTTTACTGCTCTTGCCAAGAATGAGAAGCTGTGTGATGTCCGTGTGCGCCAGTGCCTCTTTCTGGCTGGCAATCATTTGCGATATGATCGCCAGTCGTTGTCGCGAGTTGCCGAGCAGCGACATGCGCTTCTTGAAGCCAGGCGATGGGGTTGGTAGTTCGTCTCGAATCAGTCTAACGAAGTTGTCCCTAGCTTGTGGTCAATATAATATAGGAAAGAGCTGTCGGTCTGAACAGATAGTCCTCGTGATGCGCGAGACATAAGAGAACTTACCAGCTGATTCGTGTACGGCCACAGACGACTCTGGTATGCTTACTCAAGACGACTTCGGGCAACACCCAGACACGTTGAAACCACGGTCGTTCTAGCAGTCGCTCGATGGCGTCCCGCAACTCCTTTCGACTGAGCAGACGATTCAGGACACGCCTCGGACTATCGTCGCCACTGCGTTTCTTCTCGGCATATTCGAACAACTGCTTACTGCGATCATCGTGCTCACCAAGCCAGATATAGACCTGATGTGCCTGGTTGAAGATCAATCGCATGATCGAAACTTGGTGACCACGCTCCTGGTCATTGTGCTGGTCGATACAGATCTGGTCAATCTGTTACAGCCGGCATAATCAGTATGAATTGTGCGATATCTCGCGCAGTGAGACGAACCCAAATCAGTAGGGGCTTGCGAGGTTTCCTCAAATTCTGCAATGCGCAGAGTAAGTTCTTCGTTACCGGAAAGCGGCAGCCATCAAGAAGTATTGATGAAGTGCGCTCCACGGTCTGCCAGCAGTAGCTCAGACAGTAGTAGGATCTCTGCGGGTGCTTTGAGTCTTCCCAGCTCAGCGTGCATTCAATGGGGCTAGATCCAGTGCCCGGATGCACTTCTACCAAGCGGAATGCGTGGCCGTCGGCTACAGTCTTGTACTCAAAATCCTCAACCAAAGCGAAAGCGGCATCACTCTCACGCTGTCGTTTCTTCTTGTGCGAAGCGCCTGGATCTGGCGTGTTTGCAAACGCTCGGTCGTCCTTGTGGAAGTCGTGCTCAGCGTGCTCTCCGGCTTCGAGGGTCAAACTGCCGAAGCCCCATTCGAATCTTGGGTCCGTATTGGCAGGTTCCAGCTCATCATCCGTGTCCAAATTATCATCGAGTCGCGGCGACAGGCTGACTGGCATCGTGAGAAGATGAAATCCAAGGCCTGCGTTACATTTTCTCCATTCTGTAAAGCATGGCGTTGATGAAAATTTGATGTCCTACCTCGAAAATGTATCTCTTCAGCTAGGACTCCAGCAAGGAAGAGCACCAATGTTGCACTGCCTCAGGTGGCTCAGCGAGCTGCACTATACTGTTCGCAGATGTGCTTATGCTGGATGGCATCATACGGACATGCCCGGAGGATAAGAACAGCACTGAGAAGCTTGTTGAGATGGACAATGATGGAGGCCATTGGAGCTTCTCAGTGTTTTCGCAATGCCGACAGCCTCGCCCCATCTCCCGTTCAATTGGGATGGCGAAGAAAGAGCGGCGTTGCCCCTCCACTTGCCGCCGAACAACACCGTCTGTGCGCAAGCTGCAAGATTGCTGACACATCTCCTTGGGTCGCCGCGCCTGTTCCTGTCGAAAAAGAAAAGTGAAGGCGTGCAGCTAAAATGCCATTGGGAATGTCGCTGACACATGGACACGACCCCCAAGTCATGTCCAGTGCGCCGTGTGCGTAAAGTGTTTTTGGACAGTCGCGTCCTCAATCGTACCTTCGCGTCACCCCACTATCATCTCAGCGGCGGGGAGCCAGGGTCATGACGTTTGCCAGTAGCTCATGCACCATCGAGACGGACTTTGCGGCGCTATGCTTCTTATTTCCAAGGCAATCGACCCAGACTCGTTTCCATCTCTGCCTCTCCTCCCTCTTCTTCTGATCCGGTACACTTAACCCCATCTCACCTGCAGACCGAGAACTACCGCAAATATGGCAGTTGAGAGCAAGTTTGACCCAAAGGACATGGTACGCAAGGTCAAATCCGTTGGGGGCAAGAATACATACTAATGGACTCGTAGGAGTTCCGCCACCTTGGACCTACCGGTTTGAAGGTCTCGGTTCTCTCTCTGGGCGGCTGGTTGACTTATGGCGGCACCCAAAAGGGCAACGTGGTCAAGGACTGCATGGAGGCAGCATGGGTATGCACGCGGCACAAGGTTCATGACATACGGTGGCTGATTGGAATTGCAGAACGCTGGCATTAACTTCTTCGATACTGCCGAGATCTACTCCAACGGCCAATGTGAGGTGGAGATGGGCAACGCTCTGAAGGAGCTTGCCTGGCCAAGAGACGAATATGTTCTGAGCACAAAGGTCTTCTTCGGTGCGTCACCATACGAGTCATGCTGTCGTGCGTGATAAAGACTGACCTCGGTGGCAGGAACCGGTCGCAAGGAGCCAAACACCCGCGGACTGTCGAGAAAGCACGTTGTCGAGGGGCTGAAGAGCTCGCTTGCCCGTCTGCAACAGCCGTACGTCGACATTGTGCTGGCCCATCGCCCAGATGTCGGCACTCCGATGAAGGAGATTGTTGAGGGCTTCACCCAAGTCATCCGCAACCTCAACCTTGCCTACTACTGGGGCACATCCGAGTGGTCTGCCGTGCAAATCATGGAGGCCACTCAGATCGCCGAAAAGTACAACCTCATTGCACCAATCGCCGAGCAGCCACAGTACAATGCCTTCCACCGACAGCGATTCGAGGTGGAGTACGATCCACTGTACCAGCAGTTCCAGTATGGTACCACAATCTGGTCGCCGCTTGCTTCAGGTCTGCTTACTGGCAAGTACAACGACGGCATTCCAGAGGATTCGAGATTCGCCACGAACAAGGCATTCTTCGAGGGCACCATCAAGAGCTTGCAGAGCGAAGAGGGCAAGGCTAAGATCGCCAAAGTCCGCAAGCTCACTGAAATTGCAGAGAAGCTTGGTGGCAACGTTGCTCAGCTCTCGCTTGCCTGGTGTGTCAAGAACCCGAATGTCTCGACAGTCATCTTGGGTGCGACCAAGGTTGCCCAGATCGAGGACAACATTGGTGCGCTGAAGCTGCTGCCCAAGCTGACACCGGAGGTCCTGGAGGAGATTGAGAAGATCTTGGACAACAAGCCTGCTAAGCCAAGCGCGTTCGGTCGTGAGAGGTGAGCGTGTGGGTGACTGTCACTTCAACAAGACCACAGCTCATGGTGCACTCTTTAGAGCGAGCAGGTCACAAAAGCGACAAGGAAAGCTGTAGTACATTTACGACGAAACGTGCCCATGCGCAGCCGCGATCCTGATGTTCCTATCCGGCTTTCCGTAGATCGAACTGACTTGGACTGCTCCTCTGGCAGTCCGCAGCCTGCTCGCCTCCGAGGCACCTACTCGTGAGTTTGCACCTCACCAAGGGGTCCGCCACGGTCTCGCCGACTTTAGCATCTCGGCACTCGAGTCAAGAGAAACGGCAAGACATACCACCACGCCAAGCCGTAATTATTGCTGTCTCGAGTCAACCGCGAACCGAAACATATCGGTCACGGTCGCGGTGAGACAGGGTGATGTATTGTGACTCGCAGCTGTCCAACTTCGCGATGACTTCTTCTCGGCTCTTCTTTGATCTGTTGTCGGCCTGGTCAAACTTACGTTCACACGTGGCGCACCCAACGATCTCAGCCAGGGTCTCGAGCACGTCCTGTCTCGGTCAAACCAAGATGTTGGTATACTTTCGACCTAAAATCCAAAACAACGACACAAATCCCGAAAGCATACCACAGCCCCCCGGTGCTTCGGACGAAAATATCTCTCAATAGCTTGAGATGGAGTACCGATCTCGTGGTCGTACCGTGAGACAATACTATCGACACCGCGAGAAGTGCCAGCTGATGCTGCTGCTGCCGAGTTGTGATATTGTTTACACGGTCTCCACCCTTCTCCACCATCACGCATCACATTTCCGAACGGCGGCTGGAGGTGATTTTATGCAGCTTTAGTGCAAGTCTCAGCTGACTACCAGTCCTAATTGAGCGGGCAGGAGATCCGTCTTTCACCTTTTGGGTAACTAGGCAAAAGGGGAAGTAGCGCGTCTTGGCAGGCACATCGCGTAAGTTCGAGCCTACCTGCCTCCGTCCCGAAAGTTTCCTCTCTATCAAGCCGTCTGGCTCCATCTTAACTTCAGCCGTGACTGCTTGGCATTCGACTCTACCAACTCGTTTGGGACATTTGGAGGCGCGACCATGCCGAATTCATCGACAGGTCAAGAAGCTTTTCTCCCCGACTGCAGGTACGGCGGTGTCGTTTACAGCACGGGCAACGCCATGCTACGCCACGCGAGGCCATGCTACGAGCCTACGACCATTCGAGCTGGTCAATGAATCGATCTCGAGGATCACTGTCCGCGGACCTCAATGGACGTGAGGTCTGGCCCTTTCGACAGAATTCTATATAACCAACGTCCACGCCTCGTTGTCGATCCATCATCATCAGCACAGCAAGCATTTCATTCCATTTCTCAGCATATCGATTCTTTTAACCCACACTCATTCTTTCACTTCATTTCAAGATGCGTTCCACTTTCGCTCTCGCAGCGACCATCGCTGTGGTCTCGGCCACCAACTACAAGCCATGCGGCAACCTTTGCGCCGATGGCACCGCTCCTTCCAGGACCATCACCACTGAAAATGGAAACCAGTACGCTGTTTGCATGGGTACCGACTTTGCGGGCGCAGACCTCCCCAACGATCAGGGTGGCTTTATTCAGGGCCTCGAGGACGGCGACGTTGAAGACCTCGCCGAGCAATGCTCGCTCACTGATGGCTGCATTGCAGCCACCATGAACGGCCAGTTTGGATATCTCAAGAACGGTGTTCCGGTTCCATACGGCTCAGCTTCCACCAAAGGAGACAACTCCATCTTCCAGATCATGTGTGATGATACCGCCACTACCACTACTACTACTGCGGCTCAGACCACCACCACTGCAGCTCAAACTACGACCACCGCTGCTCAGACTACCACCACAGCTCAGACCACTACCACCAAGGCCTCGACAACGACCTCTGCTAGCGGACCTGGACCAACACCACCAGTCTCCTGCCCCAAGGATGACGATGACATCGTTGAGAGCGGTGGCCAATACTTCTACAAGTTCTGGTCTGGCAAGTGCAAGCGCAACAGCTTCGCCTACTCCCACTTCACCACTTTCCCTAAGTCCCTGAGCGAGGAGGATGCTACTCAGAAGTGCGCCGACTGGATTGCCGCTAAGCCACGCTCCGAATACCCACTGAACTTCCAAATCTTCCAGTACAAGGACAACACCTGGCACTGCGACGCAACCCGCACCCTGAACACCGACCTCAACTTCAAGTCCAGCAACGACGTCGACAAGATGATCCAATACAACCCTCTCCCAGAGAAGTGCAAGCCATCGACCCCAACCCCACCACCACAAACCTGCCCAGACAAGAAGACCATCGTCACCAGCAATTGCGGCAAGACCCCAGCTTCTTACTCTCTCTTCTGGTACGGCAAGCAAAAGCGCAACAACTTCAAGGTCGCCTGCTCCGAGTACTACAGCCAGAAGACCAGCTACGACACCGCCATCCAGCGCTGCGCCAACTTCGTCTCTAAGCAGCTCCCTAACGTCGCTCAGACTTTCCAGGTCTACTACAACAACAAGTCTTGCAAGTGGACTTGTGATGCTGGCGCCGTTGAGAACAAGGATTCCAACTTCACCTATGCTAAGGACATCAAGATTCTGTTCCAGTTCAATGCTGTGCCAAAGAACTGCTCTTACAAGAGGGATATCTTCTCGAGCAACCAGAAGAGGACTTACTACCAGTGCTAGATGGCATGGTGGGATGGGAGATGAGGAGATGGAAGGTTGAAAGATGATAAAAGATGGAAAAACAGAAGACATTTGGGATATCGGATTTTCTCATCACTCTTTTTGCGAGCAAAGATTTCATTGGTACGAGATATGGCTTGTGTATACGCGACAACACTTATTTTCCTACTTCTTGATTGGATTTTTGGGGAGTTTGTAGATTAGCAGGAGTGTAAAAGAGTTAGCAGCAGCAGGGCGTTGTTTGTATCATTTAGCATGGTTACTCGTTCAGGATTCTTCTCAATTCTTCTTTACTATGCATGCTATCATTAATTCAATTCGTCTTCTGACCTATCTCAATCGTATTGTTACACAGAGATGAGTTTCGCGGTCGCTTTTCTTACAGTCCCGCGATCAGCAGAAGATAAATGGGCTGAAACAGCGAGCATATATGTGCGAAGACGCTTTGGAACACGATGGCGTTCATTGTGGTCAATCGGGAGATGAATTTGAAGAGTATGTCCGAAAAGAATCACATCACGTCTGCTCTTCTCAAGCCATCATCATCCCATCTCCTCTGTCTTCCTTCTCAAGCCCCTGAAGCTGTCCAGCTTGCCAGTCCTCACATCATATTGCGCTTGCGCCTGCGGGAAAGTCTTCCTCAATCGCGTCCCAAAGACTCTCAAGCATATGGACCTGGCCTTTGCCTTCGGAGGGTCAATAGCCGTATCTGATAAATATTGTTCCCACGCTTCACTGACTTCAGTCGTTGCCTGCATATCAATGACGAAGTTCGTCTTCAGCCAAGCTAAAGTCCGATCAGGCTCTTGAGCAGGCCAGCGGGCTCGGATGCCGATAATTTCGTCAGATAGACTATCGCGACCGCGCTGGATTTTGACGCCGGGAAAGGTTCGCAAGACGAGTTGCAAGAAGTCGTCGTCTGAAATGAATATCTTAGAGGTCTCAGCACGTGTGCAGTGAACGCGGCAATTGATCCATAGCGTCCCACGGAATGCGCTGCCGTTGGGGTCTGTGATGTAGTGCTTCAGCAGCCACTTTCGGCCTCTCGCGTTCATTGTATCCAGGTACGTTTGTGCTGCCAACTTTAGATCTTCTCGAGAGACGGTAGATGGACCCGCTTGCGGCCTCGGAGGCGGTGGACGCACGACCTGACGCACTGTCTGACGCACTGGCTGCGCTGCTGAAGCCTCCTCAGGCCTCTTCCTTCTCAATCCCTTGAGCTTGCAGACCTTGTACGTCCTGTCATCATACTGCGTTTGTACCTGAGGGAAATCCTTCTTGACTCTCCGCAAGAACTCCGCAAACTTCAAGGGTGTCGTCGCAGATTTTGGGAGATCGAAATCAGATTTGTAGTGCTCCCAGATCTCATCCTTTGAGACTGCCGCATCGTCGTCAGCGATAAAGTGGGTGGAGAGCCAAGCTGAGGTTCGTTCGGGTTCTTCGAGGGGATATCGAGGCCGAATGCCATTGACCATGTTGGTTCCGGTGACGGTGCGAGTCATGGACACTTTTGAATGCGCCTGCAAAAGGAGTCCATCGAAATCTCCTTGTGACATGAGAGGCTGTGGTGGTTCACGTGCCGCGCAGTGGTCGTGGTAAGCCTGCCAGATATTTGATGATACAATTGCAGGAGCTCTTGAGTCTGCGATGTAGTACTTCGAGAGCCACTTGCGACAATTTTGGGTCAACAATTTCGAGTTTGGTGGCTCGCGATTGTGTCTACCAACAGTGGATGGCCCAGATTCTGTCCGCGATGGTACCGCCTGACTCGCTGAAATCCGACTGTTGGCAGCGGTTGTTCTTGAGGAAGAAGATACCTGCTGTGATGGAGGCGGTGTGCAGCGCCTGCTTTCAGATGGTGGTGAACCTAGGGGCTTCAGGCCTTTGAAAACCATGGTATTGCAAGTCGAACAACAGACCCACGGCGTGGAAAAGGTGATCTCTACATGCTTCATCAACATATCGAAGTCCCTGGGTTCCAAGTAGTCAAAGCGACGGGAATATGCTCTGTAGAAATCCTTCTGCTTGACTTCTGCCGCAGGATTGACAACATAGTTATCCCATAGCCAATTTGTGACTTGTTGCGACGGTTTCCCCGATTCATCTTGTGTCGTGCCGTAACGGGGAGGTTGCCTGTCGGACCTCTCTGTACTCTCTTGTGCAGCTGCCGGGGCACGGGATGTTTGAGCACCAGCAGAAGTTTGTGGACTCGCCGTCGCGCCGGTCGAGCCTCGGTCGTTGCCACTGCTTGCGTTGGAAGCCCAAGGTATGTGCCGTGCCCGAGGTGGCGTACAACGCTTGGCATTGTAAGGCCGGGGCTGTTTTGGCTTGAGACCTTTGAAGACAAGCGAATCGCATGGCGGACAGGACGCCGAAGGTGTCGAGAATATACTTGTTACCTGCTCCATCAACGTTTTGAAGTTGACGCGTGTCTTGTCAGAGCCGAAAGCAGTGAGATATGCCGAGTAGATATCCATCCGCTTGGATTCGCATGTTTGGTCTACCACGTATTGCTCTCGTAGCCACTCACTGGCTTCCCGCAATGCCTGCGACACTGCATTCTGTACTCTCTCGGTGTGAGATTGTTGTTGACCGGAGCTCTGCGTACTAGCTTGTGCAGCTGCAGGGACAGTGGAGGCATGAGTTCCAGCAGGGGCGCTAATGGATGAGGGGACTGCCATTCGCGGTGTTTGCACAGCTGACACGCCGACAGGTTTGAGGCGTATGTTTCGAATCATCCGTGTCGAGAGGATGATTTGAGCAGTGGGAAATACTTTGCGCAAGTCTTCCAGGAATTCGCTGAGCAGAAATTGGCTGGTGCCCTTTGTCGCATTGCAATGCAACCGATACGTCTCTTCCAATGCAGTACCTGGTGTTTCGACTTCTGGAGCATTTTCGTAGTATGTTCTGAGCCACTGCGAGAATGCATCAGGTTTCTCAACTTGCTGCACGAGCGCGGTACGGGAATGCACAGAGCGAACTCCGCTTTTCGCGTACAGCGACTCTGGTCGAACACCCTCTATTACAGTTGTGCGGTCGCCCAAATTCTTTGACCGCAATCCGGGGAAGGTTCTCATCAGAATAGGCAGAAACTCCGTACTGCCCAACTTTGGCCAGCAAACATAATCCCCATTGTAGATTCGGAACAGATCGCTCAGATCCGTTTGCGCAGTGGCATCAGCTGCGAAATGCTGCAGAAACCACTCCGACAGCTGGGCACGAAGCTGCTCCACACTTGCTTTATACATGGGCTCTGCGACCATTCTGGCTCCCGCCTCCAGTTGCGAAGGCCCTGGCGTTTTGCTTCTCAAATCTCCGGCTTGAGGGTCGTGTGTACCCCCAATGTGTCCACGCGGCTGGTCAATAGACATTCTAGCGCCTGAGCGGCTTTGCATCTGTGGCGTACTGCTGGAGGATAGCACCGCATGATCTAGTGCCACCGGAGTCCTTTGTGCGTATGGTGGCGAATCAGTGAGGTCGATCGGCCGCCCTGATTTCGCTCCCAGCGATGCTGGCTCGGCGGCAAGTTCTGCATCCCCCTCATCTTCATCTTCGGACAGATCGATGACCATGTCCTGAAACCAGCAATCTTTGCAAATCTCGGCATGCAGCCGCTCAGCGTATGCCTCGAGATATCGTGCACCCATGTGAGATGTCCGTTCAATCTTATCCAACAGTGCGTAGAAGTCTGCGAGGGTCTTATAGGTGCATTCTGGCTGGTTCTCATGAGCAGGCGAAGATGGCCTTGAAGTGGTGGAAAGCTTTTCTTTGCCTTTGGGCGATACACGCGATGATTGACTCGAATTCGAGCTGATCTCGCCCAGCGGCTGCCTCATAGACGCCGAGCTTTCGCCTTGATGCGACGTGCTTGCATTATCGTTGGTCCCATCAGTTTTCTCGGCATGTTCCGACGCCGCAAGAGCCTGAGCCTTCCATAGCGGCCACGACATTTCAGTAAGAATGTCAGCCTTTTCGATCATTCTCAGAGCCATCTCTGCCTCGACCTTGTTACGATATGGATACCATTCGTTCTTGCGGCTGTGCTTCCCACCGATCACGACTTCATCATCGTCCACAGCAGGATCAAACACGCCCAACTCGGCGTTGATAGCCCACAGCGCCACCTCATTCTGCTCTCTCTGCTGCGAACTGGTAGTCCTCTGGTCCCAGCTCAACCTTTCGGCCACGAGGAAGAGCTTCCGCTGCCACGGACTTGAATGCCGGTCCTTTCCGCAGCGTGAACATATTCCGCCCTTGGCACCGCCATTGTTAAGAGCTTGCCACGTCTTCTTGGGTAACAGAGTCAATGGATACGGTACGCTGTGGAAGTCCTTGCCAACTCCAGAGTCCGCATGCGGCTTGTACTTTATACGTGGTTCGTGTCCTTTCGGCCTCTCGTATGAAGTTCTCCAACTGCCAGTCGCGACTTGTTGGCGTTTCGGGGTTCTGCCCAACTCTTCATCGTCCCAGTCGGCACGCCTCTTATACGACATGCTGCGCTCGGTAAACGGCCCATCGGAGTATTTAGCGACAATGTCTCATTCCATACATGACGTTCTTGGAGGAATTGTGCATGCGACGCGATGCGGGCGGCCGAATCGTGAACGCGACGTCGACGCGTCGCATCGGGAAGGTGCGGCGAATGCACCAACCTTTTCTGGCAACGGACACTTCTCTCATTCACTTACCGACCGACCCCGCCCTCCACACTCCTACTGGAGCCCGCCGCCGAGAACGCATCTGGTCAGACGGCGTCCCCACGGAGCTTGTGCACCGACGATGATGATCATTCGGCTTAAACCATTAGCGAGCAGAGCTCTCAAGAGCTACAGCTTATAATGTAAGTCTCCAGCTCTTGGACTGGACGCCATTCCATTCATTCTTATCACTTCCATCTCTTTCATTATGGCTGCTGCTTCTGGAAGCGTCAAATTCAGTGTCGAGGGAAAGACTGCACTTGTTACAGGTGCAGGAAGTGGTAAGACTCGTTCGTCTTCAACTCAGCCGCGATTACTGACATGATAGCCAGGCATCTGCTTTGCGTTCGCTAGACTCCTTCTCGAGAAAGGATGCAACGTTGTCGTCGCAGACATTGGCCTGCGTCCTGAAGCCGAGCAGCTTGTAAAACAGTATTCATCACAAGATGGCAAGAAGCCCAGAGCTGTGTTCGTGAAGACTGATGTCGTCAACTGGGATCAGCTTTCCAACGCGTTTGATGTTACGGACAAGGAATTCGGCGGAGCTGATATCGTCTGCCCGGGAGCTGGTATTTTCGAACCCCACTGGACGAATTTTTGGATCCCGCCTGGCACCGGTGCATCGAAAGACAAGCTCCACGGCGATAATGGCGTGGGCCATTACGCGCTATTCGATGTCAACTTGACACACCCTATTCGAGTCACTCAGCTTGCCATGTCAAAGTGGCTCAACCCGACAGAGGGCAGCAAGTCAGGCAAAGTCTCTGCTACCAACCCAAAGCGAGTTGTGCATATCACCAGTATTGCAGGCCAGACACCCAGCTTCCCTGCTCCTATGTATGTTGCTTCCAAGCACGCTATCTCAGGCTTCATTCGATCTCTCGCGCCGCTGGAAGAGACTCTGGGTATCCGGGTCAATGGCGTGGCTCCTGGAATCATCAGGACGCCTCTCTGGACCGACCACCCAGAGAAGATGACTCTGCTTGACGAGAAACAGGACGAGTGGGTGGAGCCAGAAGAGGTTGCCGAGGCTCTATTGAGATGCGTGGAAAGCGATGAAGTAGTTGGTGGCTGGGTCCTGGAAGTGCTCAAGGGAGCAACTCGCAACGTGGAATGGAAGAACGCCCCTGGGCCTCAAGGACGCGGGGGCAGTGCAAGCAACGCTGCTGTCAACGCCGCAGAGATATTTGGCTGGCTGGGTGAGCCAGGATGGGGTGTTGCAAAGGAGTAAGCGATGTCGCCGTGGATAGCTCAGCATCATTCGGGAATAGACTTTTGCCGTCGAGGTCGACCGAACGGTATGGTCATTCTCAGCAGATCAGAAGCATGTTACATTGCCGCTGCAGTCTCCACGCTATATTGGGTGGCATTCAGGCATAAGTGTTTCGACTGATGAGCACAATAGTGCACCACTCGTTGGAAAATGAATGTTTCGAGCCTAGTAAGCAAATTCTCCAATCATACTTCTCATCAAACACAGTCGCCATTTCCCCTGAAAGAGTTGCATTGCGCTCCTCTGTCGTCGACCAGCTTATGGAAGCACCGCCAATGCACTGGTGACATGCTTGCACGACCGCCGTATGCCGAAGTTTTCCCACAATAGCCGAATAAGAACGTCATCTTCACCTGATTTCTGCTATTGTCCTTCTCTCGACAATACACTCAACAATTCACAAGCTTTCCGAGCTATTGTTGTAGCATTTCTGGTTGATTGTGGTAGGTACTGACAATAGGAGAGCGGTGCGACAATACAAACAATGAGAGGTAGTATGATTGAACATTCCTCATTCCATCAAGTTTCTTTCCTTCTCTTCTTTCTTTGTATACCCATTCTCATTCCGCTCCGCCGACAGCGAGGACACGATGCCACCAAAGCCCACCCCGGAGCAGCTCGCCGCCGCTGGCTTCGGCGGAAACAAAGGACGTCGCCAGCAGCGCCCGCTGTTGGCCAAGTCCACCCGCGGAGGGCCGATGAAAGACTCGGCCTCCACCTCCACCTCCTCTCTCGGCGGGCTCGCTGGTTCGAGCCAAGCTGGCGAGAAACCGCTGCCTGGCCAGCAGCAGCAGCAACCAGAGGAGGCTGGTCCTCCTTCACTTCCGCCCTCACTTTCGCCCTCACAATCCGGCCCGCTCCCGGAAGCTCCCGTCTTTGCGCCGCGTCCACAGGCGCGGCTACTCTCCGAAACAGTCGCGACCGGTGGTAAGTCAACTTCTCACAAGCACATTCACCCCCTCGTTCACTCGTTCATATTTATCTCTTCATTCGCTCGTTCCACTATGGCTGCCAGCTGACACAATGTCTGCAGAAGGCGACCTCACTGCACAGCTGAACCAGGCACTCTCCAAAAATGCCGAGCTCGAGGATGCCAACCGCGACTACTACGACAAGCTCGCTGTCAGGGACCAGCAGATCGACGAGCTCGCCCGTGAGCGCGATGCACTCAAGCGCAACCTCGCCGACGAGAAGCGACTACATGGAGGCATCATCAGCAACCTCAGTGACGCCGAAGCCTCCGCTACACAATCCGACAGAGCACTGGCGAAAGAGCAAGATGCGCATTCCAAGACAGCATCCGAGCTCGCGGCTCTCAAGGAGAAGGAAGCTGAGACGAGACAACTTCTGGCCAACCTCCGCAAGGACATGAAGACCAATCGAGAGGAGCGAGACACCTTCCGGGCCGAGCGCGATGCGCTGGAGACTGATCTGAAGCTGGCGCAGCGCGACATCGACACCCTGGAGAAGCAGCTCGCTGAGCATGACGACGCTGGCACGGCACGCGCGTTCTTGGAGGTCATTCACGAAGAAGTCGAGGAGCAGTTCGCTCAGGAGGGCAAGGACCTGACGCCTGACAACTTCGCCGCTCACTTCCGCCGAGTCTCAGAGCAAGCTGCGATGAACCGTGGCGTTTCTGGTGACAGCACTAACTCACAGCCACAAGACGATGCCGACTCCAAGCGTCGCAGTACTGGCAATCGCACGGTCTCCAACATGGCACAAGAGCTCGACGCCGCCCAGCAAGAATTCGACAGCGACGACGAGGGCAACGCAGTCAACGACACCGACGATCTTCACATTCCGAAGCGACGCCCACAATCCACCGGCGATGACATCAGCAGCTCCGCGTACACGATCACCGAGCAGAAGCAGAAGATCCAAGATCAGGATCGCGAGATCGAGAAGATGCGTGCACAAATCGCCCAGCTCGAAGATCAGGCCAAAGAGGCAGATCAAATGCGCACTCAGATCGCAGAGCTCGAAGATCAGGCTCAAGAGGCACAACAAATGCGCACTCAGATCGCAAAGCTCGAAGATCAGGCCCACGAGGCGCAACAAATGCGCGCTCAGATCGCAAAGCTCGAAGGTGACCATGAGGAGGACATTGACAGGGTCGAGAGACGCGGGTCCCAATACCAGGCAGAGATTGCGAAGCAGCAAGCGCACATCGAGGAGCGTGAGCAGTATCACCAAGACATGCGTGAAGCCAACGACGCACATATCAGCAAGCTGGAGGACACCATTTTGCAAGTCCGAGACCACACTAGGCTCCAGACTCGCGTCAATGGGCGTGCTGCTCTGAGAGAGGCAGATGCAGACGACAGCCCTGAAACAGAAGAGGAGAAACTCGAGAAAGCAGAGGCCAGCAAGATTCAGCCTTGGCAAGTGTCACCTTCCTTCGACTGGGTCGAGGTCGAGCGACCAACTCCCACCACATCCGACGCCGATACCCAGACCGACTTCCCAAAAGCAGCAGCAACTTCCACAGAGACCACCACCGGCCGCCGCCCATTTCAGATCGTTAGGTACACCGAAAAAGTCCGCGACTCGACCCTCTCTGAAGCTTTCTTCCGCTCACCACTCTGGCTGCAAATATTTCTCGCTTTTGCCACCCTTCTCCTGCTCACTTTCGGCATTCGCGGATGGCACCAGGAGAACATGTGGCTCGCTGCCAATGCTCCAGCTCTTCACCAGATTCGATATCATCAGGCCCAGCGCGCTATCATGGGCAAAATTTGGTCGGTACTCGAAGAGAGTGTTGGTTACGACAGTCGTCTGCTTGGTTGAGCGAGCGAGACGGCGCACACTACATGACACACATCACATCAGACGCATCAAACAGCATGGCTTGATCTTCAAGATCGCCAGGTCCCCAGCTTCATTCTCCGCTTCCACCTTCACATCCCATCACATCACATTGCGAGGCCGGTCTTTTACATGGCGCGCAGGCGATAAGGTCAGCTTTGAGGGCGACTGTCACGTCTGAGCGAGACGCATAATTGTTCACTGTAGCGGGTTACTTTGGGCGGTTGTTTACTGAGGCGTTACTTTGCGCGCGCGATGATACCCCAGGCAGAAACAGACAGAAAGTCTCAGGCACGAAGTTAGATAATTTCAAGAGACAGGCAGAGAAGCTAGAGATGAAATGCCATCATCTTTCACATGCACCTTGATTGTTTCTCGTCGTCTTCTTATGCTGTCCTTCATCATTACATGTATCTCATCTGTCTGCTGCGCCCTACTTGCATCCCCGTAATCGTCACTGCCGCACCGCGGGCTCGACTCTGCGTCTTTTCTCTATCACCGTTCCGTCACATCATCCGCTCTCACACGCGTGTCAAACCCGGGTATATTCATATATATACATACACAGCAGCCCTGCCTGCCCTCTTCATTTCCCCTCCGAATCGCACTGTATCAGGTCTTTCTCGCGGAACGCTCGACTTGATGACCGGTGTTGCGTGCACTCCTCCCGACACAGTCACAGATAGTGCGCAACAGCCAGATCTTGCAAGGCTTGTACGCGCTCGACCCGGCTCTGCTTCTCGCGCACCTCCTCTCTCCTTCATTTTCACCACCAGTCTCAAGGCAAATGGCGTGTGCGCTTGTAGGAGACATCAACGACATGGCAGTCGTGGACTGGCAGTATTCCTGACAAGTCCACGAGCGTTGGCCACGGCTTTGTCGCGCTCTGTTGTGCTTGCGCGTAGCGCTGTCCGTTTCACATGAGCGCTTTCTGCTTCCCTTTGCCTGTTGATGCATTGATAGGCCATGTTTCTTCTTGCGTATTTTGCGCTTGATTCGTTTCTTCGACATGATCATCCTCTGTTGGGGTAACATTCTACTTGACCTGAGCTTGAGGAGACTGTGGGCGGCCCCAGAAGTCCAGAGAGGCAATGACATCGTCGCCGACTTCGTCTTCGTACGCGAAGAGTATCTGGGAATTTCCGTTAGTAAAGTACTGCTGATTATCATCATGATCGATCTTACCTCTCTCGTGCTCTGGTGCAAGAAGCGGATGTTCTTATGCGTCTGTATGCAGACCAGCCCACCCGTATCGCTTTGCCGAATCTCGATGAACTCCGGCTCGAATGCAAGGATGTACTTTTCACCCCACGTCGCGAAAGCATTTGGTGATCCTTCCCAAAGGATCTTCCAGTCGCCTCGAGCTCGCCATCCGTTCTTGTTGACATAGAAGGAGAAATCATTGTAACAAAGCAGAAACTCGGCAGTGCTACGTTCGATGTAGATTGGCTTGACGTTCTCACGACGTGCGACGAAGTCAAGCGAAGTGTCGGCCTGGTCGAGGAGGGATTGTGTTTCCAGAGTCTCGAGCGAGACAATTTCGAAGCCTTTGGCACCACCGACGCAGATCTTGCTGCGCAAGAAGTGGATGCTATTGCTTTCCATGGGGATGTAGAACTCCTTGTAAGGCTTCAGAACTTCTTGTCCACCAGCAAGCATTTTGGCAAAGCCGGACTTCTTCTTGCCCTTGGTCATGGAGTCCATCGGCTCGAAGACCTTGACGGTGGAGGAGAGTGAACTGGACTTGACACAGCACACAAGCGTCTGGCCATTGCATGTGCCTGCATTGATGTAATTGGCATGACATATCCTTCGGCCGCGCTTTGAAGGTGCTTGCGAGCTCTCGTCCTCAAGTGCCTCCAGTGGGAAACTGTAGACCGCCTTGTCGGCCAGTACGATGATGATCTGATGTTGTTCAAGCACTTCCAGCTGCGTCACCAGCTTGATGTCCAGCATGCGTTTTGGTTTCTGCGACGCGTCTTTCGGTTTTCTATCACAGACGTACACGCCGAAGTCCGTTCCAATCACTAATTTCCTGCCGCCGTCTATTGGCCTGCAGCAATTAACTCGGACAGTCGCGTTGAAGAATCCTTCATTCAATTTGGCCATTGTGAAGATCTTGTGGCGCTCAGACAGCTTCTCTTTCTGTGTCATAATGTGCTCCATCCACTTTTCACGCTGCACCTGAGAGGTACAGTAAAGGGTCAGCTCGTAACCGCCCTTTCCAAGGCCTTTGAACGTGATCGGATAGCCTTGTTCGTTCGGAGGTGGTCGCGTGCCGACACGACCAATGCCGGGTATCATGCTTGACGAGGGTCGCTTTGCAATGCCCATCTTTGGCAGCACATAGTCCATTTCGCGAATTTGTAGTAGCTCCAGTGGAATTGGCTTTCGGTATACTCTGATTTCTTCCTTCTTGTTGACAGTCTTGACCCGGACGATGAGAACGGCATGATCGAACAGATAAGCAGTGACATGAGCCTGCTCAGCCGTAGGCGTCTTTTTGAGATTGCCTTTGAAAATGAGTTGCCGCGATTCTTCGGTCAGTTTCAAGTCCATGTGCGGGATCTGGCCCCATTTTAGTTGCGAATTCAAGCTCATCAGGTTGAAGTGGTTCTCTGCTTTGCCAGACTCTTCGTTGACTCGGCTCAAGAAATGTCTGATCTGTTCGATGGCCTTGGGAATGTCCTTCATATCGGGATTGTTCTCGTCGGTGTGCTTCAAGACATTCTCGAGAAGCAGAGGATATCTGGCCAAACGTGTTGTCGGCTTGGTGAGGTAGCCGTTCAACTCCAACTTCCGAGATTCCTTCAAGCGCTCAGTCTGTTCGGTAAAACGAGCGAATGCAGCATTTGAGCCTTTCTCTTTCTCAAATTCGAATTTTCCAAATAGCTGGCTTGCGCCGTACCGGATGAAAGGGTGGAATTGAGGCACGTACTCCAGGAAGATGTCACCCACGTTCCTTACCACCGGATTCTGTTGTTGTCGTCGTGTCAGGGCTTGTGCCATGCGCGCGTTGACAGAGTGAACTTCTTGGCAATTGGAGAAGACTGTTCGGATGAACTTCTCTCGCCTGTGCTCAGGAATTGGGGAGTGGTCAGGCTGCCTGAGCGGCTTGATCCAGAAGTCCCGTAGATATTCCAGATCCTTGACGAAGTCGCGCTCGGTATACATCAGTTCGGAAATGACCTCTTGACGCTTCTTCTCTCGTTCGCTCACGCTGTCCGAGACTTCCTTTGAGACGGTGTTGATCCACAACTTTTGTTCCGTGTCAACTTCGTCATGCAAACTGGATCGAGACGTCTCGCGCTTCAGACCTGGCGTGATTTTCATATTCAATCGCTGCTGCTGTTCCAGGCGACGTGGACAAGCGATGGAGTAACACAGGTTATCCCGATTGCACGTCGGCGAATAGCATTCTGTCAAGAGTGTGAAGACGCCGTTGACCTCCGGAGGTTCCTCATTGATCGTCTCCTTGAATTGGTAGACCTCGTTGGGAGAGTCTCGCAATCGATGCGCGTATGTTACTTCGTGGAAAAACCTCTGCGCGTCCAAAGACCTGCCCAAAAGAAGCGCCAGATTACGGTCGGAAGTTCTGATCACGTACGCGATCAGCTCCACAGCCTCGAAGCCCGTGAAGGCATTCTTGTATTCCAAACCATCCTTGATCTGATCCCTCAATGATACTCTTTCACGAAACGCCGCTGCAACATTCGACAACAATGCGCCGTATACGAGTGAGGGCCGCTTCTGCGCGACCATCGTTCCAGTGCGTTGGCTGTCGGATCGTGGCATACTTCCTTGGCGCTGTGCCTCGCTTGGCGACACGGCCGTCGATGCCATAGACATTGTCCTTGAGCCCTGGGTAGTATGGCTGCTGCCACTTGGATGTCTCCCGTTGCCCGCAAAGCCATTGCGAGGATCGCCATGCCCGTTAGTCATGGTCGAGCTGCTCATGTCGGTATCGCCAGACTCTCGTCTTCTATTGGGTATCACCCTCCCACTCATTGTCTGCGTGAAATCGGCATCACGCGTGTATGAAGACATGGACATCGTGCGCTCATCTTGCGGCCTGTCAGGCACTACGCGACCTTGAGCCGTAGTCCTGGCCAAGTGCTGATTCACATATGGCTGCTGTCGAAACGCCTGGGCAGGAGCAGCCTGGTAACTGCCTCCAGGCCCTTGATACATGGGACGCGGCACAGAGGCGAGCGATTGTGTGCGAAAGGAGTCGGTGCTCAACGCAGGGCCTGGGGCGCCAGGTCTTCCGCTAAAGGAGCGCTGATATGGGCCTGGCGGAGCTGGCATTCGTTGGTCAAGACGCTGCGGCTGGCCATATGGCACTCGATCGGGGCGAATTGGTTGGGGCAGATTCTGCGGGGGCGGTCGTCGTTGTTGTCCCGGTTGTCCATTCATGCCGTACGCTGGCTGCCCGTTCACGCTGCCGTCTGAAGAGCTGGGTGGTCGGGGATAGCCGTTCGGCTGTTGACCCATCCTCACGGGCGGGGCCCGCTGCATGTACTGCTGCGTGGCCGCCGACATGGTGTTTGCTCGCTCCTGCGTCCCACCCGTCCTCCCAGGCGGAGCACCGCCGAAGATGTTGGCAAAAGCTGCATCGCGCTGCCCGCTGCTCGCAGGATTTATTTCGGCGGGCGTGTTGCGCGCGTAGTGACGACCTTGTGGCGGTTGATAAGCCATTGTCGCTGCTGGCGGCCCATCCGTGGCAGAGTGCTGACCAGTCCCGTGTGGATTCGGATTGCCCCAATGCGTGTTTCCCAGGCTCAGCGGAACCCAGTCAACACAACGACGTCGTCCAAAGCGGCGGCGATGAGTGGCCGCGGGGTTAGTGGCCGGTGGATTGGTGTGAGTCGGCGGAGTCTCGAGCGGAGGTGTGGTGTGGTGGTTGTGGATCCGCGCCCTCTCCTCGCCGCCAAGCATATCTAGAGGTGCACGGCCCAAGCGTGATGCGCGTGCAGCCGGCGGACGAACTACCACGACATCATCGTCGACTCCCATCACCGCCGCTACCACAGCACCGCCGACATCGAGCTCGATACCATACCGCCGTCTCCGTCGAGCACATTCACGATGGCCGACTACTCGTCGACGTCAGAGCTGACGCCCAAGTTCGCGCCGTTCTTGGGCATGGGTGGCATCGCCTTTGCCATGATCTTTGGGTGTATGGACAAAATACCTTGAATAAGGTGGTAGAATGGACACTAAGGCAATGCAGGTATGGGCGCGGCATATGGCACAGCAAAGTCAGGCATCGGTATCGCAAACGTTGGTGTTTTCAGGCCGGACCTGATCATGAAGGTATGCTGAAGCCTGCAACAAGCACGATGGCGAAGAACTGGACAATATGCTCACATCGGACAGTCTCTCATTCCGGTTGTTATGTCTGGAATTATTGCTGTCTACGCTCTGGTGGTGGCAGTGCTGATAGCAGGAAACATGAAGGCGCCGCCTGGGCAAAATTACAGTCTATACAATGGTTGCATGCACTTAGCGTGTGGCCTTTCAGTCGGTTTGACTGGGTTAGCAGCGGGATATGCAATCGGGATAGTTGGCGATGCGGTAGGCAATCATGAGATGTGGGACTGGACAAGGAGAACTAATTGGAGACCATAGGGAGTACGCGCGTATATGCAACAGTCACGCATTTTCGTCGGCATGGTGCTCATTCTCATTTTCGGCGAAGTGCTGGGACTTTACGGGTACGTCTACGTGTGCTGCTTCTACTGATACTGAGCTCGAGCTGACACGCCATCTGTTAGCTTGATTGTGGCGCTTATCTTGAACACAAGAGCAGCTGGCTAGAGATTTGAGACAGTACGAGCAATTCAGATGTGCTGCCTTCGATGTGCTGTTCTCATGATCCTGCTCGCGACAGGAAATAGTGAGCGTGGCGTCTCTGCCTGCAGCCAGCAAAGCTGGGGAGTAGGCTGCTAATATATGAAACTACCCTGCACTCGGGATACCCTTCGCAGACATGATCACTAGCCACAGTGCGTGCGACACGTGAGACATGAGTTTGAAGGGCTCAGGAGGCCGGCAGATGCTGCAGATCGGGCAACTTGTACAATAGAAACACGTGAGCATTTTCCATAGCGAGGCATATGGGATGAATAGCACAGACAATTGCTGCAGTTGAGAGCAGATGCTGATACTCCTCAACCATCCGAACTTTTTTCGTGACAAATGTTGTCTGAACCTGGCGGCGTCTTTCTTATGCCTAGGCATGAGCAGGGAAGTTGCCAGTCCTCGGTTGGTCTTGGCGATCGACGTTGTGGCTGACCAGGCAGCGACTTTCGAACGCCGAAGGCTGCAGCAATCCACCTCAAACCCTTCACGCACCCTCTCCCTCTTCGCCCTGCATGGCTATGATCGGGACACTCTGCAAATCTCAGCGTCGCTTCACATGACAGTCACTGCTGTTCGCGACTGAACATTGACCGCAGTGAGCGACACTTGGACCGATTATGCCAGTGCGACAGCAACGCCACCATCATGGAAGGGTATCGCGCTGCGCATCCAGCGATGCCACGAACCGCCAGGCTATCTAAACTGTACTCCGACGCCAAGAAGAGTGCTCTGGCCAATCTGCAAGTGCAGTCGAACACAAATGTCCAGTTCGCCTCGCTGCACCGCAAGTACCGCATTCAGAAGGACCGACTGATTACATGGGGACTCGAATGGAGCGACGAAAAGGGCGAAGATGCCAAAATCGACGAGTCGGTTGCCAAGGCAGGCCTTACGGAGACGGTTGAGAGCGTACTCACGAATATCCACGAAGTGACAGAGGAAGCCGAGAGGATCCAAAAGGCGAGTCAGCCACTGGCCAAGGAGGGCGAGGCCCATCCACAAAAAGCGGCCGTCTTTGATGAAGCCCGTTATGAAGACCTTCTGCACGATTTGACGACCTCCATCGACACGCTGTACGATCTGACCCAGTCCCGAAGGGCGCTCGCGAGGGGCGAGCATCCTCAATTCGATTCTGGGCCGACATCATTTGACCCTCTTGCCTCGAAAAAGAGCAGACGCAGCGGTAAAGGCATTTACCCCACGCAGTCGTTTGCCTCTTCAGAGACTACGCTCGTGAATCCGGCCTTCTCGAAACCGTTCCTCTCCCCCTATGCTGGATTACCGTCACGAATCGAGACTTCAGCTCTGAAGTTGCCTGCTGAAGGTCCACCTCCGTACGAGGCCGTCGGTGTGCCATCAACAACCCGGATGGTGGCAATGTTGATCCGCAATAATGTATCCGAGAGTGTACAGACTGCGCTTGCCAGTTCCGCCGCGGAAGTTCCTGTGCTGGTGGAATACGCCAACTACGATGCTACGTATCGGCAGACAGGTGTACCGCCGCCCTTACAGCGCCTCGAGGCTCTTGCGGCGAGCTTTCAGCCGATGCGTGCAGAATCTCAGACGAACCTCAGCTTGCTTGGCTACTTCGAAGATGCTGACCAGCCACGGATCGGCCTTGTCTATGACTTGCCGTATTCCATACACAACAAGTTGCATATCACCAGCTCTGCTCAAGCACTTGCACCGCTCAGTTTGCTCAAGCTTGTCCAGAAAGGCAATAAGGCGCAAAGCTCCGCAACTGAAATGGCAGCTCCAGCACTCGAGCACAGATTCCGCATGGCCCTACGTCTGACCGAGCAGTTACATGCATTGCATGCCCGCCAGTTGGCCCACGGCAACATCAACAGCAGTAGCGTCATTTTCACCACCACTGCGGACGAGACAGAAGCAAACCGCTTAGAGCAGCTTAGGAAGCCTCTTTGGGCGTCATTCGACCTTTTCTCCAAATGCAACATTGAAGGTGTCCGCCGAGCGACCGACTTCAACGTCTACAGACATCCACTCGATGAGCCAAGCAGTGCGAACAGAGAGTTCCCTTTCGACATGAAGTATGATCTGTATGGGCTCGGCTTGATCCTCCTCGAGATCGGCTTATGGACACCAATTGGCGACCTTTACAAACCCAAGTACACCCTTGCCGACTTCAAGCTCCGCATCGAAAAGATCTGGATACCCAAGCTGGCATCAAAGTGTGGCTCGGCATATATGCGAGCTGTTGAGACGTGTCTACGACTGTCTGACGATACAGACACCGCAAGACTCACTCCCGAGGGCACCTATGGGATACTTCTACAATTTCTCAAAAGATGCTGCCTGTTGGACGATGTCGGCACGTCTACAGAACTCATTCCTGCCTCTGAGCTCATTTCCGAACCATCCTCGCCAGTGCAGCCTTATATTCCAATCCAAAGGAAGGCTGTCAGGCAACCATCGCAAGTCGGCTCTCTTACAAGACAAATGTCAGAACCGGTTGAGCTCTCTCGCACACCATCCCTTTCGAATAAATCTGTTGCGGGGCCATACCGGCATCACAGCATGGGCATGCCGTCCATGAGAGAACCAAATGTGGCGCGACAAGCCTCTGCTAGGGCACTACATGCCTCACCTCGCCACAGTGTGGCCGAAGCTCGTGAGCAGATCGAGCTCTTCAAGGACCGCTTGCAATCAAAGGCACAGCCTTCGTTGAACGACTTCAAGCGACGGGTCACCTTGATCCAGAAGCGTTGGAGAGAATGCAAGGCTGCGCAGAGAGCACGAGAAGCTGCACAGCAAGAGGCTGAACGGTCGACCGAGCGGCGCAGCAAGTCCAAGCGCGAAGAGTTCCTGGATGTGACACTTCCGCAACATATTCTGGACCACTGGCAGAGCACTATGTGCTACCAGGTTCTCACACTGGCAGAAAAGGCATTGAAAGGTCTGGCTGAGTCAAGCTCGATACGTCTGGCACCTTATGGTGAGTCAAGAGAGACCGCGCGACCAACCATCATTGTCGGCTGCAGTTCGACAGCGAAGGTCAAGCATTGTCTCAAGCGTCATCTCAAGTATGATCCCAGCATTTACGATATCCGCGTCAAGAAGGAAGTCATCAAGCGATGCCGAAGGTCGAGGAGGGAGCGCGCAGCATCTGACGCGAATCATACTCGCCGAAGCATGGCACCTTGGCGAGATCCAAATGTCGAGAAAGCGGCCAACCCGGACTACCAAGAGCAACCCATGTGCGGTGCTTCAATCGGTGCATACCGATATGACGAACACCTGCCACCCGTGTCTTTCGGCGGTGTCGTGCTTGTCGACGGCCACCCTTATGGCATGAGTGTTCACCACATGCTAGAGCCAGAGGACGACCCGGATGATGAAGCGGGCGAGGCCAATGATGCCGATGATGTTGACGACGACGAGTCTGAAACCTCGAGCCTTGGTAGTTCAGAAGGGTCAGACGAGGAGGACGATCTCAGTACTGTCCGCCCGCCTTCTGCGCACTCCTCCGACGAGATGCCATTGCCTCTTCACGATGATGCTGGTGACTGTCCGGGCATCGTTCCCGGTGACATGGAAGAGATTGCTATCACTCAGCCAGCACTGGACGATGCCATTGATCTTGACCTTCATGCCGAAGAGGATGACGAGGACGACGCCGACTGCGGCATTGACGAAGATCATCTACTCTCCTATCGCCTTGGCCAAGTACATGCCTCTTCTGGACTGCGACGCACCGCGCAGTCTCTGGAGGGCGGTTTCAAAAGTATCAGTCAATCATTGCCACAAGAGATTGATTGGGCACTATTCGAGCTCGTCCCGCCTCGCGTTCAGCCTTACAACATTATTAAAGGGGGACGACGCTATTGCAGAGGCCGCAGCGATCGTAAGGGTAACTCATTTCCCACTTCGATTCGTAAGAGCGATGACTTGGCTTGCACCAAAGTGCACTGTCTAGGCCGCACAAGTGGCCTCGGTCACGGCACCATCTCGAGCACTATGGAGCTTGTAAAGATCCATGGTCGAAGCACTTTCTCTGCGAGTTGGACAGTCGCTGGCAACTTTGGCATTGGCGGTGACTCTGGCGCGTGGGTGATTGGCAACGATGACGGCAGAGTCTGCGGCCACGTCCTTGCCTCTCGGGCTGGTCGAACTTACATCTGTCCTATGGATCTCCTTCTTGAGGACATTCGAGCTACGCTAGGTGCTACCGAGGTCTCACTTCCTGTCTTGACTGAACCTATCAGCAGCCGTCCTGCGAGTAGTAGAGGCTCACCGACGGAAATGTGTATGTCGGAAGCTTTGAATAAGCTTCGACTTGCTGAAGCGGAGGGTGGCGTCGCCATTCCTGAGAGTCCTGTGCGTGCGGGCACGGGCAATAGAACTGTTGAGCCTGTTTGAACTACGTGTTTGACAGGATATGTTAGAACATGAGATTGAGAACGAAAAAGATACCCCATTTGAATTTTTGGATCGCAGATATGAAGGCGGAGAAGAGATTGGAATGAAATATAGAGTAGATGTTAGCATGTAGTAGTATCATGATTACATGTAACACTATGCATATGACAGATTGCATCGGACTTCTCTCTGCTCTTGTCCATGATTGTTATGATGGAGGACCACACCTCTTCCTCACAGCTGCTACTAAGTCCTCATGAAACTGCTTCATCGCTTCCAAAACTGGTACGGCGTGGAAGAAGTGCGGATAGCCTTTATAGTCTTTCACTTCGATATCTTTGCCCAATTCTTTCAGCTGATACTCCAACATCTCCGCATCATCGTGCAAGGGATCTTTATCGCTGGTCGTGAGATATACTGGAGGTAATTTGGACAAGTACGAGTCGAAGATCGGGGAGATGGAAGGGTTCAAAGGGTCGTTCTTTTCGCCAAGATAGGCTTCAGTGCAAATCTGGAGCGAAGTGCGATTGATTGCTGCTGCATCGGCGTAGAAGGCGTTTGGTTTGATGCATTTTGAGAGAGTTGGTGGGAGGGGGGACCAGGCTTGGGGGAAGCAGACTGAAGGACAGAGAGGGAGAATTGCCGTGGGCGGTCGGAGGTTGGATTGTTGGAGGATGCTGAGAGTTGTTGTTAGGGCGAGATTCCCGCCTGCGGACCCGCCGAGAATGAAGAAGGGTGAGGTTGGAGGAATGTGTGGTTGTTGGGTTATCCAGCGCCAGGCGGAGAGACAGTCTTCGAGGGCTGCTGGAAAGGGATGTTGAGGTGCGAGGCGGTATTCTACTGAGATGAGTCGAGCGGGAATGTCTTTGGCTAGGGCGCGTGTAAGGTGGTCTTCGTGGTCAATGTATCCGAGACATCAGCCTCCGGAGTGGATGTAGAGACCTGTTGGGGCGTTGGCGGGAAGGTTGAAGGGAGTGTACTCTCGAATCAGAACTCCTTCGGCAGTTTTGTGGTCTGCAGTGGTGACACTATCGTCTGGTGGAGGCAGGAGTGATTTGGCGGCGGCGAAAACCGCGTTGAATGCTTCGGCCATTTCTGATATTGAGCCGGTGACCACGTTGCGGCCTCCAGCCATAGCTTCGGCTGCGAGCCATTCTTCTGCATAGGATGGTGGGCTCTTTTCTGCGTGGTTAGAGGCCATATTGCGCCCAATGTGAAGTCAGTCGAGCTTGTGCAATCCAGGTTGATTTGCTGCGGGGTTCTTCATGCAGCACCCTCTATGGTAGCGTGGCGTCGGATCCTTCAGCGGCATTCGAGTGCTTTGAGCTTTTGTAGATGACGGATTTGCTTCGGATCACGAGAGCCACGAGCTGGAGGTGTTGTTATAATGAGATGGCATGTCGTTGATGAGTCCAGCGTGACTATTTGTTCTTGGGCAGGTCGAACACCTTGCCTGGATTCATGATCCTGTTCATGATCAGCGAGAGCCTTCAGTTGGAACGAAGAATGCAACAAGTCCTTACCATTTAGGATCAACCGCTCTTTTCAGCGACCGCATAAAATCGATCGTCTCAATTCCTAGCTCATCAAGCAAACTCTCCTTCTTGCCGATCCCGATAGCATGTTCACCGGAAACAGTGCCCTCCATCTCCAACGCCCGGTCCATCATATCGTGTACGACCTTGCTCACCGCAGCTTTCTGTTCCGGGTTCTTAGGGTCGAAGAACATTGCCGTGTGGAAATTTGCATCTCCGACATGACCAATAACAGAAGCGAACAAGCCCAAACTGCTACAATCCTGCTTGGTCACTTCAATGATATCTGTCAATCGGGAGAGCGGGACAGCGACGTCTGTGGACCAAATCTCGGTACCTTCAGGACGAGTGTTGACCATCGTGAATAGTGCTTCTTTCCTCGCAGCCCAGAGATCTTGCTTCTCTTGCTCGCTTTTGGCGAAGATGAATTCTCTGGGGTTGTGAGGCTTGATGAGTTGACCGACGCGCTTGACATCGCTTTTGATCGCGTCCGTCGTACCGGAGAATTTGAGAAATAGCGTTGGTTCTTCGAGCCACTTTCGCTTCCTTACAGCGGCACTCCCATGTCGATTCACAACTTGCATTTGTAGGTCATCCATCATCTCCAATGCGGCAAGCTGGATGCCTGATCGAATGATACTGCTTGCTGCGATCGCTGCTTCCTTGATGGTAGGGAAGCTCACGATTGCGACACTGGTGTCTTGTGGGATTGGCGCGAGTTTCAGTGTCGCTTCTGTAACCATGCCGAGCGTTCCCTCAGCTCCAACGAAGAGAGAGGTAAGGTTGTAGCCTGCTGAGGTCTTCCGGGGTCTGCGGCGCGTCTTGATGACTTGTCCGTCTGCCAAGACGACAGTCAGATTCACCACCCAATCCTTCATTGTCCCATAACGCATTGCATTCGTGCCCGAGCAATTCGTCGCGACCATGCCTCCGATCTGTGCCGTAGGCGATGGATCAAGAGGTAAGAAGAGGCCACTTTCTGCAATCTTGTTGTTCAGATCAACCCAATTCACACCAGGCTGGACTGTGATGTCCATATCCTCGGGTCGGAAAGCAATGACTTGATCCATATGTGTAAAGTCCACGCAGATACCAGAGTGCGGTGAAGAGAAGTTTCCTTCGACACTAGATCCTGCACCGAAAGGTACGATAGGCACGTTGTGCTTGTTACATGCACGAGCAATTGCGACAACATCTTCTGTGGTCTTGGGGTAGACTACGGCGACGGGACGTACTGCCGTGTTGGAAGTAGACCAGTCAGAGCGTCCGTGATGCTCAATCACATCTTCGTCAAAGCTGACAGCGTCTTCTCCCAGTATTGTTACAATCTCATTAGCAGCCTATTTCTGTAAGCGCACTTCTTCAACAAGACCTATTACCAACTCCACTGACCTTGAGCATCTGTGCATGACTTGCATAACTGATTTTATTCGCAGAAGCTCTATACACAAAAGATCCTGCAAAGATGGTCGCTGCAAGGCCAATGCCGAAGACTACACCTCCGAACCAAGTCGGTTGGCTTTTTGCCGTTTCTGGCGAGGAGGAAGCATATCTTCGTGCGCTAGCTGCAGGCATGCATCTTGTGTTCAGCCTGCCAAAGACTTGAAATGGACGTGGTCGCACGGATGATAGTCGTGGAATTGAGAATCTTGGTGGCATTCTGAATGTTACTTCCTGAGAAAGTTGCTGTCGGTTGAGAGATTCTCTTTTGATTAAGGAGACTTTCAAAGCTTGCTACTGCCGGACGTCTTGCTCGGATATCGGTCGACTCTACGGCATTGCTTGAGCCGAAGGGTATCGACGACCAAGGTATTTGGGCTTAAAAAAGGATATGCCGATCGCGTATGTACAAATACTGTCCGACCAAGGCAAAATGGGACTGGAGAAGCTGCGGAGCTGTTGTTGGAGAATGCTTGCACATGCATCGTCTTGGCAGTGGAGATGAGACGAAAACGATTAGTCAGCATTCACTCGCCACCGCAGCGTCAGCTTCACTCAAGCTTGAGGCAAGAACATCAAAAACAATTTGCGAAGCCTTCAAAAAAACGTACGACCGAGGAGCTCAAGAAGATTTAGGAGAAGACGCAAGAATTCCGAGAGCGAAAACCAAGCACCAGATCCCGGACGATGCCCCATTTCCCCGAAGAAGAAAGGCAGCGCTCGCCACATCACTCTCTAGCCATACGCTCAGCAACGCAGAAAGCAGATGAGAGCGCGTTATCAAGACCTTCACAATCGTCAAACAGAAGGCGTCAAAACCGAGAGCACCCGCAAACCTCAACTCAAATCCCCTCCCGCATCCTCATCAAAAACCGCCGAAAACGCTACCTAGACCTCCACCCTTCATATTTCCACACCTCAGATCTCGAACTCGCAGATCCCATCATCTACGACCGGCTCGTACGACAACATCTCTCAGCGCAAGAACGTGAAATTCAAGGCCGCGAAAGAGGGTTCACAGGTGTGCTAGAAGCGGATTTGATGAGGAGTGAAGCGAAGCTAAACGCTTTGGCGCAGAAACGAGAGAAGAAGGAGAGGGAAGATGAGAGGAGGAGAGTTAGGGAGCAAGAGAGAGTTAGGAGGCAGAGGGAGGAGGTGGAGAGGACGGGGAGGGTGGAGGGGGAGTGTGGGGATGGGAATGGAGAGGAGGGTGAGGAAGAGGAAGATGATGAGTACGAGGGGTTAGATAAGGAGACTGCTTGGGGTTTGTGGAAAGATATTATGACGCAGAGGTTTTTGGCGGGGGAGGATGGGGATTTTGAGTATGGGGTTTTGGTTGATGGGAATGAGGAGTTGGATGATTGGGAAGAGGAGGAGAGAGGGAAATTGGAGGAGTGGTTGGAGGAGGAGGAAGAGGAATTTCTGCCGAGCGGCGATGATGGGAGGAGGGAGTTGAAGGGGGAGACGGGTGTGCAGGATTTTTAATATTTTCGAGTTCAAGGAGGAAGAGAGCTATATGATCAAAATTGAGCTTCAAGTGGTATGGTGATGATCTCCTACCTGATAGTAGATTCTGGTTGAAATCTGGAGCGGCAGAGCAAGTGCTGCGAAGTATGCGTGTTAGATGTGTAGCCAGACCATATGGGCATCCGGACCTGTCGTGGATAGTACAGACCAACAGACAGCTGCGCGCCAACGAGCGGTGGATGCCCTCACCATATATCCCAGACACCATTCGACACTGCTCGCTGTGACAACTGACCTTCCCACCCAGGATAGATCCGAAGACCCATATCCGGAGTGGGTCATATAATATGCAGCATCCATTGCCCTGCATTCGGCTGAAAGCATTGGCAGCATATAGCACGAGTCATCGTTAGTTATCTGCCATTGTCATCAGGGTAAGATGCACGATAGACGGAGGACACTCCGTTGCAGAGTGTAGAAAGAGAAACTCAGCCAGGTTCAAAAGATTCACTGTCAATGCTTCATGCAAGTCGCATACAACACTTGCATCGATCGACGCGTTCGGAAGACCGCGAGAACTGTGCTGCGCAGCGGCTATGCTACCGGACGTGACCACTTTCACTGCATGCAGAGTCGGATATGATTGTTGAGTGATGACGAAGAGCACTATATTAGATTTTCGCATCGCGATGCGTGTGAGCGATTTGCCAGCCAAGCAAGCAACTGCTCATGCCGTTGAGCGACACAGGTCAAGAATAGCCTACGCCTATGTAGCTCTGTATCAAGGAACCTGGTGCCTTGTAATAAATAGACTTGGTGAGGGTAGCTCGTGTTGCTAGCGCCCAGCAAAAGGCCAGTGGGCAGTTGCTTGGGTGACAGTACGTTGAGGGAGAGAGCGTTAGTTAGAACGGCTGAAGAACCAAGTTTCCAGCGGGGGGACCTCCTAGTTGCATCTCGTGTTCGATGAGCAAGCTTGCAAGCTGTCTTTTTTGTCTTTGACGTGGAAGCGAGCGGATAGCTCTCCACACCATATATGGTAGCTCTGGTGGATGAGTACGGATGGTGAAGGGATTTGCCGGAGCTGGACTTGGTGAATGTCTGGTGTTGAGTGAGACGCTGATGCAATGTAACGTTGACCGGTTGTAGCAGTTGCTGTATATTAGCTGATTGTGACTTCTGGTTCACGATCGTGTCAAGTGCTGACGTTGGTGACGAATATCGCAAGATCAGATACGGACATGTTACTGAAGTTAGGTGATGAGCGGGTGCACTGTGCACGGTGCAACACGGCGCACGATGGCGCCATCCACGGGAAAGAGCTTATCTTTCTCCCTTCCAAGCGATGAAAGGCGTACATGTGACATTACCATGTTGCCGGAAGCCTCTCGTTTCAGCTCTGTGCGGGTGGAATGTACACAGAACGTTTGATGGAAGGCGGGACTTCATACGCGGATGTTACGTGGAAGTGTCGGACCAGTGCTGGTCGCCTGGTGTCCGTTTGGTTGCGAACACGAACGAGGATGGTGAGAAGCTTCGCCCTTGGCAGTGGAACAGGTTTGGAGCTTCCTTGCATCCACTTGCATGCCGCTGGGCTGCTCCACTCCAGAGGTCGTCGAGCACATGGACGAGCAAGGAATGCTCAAAGCGGCAGGTGGCTGTCTCCTTGCGTGGTGCATGTGCATGTGTCTCTGACTCTCTGTCTTCGAGCGTGAATGAAGACAGTTGTACTGGTGCTCCATGTCGACGGTGTGTCCCATCGTAATCGTACATGTGAGCCGCGTGTCCTCGTCCAGCATTTGCGTGGGCGGGCGCTGAATGGTGCGAAGGGCGAAAGATAGCGCGATGCAGCTTGTTTCAGGATGGCGCAGAGGCCGCGAGTGGACGACCGCGCAATCGCACTTCTGCCCCAGCAGCGTGTGGTGGCAGCACCAAATGACGGGCAGACGGACAGAGATCTGCGCTCCCGCCGTCGCAGCTTGACCACCGAACCCCTGGCACTGCACGCTGAAACGTCTGCTCTTTTTCCACCACTCCCACCACCATTCGCATTCGTCCACCAAACCTGACACGTTTTCTATGTTGTTCCTTTCCCGCATTCACCAAACTAGCCTCTCGCCCCACTGCGATAGCGAGTCGCGCAGGCCTGACGTTACACGCGAGGCTCTCAGCTATCGCATCGCCCGCCTGCTGCTAACCTGGGACTTCCGGCCTGAGCCATCCTTCGCCATCCCCGGCTCCCGCTGACCACTCCCGGACTGCCGCCACACCAGAAAAAGTAGGTACGTGGTCGTGCATACGAATACCGACGCGCTGCTGCACCCTCCACCACCCTCTCGTCTCACTCACTCCATTGTCCCTCGACTGCCAGCCTCACGCCTACGCACGCACCAGCCGCCCATCGACGACGTCAGCCGCTAATGAGATAATCCAGCTGGGATTCCGCGCGCCAGCTCCACCTGCCACACAACTCCCCAAGCTTCTGGCAGACAGGGGTGTGCTGGCTACATTTCCGACCTGCGTCTCCCACATAATAAACTTCTCCCTCCTACCGCCATCGCCGCACTTGTAACACCCGACTCGAGCTGCGAGCCCGAGGCCGCTCTCTCGCGACCATGCTCTCCTTCAGACGCGCCCTCGCCGTGGCCGCCATCATACTCGCCTTCTTCTTCCTCCTGCGGACCACCCACCCTGGCGAGCGCGCCAAGCCACTCAAACTCAACAACTCCCCCAAACCCACCGGCAGTCACGCCGACAATAGGAAGATCGTCGAGGCTGTTGCAGAGCCACAGAAAGCAGATGTCAAGAGCGCCACCACCGCCGCTCCTTCAGCAATCCCGAAATCAAAGAGCGAGGATGGCGGCCATGTGGCACTGTCGAGAAAGCCCAAGCCGCAGATCGCCATGGCTGACTTGAAGCTCAAGCCACTTCGACAACAATTGGCCTACACATTCCCCTACGACTCCGAGGGCAAATTCCCAGCATACATTTGGCAGACGTGGAGACACACTCCTGCTTCGGGCGAGTTCCCTGAGGAGTGGAGGCCGGCGGAGGCGTCATGGACAGAACTGCATCCCAGCTTCGTCCACGAGGTCATCACCGATTCTGTTGCCGTGCACTTGATCAAGCACTTTTACGCCAGCATACCCGAAGTCGTACAGGCCTACGAAGCCCTGCCCGAGCCAGTGCTCAAGGCCGACTTTTTCCGCTACCTGATCTTACTTGCAAGAGGAGGAATTTACACCGACATCGACACAACGGCACTCAAGTCTGCTGTCGAGTGGGTTCCACCGGATGTTCCTCGCACCACTTACGGATTGGTGATTGGAATCGAGGCGGACCCAGATCGCGAAGATTGGAAAGATTGGTACTCGCGCCGCATTCAGTTCTGCCAATGGACCATCCAGGCCAAACCAGGTCACCCAGTCTTGGTCGACATTGTAGCCACCATTACTGAGGAAGTGCACCGAAGAAAGAAGTCTGGCGAGCTGCACACCACAATCAAGGGAGCTGGCAGTGTGGTCGAATACACTGGACCGGCGCTCTGGACTGATGCCATCTTCAAGTTCTTCAACAATCCCGACTACTTCGACATGAGCACGAGCAAGGGCAACATCACATGGAAACAGTTCACCGGCATCACTGCAGCAAAGAAGGTCGGAGATGTGGTGGTGCTACCCATCACCTCCTTTTCCCCCGGTGTGGGTCAGATGGGCGCTGGCGACATCGATGACCCCATGGCATTTGTGCATCACACTTTCGAGGGTATGTCATTTTCCCCTATCGTTTAGTTTCCCCGGACTTGCAGTTGTACTAACGAGTCTCTAGGCACTTGGAAGCCCGAGAGTGAACGCCATATCGGGGACAAAGACAAGGAATAAGCAGCGACCGCGTCGCAACGTGATGACCAGGATTATCGCATAATCTTCGCCATAATCTGAACATGATGACGACCGACACCAACCTTGCCGAAATTGGCGCCGCGGGCGTGCGCGCACATCCAAAGGCATGCAACAGAACCATCCACGTGCGATAACACATTCCGAGGACGCACCAGAAACTACATAATATGCATGCACTATCGCTGAGCATCGGAGATTTTACTAGCTCCCCTCAACGAGGACATGGCGGCTACGCGCTGCTGTACGACTTGACATGGATTCACCGGGGCTCACCACGTCGCCTCGGAATTTGCGATACTTGTACAACAACACCACATCGAGCCAACCCGCGCCGCGCAGAGACCTCGGCCGGAGATGACAACATCAACATGACGCCGACGAACGATTGTTGCTTCAGTCAAGCACATCGTTCTCGCAAGTGCTGTCTGGATTTTTTTGTTCTTTTACGCACGACTTGTACCATCAACCATTTATCATAGCCGCTATTCAAGTGCTGAATAGCGCCAGCCAGCGAAAACTCTGATTTTTTGCTTCGGAGGCCCGAGACATAGCTTGTCTCTAACAGAGGGAGAAGCGGTGTCGAGGGCGTATACATGCATTAGCGACGGCGTATGAACGGGTTGAATACCTCGCGAGCATTTTTGGGAAAAGATGGATTGGGCAGGAGGGAAAAGGATGCCCAGAATCGGAAATTGGAGAAGAGGGACTACCACTGTTGGACTCAACAGCGTAAAAGGAGAGTCTGCTTCTGTGTCACGCTGTAGAGACACTGCGCAGACAGAAGACAAAATGCACTCTTTGGGAACCAGACATTGCATCTTTTATGCCCGCTTCTCTTTTCTCTCCATTTGCTTGGCATGGGCGTTGACTGTCTCGTGGCGGCTTCCCGCGGCCTCGTACCATTAAATATCAGTGAGTCAAGCCAAAAATTCCCTAAACTCTGAAGTTTAAGTGCTTCTGATTTTAATTTTCCCCATCGAGGCAAGTTTGACATCCTTTCACATGATTCTTGTGAGCGGACTTCTACATGATACATACGCTCACGCCGAATCCAACCCTCGTTCACTCGACTATCATCTCTGAAAATTCGCCCGCTAGCCCAACCATGGCGTCACCCTTTTGTTCTGGATCGAGTCAGACGCAGTCTCAGAAGCAGAAGCAGAAGCAGGATGAGAGTAGTAATCACCTATCGTTCGCGACGGTTGAAATTCTCGAAGATATCAAATCCTACTCCTCCCTCCTCGCTCGTCGCGAGGAACTCGATCGATTTCATCGGGGTGATTTTGATCGCAATCGAAGTCCGACGGGTTGGGACTTGTGGGTGAAAAGGAATTATCCGAAGAAGAGGTTGAATAAGAAGGGGAAGTTTCAGGAGAAGGTTGATTTGTGTGTTAGAGGGAATGAGGAGGAAGGGGAGTTGAGGGTTGTTAAGACGAGGGATTTGGGGGTGAGGGATGGGGGGAGGGTGGTGGTTGTTAATTTTGCTTGTGAGGATGGAGGAGAAAGGGAAAAGGGTAGGGGAGGGGCGGAGGTCTTCATTGAGGAGGATATCAGAAAGAGGAGGAAGTTGGGGAAGGGGGATAAAGAGAATGTGGTGGGGTATTTGTGGAGGAGGTTTAGGGAGATCCGCGAAGATGACTCTGCTGACCGACGCGACTCGAAGCCTATGAACTTGGAATTCCCTCTCGCTGATAATGCCAGCGAGAGCGAGTCTGAGCCGATGAGGAAGGAATTCACCCCCACTAACTCTGCTGGCCGACGCGATTCTAAGCCAACGAAGGTCGATATCCCCCTCGCCGAACACCTAGGCAACATCCTGAAACTGCTTCGCCTGTGTAATTCGTCCACCACCACCTCCGAACTCGACATCGCACGAGACCGTCTACGAACATACGTCGTTGCCACTAGCCATCGAAAAATCCTCCACCGCATCAATCTCGGGAGGCAACATTTCACTCGCGGCAAGAGAGATTTCTTCGACATCTTAACACTAAGTCCTCAAGACACCAAAGACATCTCAGAAGAAGAATGGCTCAACACCTCCACAATCCCCAACGAACCAACCCTGCAAAAACTCTACACAAAATCCCAAATCAAATGCGTCCAATCTCTCGCAAAATACACAGGACAAAGCCACCTCGTTGATAGAAACATCGAAAAGCATCCAGTGTATGACCGAAGAGGACGGAAAATTTTGCATATCATGTTATCGCTGTATTTGGGGGATTTGGTGAAGAGTTTGAAGACTTTAGAGACGGAGATGGATTTGTGGAAAGAGGGAAGAAGAGGAATGTTGGATTTGAAGAGTATGAGGAGAGTTGTGGGGGATGCGGAGTGGCAGTTTTGGAATTTGGGGTATTTTGTTAGGAAGTTTGAGGGGGTTTTGGGGTGGCATTTGAAGTGGTTGGAGGGGTTTAGGAAGAGGAGGAAGGGTGGAGGTGGAAATGGAGTTGCTGCTGGTGATTGTTCTGTTGATGAGGATGATGAGGAGGGAAAAGAGCTGGATGAGATGGCTTGGGTTGATGGGGCTTTGGAGTACCTTCGGAATATCTGTCGGCATGAGTTTGCTATTGTTGGGGAGACGAATTGGCATCCGGGGAAGCGTTCGCGGGGGATGAAGAAGCGTGAAAGGGACTTTATCCACACGGCTACGTTTGCGTTGGTCGATATCCGTCAACCGAAGGTCCACCAGGAGAGAACTAAATCGTTCAATGATTGTCTGGACGAGCTTGTCAAGGACGATACTGGGCTGGCCGACATCCAGTCTAATCTGCAGAAGATTTTCTCTCGCACTTGTGAGAAGGGGTTCTGCGAGATCTCTCCACAACTGGGCAAGGATAAGAAGTTTAGTGGGAGGGTGCACTATGACGCTGTTATGGGATCGCTGTTCATGCTGGTGAGTAGGAAGGATCTTTGGGAGAAGATGACGCTCGGAAAACTCAAGAAGCTTGGAATCTCTGCGAACACGAAAGCTGAAGTACGGCGAGTGTTGAAGGATCTGGGGCTCTATGTCGATGCGATCGCTTTGAAGAAACAGAAGTGTTGTTCTGCCTGCGATGAAGCCTGCAAAGCTGCTGCAGCTGCACATCGGTCCTCAAGACGGAACTCAGGAAAGCGAAGCGAGCCGCAGAGCTTCCTTCCCGCAGCAAGGCACAAGGCAGTAGCTCTCCCGCCCTTTACATCAACAGAAGTGGCTGAAGCGTCCCTTGGCAACTTGCAAAATGCCGCAAAAGATGAGTTGAACAAGCTCCTGCACAACGCCCAAGTAGCACAGGATATTGCAGAGAGTGTAAGTTCCCACCCAGTTTTCAGCGACCGGCCGGACGACGATGAGGATCCGCCTAGAGAATTCGCCGTATACACCAAGCCTACTCGTCCAGTCAGCCCGATAAAAATACTCACGGATCTGAGCTCCGTCCCTACTGCACCGCCCGAGCTCAGTCTTCCCGGTCCCAGCATGTCGCAAGAATCTGTCCCGCAAAGCGCTCCAGCGCAAGCGAATGTGCAAAGCAGCTCCGCCAGTGACACTTCCTCACCCCCATACAAAGCAGTAGCCCTCCCGCCTTTCACCCCACAACGCATCGCTGAGACCGTGCTCGCAGATCTCAAGACTGTCCTGAAGGACTGGTTTGCTGAGGTTCTGGAACGAAAACGGGCGGCCGATGCGGAAGCGGAGATTGAAAGACGTGATCGTGAGCTGAGGGAGCTGAATTACGTTTCGTCTCCTGAGTTGACCCCTCCTGCTCCGTCGAAATCTCCATTCGATGAACACTTGTTATATGACTCTGCTTCGGTGCCGGAGTTGGAGCTACCGGGACCTCGCTTATCAGCGAGTGATACTGTTCAGGGGCGGTCAGAGAGTAGTGGTGACGGTTGTGTTGGGAAGGAAAATGGAGATCAACGAGGATAAAGATGAAGTTGGTGAAGGGAAGAAATGATAGTAGACACAGAACGCGATGTGGCTGTAGAAGAAGATAGCTCTGTCTGTACTTCTATTTCCCTACCATCACTTAGTGACTCCGGCTTGCGCCATCCTTTCCTTCCAATCCCGAGAGACATCCATGTGGAGACCAAGCACTTGTAGTAAGATTGATCCCATTGCCCATCGCTCTGACCAGCCAAGACTTGATTTTCGTCTTCGATCTTTGCTGTCCCTGCCTCGATCCCTTTCGCCCAAACCAGAAGCGCTCATCAGAACTGCCATGCTACCATGTGCCGGGTCGCCACTCAACGCCGGAAAGTGAGCATCTCGGTGAAGAGAATCTCTCCCATGCAATTGAATCTCAGTACTCGGTGGCTGACATGCCGCCCATGTGAGTGAGAGATCGTTATCTTCGTTCTCATCGTGGCGACCAACGCGCTCAAGTTGAGTTTAATGGTTGCAAGATCCCTTGGGCAACGAAACCTGAACGAGTCTGCTGCGATGATCCGGGCAGCTCATCATAAGTAATAGAATTGTCAGATGACTGAGGGGACGGGGGACATCGAAGTATTTGCGCTTGCCAATTTTGCCCAGATTCGCTCTTCGACTCATTTTACGACAACTGGCAGCCATCACGTACGACCTCGGACGTTGTTGTCGTTGCTCAAGCTCTGCTGTCGTAGTTGAGTCGTTGCATTGTCGTAGCAGACTTAGGAGAATTGCCAGATGCTCGGCGAACGGCATATCGCCTTTCTTTGGCTTGGACTCGGGATGAGCGTTGGAGTCTTCGTGAACTTTTACAAGTCTTTGAACAAGGAACTCCACAGGATCAGCTTCGGCAGTGAGCTCAGTCGCAAGCGAGACGTCTGCTTCGATCACAATCTTCAGTGGCCACGCTTCGTCTTCTGGTGGGTTGCTCGCAAATACTACATTCTCGTGGTTGAGTATCACAACTTCGTGGTCCCCAGATACGTTGTCTTCGAAGCTGGCTGTGATAATGGAAGCAGGAATTTCATGGTTACGAATGCAGAGGTTGAGCTTGTCCACATTCGCATTGAGTGCTCGGTTTGATCCTGACTTTTGCCCTTCGCTCGTGATTTTTAGCGCTGCGCCTTTATCCAGGGGAGGAATTTTGAGCTCGCCGCATTTGGCTAGCAGAGTTGAGTAGCTCTTGATGTCCTCTAATGTCTTCGACGATGCGAAAAGGCCTTCGTCCACTTCGATCGATGACATAGAGTCAATCATCGGCATCGATGGTTTCTGAGTATTGCTTGAGTACGCCATGGTCAGGGTGTGCAGAGGTGGTGGCTTGGCAAGGCTCTCTAAGGGCGAGTAACGAAGAATGATGAACAGCTGAGAGAAAAGGGTAAGCAACCAAGGAATTGGGAATGCTGATCAAGTCAAATATGTCGATTGATCGGAGAAGCCAACTGCCAACTTATCAGGAATCCAAATGGTCAATTTGTCAAGTGGTGTCCAGAGATGAGGCCGCGTGAGGCCACCTTATGCGAATCTTTGAAAAAGGGTTGCTTGAATTTCTGCCTAAAAGACAACGAACTTCAATGGGCATGCAAGCTGCATACACTGACATCCAGAAGGAACGGTCCTTTCCTAGTGTTCTATGCAAGCGGAGCTTGTCGAACGATTCCGCGGATATCTGGGGAGTACGCCAAAGAACACACATTTGGGTTGAAGCGTGGACTGGTGCGGATCTCTGCATGCTTTTCGTGCGGGCCGGGGAACTACACACACGGGGAGTGAGTCGAACACCGGTGCACGAAGCAGCAAAGGAACATAGCTGCTCTTCTGCTAGGCTATGTCTTCTCACTGCTGTGTATCGATTGTATCTCGGTCTTAGAAGCACAGCGCTTGACACGCTTGGTGCCTTGAATTCGTGCGATTTGTGTTCTTTGGCGAGTACTTCTGGGGGATTCATTGGTCTGATTTTCGTCGCAACATAGTTACCGCAGAACTTGACTCTGGTTCGGGATTCGAAGGACGGAATAATTTGATGTGCTCGAAGGAAAACGGCTCTAGGAAAGTGGCAGTTTCGACAGTTCAGGATCTTGCTCTTGAGGGGTGTCGCTGACCATGGATCGCATCGTGAATCAGAGTACCGCTGCATGAGCAACCGAAATCTGTTCGCAGATCAGGGGTTGCAAAAAGGGTACTCGTGTTGCGGGAGAAATTTTACCTCGCCGGATTTGAGGGACAAGAAAAGACTTCGGGTTTTCAGGGCTGGAACAGCTGAAGCGCGCGATCGAAGGAGAGGTGAGGAGATTGAATGGGCCGAGAATCCAAGGGAAGCCGTTGAGAGGTAGGCATAGCCTGTTGACTCTTGGACTATGTTAAAAAATGAAGATTGTGGGAATTTGTGAGAGCGGAATGAGAAGTGTCTTGCTAGGGAATAAAGAGAGTAATAGGGGTGTGTGGAGTCTGGTATGGAAAGTGATCTTCCTTAGGAGTAAGTTACGATAACACCCCGATTGAATATTCACGCAGAGCTTGACGAGGATAAATCGCCGTACGCCGTCCTTTCTCAAGATCGGAGTATCTCTCAGCCAAGCGTTAGCACCGCAGGACAGATAGTAGCTAGGATAGTCCCGGGAGATGTCCTACTGAGATCGCTTCCTCTATACCGAGAAGAAATTCGCAGCTCATCAGCGTAGACCCAGGACACAGGTATGCCGCAGAAGTATTTCTGAAAACGAAGTCTGTCAGCTGCTGTCACTGAGAAAAATTGCAAAGAACCACTGCAAGTTATCACCTTTCTCTATACCGATGAAGGGTTCCCTACCTCTGCGCTTCGCCTTGCCGAAGATGGTGGTGCAGAGATGGTTCTGAGACACCGCGGGACATCCGTGAGATATGTCTGATCTCTGCCAGAACACGCATGTCCCTGCTCCTAAGCTTGGCGAAGAGGAACGATGTTGCTGTGCAGCGATGGTGGAGACACAAACATCGTCGTTCACGAAATCTTCACCAAAGAAGCAGTATGAGTTGGCAGTCGGTGTCTTTCGGGAGGTGAAGAAAGATAAAAGAAACGGATAAAACTTGGGCAATATAGAAACGAAAGAACATATAAAAGTATGCCAGCTTCAATGCTGCTGGCTGTTGAAGGAGAGAAGAAGCCTTTGCGGAAGGCGTTGTCCTAGATGCGAATTTCTTTTTTGTTCTTGACAAGAATTTGTGGCACTCAGCTCAACAGCTGAATGCCTCTGCTATGGTACCGTCTGCATAGGCATCGATGATAGCCTTGATAGACACGTACAGACCTGCGATGCAGATGAAAGCACCTGCGAGGATGGTCAAGACTGCCGCTAGCGTTCCTGTGGGCTTCCTCTTCCAGGCTTGGAAGCCACCTCCATTACCGTCGTAGTAGGTGTAGTGGAGCCAGAACATGCCAGCGCTGGATAATATTAGCAAATGCAGATCGAGGAGGTAGAGCAGTTTGTCAACCTACATTCCATAGGTGAACCAGGCACCGAAAGCAGACGAAGCAATACCGAGCAAGTAGTTGAAAATCGGTACGCCAACAGCAAGCAGGAAAGCGAGGCCGGTAATGAATGTGCAAAGTCCAATCCAAGCTCCCCATCCCACAATCGTGTTGCTGTGCAAGTGGCGTGAGTTGCGGAAGATCCGAACGAAGATGATCTTGCTGGCGGTGTGGACGTAGAGCGATCCGGCAATAAGAAGGTTAGGAATCGCAATTCCATAGGCTGCCTTACCCCATTTCGTCGGCAGAGAGGAGAAGGAAGGAGATAGGACTTCGCTGCCGATATAGCCATAGGTGACGGCGGCGAAGATCACGTAGTATGTTGTGGCGAAGCTCTGGAGAGTGTACGCGGCTTTGATGGCATCCCGCGGCTTCTTCATTTCGGACATTAAAGCGAAGAACCTGATTGTTTGCGTCAGTGGTAATTTCAGTTGAGCAAAGGCAGAGGTGCACTCACATGAAATGACCGCAGTACGCAAAGACTGGGTTGGTGATGGAAAAGAACGCAGTGAAGAAATCGCTCGAACGGCCAGCAACCACAACTCTACCCTCAACGGGGTTGGCTCCTGCAGCTCCCATGCCTAAGAAACCAGCAACCACGATGCAAAGCACACTTCCCACCGAGATCACACTCAAGTAATCGTACGTCCTTGGCAGAGCACAAACCAGTGTCGCAACAGCAAAGATTCCAGCAAAGCCCAAGTTGCACACTCCGTTGTTGCTCAAGAACGACAAAGCAATTTGTCCCGACAGGATCTGTCCTCCGCCCAGCAGAATCGCGAAGCACAGAGTTCCAAACGCGAAAACCTCGCGTCCAATAGGTCCAAACATAATCTTTCCCGCATCGCCCATATTGTGTACTTCCGGGTGGCGAAGCTTGAAATTGACCAACAGGACCGATGTATAAGCTGCAAAGACACCCAAGAAAACAATCAATATGATACCCGGGACCATGCCGACTGTCGCCAACGAGGATGGGAGCGAAAGCATTCCATTGGAGACGATCTCTGCAACCATCAGAACAGCAACCATTTGCCATGTCAAAGTCTTGTATTTGATATCGTGTCCTTGTTCGTGGCCGAAAACATCGCGGTCGTGGTAGTCGTCGTCGATGGGAGAGCCAACACCAGCATCGTAGCTGTTCGACGACAAGCCTTCTTGTTTCATCTTGAAGCCGCCTTCGCCCTGCAGGCGATTAGATGCTGCTGTTTTGTTAGACGCGCACTCCTCCTGCTGCGCCTGTCTGACACAGGTCGTCGTCGCAGTAGTTGATAGGGAAGCTTTTCTTTTCTGGAAGATCGGAAAATCAACCTAGATTAGAACGTGGCATGGGAGGGGTTGTGGCACGAACTATGAAGGGGGGCCTTGCTGGGCTCTTCTACGGCTGAACTTCGTGGACGAACAACTCACGAATGCGGGTGCGCTCGCGCGCGTTGGACGATTGAGTCCAACAAGGGTCCTTTGGCTACGGAGAAAAGTGGCATCCCTCCCATTCCTGTCCCATGCACATCAACTAAACTCGATTGAGCCAAGATTCCGTCATCCACGAAATCCACAAGGATCTCATTCCCACGTGCGGTCTGCTCCGGTTCTGCCTCGAAGGTCTTAGGCACGACCGATATTTGTCACAATAATTTGGGACAATGTCGCTCCGTGCTTCTCGCGTGGATGAGAGACAAGTTCGGTGGCTGGTGTGATGCTGGTAAAGGTTTTTTTCTCGTTGCTACTGTACGAGAGTTCCAGACCGCTCGGTTGATGTTCTGTTTAATCTAGTTTTCGGACATACTCGACTGGTCCCACGTATCTATGTCGAGCCCAGACGTAATAGAATACGATGCCCCAAATTGCAACTGCTGAGAAGATTAATGAAGACCAGTTCATTGATGCGAGCTCTGGTAATGGAGTTGGTGGGAAGAACGACTATTGTTGTCAGCTTTTGGCTTCGAAGAGATAGCACTTCGAATCTGATACGTACCATCACAAATATGATGATCAGGAAGCAGATCGCAAGCACGTTGACCAGTAGTCCGAAATGCCCGAGGTCGAATCGTGAGGGCAGCATTTCTTGCCTGGACAGACGTCTCCAGATGAAGCAGCCGATACAGACTGTATACGATGTGACCAGCACTCCGTTCGTGATTGAGACCAAGTTGTTGAATGCAACGGTGCTCCCGATATTGATCAGTGAAAGGAGACAAGCAATAATCGTTGACATGACCACGGCATTGACAGGAACATCAAGTCTTGAGTCAACCTGAGACGAGCATCAGTGCATGCTGTGCCGTCATTGAACAAAGACATACCTTAGACAACCATCCAGCGAAAGGCGTGCCTTGGTCACGAGCGAATGCATACTTGATCGATGTCAGCCAAAGAACCATAAAGACGTAAATTGACTCACCATCTGACGAGACGCGGAAGCCATGATAGAGACTGCACTGAATGCGTCCATGAATATGATAATCCGTTGAGCGTCAGTATCGAGTGAAGACAGTCCTCCGGAGGTGGTTGTAACTCACTCCGGCCATGGCATTCGTTGCGCCTAGAGACTGTGTTGAGTTGTAAAACATCTGAACAAACGGGTATCCGGTCGAAGTGTCGAGTACTGTCGAAACAATTAGCGAGATCAGGCTGTGGACTTTCTTCTTGATATGTCTCACGAGACGCTACATCACCGAGGCAGTAAGCAGTGGTGATAGCAGTGATCAAACCCATGACACCGTTGATCGTAGTTGCCCACATCATTGAGCGAGGCAACGTATAAGCAGCATCCTTGAGTTCTTCGGACCTGTTGACTGTCAAAACCTGAACTCCCACAGTTTGTCCCGGAATCTGCTCACATGTGTACTGATGCATCGGCACCCAAAAGGGGAACAATACAAGCCTGCATGCCGATCAAAGCAGATAGCCCGGTGCTGCCCCATCCTGGATCATGGAATTGTGTCCAAGCAAATTCGGAGGTCGATCGTGGAGAAAGAATCCATAGAGGTACCAGCACGCAGAAAATGCCATATATGTGCACGATCAAGATCGTGCCCTCGACCAAATGAAGTCGAGTTGCCAGGAAGATGTTGAAGATGGCGCCGAACACGAGAACGGCGATGACCAGCATCGTCCCGTGCCATCGCTGAGGCTCATAGGTGTCGGGATAGTTCAATACGAGAAGTGCCTGGATGATTGTGCCTGCCTGAAAGCCGATTGAAGCTTCCAGAGCTTGCCATCCAAGAACACCAAGCCAGCCTTTGCCGTACATTAGTTGAATCCTTCTCGCTTAAGCATTTGCTCCCAAACTCACCAACGATGTAGCTCAACACTCGTTGATATTTTCGCGGCGAGAACTCACTGACCCAGTGATATTGACCTGGCCACGGAATAAGCATTGAGTGTCGAAAGAGCCGCGCTTGGCACTTACCTCCTGTTGTTGGAGCCATGCTGCCCATCTATGCGGCAAGAGCAATCTGTCAGCGTCTCCTGCCACAATTCATGATTGCAAGTCCTCAATTACCTCTGCCATAGACAAATACACAAAGGTGAACCCCATCCAGGAGGCAAACCAAGTCCAGATCAAGCCCGCTGCTCCACCATTCGTCAAAGCGATGCTCATACTGCTCAACAACGATTCCCACGAGCACATGAGAATCGCGGAAAAGCCAAACATGGTCACCAGCTTGAAGTTGCGCTGCAACTCTTGACTCTTCCCCATTCTCGCCATATCTCGCAGATCTTGGGCATTGCCACCACGCGTGGCGCGGTATGCTGAGCCATCGATGTCGGCTGGGTCGACTCTGGGAACGACTGTCGACTTGCTACCCAGCGTGGGCTCCCACTCCTGCGGCATGTTGTAGTGGCGTACAAATTGTCGTCGGCAGCCTTGTTGCTCTCGACAATTCGTATGTACCGCGGCCTCTCTGCAAATCCGCCGTGGCACGGATACGGATGTAGCACATGGTTAAGGGTCATGGTGGGAGGTGCCAGCGGAGACTAATCTGTACAGTCCTTAGACGGTAGTGTCTCATTCGTCTTGTGTCATGCCCAAAGACTACTCCGGTAATATGCCGGTGGCAGGGTATAGATTTTTGTCGGCACAGCTGTGATCACGCCAGCGCGCCATTGCGAATCATCAGCGCAGGGCTGCCCGGGCTTCGGAATGCGCGACGACAATGTCGCGCGGACTGCCACATTATCGCTAGAAGCACGGTATGCCACCAAATGCGATGTTGGGCAGAAGGTGAAGTCGTGAATAAGGATCAAGAGAAGCTCCACAACTCCTCCACCCGGAAGACCCCAGATGGCTTGATTTTTCGCCAAGCCTGCAAGCGAGGCACCCTACACTTCACCTCCTCTGACACCCGAAGATCGACACTGTTGACGCACGCTTGCGGCATGCCGGGACGTCCGCTAAGAATGGCAGCTCTGCCTACTCGAGGTAAGTCTCCTAGTGCTCGACAACGGATCTCGCTGCTACGGCCCTCCGTTCACCATAGCCTCCATGGGTGTACGTCCTAAATTTCGGCCTCCCTGTTCTTCTTTGCCACGAGATGCGCGTCGGGTATCGAGCTCAACGAAGTCGAGGCTCGACACTTCTTCACGAAGTCATGTCAGAATAGCCCACTCTTCCACACTCCGCTGGCTCAGAGCGCTACTATGAGCATCTCCAGTCCACAGGATGGCGACACAACATGAGTTTCTCTACCCGCCGCTGTCGACTATCACGCCTACCGACCGGAGAGGCATCTACTGGATTATTGGCGTCATCTGCGTCTGTCATATTCTCTTGACGTTGTTCCTCCGGCTTATGGTGCGATGGCGAAGATTCCAGATAGATGACTACGCTGTCGTGGCAGGCTGCATCCTCTTCCTGGCGCAGACGGGTGTGGCTTTTGGCGCAGTCGCTCTGCATCTCGGCTCGGCTGATGGCGGCGAGGATGAGTCGAGAGCGTCGATCGCATGGCATGTGAGTTGACTGTTCGGCTTGCGTTCTGGAGCTCCGCACCATTGACAACAGCATAGCTTTTCCTTGCAAGCGAAGCACTGTACGTGGTGGGCCTTTACGCAGCCAAGCTTGCAGTACTCTTGACTGTGCAGAGCTTGCTGGCAAGAGACATGGCAGTGCGCATAGTCTTCCACTGCACTCTTGGGGCAGTAACAGTTCTTGGTTTTGCTTCACTCTTGACTGTCCTCGTCGGATGTGATGGGCACGATCTGCTCACTGGCGGTGGCGACAACTGCAACCGCGTAAGCAGAATCTAGGCTGCGTGAAAACTCATCTGCTAACATTCTCATAGGAGACAAGATGGATCGCCGTTGCCATCATGGATGCGCTGAGCGAGCTGTGGGGTTTCGCCTTGTTCTGCTGGGTCGTATGGTCTTTGCAGATGCGATCCTCGTACAAAATTACAGCATCAGCTATGGTCGGCTTGCGGCTGCTGTGAGTGTTGAATCGGTATGCCTTTTTGCAGCACACTGACCATGTTTACAGCTGCATCATCTTCGCCGCCATGCATGCCGACAGAGTCGAACAATTTGTGAACAGCAGTCGCCCATCCACGATAGTCATCCGGCCTTTGACTTGGCAAACCTTAGGCCTGACATACTCGCTGTTCTCCGCCATGGCAATCGCTCTTCGACCATTTCTCAAGGATTTCCATACAGGTATGGGCATGGATCTGGGCCACGCAGCAGATTATGGCAGTGGGAGCAGAAAGATTACGAAAGAGAGTTTCAAGATGCAGAACATGTCACCAGAAGGAACCAGAGATCAGAAAGGTGGGAATACAGAAGACATAATTGCGGCATCGAGTCCGGCAGAGAGCACGGTATTCACACCAGAAGATCAGAACTATGTTGCGGAGATTTACCACGCGAATCGCAAGGCGAGTAACGGGAGTATGCGTTCCGAGGATCCCATCATTCGAAAGCAGGTTGACTATGATGTGACTTACGAACGATGATGAATAGAGCAAACGGCAAGACACAGACAACACAGGCAAAAGCCACAAAGATCTCCTTCCTAATTGAGCCGAAAGCTCCAAACCTTTTGACCAGGATCAAGTAACTTCAATCCTGCTCACGCTAGGGGTGCAGACCAGTCTATTGGTAAACTTCGGATTCATCAGGTGCGGGGCAGTGCACGAGTGGAGCTCCATATAGCTTTGCCTAATCTATGTGTAACAACAGCTGACTTGCTTGAATAGTAGATATCGCTCCGACGCGCTTGTGGCTATCGTTGTCTGAGACTGATAGTGGCGAATCGATCATGGCTTACAACATTCCAGACGAGAACACACCCAAGCCGCCCGGACAGATCCGGTCCTATCCGCCTCCGACCTCGACGGGCAAAGTCGAGTTCACTATACCATCCACTGGTGAAAAAGGAACGACCATATATCGGATATGGGGTCAACTGTCGCCAAGTGCTACACCATTGATCTGCCTTCATGGCGGCCCTGGCATGCTGCATAGTCAGTCGAATGCAGACTTGAATTCGGGAACAGAGAACTAATGTCCAAATATAGACTACATTCTCCCCATCAGCCTCATCGCCACCGACTATGGCATTCCTGTCATAATGTACGATCAACTCGGCTGTGGCGATAATACTCATCTCCAGCACCACAAGGGCGACACATCGTTCTTCACGTTTGACCTGCACATCGGCGAGCTCGAGAATCTTAAACAGCATCTCCAGATCAAGAACTTCTATCTCCTTGGTCAATCATGCGGCGGAATGGAAGCCATCCAATACGCGGTCGACCACCAACCAGCCGGCTTACAAAAGCTCATCGTGTCCAACTCGCCCGCTGCAATGCCAACATGGTCCAAAGTCTGCAATGGACTTCGAGCTGCGCTTCCAAAAAGTGTCCAAGACGCATTAGACAAGCATGAGAAAGAAGGCACGACAGACTCCAAGGAGTATGAAGATGCTACGATTGCATTCTACAAGAGACATCTGTGTCGCGTTGATCCCTTCCCTCCGGAGATCGAGGCAAGTCTTGCTGGCGTTGCGGAAGACAATACTGTCTATGCAACCATGAATGGACCTAGTGAGTTTACTGTCGTGGGCACAGTGAAGGACTGGGATTACACGGAGAAATTGAAGTTGATTACAAGTGAGACTGTGCCAGGAGGCGTGCTTCTCATCAATGGGTATTTTGATGAGGCGCAGGATGAGGTTGTTTGGCCTTATTTCAACAATATTGCCGCGAGGACGAAATGGGTTACTTTCCCGTTGAGCTCTCACACGCCGTTCTTGGAGGAGACTGAGTCGTATATGAAAGTGCTCGGAGACTTCTTGCAGGCAAAGTAGATGAAGTCGATGAACATATCTGCCATCCAAACTTTCACATGCAATGTCCAGCTTGGCTAGGCGGCCTGTGCGATATGGCACGCCATGTCAGTCAACCAGGATCAGCAACCCCAGCTTTGGCAGTAAGACAAATATCCTTGTTGTTTCTGGGCGACCAAAACGTTGGGTCGCCGCCCTCGCTCTGGTTCTCAGGAGAAAGATTCCAAGAGTCAGCAAACGAGCGAATAATTTGCTTGAGTTCAACGGAGAATCACATGCTCATGGGTACGCCGAGTGAATGTTTGGTGTGACAATCTTCCTATCTCACATTAGTCGTTGTGTGACTGCTAAGCGACATGATGCGAGATTACTGATCTGCTTCGTACTTCGACTTCATGTTCTCATGCCCAATGTCGGCGATGGACCCATATTCGTTCAGAAAGCTGAGATGTGGACGTGAATTAGCCGTTATATGTGGCTCTTGTGCAAGTCTGCTCTCCACGACTCGAGCGATAATGCTCTCTCGTGCGAGTTGGACGGATTTGAACGTCGCTCGCGGGTGGAAATTGTGGATGTGTTGTCAGTAGCGATGCGATCGATGAGAATCTCGAATCAGATCTGCCGGCCCTTGTGTATCAACGGCAGTCGCAGGTCCCCCCAGCACAACTCGTTGTGTTGAATGCTGTTCAATCACATCGCCAACCATCCTTCGCCATCCACCTTCTCTGCCTCTTCTCTCGCCACAGCCTCTGGATGGAAAACTCTCCAGCCCCACACGCACCACTCATATGGCACAGGAGCTATCTCGCCCCACAGTTCTTTGGCCTGTTCTCGCCCTTCTTCAACACAGACGAAGCCAGAGGCCTGCATCTCTTTCCAGAGGTCTCTCGCGTGCTCGATATACGATGATCGCAGGGGATAACAGAATATCGCCCTTGCATATGGAGTACGTGCGAGCCAATGTAAAGTCGTAGAAGAGATGAGTTTTGCATGAGCAGAAGTATATATTGTGTCCGCCGCGAGCAGGATAGAGGTCTTTGTGGCTTCGCAAGAGAGTGTTATCGCATCGTTGCCAGGAGACGAGGAGGGAATGTTCAAGGTCGAAGGAGACGTCCAGTCTAGTGTCCCAGCATAGGCCTCTAGAGATGGATTCAGACTTATGTTATGTGCAATACCTGGCACCACAGGTGAAAGATCCGTGAGTATTGCCGGAAGATTCCAAAGTGCAGATGCGGTCAAGCCTGCCAGTCCGGTTCCGGCGCCCAATTCCAGTATCGGGATATGCTTGGATATGTCCTTTCTTTTCAGATCCTCCACTTCTGCTCTTGTTCTCTTGATGTCCTCGGTCCAGCGATAAAGCACATCTGCCAATACCACTGCAGCACCCCAAGTTGCCAAGCCGAGGTTTTCTGCTACAATTCCAGGAAGCTCACCAATCTGAACGTCGACCGTGTTTCCCTGGGCATCAGACTTGACTTGAAAGGGTCGAGTATTGGAAGACATCTTGTCAAAGGGTTGCCCTCGGGTTGTGTGTCAATTTGTAGTTGTAGATTTGACGGGAGACTTTTTTGAGTTCCGGTGAAACCTCGGCCGAGTGTCCGAGAGTCTCCCAGCGTTGTTCTCTTCGCGGCCTTCTGCCTTCCACCTCTTTCCTCCAACACACACAAATCTCTCCATCCGCTGGCAGTGAATGTCATCCAATTCCCTCCCGATATTTACTGCTGGGCGATTCTCAAGGTACGCTCAATGCCCTGTCGCCAGTTTCAGCCTGGCACGCCATCTACCTGGGAATTCTACCAAAGACTATGGCCTCGACGCGCAGAAGCAGCCGAATCATCCACGATTCCGCCTCATGGTACCCAAGAGTTCGAGCAGCAATGGGATATCTGGGGATGATATAATTTCTTGCCCAAGCTCTGAGCCCGAACCATAGGCAGATCGTTTGAATCGTCACAACATTATTTGAAGGACGTCCGGTCAGCCTTGCAATCGATCTCCTGAGTGAACTTCTCCATTTGGTGACTTCTTGATGATATTCGACATTTCTTTGATGAGCGCTGTTTGTTTAATTGCTGATCGATTCTTCGCCTCAACAACCAGGCATAGGTGTTCGCACAATGCCAGGACATGCACCCTGTAAATTCTCTGCTGATGAACCTCGCAGTCCAAGTTCCACGCCGAATCCCAGCAGTCGTACCAGTGTGATAGCGTTCTGCGGACGCTGCACTGTAGCCATAAGTACAGCGTCCGTACTTGGTAACGAAACAGAAGTGGACACGCCCATTTGCACATCAGAACACGATCGATCATGTCAAGTCTGAAACCACATGGTAGACTCATGTTGCACAGAACGAGATTTTGCGGAGCCCTACACATGACACTACCTCCAATTGCACCTGATATTGACATATGCACGAGCTATCTGCTACCCGTATCACATGTGCCTCTTTGGACAGCTGTGACCCGTACCACAAAACAGCACAGCTCCCACCTCGCTTGGAACTCTTGCACCTCTCACCTCCAACAACCAACTGCGACAACCAACAAATACAAGTATGCGGACCTCCAGCTCATTCTTCCATGGGCTTCTGCCTTTACTACTACTCCTGCTCTCAATCATTGCAGCTACTATCATCTTCACGGCTTCCCCACCCGAAGTGAGTCTGATCTCGCGAGTTCTTCCAAAATCGCCTGAACTCGATCTCAACGTACCTACCAATGGCTCGCACATCTTGGAGTCTCGAGTCATCGAAGTCAAGCCGGCAAGCAACGAAGACTTCAACAAGGCGAAGATCAAAGGCTACGCCCTAATGTGCTGGATGCGCAATCCCGCAATGGCAGGCTCCCAGGCTATCAGCACCTTCACTCGCTTCGAACAACTCCAACAGTGGGGATGGACAGGCCAGGACGGACAGCCAGTTCACATTGAACAATACATTGCAGGCTTCCGCGACCCAGGTCTGATCTCGTTGCTGGGCCCTGAGGGTGACGCACAATCCAAGGGACACAATATCCTTCTCCAGCATATGGAACCCCGTGGACCAGTTACGATCGACGGCAAGGTCTACAAATACCCGGTACGTACAGCAAATCACTCAGAAAATAAGGCGGAGCTGACGTGCTTATAGGCAACAGAAGCTACCTACGAGAATGTCTTCAACACGGAGAAGGGCGTGATTGTGGGTGAATTTAACTGGAGTATGCGCCATCTCTCTCCACTGTATATGCACTGAACCCATAGCTAATCAATTGTTTTGCCTACAGGTCCTGCCGCCCAAGTCGCCGAAGATGCTGTCCCGGGTTGGAACTCCAAGACAGATCTCCTGCCAGATCTACGTCAACTGTCCGACGTCATGTGGCTTTGCTGGGCCAAGATCTGCTCTCAGCAGAACGTTTCTCCATCCGGTCTTCACTATATTGTCAGCCATAACGTCGTTAACCATCCAACGGAACAAGTGCTCGCACGAGTCCTTCAGATCCACTGGAAAGGCGAGGCGGCAGTCGATCGGGGACAAGCACCAGCATGGCCAGGGAAGCTCGTTACGAAGGACATGGAGGGTTTTGTCGCGCTGATAGGTACGCCGAGCATCTGGGGCACTGCGTATCTGTTGGTGCAGAGATCTGGGATCTTGGGCAGGAAGCAGGTCAAGTCTATCAGGGTGTGGAACGGCTATCCGGATAAAAACCTGTTCTACCAGCCGTCCATCATTATGGAATTGGAGGACGTCCGACCAGACAATTGATTGAGAGATGAGCGGCTTGGATGTAAGTTTCAATTGCACTTGTTGTGTAATTCTGGAAGCAGCGACCATCTAGTGCCAATACGGGATACGCCTGGCTCTGAGTGTATGAATAGAATTCATTGGAGAACTGGGCTGTGACTTTTCTCACGTCGCTTCAATCAGTATACGATACCTACAGTCGTATCTTCGTCCACGACTCAACCCTACCATGAGAGATACTAAAGGCTCCTGCGCAAGACTCTGAATACCCATTGTGTAGACCGAAGGCGCCGGAGAGTTGGAGAATGAGTAATCCCGCGTAGTAAAGTGGATTTCGCGAATACAGCAAGGTATCAACTATTGACATCCCGGTTCTCCCATGAGTCCTCTCTCCTCTGTGTTGATGTTCTCCAAATACAAGACTCGCTGACCGGCATCGTGGGTGCTAAATACCACTTCTGAGGAGATCAAGTCTGTTGGAGAATTGATATGACTTCTATCAAGCAGTATCTTTGAAGTTGCAAAAACAGCGAATTTGTTCTTGTCGAGGTCGTAGCCCTGCGCCGGGTCCTTGTCCATACTAAAAATCTCTAGCAACGAGGACTTTCGAAGGACATTACGCTGGAATCACGCCCACTGCTCTCTCAACAAAGTTGATCACAGACACAAAATATGACCTCGCGAAATGCAATTCTCTAGGCTCGCTACATCCATAGTAATGAATGGACGAAACATTCCACAAAAGAATGCACCACGACCCAATAAGTCGACATACATTCCTGCGAAATTAGTAGGAAACATGTACTCTTCCGTCCAGTCGTCATACAGAATAGTGTCCAAGATACAGAGCTGTGCTGGCAGTAGAATTCGATATCTAACAGGACAATCTTGCATATAAATCCTCGCCTAGCAAATTCATCTGCGGCCAAACTCATGGCCTTGAATACTGTCTGAAATCCAGCGGTCTATCGCAAAAGCCATAGCAAGAGGGTGACTGCATCTTCCTAAGTGCAAAGAGTTCTTGGGTCCTCGGCCTTGGGGGGAGAAGTGAGGGCGCAGCAGCGAGCTGCGAGAAGCTCAACACTGTCAAGTACTCTCGACTTTAGCATGCTTGAGCGAAAAGAACTGTTTTGTTAACGCGGTGATACACTCCACGGGCAAACTGCTGTCTCACAAAGAAGCCTGTGCCGTCAAAGCTCTCATACGCAACAGAGGCCACACGTCCGAGAGGAAGAGAATCCGCACCGAAGCAAAAAAGCTCACAGGAAAAATCAGGTAAATAAATAGAATATGTGCAAACTACGTACGCGCCACGAAGCTCTTCAAACCCAGTCAATGCAATTTTCACTTTCCTCGCCCCTCAAACGTTCCCAGGTCCTGTCAATCATCCCACAATCTCACCCTTTCGCATTCCACTTATCATTATACGCATTAACCGCAACCGCAACCTGTCGATACAGCCAATTGCGACTCATCTCATCTGCAATCGGAACGAAAGGCCCATTCGTCCCGCCCTTCAGCACAATGCTCATACCCGTGCGTTCCTTGGAGATCGTCTGAATATCCTTCAATGGAACCTCCCATTCCGATGTCAACTTCTTCGCGCGGACAAGCATGATAGAGTTGTAGGTGATCATGACGAGCATGCTAGCTTCGGATGATGCAGTAGGGCTGCGAGGCGAAGTAGGAGACATGGCGCCAGAGCGGTCACCCTGGCTGCCGGAGTTAAGTTCGAGGTGGGCGATGTAGGATTCGTTGAAGTATTTTCCGTTGTCGAGGGTCTTCAGCCAAAATTGTCCGAGGGCTTCGCGCTGGCTGTAAGGGCGGACGATGCCGTCGGTGCCGATAAAGCGGGCGAGTCGGACGCGATCGAGACCTTCTTGATCGAAGACAGTCGTTGTGTTGCGTACACCTTCTGCCATGGAAGAAGCGAGATCGAAACCGCCAATGAGTGCTTTGGTCGGTAGGCCAAGCAGACCCTTTCCGACGCCTTTCACGAAACCAGCAGCACCTTCACGCTCGGCTCCCTGTAATGGCTGCCTGGCAAGACCGCCAATCCCACTGGCGAGTGAGCTGGCAAAAGCATTGCCACCCGAAGTGATTCCGTACAGAGCATGCTTCGGTCGGTTCCTGCTTCTGGACATGCGTCTCGAATCTTGGAATTCCTTGTCCATACTCGCAGCAGCCAAGCCCTTGGAGATGGATCCAGTGAACTTGCTCACGCTGTCAGAGATACCAAACACACTCTTCTTGACAAAGCTACTAGCACCCTTTGCGATACCAACACCCAAGTCTTGTGGACGATCAGTCACAAGCCCTTGGTATGGCTCGTAGAAGATGTCGCCAACACCAGAAGCGATGTTCGTGAACAAGCCAACAGGGTTGCCAAGGAAATCTGCAGATCCAATTACTATGTGGACCTGTCGCAAGGACTCCTGCACGTAGTGGCTCTGGATACTGCTGATGAGGGCGCCAGTGCTCAATCTTGCGTTTTCAAGCATGAGCGCATTGTATCGGATCGGTGCGTCGTTGACATTGCCAATACTCATCGTCAGCACATTGACTGCGAACATGAATGGGTTGCTCGAGCTGCTTCCAGTATCCTCGGCATTGATTCTCTCCGTCCGCACGAAGGACAAATCGAATTGCATCGGCTGCAGATGTAACAGCTCGAAGTAGATGTCCTGCCCACTTTGGGTTTGTGTGGGCTCTGGCACATCGAGAGTCTCAGGAGCGAGTTGGCCTTCCTTCTCCTCAGTCCAGCTTGCGCCAGGGACCTTTGTGAAGTCGAGAAGAGCAAAGATGAAGTCCTCATCGATCTCGATGGTCATCTGTTGCATCAAGAAGGTGAAGTACTTGATGTACAGCACACCGTACGAGTCGTCTTTGACCCTGGTGATGGCTGTCCGGAAGATCGGATGACTCTCCATCTCTTTGCCAGTCTTCGGGACTACAGAAGGATAGAAGATGAGTGGGAAAATACCGCCATACAACTGATTATCAATCTGGATCCATTTGATGGTGAGACCGACAGTCTGGTACAGTTCGGAGTCAGTGTACTTGAGCTCGATGTCTCGCCAAGTGGCATAGACAAGCTCTCGTAGCTGCGAGTTGACCAGTGAGATGCCAATGCCTGCGAATCGAAGCGTCGCTCGCATTGTGACACCAGTATCCTGCTCCTTGACTTCGAATCCGGTGCTTGTGCTCGCACTGGCGCTGGCGGACTTCTGCTTGTACAGACTTGTGTTCGGCTTGTAATTGCTCATGACCAGTGTTTGAGTAGGTCCATCAGCCACGACGTTCAAGTCCACGATCTTGGGTCCTGCCTGACCCTTTGCTGGAATGCGCATCGGTATCAGGTTACCAATCTCGGCAAGCTTGATGTGTCTCTCTTTGCCATTGGCACTGAGTATGAGATTCTTGTTCTTGGTCGAAGGATAATCCCAAGCGTAAGGCATAATGCTTCTGCCAGGGAGTCTGTAGCGAATCGGTTTCCAACCAGACGACCGGTCCTCTTCATCTTCATCGACGTTAGGATTGGCCTGCCAGAAGAGGAATTCCTGGTCCGACTCATTGCGCATCGAGAATGGCCAGTGTTTGGTCTCCAAACTCAGATGTAGGTAGATCGATGCGTTCTCCATCAAGATCTCGACCCGGACCAATCGCTGTCGCTCGCCAGCCTTCGCAAGCTTGACATGTACTGAACCCATGTTTGCAATGTCAAAAGGCGAAGACCAGGAATTATTGACACCGGGGAAGCATAGACTGAGCTGCTGGCCGGTCGTCTGCTTCAAGAACCTCAATGGATGAAGTTCACCAGCTTGCAGGGTCGTGAAATCGCTCGACCCCGGTTCCCGAATCTGGATCGCCTCGCTCAACTTGTTCTTTACGATGAATCGCGGCAGGATGCTGACAACCTTGGTGAGTTTGTACTTGCCCTCACCCTCAGTCACTGTCAGACCACAGTGCATCTCCGCTCGGCCAGATTCTGCAGGCAGCTTGACATCCACATTGGCTCCAATGGCATCAAAACTGACAGGCTGACTCCAAGACGAATCGCCAACCTTCAGCACAGCACGATTCTTGCGATCATCAGTCGGGAACGAAAACATGAACGGGGTGGCCTTCCTCCCATCGTCCTCGGCGTTGATCAGTGCAGACTGACCAGCCGCCCGACTGGTGGAGCCAAAGTAAGCCTTGCTTCTGATGTCCAGCTCCAGCCCTGTCCTGTTAAGCACAACGTAAGGACTGTAGATTGTGATCTTGAAGGCTCCACCACTGTCTGGTACGTTGTAGTAGTGAATCTTCAGTCGCAGGTCAATGTTGTTGTTGTCCTTGACTGTCAAGGTTTTCTCGCGTTGGAAGTCGTTCTTGTCGTTCGTGTTGATGATGGCAAACTCGCTGGCCTTGAAAGGAGTATCTTGCATATCGATGCTGAGCAGCAACAGATGCGACAATTCGACAACGTGAACCGGCGACACTCCACCTTTGCGCAAGAAGTTCGTCCAGTCTTTCTTGGTGTTCTTGTCGTAGATGCGGTACTTGAAGTCGAATGGAAGCAGATTTTGCACCTCAATGGGCGCAGACAGCTTCAAACGCTGATATGGGTATACAGATGTCAGAGGATTATTCTTGTCGAACACCGACTGCATCTGGAAGTAGAACGGCGGGCTATTGTCATCAGACTCGCCTCGGCATGTCAAAGTGTTGATTGGCCGCTTGAGCAAGTCCTTCCAGAACAGTCGTTCATTCGACCAAGTGTACCCAAAGCCTTGATCAGGTCGCACAACCAGAGAATGCATGAACGCAGCGCCGACCGGACTGGGCCTTGACTCGCCGGGCGCAATCTTTTCAATCTTGAGCAAATGCCCCTCTTCGGGCGAGAACACTCCCAATTCGATCGGGATCTGAGTATGGTTCTCAACAAGAAGCGGGCTCCGAAGAGTGATGTACTTGACATTGTCAGGGCCAAGTCTGACTTCAACAAGCATGCGGTGCTGGATCTTATCCTTTCTTGGCTTGAGGTTGTACAACTCCTCGCCTTCGCGATTGACATGAATACGGTCCACGCTGTCGAAGCCACTGCCTTCGAGCCGAACGCCAATGACACCTGTCTGGCCCTCTGGACTGAGCGTCTCACGTGTGGTGGATGGATCCTCGAAGCGCCAAGGCTGCTCTTCGCCATCTGCCAGGCGAGCTGCCTGGCCTTCATCGTCGCCAGATTGCTCTCCACTCGCCCAGACATCTACATCAAAGCCAGTCCAGTTGCGGATCTTGTATGGCGCGTCGTTGCCACGTGGCTTGGAGAGCACGTCTTCGTCGCTGCTCAAGAATTGTGCAGACTTGCTTGCCAGTGCGATTGTGGCGCTCGTGACAGTCAACTCCAAAGTCTTTCTTGAATACAGCTCGACGGCTAACTTGTCAGGATTGGTCTCCTTGGCCATGTGGAAACCAACTTGCCAAGGCTCAATCAGTGGTTCCCATGCTGATTTGGAGAAGTTGTATACGTTGAAGAAAGTGTCGATCTGGGTATCAGCGGTCATATTCGCGGTCCAGTCCTTCACATCGACAATGAATTTCTTGACGCTCCAATCGAGCATTGGCAACTCGTGGAGATCACCGATGAGTACGACACGGATGCCTTCCATCGAAAGCGTCATCTCTTCACGCTTCAGAACAGCTGAGCCCGGACCAGGTGCCTGCACGTCGGTCTGCTTGCTGCCCGTCTTCTTGGTGCTGATGCTAGTAGCTCGCATCCTCGACGTCGACGCGGCCGCGTTCTTGGTCGATAGTGCAGCCTTCTTCGACTTCGCAGATTGTTTTTTGACTTGCTGCAATTTCTTTGGTTCCTCGTCTGACATTTTCTTGTCGGGACTGGTGTTCAGCGCTGAAGCACGGTTAACAATCTGCATGGCTAGCATTATGTCGCGCAATGACAAGCGAAGCACGAGGGGCTCGATGTCAACAGCGATGCTGGTGAGAGAGGAGTCGGCGCCTTGAGAGCGCATATCAAGCGATGTCTGTATACTAAAGTCGTCCAGAATTCGCAGCCTCGTTGTCTCAAATTGATCCATGCGACACAGGAACATGCCAACTTTTTCAACTTGTAAAGCCATTGCATGTTGTTGCGACACGAGTACTTGCTTGGTACCCAGTACGATAGCTTCAGAGCTGCTAATAGCAGGATTCGCAATCAGCATGACTTGCGCGTCAACCATGTTGACACGGTAGGAGATGTTCATGCCGCCACCTTGTTGTTGGGGAGCGCCGGGTGCTTGTGAGTTCTTCCGTTCGACAAGTTCCTGTGTAGAAATGCTGGCATCATCTGGACTACCCCCAGATTCGGATTCTTCGCTTTCCTCTTCCACGACCAGTGCGTCATCTTGCTTCAGACCGTTCTGAACAAAGTTGAGCACTGCAAAGATGTAATCCAGCGCAAGTACGATCCTGGGGCTGTCAATCGTGAGCAGTGCAATGAGGTTCTTCTCCTCGCCACCAGAGATGGAGACGCTGGCCATGAATTGCTGCTTCACGTCGTTGTTGATCAGCGACATGATCTTGCGGAATTTGTTCTTCTCGTGCTGTCGCGTATCCGTGACCGTGAAAGACTGCACCAACAACTCGCTTTCCATTGCGCCGTCACTAATCATGCGAAGTTTAATGCTGGTCTCATTGAGTGAGAACTTGGACAGACTGGCTGCCTCCAAGTCGCCAATGGGTTGATCTGGCGCGCCTTGCACGAGTTCCAGGCCGATTGCGCCTATTTTGAAAATGAGATCGAGCTTGGTCCAGGTATCGTCGTCGGTGCCGAGCTCAGGCGACTGCCGTGATGGTTTGTGGTTGACGTCCTCGGTCTTCTCCGACTTCTTCTGGCCCACCGGCTGTGCTGCCTGAGCAGGCTGAACTACATTCGATGGAAGCTCTTCCTCGGCCTCCTCCTCGAGGGCCTCGCTATCTTCCAATGCGAAAGCTTGAGGTATGTTTCGTGACAGTTCCATTAAGAACTTCATCTGTCCCTCTGTCAGGCGCAGGTTGATGTTGGACATTGACCCTTCGATCTCCGTGTCTGGTCGATTACGCCCTGCTTTGTGCTCTGTCTGAGTGATGTTCAAGTCAAGGTTCACTTTGTCGATCATCTCGAGCTCTTCAGACTTCGACTCCGCATAGTTGAAAGTGGACGTCAATCGGATGTTGTGGATGCCAGCCGACAATTTGTTCGCAGTCTCGTTGCCAGCCTCGCCATCCAGAGGCACAAATTTGTTGTTGGCATAGATTTCTCCCAGGTAGGCGGTGACCGTGTCTCGCTCGGGACTGTCCGTGATGACCATGCGTGGGAACGACACGATTGGCGTTTTGATCAACACATCAAAGTGCATTTTGCCTGCAGACTCCTGCACCTTTGTAGCCTGATTGGCAGCAGCTTGACGCGCGGCATTGAATATTGCCTGCATTTTGCCGAACTTGACGCCAAATTCCATAATCTTGCGCAGTGGCTCCGTGAGGAAATTGATCTTGATGGAGCCAGAGCGCAGATACACAGTATTATCATAGCCAGGATAGTCCTGTGCCTCAGGATTGAACGTCTGATAGCGAAAGTCAAGCAAATCGTCTCCTTGAATCTCGATCAGCTTGCGTAACGACGAGTCTTCCGAAACACCTGTGTTGATGTCGTCGACCAGTTCCAATGCACCCAGACGAGCTTCGATATCCATGGCACCGCCCGCGAGGAAGATTTTCGCATCAGCCGATGTCAAACTCAAAGTAGCGAGACGGATCCCGTCATTGTTCAGAATGACCGCAATGCGATTGAGCTTGGCCTTGATTCGGATCTTGTCGCCTTGATCTTTCTTTTCTTCAACTTCATCATCATCTTCGCTGTCGCTATCCTCAATCTCGGTGGGCTGTTGAGGACTATCGCTTGGCGGAGGAACAAAAGTCGTCATGGCAAAGTCGAGGAGCGTGAGGAGTGTTTTGCGCGTCACCATCAGATTGATGGTGGACACTGAGGCGTCAAGATTCGTCTTGATGCCGTCGTACTTGCTTTGAAACTCGGGATGATTTTTGTTGACCATCTGAAAATGGATCGTGAGCAAGTCCTGCTTCTTCTTCGTGACCAGATCTTCGCTGGAAATGAGATTCTTAAACTCTTCTGTTGGCGCTTCTTCCACATGGTCTTCAACAACAAGCGAGCTGAGCTTGACATCTGCAACCATGTCGAATGGACGTTGGTAGAACTCAAGATGGAAAGTCTCGGCGATCAGCTCGACCAACAGTTGATCGTCCTTCTTTCCTTGAGGATCTGCCTTGTACAGTGACGCTTGAAGCTTGTCGACAGTGAACCGGAACTCGAAGTTGCGTTGCTCTGGGTTGGCCTCCATCTGTTTGCGAATAGCCGCACTCCCACCACGTTCAATGTCGCGTTGCTTGGCCTCTGCGCCTTGCTCAATCTCGTTTGCAAGCTCGTCCCTTGCGACTTGTGTAGATTTGGAGCGAGTCTTATTAGCATCGCTCTTCCTTCGCAGCTTCTTCTCGTTGGCAGCTTCTGGAGAAAGATGTTGCTGTTCGGTGCTGTTACCCGGCTCGTCCTTGTCAAATTTTGGGATCGCAAAGTCCAGGAGCTTCATCAACGCCTTGTATTTGGCATCCGAGAACTTGGCGTGCAAGAGCGGCAGATGTCCATTGATGCGGAACTTGGTCAAGTCTGAAGCCTTGGGGACGATGCATGTATCGAGCCGGAAGTCCATATTGATTCTATCAATCAGATGAAAGCTCTGAGACGGCGCATCATGTGCGAGCTGTTTCTTTGTGTCCTCGATATTCGTGCCCATGAGCACTTGTGTTGCCTCCAGCTGTAGATTGAATTTGTCGTACATGAGTGATTCGAGCTTCTTGAAGTCCTGGTCCGAGTACTGTTGCTTTTGCTTGGTTTGGATGTCATGCAGTGTCTCCTTGTCAATCAAGTCACTGCGCACGCTAATGTGACCTGCATCAACAATTAAGCAGATATTGCTCTTCTCGGTAACGGTGTCTGGCACAATTATGAGAGGCGCTTGCAGATCCAGCTGCACGTCGACTGTTTTGTGCTCCTGGAGTGCAAATTCGAGACCGGCTCTTGTTTGCTGCCGCAGGCCTTCCACTGTAGAGCCTGCAGATTCCATCAAGGCAGATATTGACTCCATGTGTTTTTCTGGAGGTTTGAAGAATTTAGTGACCTGAACAACGAAATTTGGATTATACACGACTTCAAGGGCCTTAAGCTTGACGGTGAGCGCGGTGTCGGCACGGTTGTCGAGCGGATTGTTCTCGAACTGCAGCGCGAAGAATGGATCTGCTTCATCTTCATCGTCGCCCTGAACACTCTTGGCGTCGCTGAAGCTGGTATCCTCATCATCCTCAATTTCTTTGACTCGTTGGCTGTCGGGTATTTTAGGGGCGTCCTTGACTGTCAACATTTGCTCGAAGAGATTGCCCTCTGTTGAGCCATCATAGAGACGCATCCCGCCGAGACTGAGATCGACGAGTGTTGAGTCGGTCCTTTGTATGAACTCGGTACTGAAATCCTCAAAGAGTAGTTTCAGCATGTCTTGTTTCTTCCCATGCGGATCGCGTCGTAGTGTGAAGCTGCCAGTCTTGAGGCTCATGTCGACTTGCATTTTGATCGCCTCACGGGGCGCATCAACAGCCTGAGCAATACTCTGTTTCTCTTCGAAGTCGATAGCCTGATACAACTCTTTTCTCTGCTCTTCGTTCATTTGACTATCATCCGAGGCTTGGTTCTGCTCCTGGCCGCCACCGCTACCCCAGATCCAGGAAGTCCACGTTGATTTCTGGGGCTGTGGCTTTTTCCAGCCCTCCTTTCGCAGCTGATTGCGAGCAAGCGAACGCCAGAACCGAAGGTCTTCGTACGTCAACTTGTGTTCGAGGCGATCCAGATCGGAAGTCTCCTCTGGTGTGAGTTTCTCTTCCTTCTTCTTCTTTTTGAAGAGCTCAATGTATCGGAGACGATCATCTCGTCGCTCTGCAAAGTATGCCCACGACCAACGCCTGTTCTTGTCGTGTATACGATCGAGCACTGCTTTTCCAGCGAACTGCAGCCAGGCACGTGGGTCCTCCTTTGGTGCTTTGGCAGGTTGCAGCTTCCGGTATTCCTGATGCCGGATGAAGTAATGGAATAGATCCACTAGCATGAGTGCATCTCGGTACTGAGTATCATCCAGCAAGAATCCCAGCTCATTGAACAGGAGACGTGCCTTCATCTTCGGACGATCGTACTTGCCTGTCTTGTCCATTTCCAGACCAGCCCGGCCAGACACTGGTTTGAGAATGAACTGGTGGTCCTTCACGGCCTCGCTATCGCCGCTCTTTACAATCATTTCGCGGAATTTCTCCATTGTCGCATTGTGGTCGATATCTTGTTGCTCGCCCGTTCCCGTGCCCAACAGTGTTGCATCGGTGTCCCAGTAGACGGCTAGAGAGCCGAGAGTGGCCAGCTTGTGAGTGGTAGTGCTCGTTCCCGCCACCCACGTGGGCTTCCAATGCTCGTCTGTCGATACCGCGCTCAGCTCTTGCAATGTGATACCTGCCGCAAAAGGATGACCTGGGTCTGAGAGGGCATCCTCGTAGCGGATATGCACGTTCTTGACCTGAATCTGTACATTGTCCACAATAGTCGTCGTCAGTGCTGCGGTAAAGGACTGCTGCTTCTGTTGCTCCTCTTGAGACATGCCCTCAGTGTTGCGTTCCTTCAGCAGCTCGGCGCTGTCCAGCTTCTCCATCTTGACTGCATGTGCTCGTCTCTCCTCCTCTGCTGCATCATACTCTTGATCCTCCTTGGGCGCGGCCAACAGGAAAACATCCTCGATATTGATGCGTACGGGTTGGCCTCGCAGGTTGGACCAGGGAATTTTCAGGACCAGCGAACTGATATGCCCTTCCACCACGTTCAGTGGCAAGTGGAACTGGTCAAGGGCTTCCCGCTTCAGTTCCAGATCCTTGAGCTTGACGTCGCCCGACCAAATGCCAACATTCAGCTGTTTTGGGTCGAAGTTCTTAACATACATGCCCAAGAACCTGTTGAGCAGGTTGGCGACCAGACTTTCCAACACCATGGTGGCGGTTGGTGGCCGTCACCCGGGCCTGGGAGAGAGGTGTTCGGGGAGGGATTATTATGATAGATCGGCCGTCATGTGTCGTCGTTGCTCATGCAGACATGGAATCGTAGCGGTCGTAGGGCGAGGTCGAGGCGTAGGCGGCAGCGTGCAGGTGGGCGAGGTGAATTAGTGGTGATGCAATGCAGACGCTGCTCGTGGGCAGGAATGAAAGGGAGCGTGCCGTGGTCGTCGTCGTCGTCGAGGCCAAAGGAGCGGAATCCTGCTTGTGACACACACGCGCGGAGAAGAAGTTGTCGAGCTGTCGACGTATCCAACACGTGCAGGAGTGGCCGCCAAACAGGAAACAGAACACGGCGTCAACACCGCGTTGCCTTTTGCCCTTTCTGCTTTCCCCACGAATAGGCAAGCTACGTCATTCCACAGCCGAGTATGTGGAAAATGGGCAGAGTAGGATGAATGAACACAACCTCAGGCACACAATGTAATATTCACTTCAACTGAGGCACATGAGTGGGAGTGTAGTCTAGTCTCAGAAATTGTGGTCCGCGTCGTGGTATACACGTGCTGGTGACGTGACAAGCCGACATGTTCCCTGTCGACGATGATGGAACACCGAAAGCTCTCCCAGCAGCCAAGCTTTTCACCTGCCAGAGCTCCTCGACTTGGTGAGCTGAGCAGTCCTCTTCACCCAAAGCCAGCCACTCCTCACCACCGCCATCACTCTCCACTCCACCCTCTCCGACCCCAGAGCTGTGCGAGCAGCTGAGCACTGTACACACGGACCCCATCAACCCAGTCGCGAGATATATCACACCACCATGTTCCGCACGGGCGCGTCGCGGTCCATCCTGCGAAGCTTCAATGCCGCAACTCAGCCGACCTTTCGCGCCAACGTCAATGCTCGCCTGCAGACCACAATCACCTCGCAACTATGCACACTTGCCAGGAGACCACAAACAGCGGCGGCTGTGAGGCCATTGGCTCTGCAGTTCGCTCGCGGTGCTGCCAGCAAGGACGGCCCGCCAATGGACAAGATTGATACGAAGCATGAGAAGGAGTTGGCCAAGCATGTTCTCGAAGCCGACCCAGAGAGAGTGTCGATGGACTCATCTGTCCACCCTGTATTTGGAGAGGTCGCTGCGCCCGCAGAAAAGAAGGAGGAGGACAAGATGATGGCTGGTGTGAACCAGGATATCGTGAGTGCATGAGAAGCATCGGACGTGAGAGCAAGCGCTGATGAAGTGACAGCAAACCATCAAGGACACCTTCGACATGTCTGAAGTCCCTAAGCCAGCCCTCTACATCGGTCTGGCTGGTGTCCTCCCCTATGTTGCAACCTCGCTCAGCACAGTCTTCTGCGCATACGAAATCCACGCCGCTCACGAGTCTGGATCAGGACTCATCTTGAGCGAGAAGACAGCCGAGCTTATGTTGCACGTCCTCGAGCCACTGCAGATCGGATATGGCGCTACTGTACGTTTGCAGCGTGCACGTATAGACGAATGACCGACTAACAAATCCCCAGATCATCTCCTTCCTCGGAGCCATCCACTGGGGCCTCGAATGGGCCAAGTTCGGCGGTGAGGCAGGCTGGTCCCGCTACTCCATCGGTGTCATTGGCACCGCTCTCGCCTGGCCTACCATCCTCCTTCCCGTCGAATACGCTCTGATCTCGCAATTCCTCATCTTCAACTACATGTACTACAAGGACTCCCGCGCATGCCGAGCTGGCTGGGCACCGGCGTGGTATGGTGTCTACCGTTTCGCCCTCACTTTCATCGTCGGCGCAGCCATTGTCCTGTCTCTCATTGGACGTGGCCAAGTCTCCGACCGCATTGGACGTCTTCCAGGTCCAGCTGACCGCGTCAAGCAATTGAGGGATCACCAGGCAGCTGAGGCCGAGAACGAGGAGGAGCAGCGAAGGAAGTACCTCGCATCGAAGGATGAGGAGGATGACGAGTAAGCGAAGGGAAATATTGGTTCTGAACGACGAGCTGGAGATGCATGTGGGTGAGGTACTTTGGTGAAGCGGCAACCGAAGCAAAAAAAGTATGAAGGAGAACAGGGCGTAAAGTCCTGTTGTGTGTATATGAGTGACGTTTCCCTAATCCAGAGGCAGTCATGAAAGTGTACAATTACATGCTCATAAACCGGCTTGCTGGTATCAACGCTTCTTTGCTGTCGGCACAATGCGGACATTGCATGCATCAGCAAGGCGACTCCTCTGAATCAACATCGGGATCCAACAGGAACCATGAAGCACGAATCCCTGCGAAAGGACCTAATTCATCCTGTATGCAAAGCACGGTATAGGGCAAAGCATCGGACTTTGCATGGAATATAGCTCCTTCCTCCTTTCACACAAAGCGGCCATTCCCGACTCGCCGACAGCCGCCCCACGCGAGCGAGATGAACGAAACATTGACTTTCTTGGCTCGCTTACAACACCACTACTCCTCTTCCATCTGAAGACCTAACAAACTTACACAGTAAGCCGAGGCGTCCACCACATGCATCGAACGACACATGGTAGCCATGTCGTCGGATTTTATCTTCACGTTACTTCCGCGATGCGTTGCTCCTGGGAATACAAGGCTTCGGCGTGAGAAGCATTGGGAAGAGTTCTTTGTTTGATGAGAGCTGTTTGCGTCGAATCTTTCGACAGGCCGAGAAGCGAGAAGCGACTTCTGATAGAATTGTGATTGGAGAGATCAGGAGATCACAGAGATGTCGCAGAAGACGTCGTTGAAGTATGTCCGTCGGGATGGCGAGCGAGGGAAAGAGCTTTTCACGTTTGAAGAAGTTTCGAAGATCGATGCCATTGACAGTCATACATACCAAGCGAACGTTCATCCGGAGTTCAGTTATGGGACATGTAAGTTTGCCACATTATCAAGACTTTCAATAAGTACTGAATCATGCACAGCTGCTCATGGCGGATTCCTCCTCGCTCTCATCTGGAAGACAATAACACTACACTTCTCGACATCACTGTCTCGTCTCAACCAACCCAATACTTTCTCCCTCCACAACGAATTCCTTCGACCCTGTAGCACCGGCCCCATCGAGCTCAAGATTCGAGATGTACGAATTGGGAAGACAACAAGTACAATCCACATTACTCTCTCACAAGCCAAGTCCGAGTGCTGCGCATGCTACGCCACAAACTCCGGCCCCCTCGCAATACGGAACACAATTTCGCAGAACACCGGCTACCGTGGCCAACAATCCCTTCCGCCTATAGATTTTGACGCTGTACTATCTCAGAAAGATGCGAACTGGACCCGCTACGACGTTGGCCGCGATCCTCAGACCCCGAACCACACCCTTTGCAATGTGATATTCGTCATGCCAAGACATCCTCCTTCCCCATCCCTCGATCCCCGAAATCGACGCTTCACGACCCAATGGATTACTCCTCGGATTCCAGAAGAGAAGTGGACGACTCCGATGCTAGGCCTGCTCATGGACCATTCAGTCCCTCCACTGGAAAACTTCTTCCCAGACGCACCGCATAACGCCTTCTCTATGCCTGTCCGCGCTCTACAGAATGAAGAACAAGGTTTAACATCATACGACCATCCACCTTGGAGTTCACCGAGATATTATCCGACTGTGTCAATGACGATCGAGGTGAAGAGGCAGCTACCAGATGAGGGAGTCAAGTGGTTGTGTCTGAGGTGGGCAATCAAGGAGTGCGTGGATGGGAGGTTCGATATTGAAGCTGAAATTTGGGATCCTGAAGGAAACCTGGTGGCGTTGGGGCAGAGTTTGTGGTTTGTGGTTGATCTGAGGGCTTTGCAGGGGACGGGGAAGAGGGTTGTGGAGGCGGAGAAGAAGGGGATTAGGAGGCAGTATGGAGAGGGGACTGGGAATGGTGGGAAGAGCAAGATCTGAGACTAGCGGAAGTTGTGAAATCAAAGTAAGTCAAAGTATTCAGAACGGATGCGATTGACTGTGGATGTGAACAGGAGCGTGCCACACATCCTTCATATCGCGACTATTGGCGTTCTTACCCTCTTTCTTCCTTAGTTGCCAAAGTCAGAGCTGTGACTGCCACAAGTCGGCTTTGTCCAACGCCCAATTCGGCCACTACCTCCACTCATGATTCGGCTTCAACAGATCGATCATTTGCTTTCGTACAAGTCTTAGGTGCCCGAGACTTGTGTATCACAGCATGGACTGTGAGACGTGCGGGACGCCCCGCCGAGCAACGCCAAGCTCGCAGCGCCACCTCAATGCCTCACTCAAAGCCGACTCAGCCTCGCAGGGCTGAGGCTACACTTATTCAAACTTCACAGAATTCCCTCACTGATGAGGGTCTCACATTCGGTTCAGAGGCTTTGTGCCGGACACACCAAAATGAGTGCTAAACATGCTGCTCTCTACCGGCCACTGGAAGGCCTTGAAGCTATACGGTTCATCGAATTGCTCCCAGGCACAGGTTCGGACACCATTGTCGTCAATTTCGTCTACGATACTCTGCTTATGAAGCCTCCGCCAATGTTTGAAGCCACCTCGTACACTTGGGGCGATCCAATTCCAACCAGGACCATCCTATGCGATGGCATCGAGTTCGAACTACGGCAGAATGCATGTGATTTCCTCCACCAGCTTCGATTGCCGGATCGGTCTCGCATGCTCTGGATTGATTGCATCTGCATCAACCAGACAGATGCGGTCGAACGCGCAAAGCAGGTGGAAATGATGCATGTGATTTATCGAAATGCCATGGCAGTGATCGCGTGGATTGGTCTACAGGACGAATCTAGCCTGATTGCTATGAATTACATAGCTCAGCTAGATATAACGTCTGTATTGAGACATGCGCTGCTCGACGTGTGGGGTGCGCCAGATGTCCAGATCGAGGAAAGACCGTATCTATTCGATACCATAACCCGAACCGAGCAAGATCAGAGGCTTGTTTCCGCCGTGATGAGACTGTTTTGCCGCCCATGGTTTCGCAGGATCTGGATACAGCAGGAAATGGCCGTCAACCAAAACACCAGAGTGCTTTGTGGTTCCCAAGAGGTGGATTTGGAGCGATTGATCGCGCTTGGGTGCCTCCTGCAACCTCGAGACTCCTCTGGCTGGCCAGAGCCTTGGAATACCTCCGAGCATCTCCCGGAGTGGAGGAGCATAGTAGCTTTACGAGAAATCAATCACCACCGGGTGGTCGAGTTCGCCATTCCGACTCCGTGGCAGGATGAAATCCGCCAGAGATCGGCAACAGAATCCTCTATTGACTACTATGCTGGGCACAAGAGTTCCGTGCTCGCTTTCGGCTTTTTCACTGACGCTCTCCAAGGTTCAAGTGCAACTAGCAGACCGTTGATTACGAAGCTCAAACATGGTTCTGTACTCGAGGCAACAGATCCTCGAGACAAGGTGTACGCCCTTTACAACCTCGACAAAAGCTTCCGCTTTCCACCAAGGGCGGCCCCTCCACGTCCCAAAGTCGACTATTCCATACCTTGGCAAGCAGTCTTCATCCGCATTGCGAAGTACACTCACTCCACCCATGTCGATAGGACCTTGAGCTTAGCGGGCCGCTCACAGCAGTATAGTGATGCGAGTCTACCCTCATGGGTCCCGGACCTGCGAAATGAAGATATTGGAGTCTTTTTCGCCGATCACGAAAGCAGCTGGGCTGCTGGCGGGATGGCATATCAGCCTAGCGTGCAGTTCGTAAGTCTTCCCTCCTGTCGAATAGGTTCTCGCCCAATCCCCGAGTACTACTTCTTCAATGCCAAAGGCAAGAAGAAGAACTTGGTAGCAGAGGCCTTGGAGATAGGAGCAATCCTACAAGACAAGATAGTGTACTGTAGTCCGCAGCCCACACTTCCTTCGATGCATTTGGCTGCTCTCCTCCCGGAAATCTCTTCCAAGCTGGCCGCCGACCTTACCTTTATCAACGAGAAGATGCCTCGATATTTCACTGGGGAGTCCGGATCAGACGCATACGCGGGAACGATTATGGTCAACACCACGCCGCGGGACGAATTGGCAACTGCAGACTACGAGAGGAAGGGGTTTGCTGAGTGGAGAGCGTGGCTGGAGTCCAGCGACTTTCCAAATAATATCCCTGAATACCATCAAGCCGTGGTCAATACTGAGCTATGGAACAAGCACTTGTTCGTTGTGAGCAATCATGGTCTCATGTGCATCGTCCCTGCAATGACACGTGAAGGCGATTATGTCGCCATTCTGAATGGTTGCCGCTATCCAGTAGCGTTGAGAAAAGTCGGACCCGAGGATGGCCAATACTATGAACTTCTTGGACCGTGCTACATGCATCGCATGATGAGAGGGCGGGCCTGGAATCTGATTGAAGAGTACAAATCGAAATACATATCTACATCCGAGGACGAAGTCGTGCCTTTAGATTTGGGATCCGCTGACCAGACGGACGAAGATTCCGGCGGTCATGTTGGTGTTTTCCCGTTCAATGCAAACTCGGACTACCAGAATATCAAGCGAGTGCTTGGGAAGAGACGGATTGTACTTGTATGACTAGTGCTGGTGGGACGACGAATCATTGCCTTTCAGGATGGCATATGTCAGCTTGTCACTCACTGCGTCGATCGCAGCCGGGGGCATTGTGACTTCTGATTGCTCGCGGCGGACTGCAAAGACTGGTATGGAGACCGTTGATATGACGGCAAAAGAGTCCAGGGTTACTACCTGGAAGAATTCAGTCGATCAAGGATATCTTCGAGTGCTGCTGGAGACATCGTTGGATCGGATCTGGATCGGCTTTTCTGCATCCCTGCCGGCAATAGAGTTGTGCTTGTATGCCAGGACTGCTACGCTTGCAGAAACGTGAGTCGGGATCAAGCAAATCAACACCGATGCACGCTCTGTCTACTGGCCCCGTGTATATCTGGCCAGCGGAGAGCCCATCACGAGAACTTTGATCTGCAGAGCGACGTGTCGTGAGAAGTACCTCGTCATAGCGAGCCCGCCAGACATACACCACATTGCAGGATCTGACATCTTGTCAGCGAACGTTGGTTGTGGTGGGGTTGAGCGAAGAACTTCTGCAGTTCAAGGGGGAGTGAATGCACTTACCTCCAGTTCGTCTGTATGCGCCTCTGACCTCTCCTCCCTCGTTTACGCCCCAGATGTCGCCAACTTCACCAGCGACCTCTTTGCCAAAGATCTGCTCTATAGTCACGCGCATGTTGCCGACGAACCCGGTACAGAGGACGACAATGTCAGCAGAGAGCTCAGACCCATCGCTGAATGCGAGGCCGTCAGGCGTGAATCGTGTCATCGCGGGACCAGATTTCATCTTGATCTGGAGAGCGTCAGCTTGAGAGAGACATTACAAACAATGGCTCTCAGTGGGCTCACCTTGCCATCAGCACTCAGCTTCGCGCAGCCCACATCGCCATACCGGCCCTTGAATCATTCGAGCAAATGCCACTGCATGTCACCGTGGCGCTCGCATCTGAACCCTGCACGCTCCAGCGCATCGAATCTTTCCGGCTCCTCATCCGCCATAGTGTGCAGCACTTTTCGAGACATCAGCCGGGCTACTGCATTTGGCATTGAATAGGCCGCTGGGTCTGCCACGTGCGTTTCGATATTGGCATTATACGACTTGCTGTTCACTTTTGCGAAGCTTTTTGCTGGGCAGGACGAGATAACAACGCCGGCTTTGCCCTTCCAAGATTCTGCGCTCCAGTGATCTGCTGAGTGGATCAGGGTTCCTTCGACATCAGCTTGACCTGTGAACTGAGGAACGATCGGAATCTGTCCTCCAGAGCCAACTGCCATGATCACAGCTCGAGTGGTGATCATTTCCGGCACACCAAACGCACTGATGCGTAATGTCCATGACTGCTTTGCTGGATCCCATGAGCCTCTTCCAAGAGCTGTTTCGAACCAGATGTGCTCATAAATCCCGTACTCGTGAGCCCATCTTCTGTGGCCCTCAACCAGCTCATCTTTGGTCGGGTACTCGCTGCAGGTATCCGAAAACGTCCTATTGAACGGTAGGTGGTTCGTTTCGCGTTGAGTGTGCAATCGCGCTGACTTATATCGCTTGACCCAGCTGGCACCTATCTGTGAGTCTTTCTCCAGGATGATGTAGTTGACGCCCAATGCCTGGAGACGACCGCCGCAGCTGAGTCCTGCATTTCCAGCGCCCACGATGACACAGTCGATTAAGTCGGTTTCTGCTCCAGCTCGGGCAATCTTGACCAGCCGATTAGTATTAGTATCGGGGATCTCACTTTCTCCATTGACGGTGGTCTTCGGCCATAGAAAGTCCACATTTTCACAACCTTCCAATTGCTCCAGAACCGTCCTCAAGACCCAGATCTTCCATGACCCACCCTCTAGAACCAAGCAGAGGAACCCAATACATCTGGTTGCAGGAGTCGCTGCACACTGGAACTCGAACATGATCTTCCCCCCAGCCCATCTTCTCATCTAGTCTTACCGGCTTTTCTGGGCCTGGCACGGCCTTGAATCTCGTTGCTTGTCCCAGAGTGCAGGGGTCGGACCAGGCCTTGATGATGCTAGGTGCTGAGTAGAAAGTCCCCAAGCAGCCTGTGAGGGCAAACGTGTCTGACCGGATGGGCTCTGCCGAGAAGTCTTGAGCTGAAAGAGAAGGCAACTTCGTAATGAATGGGGCTGCGATTTCCTCGCAGTCGGTGTCGAGTTGAATTTGCATATCAGAAGACTTGCTGGCAATCTATGGAGCGGATATTCGGGCGCATACGAGAGGACCTGGAAGCTATTCTTGTTCATCATCTTTGCTTGTGTCATTGTCGCCATCGTCGTTGCCCTCGTGGACGTCTGGGACCAGATCGATTCCTGAAGGCGATCAGTTTTGTGTTGATGACCATGCGTTGCGGATAAGTGTCTTGATGGAGTACGCGATTGAGGTATTAAGTTGTGGACAGAATTGTAGGCCAGCTTTATCGGTACCGCTGTGAAGCCAAATTACTTTCTGTTAACCAAAACTCGAGCCTTGGCAACAGAATAAAAACTCTGCAAGAACTTGCTTCTTCTCTTACATCTCTATTCTACGGGCAGCCGAATATTCTGACCGTCACTTGACATCTTCAGGAGCAACGACTGCATCCAAGCGATTACCCCTCGGGCTCTACATGCAATATGGACAACTCAAGTGCACTATTATCGACCCCGGACACTCCCTCCTGGTCCCTCTACTGGAGCATCTGCTGCGTAGTACTCTGTCTTACTGGCGTCCTAGGCGGGTCTTGGTTAGGCTTAACGATCTTGGCTAAGACTAGCCTTCTCCGCTCGAAATACAAGCTATTACTATTCTGGACTTTTGGCATACTGCCTATGCTGGTTACCACGATGTCAGGTCCTTTCTTGGCCGATATCATTGTACAGACAGATATCGTTCTCTTCGGGAAATTAATCTGGAAAAGCCCCTTTACAACTTGCGATGCCTGGAAGCAGAGCGGGAACGGGGCAAGCCATCTCCTGTGTCTTAAAGACGAATTTACAACTGCGTGGAGGCAGAAGGGTCTTTCCGAGTTCCTAGCTATCGTAATGAGGCACGACATTATGAAGGCGGTAGCACTAGTCCTCGCTATAGCACTCTTCTCGTTTACCTGCGCTCTTATAGGAGACTACCGCGCTGAGCGCACCGATGGAACGGCGGAAAATACTGCCTCCGAAGAGAAAGCAGATCAGTTGAATTCGATGGCATGACTCCTTGGCTTCTCCGACACGGTAGTGTACCGTCATAAGCCTGATCGTCACCCAGCCGCGTCCAAGGTAGATTTTGTGTGCAAGGAAAGTTGTGCGGCAAGAGTCTGGCACTACAGCGGGTTGCGCATATCCATTGGAGCTCAAGCTGCTAGCTCTCGCACACGCCACCACTCCACCACAGCAGCCGTTCTGAGGACTGGAGGATACTTGGGCTAGATGTTGGCGTTGGTACTCAGTGGTCTTTACCGATTGTCCATGGTGGAAGCAAAGGGCATTAATATTGCGCACTAGAACGTATTTGGTTAGACGCGTGATGAGAAAGACGAGTTGGGGGAAAAAGGGAATCAGCTGCACGCGCGAGACTGATTGGCTCGAATCCGTTATTCCAATATATCGTCCTCGTTAATGCGAGCCCGCTTAGAAAACCAATGAGATCTCTCTGTCAATGTCACCATGAACACCATGAAGTATTCTGGCCACGAAAGACGCCCGTGCTGACGGTATGTGCCTCAGCAGATACTTCGCAGCCCTCAGCGTCCCCCCTCCCGCAGGGCTCTCGCTGTTAGCCAAAAGTACCACCAAAGGAGGAAAGGATCAGAACATGGTGCTTACTCTGAAACGTGAAAGCTTCGCTGTCGCGGGCAACGCAGCAACGATCGCCTTGGCATACGAATATTGTCGATGCAACGCTAGGCGCCTCTATAACAGCGCCTCCTTCTGAATACGATTGCAGACATGCAATCTATCAACGACTCTGATAGCCATGTACATCTTCACGAAGCATCGCGCTCCGATCGCCACTACCAGGTCCACAAGCTATGCGTAAAGGTCCAGACCGGAAGTTGCAAAGGGCATTGCCGTGTAGCTGTCGAGTAGCCCTGTGAGTATGGCAAGGGGTGGAGTGACCAGACGAATTATGTGCCAGCATTGTGGTTGACGGCATAGGCGAACCGTGGAGTAGTCGGGTGCTGCCATGGCAATCCCTTCGAAGGGTCGTTGCGTTGCTGGTCTTATGTATACACCTCATTTCCGGATTGCGCCTGGCTGCAACGTTCGAACATCGACCTTTCAAATTCACTGCAGATTTCTCATGAACGTTGGCGGCCCATATCTACCACTTTTTTCGAGCTCGAGTAATTCCGACACATCGAGCGTGTCCAACTGCGAATCAGTGCGATCAGGCCTACAAGCGTTGTTTGGGGACATGACTAGAATGATGGGGAATGATAGATGGGAAAGGAAAGATGGCTGTGACCAAGCTCCAAGATCGAGGCGCAATCGGAAAGCAAAGACTGTTGTCGGTGTTCAGCGATGCCAGACTGGATACCAAAGCCAGTCCTCGTATGCTGACTAGGCTCTTCTGAATGTTCGTACCTTACGGCTTATCGAGTAGTAACTAGTCCACCACGAAATGACATTCGCGTTAACTGATTTTCTCAACCCATGTCCGCCCGCGTCTTCCGAAGTCCGATTTTTGAGATACCTGCCAGGCTACTACAAGCTGTGGAGGAACTTTGAAGGCACCAATGGTTAGATGTCGTGACTAGAATATCGGGAACGACCGTGGCAATAAGCAGAGGCATCCAGCCGATGCAACAGTTGGGTTGAAGCTGTCCCGAAGCGGCCGGGCATATCTGCGGGCGCCTTCGCACCAACACGTGGAGCCTTCAGAGTCGGATGATTGATGGTTTCGAGGCCTCACGTCGAATTCGGAGGTCATTCCTTCAGACCAGGGAGCTGTCGGTTGGCTGCATACCGCTATGCGAATGACATGTGTTCAATTCAGACTTAGCGAGGATCGCAAGCTTGAATTTCCCGACGCGATACATCTCTTTGTGGGTGTCGATGCACGAACGATGTGATTGTGGTCTATGCAGATGCTGTCGGGGAACTGAGGTCAGTGGGAGGTGAAGCTGGAGGAGTGGGGCATGCCAAGCACTGTCACATGATGCTTCTTCAAAGTGACATCAGCGGCATGGTTGTCGCCTGTTTCGCCATCCGGGCAGTGCGCGAGACTCAGGTACTCCCTCTGGTCAGGTTCATGCCCAAACGAAGGCGGTAGTCGGGCTGTGCAAAGGCTCGCCAGCCATCGCCAATACACCTACGAAAGTACTCGCTATGTGACATCTCCTCGCCACTAACACCACCAGTCCACCACCGACACCACATCCACCATGGGCCACCGCGACGGAGGCTACTCCAGCGACGACTCCACCCTCTACTCACGCGGCAGCAGACATCGCGGACGCCGCTCTTCACCTACAGACTACAACAGACGGCCCCGCCGAAGTCGCCGCTATGCCTCACCATCCCGCGACGAGAAGAAAGGCAGCAGTACAGCAGGCACATTCGTCAAACTCGGAATCGGCGTCGCATTAGTGCAGATCGTCGCAACATGTTTCAGCGCTTGGATGAAAGACAAGCAGGAAGCGGATGACCGACACTATCGACATGAAAAGCGCAGAGCGTTCGAGAAAGCGAAAGCGAAGCGACGACGAGAAGAAGAAGAATATGAGAAGCGGCGGCAGCGGGAAGAAGATGAGAGCGATGGGCGAGAGTGGGACGAACGAGAAATCATCATTCGCGAAGGGAGAAGGATCGGGTATGTCCCTGCGGAGAATGCGAACGCTGAGAGAGACGACAGTCAGGATCGACAGGTTCGACGAATTGAGGCCCCACCGGATGATTACTACGATTACGAACATTCGGACGACGACTGGGAAGATGAGCGTCGGAGAGCTCCAAGCGTTGCGGCGAGGAGTCGTAGCCGCTTTGGAGGGAGACCGAAGAGTGTGAGGGATCTGAGAGACGATCGGAGTCGAAGTCGACCTGCGGAACGAATCAAGAGCTGATGACGATTGAGACGATTTGAATTTGCACAATTGCTGCGTTGAGCGCGTGTTGATTGCACGAATGACAAGCCTGGTGTCCTGAGACGATTTCTTACGACTGTTGGGCTCACTTACACTCAGCTTTGCCGAGACCTCGATCGAGGATAGTGCCTTGTGGATATGCCGATATACTATGATTTCGGAAATCTTGGGGGCGCATCAGAGTGCGTCACGTACATCAAGTGTATGGCAATGGTCGGCAAAAGATGTGCTTTCTCCAATCTGCGCCTGGCCGTTCGTTGCCACGGCCTGCTAAAAGAAGATGCTCTTCACCGCGAACGGTCGACAGAAGGATGGACATCCTGACGTCTTATTGTGGCCATGCTAGAACTCTTCTTCGAAGTCGATACTTTTGCCATTGCGAACACCACCCAAACACCTCGCAGCGCCGACCCCGAACGCCGTACCCTTCACCCTCTCAACCCCTCCGGCGTATCCTCCTGATGCCTCCAATCCCCCTTCACAAACGCGTCCACCCTCCTCAAATTCTCAAAAACCCTCACAACATTCGGATAACTCGACAAATCCACCTCCCACCTCACCGCATTCTCAATCGCTGGCGCAAGACAAACATCCGCCAAAGAAATCTCATCTCCAACCGAGTATGTCCCCGCCGTCTGGACCAGAATCTCCTCGTACGCTGCAAGCGGCTTCGCCATATTTGCAGCGAACCACGCTTGATTCGTTATGCCTAACGGATTGACTTGTTTCAGTATCCGGAGGTTCGTGGGAGGTTGCATATCACATGCTACTAAAGCGATGAGATCTCGGACTTTTGCGCGTTGAAGCCATTGGGATGGTGGTGGGAGCAGAGCTGGGAAGTCTGGCGAAGGGAATGTTTCTTCGAGGAATTCGAGGATTGAAATGGATTGGGTTATTTTTCCGAGGAGTTCACCTGAGGAGGAATGGATTAGGAGGGTTGGTACTGTTCCGTTCGGATTGATTTCTGACGAGTATGGTGGGCTGGTTTGCTCGGCGCTGAGGAGGCTGATGTATTTGAATTTGAGAGGAACATTCTTCAAGTGGCAGGCTGTGCGAACGCGGCAGGAGCAGGAGCTGCGGAAGTAGGTGTACAGTGTTAAGGTGCCTGTGAAGGGATGGGTGATTTTGGGGTCGGACATTTTGGGTGGAGGTTTTTGTTCGGAGTTTGGGGCCTGCAGAATGAACGACTACCAGCAATGGATATGAGAACGTTTGAGGTTCACGAGCTTTCTAATTATGAGCTATGAACGAGCATGGTACATGTACTTGGAACTCCTCGTGTGCGGAGAGGTGTTGTACAATGACGGAACTTGGGGAGCTTGAGGAGCTAATGCACGCGGCGTGATTCCGCGCTTGCTTGAAGTGAAGATGCAGGTACGCGGCTTGCAACGGCTTTGAGACTACAAGCGTTGACCTTCCATCCTTGCAGTTGCTCTGCTCTCATGAGTGCTTCACCTGAATTATTCGCAGACCTGGAGAAACCCGATTTAGGCAGACCTCGAAACGATGGACGCGCCAAGCTATCCTTTCAAATGCCCAAGTCTTCGCTCTGAGCAGCCTCTGTGCTGACCTTGAAGTTCGTGATGGATTCACAGCCTCTTCTCCAGGCTGTACTATGCGCTCGGCGGCCGCCTTCAGCTCGATACAAGCCATTCATCCTTCGACCAATACGCCTCTACCACTTTTGATTCAGTCTCGAGAGCGAAATCTGCCACAGGACTTGCACCAGATCCCGGCACGCTGGAACAGCGACTTGCGGACTCTGTAAAGATTAGAAGAACCGCATTTGGAGCATCTCCGACCACTCGACGCCTTCTTTACAGGACTCTCGGGCTTCTTCGATCGGGACTCAGAACTCCCGGACTTGTCTTCTGTGTTCGTCTGAGTACTGTTGAAATAGTCCTCGGTCCTCGCCTTGGTACTCTCGGGCTTCTTCTCAGTTCTCTTCTCGTGCTTCTCGTTGATCTCCTTCTCAGCACTCTCAGGACTCTCAGTACTCCTGGACTTGTTTTTGGTCTTCATCTCAGTACTGTTGAAATAGTCCTCGGTCCTCGCTTCAGTACTCTTGGGCTTCTTCTCGGTCCTCTTCTCGTGCTTCTCGGTAGTCTTCTTCTCAGCACTCTCGGTCTTCTTCGCTTTTCGGGCCATAAGCTCCCTGGACAAGTCAAACGCGAAGGCTGGCAGTCGACGAGACAGTCTAGCAAACGAGGACCACTCGTCCCCAAGCAGAATATCTGCATATTCAACGGCGATCTTGATAGCAATATATTGCAATTCTTTCTTGGTTCCTGGTGTGACGGTATACATTTCTTCGATCGCTGTAGCGAAACCGCTGCTGGCCCAGCTGCCCTTGGCTATCGAGAGGAACTTGGACTCCGCGAGAGCTGAAAGCTTCGAAAGACCGTATTTGTTGGCGATGGTGTGGACTCGAACTTGAAACACCATCGCGTCGGAGCCCATCGAGTCGTCGGTCTTGTAATCGGCTGTATAGATATAACTTAGGAGTGCCTGCACGGCAGATTTCCGATCGTGTGAGAGGTCGATGACCGCGGTGCGGACATCCTGTGAGCGACAATTAGTCCGAGGCGAACACGCGAGCCAAGAAGGGACTGCTGCTTAGTACCTGGAAGTTCTGGCAGCGTAGTTTGAAAAACGGACACGCTGTGCAAACGATGTTGCGATGGACGTTCCAGATTTTGCCTTCGCAGACGATCTTCAGATCGCTATATTCGCTCGAAGCGAAGAGTCTGGACGGTCATCGTTAGTAGATCGACAGAGAATGCGCGCGCAAAGGGACGACCTACTGTTGAATATTGTCGTGCAACGGCTGGTAGTCAGTAGGCACCTCACCTGGCCGGATCGAGTCCGCCATGTTGTGGCTCGCCGTCGAGCTTTTGCAGGTGGTGGAATGGGAATCAAATGGAGGAATGAACAAGCTTGCCGGTGCTAGGTTTGTCAAACAGACAACAGATTGGGACCTTGTGCGAAACAGGTGAACGAAAGGACGAGTGACTTCGCAGAGCAGTTGATAAAGAACCAATGAAGGCCGGAAGTGAATGCATGCCATTCACTCTACGTTACCTGAAAGCGCAGACACCCGTCGTTCAACCATTGTATTGCAATGCTTGTGTCGTTCTGGTGCACTGCGCTGGAGTTCAAGCATGGCTATGCCACAGTGGTACTCTGCGCCTTCTCTGCTTCCTCGTAACCCAGGTTGCCTCCCATTGAAGCAGACCTGGACAATAGCACAACATAATCGATGCTCAGTTGGCTCGGGCACGTTAATGATGTCTACGACATGCTTCGCGAGTCGCTGGCCGCCCCACTGATCAAAATGATAGCCTGTCGTAGGAGATAGTTGGGGACATCTCAATATTCGTCGACCACGTTGAAGTTCTCGACGTAGTCATGGCCGCAACCAAACGGACACCAGCCGTAAACCTCTCCCGAATCCTTGCCGTGCGCGGGAAGCTTCTCCCGAACAAAAGTCTTCTTGCAGCTCGGGCACTCATAACGAAGCTCGTTGTCCCGCTCCGGAAAAGTTGTGCCCATAAGTTGCATAGCGACGTCGTGAGCAAAAAGGCCTATCTCCCTCGAGAGCTCGGCGAACATGGAGTCTTCGGCCTTGAGCAGAAGTTTGGCCCGCCTAGCCACGATTTTGGCTGCTGTCTTCTGAAGAACTTGTTTCGACTCTGGCTCTGTCGTGTACATCTCGGCTATGGCCTTCACAAAATCCTCTGACTCCCACTCTTTCATGGCGACTTTTGTGAACTTTGCTTCAGCGAGCTTGCAGAGATGGAGAACCCCATATTTGCTCCCCATGTTATGAACGTGGACATTGAACAGAACGGGTGGAATCTCGGGCGCAAAGTCGTCGTTGTAGTCGGCGGTGTAAATGTACTGGAACATCGCGTATACTATTTTGACGTTGTCATCTAGAAGCTTGATTGTATCGAGCTGCCCGACCTGGGTCACCATTAGCACCTCCCGTGCAAGTTACCACTGGTCGGAATCAGTTACGGGCGTGTATTCGCAGCGTGATCTGAAGTATTCGGCTGCTGGGCACACAATTGCGCGATGGACGTCCCAGGTGAAGTCGTTGCAGGTGACCTTGAGATCACTGTACTTGGCTGATTGGAAGAGCCTGTCCGGCGGAATTAGCTCAGATCGGAAGAGCTGCTCGGCGAACAGTCACTCACTGCATGACTCTGTTGACCATGGGCTTGCAGGCGACAGGTATCTCGCCAGGTGTGGCACCAATCGACTCAACCATATCCCTCGATCCACTGTTCTGGTAGTGCCAGAGAGTTGAAATGCGTGAGTAGAGCAATGCGACGATGTTTGCGCGCGGACTTGGCTGGACAGCCGCGCAGGGTGGAGCCTTATGCAGGCCAAGTGAAGTCACAAACGGCAAGCTTGGCATCAAACGGCGCCTGCGTCGTACTGGTGAGCAAGTGAGCCAGCTTCGCCCGAAGAGCAGCATCGATGAGAACGAGACCACAACTCGACTTCGTGTCTTACCCAAGTCGCTCCAGTCACGAGCAGTAACTCGACAGCGCCTCTGGAATGTTCTCCTCTTTCCACCACGGACACGGCACTTTCCCATCTTCACATCCATTGTTGCAACTCCAAGCTCTCGAATCCCGCGAATCACTGCAGCATTCGCCACTCCAGAAGCTCCCCAGTTTCTACCAGTCTTGCTCTTTTTGGCATTCAAAATAACGCATTGAGCGAAGTCGTGGGCTGTCTGCTGGTTGTCGGGATGGCAGGGGTAAAGTGTCAGTAGTGGCTGAGATGCATTGTCGGCAATAACCGACTTATATCGCAGGTCCAGCCACCTGGAACACATGCAGCACTATAGTAGCTGTGGTAACAGATTCTCAACGCATTGATGAAGGAGTCTGGTGCACCACCTGTGCCTAGGGACAAAAGCTTCGCCTGCGTCAGCGACTAGATGTCTTGGGCGTCTCACGGAAGAACTGGTACTATCGGTCTTGGATACGCAGGCCGCATCACACTTTTGCTGTGTGCAACCTCCTTCAACTGGCAGCTGGGCGAGCGTCCCTGACTGAATGCTGTCAGCAATATACCAAGGGCAGACGAAACTAATAGAACCTGCTTACCGGGAGTGTCAATGTTACGAGCGCTGTTAGGAGCATAATGTGCTGGCCCATTTATGGTTTTACAAGACAATTTCACCAAACATTGCGGCAGCAAGAATGCGTACAGTGAGTCTGGTTGAATTGGAATAAACAAGCTCAACCGAAGCAAAGTGGAGCTTTCTCTCCTGTCCCCGTAGTACTGGGATACACCTGTCACGCCAGGTCAGCGAGAATGCGAGGGGTACGAGTGACAGTACTCGATCCTACTAACAAAACAGAATCTGATTTCGTCGTTCAGAAGCACCAATATTATCTTTCGCAATGGTTACAATCTGTCAAATTTATCCCGGGCCGTCAATCATGTTCCACTTTTAGATCTTAACGTCACCACTTTCACTAACGACGCCGTCAGTGAAAAACAATTCGGTGCCGAGACCAAGCAAAAGATACCGCTTATCAATGATATATGCATCATGAAAGTTCTCTCACTAGCAGAACGTTTTTGCTATGCTCGCGATGTTCTGAAACACACTCAGCCTAAGACAACATCTCCTGCGCTCAGAATGTCCAACGTTCAAACTTATCTGTACCTCTCCGCCCTCTCCTCAAGACCGGCCACAACTCTCTCCAGCTCCTCGTTGAAGCGATACACCGACTCAATCTCTCCCTCAAACGTACACGCACGCTCAAAGGCATCCTTATACCTGCCATTCTCCAACATCCGATCTACGTCAAGCACTCTCTCGAGCAGAGCAGAGAATCGACGATGACCTTCTGACTCGAAGTACGCATGGCATTCGTCTTGACGGAATTCGGCTGTGAACACATCTGTGTCTGCATCATTTACGGCCTGAGGAAGCTTCTTGTAGCGATTGAACAATGTTTCGTGGGTTGCGGCAGCTTGTTCGATAGCGAGTCTGATGTTGTGTGCGACTTCGACTGCTCTGGAGATGTCAGAGGAGGTGTATTCAGGACGTGCGGCGCGCCGGATAGCTTCAGTGAAGGCTTGCTGGAGTTGATGGCCTGCATCGGGGTTAGTTGGGGGACTGGAGGAAGGGAGATACTCTGGTGGGATTTCGTTGTAGGGGATGTCGGTGTCGAGGAAGTCGTCGTACTGCATCGAGCTGCGTGAAGACATGATTCCGTTGGAAGGGTTGGAGTTCGAGGAGTTGGCTTTTGGACCGATTAGTTTGCTCCGGATCTGGTGATTTTGTTTGGTGATCGAGCAGCTGTATTGAGGGTCGAGAGCTCTGAGTAGAGAGTTTAGATTGTAGGATGGAGGAGTTTGAAGGGGAGAGAATAGAATGCATTGTCGAGACTCATAAAGCCACCGGAGAGCCTGAAAGAGACAGTGAAGAGGCGTGACGCCCACAAAGAACGATGCATTGTGCTCCCTCGTGAATCTCTCCGGAACAATAGGGCATCGCTCTTCGTGCCCAGTACGTCACGCACAGCGGTGATTGGTGTTCTCGCTGACAGACATTCACATCGCTCGTGGCGGCGGGCGTGCGGTATTGCAAGACCGTGCGCCTAAGTCGTTAGTGTAGTATCCGAATCTACTTGTACAAGAGACTTTTCCCTCTATCCCGGTCCATACGCCCATCGAAAATTCTTCCAGCACTCTTTTAGTCATGTTCTATGCCTACTCTTCGTCATCCTCATCGTCCTCAGTAGGCTCTATCTCAACACATCCAGTGAAGTCAAAACGATCTCCAGGCGCAGCCTGCGAGACATACTTAACGAACTTCAACGTTCCTTTATCACGAAGCACGATGCTCATCGTATTCCAGCCCGCAGGGTTGCTGAACAAGATGCCATCGTCTTCGTCGTCCCCTGCGGCTTGGTAGACAGCAGGATCCGCTTTCTTCTTTTTGGCCGAGCGACGTTGGCCGGCGCCTGTGGCGGATTGCACACTCGGCGGGATAGTGACCCCATCATCGGACCCTCCGTCTTCGTTGTCATCGCCGTCGTCTTCGCCGGCCATGTAGAGCTCGTAGCCTCCGACGTTGTCTTCTTCCTCTGCTTCAGTCTTCTCCTTTTTCGTCTTGCTGCTGTCGCCGTTTTCCTGCTCCGGGCCTTCTTCCTCTGCGCCCCAGCCGGAAGTTGGCGTGACACACAACGTGTATTCGAGTTGCGGCTCATCGCCTCCATAGCCTTGTGCAAGCTGGTAGTCGAGACTCTTGCGGAATCTTCTGGCCAGCACAGATGCGCGCTTTGGCTTAGAGCCTGTGACTAGTGCCAGCCATTTTTGGAACGCGGAGCTTGGAAGAAGTTCGTCAAGGACTTGCTGCAGAGGCGACATTTCTGTGCCGTTGCTCTCCAGATTCTGCGACTGTGCTTGCAGATACTGGTATCGATGCTTGTGCGGTGGTCGTGATGTCGCCCAGGTCAACTCATCTGCTTGACCACTCTCCAGCGATTCTTTGAGCTTCTTTGAAAACTTGTCGCTCAAGAAATTTGTGAGCTGAAGCAGACACTCTTCCGTGAACAACTCGTTCAGCTCCTCGACAGTGTCCGGTGTGAGGTAGTTTGGTGTCATGAACTTGATCAAGAAAGCCAAATCTTCTTCGGTCAGCTCCGGTTCAGCATCTTCATCGTCCTTCGCATCCGCTTCCTCCAATGACGCCCATTGATGCTGAGGCTCGTCAAACTGATCAGCTTTGCCTTGCAACTGCTGCAAGGAACTCCTTTCTGCCAGTTTCTCCTCCAGTCCCGGCTCAAACCCTTCTTCTCCCTCTTGCGGAATATGGAACCACCCACTGATCGCCATTCGCACTCTCCCACCATCATCTTCACTCTCCCCTTCCACCCGCTTGTACACCTCCTCCACATCGTGAAAACTCTCCCCAGGCTGCACAGTGAAGAACGAAAGTTGATTCCATGCCGGAGGAATGACCTTACTCCACTTTGCCCTTGGCAACTTATACTTCTTCCCATCCTCACCCTTCACCTCATCAGTAGGATAAAGCCTCAGCGCTCCACCCCAAACAGCTTTCCAAGGCTTATCCGGATCCGTCAAGTACAAGATATAACTGACACGTCTTGTGCCAATTACATCGTCATGACAAAGCAAATGACATCCCGGAACATAGACATTCACTGCCATATCAGTCTTCTTTCCCGAAAGTGGTCCAGCTCCAGAGACTTGGGAGACCCATTTCCGGAAATCTTCTCCATACAGCGCATCTCGTAACTTCAACAATGAAGGTAATTTCTCCAATGCTGAGGCAGGTAGGCCATCCAGGTTCGCCAAATCTCCGGATTGGTGGATCTTGTAAATGTCTGTTTCCTTGGGTGTGAAATGGATGCTCTCTGTGATCTCACTTCGTACGGAACGGAGGAGGTCATCGTTCATGAGTTCAGATACGACAGTGTGTAAATATGGTCCGGACTTGGCATAGTCGTCGGCGTAGGATTTCACAGTTGCGGGATCGAAGAGTCCTTCGCGAAAGCGGCCTCGGATGCCGCCAGATTCGGTCGCTTGTTTCTTTGCAGAGCCATTGGTGGTTTTTGTCGCATTATCGTCTGCTTTGCGCTTCATCTTGGAAGCTGTGGTGATGGCGCGCGTGGAATTGGCGATGGAGCAAAAGTTTTTGGCATGTGAGGTTGAACTTTGTGGAAGATCTGCACAGACGGCCTTGAAGCCTGAGGCAACAACTTTCACTGCGAAGTAACCGAGCCATCACAGTGTTGTAACCGTGGGTACCGCTGAGTGCAACGACCTCTGAGTGCAAGCGCCTAACTAGATTGGCTCTCGATCCATGNCGCTGATTGGTTTAGCGACCTGCAGTGGCACTCAGAGGTAGTTGCATCCAGAGGCATCCACGGTTACTGTTGTTACCATCTCTGTGTGCATTATATGCTCATTGTAACTGCGGTTGACTGTGAACAACCCGCTGGCTATATGCTCGCTCGCTAAATGCCGACTCGTGTCATTTCATAAACCGCTCATGCGCCAATTCTGTCGTGATTGCTATGCCGATTACTTTCCCGGTAAACGGATTGGTGATCCTCTTGTACCCCTTCTCTCGTTGCTTCCATGATGCTGTGCTGTGAACTGTAGCTGGCAGCTTGGCCACTGTTGCTGGTAGACGGCTGCCCTCCCCACTGAACCATCTCAAACCTTGTCTCACGACTTAGACGTTGTGCTGCTTTACTCTTCTCGGAACGTCCATAACTTGTACCTGTACTGTTCTCCGAGGATGTGTGACTGTTCATCGTTTGCCACGCATCTGTTCCTCCAATGCGGTCTCGTAGTGCTGTCCACAAGGTCCGGAATGCTGTGGTGCACATGGTCAGCACAGACGCAACTGATTCCGCAGAGCCAGAATTTGCTTACATGGAGCACATCCGCAGAATATGCCCAGTGAGATCTCAATATATGCCCATACTTCGATCAACAATGTCGTCTGTCCCAGATCTGTTGGACCCTTGTAAAACTGGTACATGTAGTGGAAGCGAAAGCAGCCAGCCACTGTCGACACGCTGCCGAGCCCGAATATGCTAAGGATGGCAAGACGCTGCTTGAGAGGCATTCTCAGCTTCCAGATGGGCCGAATAGGGAGTATCAGGACGACCGCGTCTGTGGCGAGGTTCACGGCATTGACCGCTGTATCTCTGTTAGCAAGGATGACGCTGTGCCCGCGAGGGTCAACATACACAAAGTCCAGGTTTGAAGGTCTATGCACCTTCCTGGTATGGAAAGGTTCCAGTATCTGGCCGCGGGTAGGCATTGTGCTCCCCACACTACTACGCTACTAATGTAATGCGCAGTTACAAATACGATCGTGAGCATAGAAAGTCGCCAGAACCAGTCATCAGCGTTATCCGCTGCAAGATGTCAGTAATTGTCTCCATGCACCAGAAAAGCTGATACACTTACCTATTCGAAGGTATCGGATACAGAGCGACAATTTGACGACGTAAAAACATGTCACTGTCAAAATCTGAATAATCCAGGTGGCCTGCTGCATTTAGAGAAGTCCAAAATGACACGCTGTGAGCACTCACGAGCAAAATATTTTGGAGCCACTCGAACGGATCCTGATCTTGAGGGCCATGGGCTACCTTCTTCCCTTGAATGCACATGAAGGCCGCCAGCGACGCCGCTGGTGCGATGCAGAACATCATCGTCCAGTCGTCCCATTTGCCCCACGTCCGCTTCGTATACAGTGCCAGCGCACGGCATACCACTGCAATCACTATGCTCAAGCCTGTCAGAGTGTTGCCTCTCTAGGCCAGGCGACCTGAAGTAGACTTACACGCCAATGCGAGGAAAGCGCCAGCCACCGCATACAGAGTCCGCACTTCATCGCGCGACACGAATGTCGGGCCCGTACTCTCGGCGCCATCTACTGCAGTTTCTCCTGGGGATGACATTGTGGTCGCCCGGACCAGGTCGGCACGTTTGTTGTGTTTGCGCAGTATTATCAAAGGTGGCTTGACGACGTAGCCGATGAAGACATTGTCTGATGTCTGTGAGAAGCAATGGCGAGGTGGGACAGAAAATGATGCGAACGATGATGCAGGGCAGGGTCTTGGGAGTGCTTGTGCCTGGCTTCCAACAACCAGCAGGAGGACGTGCATAAATCAGCGAAAGTAAGATAGATTGTTTGGGTCGCGGTCCGTCTTGCGAAAGTAAACCACGGGTCTAACGGTCAGGTGGGATGAGTTTCCTCGACTGGGAAGCTCTCCATTGCGCTTAAGCGGAGCGCGCCTTCTATTCCACCCGGCAGATCGTCTCGTGATGAGGTGCTTGGGTCGAAAGCCATGTCCAGATGTGGCAGAGATGGGCAGATGATGATGGATGTTGTGATTGGTGTCAGTGCAGGTCTAGGATCGATTGAGCTAGAGTGGTTAGTAATCGTCCCGAGATCTCGCGGTTCCGTGGCCCTTGCCTTTGGGCCCCGGCTTGCCAATAACATCCTGCCGCCGACATCTCCGTTTGAACGTCTGGTCCGTTCGGCCATCATTTGCTCTGCGAGAGCGCTCTCCATCAAACATCTTCCCTCTCGCGCCGAGCCTCTCGTTGCAGCTGCTGTGCCTGACACCCGAGACAACTACGAATGCGAAAAGGTGCAAAGTCCGATTGGGTGGAGCGCGGGCCGAATATTGATTGATTTGACACAATGACTCGCCTGGACCAGGCTTATACTCGACTTCATCCTTGGACGATGGCCGCAGTCAGCCCGCAGGTGTAGTACTGCGGACGCGCGCCAACGCATATTCTTCGTGAGCGGTGTGCCGCATGCCGACGAAAGAGTGTCTTCAATGCATCCTGGTACTGAGAGAGTGGCGGCATGGTCGTGGACGAACGAGTAGGCCATGGGCAAACAAGAGTGACGTGCGAATGGGTCACCAATAACTCACGTCCAGAATCGGCAGTATGGCCATGAATTACGGACGAGCTACTCCATTCGTACACACGTGAACATACTCATTCACAGCGGTACGGCTAACATCTCACAGCCTGCCTCCAGTCCAAGCCCACAGGATTCCTCGTCTCATCCGGAACAACATTATGTAGCCGCCTTTGTCGCCCAGCTGGACGCTTGCCGCATTGGATCAGCTTCCAGACTCACGAACGGCCTCTCACATGCGACCAGGTAGCATGTCGAAGATGTTGGTCCACTTCTGCGGCTTGTCGTCGATGTCTTTGCGCATCTCTGGCGTGCGGCACACAACCTTGTGGCGGGCCCAGTCCTTGCTCTGGCAAGTCTTGTTGCAGTAGAGCTGGTCCCGACAGCGACCACATCTCAACTTGGCGCCGGCTTTGCCACAGCGTTCATTGCCACAGCACTCGGCATCCTCCGTGTATCCCATATCAGCTTTGCCACATGGACCGATGATGCTGGGAATGGTCGGTCCACGAAGCGAATTCTTCTCTCCGATCGCGAGCATGCCGTGTGGCTCAATCCAGCAAGGGCTAGCCTGTGCCTCTGAGAGTCCAGACGACAGCTTTTCAGCGCGGGCTTCCCTACGAGTCATCGATCCAAAATCATACGGCAGACCAGGTGTGAAAGACTCGCCGGCGGAACTTGGTGTGGCCTCACTGTTCATGGCTGCATGAAAGATTTGACAACATGCTTCGTCGGTGATGGGAGCGGTGCTACAGATCCCAAGAAAGAACTTGTTGTAGGTGTTGAAGAACATGTGGTAGCCCTGTCCATGCGTTATTTTTGGAAGCACTCGCATCGCAGAGGAGCATCAAGCTCACCTTCAAGTTGAGGTAGGTCTTACACCCAAGACTCATCGCACAAGCGGCAAAGATGACGCAGGTATAGCCCTGGCACGTGTGCTCCGACATTTTGGTTGGGTTGTAGTAGGCCTTGATCTGAGCTGCGGCCATTTTGGCCAAAACACCGGAGTCAAGGTGGTTGCGCACAGCTTCGACAGCGCCCACGCCGCGGCACAACTTGGCGTACATGGAGTAGCAGACCTTCAGAGCGGGATCGGAGACGTTTGCGTTGGCCTCGTCCTCAAGCTTCTGGAGGCCAGCCTCCTTGTTGAAGTTGGCTACCACCTTGAGGTCGTTGCCATTCTCGAACAATCTCTTGCCCCAACGCTCTACGAATGGTGGCGTTGGGCTCGTGCTGGCAGCTTGGTCCGCGGTAGAGTTTGGAGACATGACGTTGATCGGCGTCGTTCTCGTTTGTTTGCGGTAAGTCGGGGGAATGGGCAGAGAGAGGATGAGAGGTGTCGTGTGTTGAAGAAGAGACGAGATGGATGTCCTTCTGCCTAGGCGGCGTTCGTCGCGTCAACGCGTGCGCGTTGAAGCAGCGGAAGGCACGCGTGAAGCGTTGGATCACGACTTCACATCGACGCCCACCATCTCACTTCCACCGCATCAGCGCCATCGCATCAACGTCCATCGCATCAACGTCCATCGCATCAACGTCCATCGCATCAACATCCACCGCATCAACGTCCATCCAATCTCAGCTGCGCCATCGGAATCAACACCGATTTCCGAAGTGACGGGATCGGCGTAGTCGCTCGATGTTCGATGCAAACATGAGTAGAACATGATTCGATTGAGCCGACACCCTGGCCGTTGTTTCGAAAGCGGCATCGTTCGTCTTGGGCCTCTTGGCACACCATGTGGCCGGACTTAGAGGCAGCCCGGATGACAAAACGACGCCGAACAACTTCAAGCTGGGCATGCACAACAGCCTTCATAACCCTAGCGCACACCGTCTTGACATCCGTGAGTACAATGCGCTCGTCGTATATAACAGCGGGGCGGAGCGCTTCCAATGCAGCCATCAATTCCATCACTCAGCACATCCAGCCACCTCGACCACCGCGAATCTCCAACATTCAAAGTCCCGCATCAGCCACATGGCTTACCAGAACATTGCAATTGCCGGCGCCACTGGCAGCTTGGGCCCCTCGATCACTCGCGCTCTCATTGATGCCGGATTCAATGTGACCGCGCTTTCACTCAGCGGCAAGACCGACAGCCTCCCTACCCAAATCAAAACGGTCAAAGTTGATTGCAGCTCCCACGAAGCACTGGTCAAGATCCTCACCGGGCACGATGCCCTGATTTCCCTCATTCCTACACCTTGGGAGCAGCCAGCCCTCGTTGATGCCGCGATTGCTGCTGGTGTCAAGTTCTTCATCCCGAGCGAATTCGGCGCCGACATCACCGGCAACGCTCACGCCGCCGCTCTGCCCCTCGCCAAAGGCAAGCCGGAGACACTGGACTACCTCCGCAGCCATCGAGACCAGATCTCCTATGTCTCCATCGTTACCGGCCTCTTCTTCGATTGGGCCCTCCAGAACAGCTTCTTGGCAAGCCTGGAAGGCGGCCTGACTCGTGTCTTTGACGGCGGCGACCTTCCTGTGGCTACTACGACCTACGCTGACATCGCAAAGACGATTGTTGCTGCTCTTGAGAACCCAGAAGCTTTCAAGAATCGACCCGTCTACTTGCGGAGCGCGACGGTCACTCAAAACCAGCTGCTCGCTATCGCACAGAAGAAGAAGCCTGGAGTGCAGTTTGAGCGGGAGGATGTTCGCACTGCAGATATAGAAAGGGACGCGTCTGAAAGATTGGCAAAGGGTGATATGTCGGCTATGCTAGGCTTTGTCGCTGCAGCGGTTTTCAATCCCATCTATGGCAGCACGAAGAGTGCAGAGGACGATAACAAGCTTGTGGGAATCAAGGAGATGACGCCGGAGCAAGTCGAGGCATTCGTTGAGCGGTTCATGTAAGGTATGGAGCAGGACAGGCTTCGTGCACATGAAAGCTCGTTGACCCTTCTGATGTATATTCCATTCCAAAACCAACGTAACGCATTTGCTTCTTGACATGGACCGCGCTCATTCAACGCGACAAAACATTGAATGGCTACAGCAACGAGACGTCTCGATAAACACTGGTAAAGAACATTGATGCTTCTCGTTTCCTCGAGTGAGGTTAAGCGTTTCTCGCGTGGAGCTCTTGAAGGATTGGCTTGGCGGCAGCTGCCTAATGGACCTCCAGCCCTACACCGGTCCTGGCTTCAATTCACTACATCTACCTTCACGACACTCTGTTACGCCACTCAGAAGCTCCTCTCACCACACCCATCAGAGCACAAGGAGCTTTGTCCTTGTTCATTTCTTCGACCCATCCGGACTAAATCAGACCGGACTAAATCATTTCGTTGGCAGGACCCGGGACCAACGAACGACGGACATGATCTGATGTCGACAACCTCGTGCCTGTTGAACCTCCTCTAGATACCCTACTAGCAAGATGGACAAGTCTCGAAGTTTCAGCTTCCTGAAGCTAGATCGCATGAAAGTACAGCCACCGATAACCACCAACTCCGTCAAGAACTTCGACCCGAAAGTCATTCAATCCGACGCAGAAAACACTTCCATCACCGTGCACTCCACCTTTCCAGACTTCGCACGTCGCTTTGTCACGCACAAGATTCAGCATGGCTCAACGATCGAGAAAGCATTATATCGTGATATGACGTGGCCGGCTCTCACGCGAAGACTCATCGAGAAGCGGCCTTTGGTCTTTATGGGAGCTTCGGATCACACAAGACTTCGAAATGGCAGATATATTTCTGGAAACGCGAATTTGGAATGGGACCGGAATGGTACTGATGAGCAGCACTTGAATAAGGTTTTGCAAATTGAGGACTATCTGACTTACGATGAAATAATGCTTGGGTCTTTGATTGGTGTTTCTGGACCTTCGTATTTCATTAATCAGGGTGGGAGGTATAACAGTGGGAAGTTGCAACAGAAGGATACGTTTGAGGAGAGAGGTAAGAGTTCCCGTCTGTGAGACAAGATTGGGTATTGAAGCTGACGACTACTCTCGAGGCATCATCATCGGACTTGTGGGACCACGATTCGAAAGAGATGATCGCATGGACTCGGCTTTCATGTATGACCCGGTCAGCAAACCTAGAATGCACCCTCAGTTGCACTTCATATTCCGCGATGCACTGGATCAGCACCACAATCACGGTCTGGATCCGAAGCATACCGTGACCGACTATTATTATCTACGAATCTTCTACACAGCCTCATTGCTGTTCCACGAGGCCAATCGTCGAGCCAAATCCGATACAAGACGCCGCCACGCACATGTGTACGTTGTTGGCTTGGGCCTTGGAGTCTGGGCACCAGTAGATCGAGATGTGACAGAGCTCTATATGAACGCTTTCACTATGGCCATTCGTCGACTGCCAAAGGACCACAAGATCGCAACTGTTGAGTTTGCGTACATCTCTGGGTTCCAGGACGCGGAGAAACAAAAGAGCATACAATCCATTGGGCAAGCAGTGAGTGTCGATGTTCGTTTCACCAAGAGAGATCCTGCGGAGTTGTTGAAAGGTGACGATTCTGGCAAGCTTCTCGTGTTGAGTTATGCTTGGGATGGAAACTCCTTCCCAGGGAACGAGTACTGGGATGGCAGTCTGAGCGCATCCGGCGATCCTGCAGCTGCTTGCATGAGTACTATCTCGCAACTGCATAATCCCATCACGAATCCAGGGCTTTTGGAGAAGTGGGTTCAGGTGGTCGAATAGATTTGTACATGTCTGAAGCAGTCCGTTGAGCTACAGGAGCTGCTGGAGATATCTGCCGGAACGTTCCTAAATCCAGAGCGGAGCACACTTTCGACCGAAGTTGAGGAACTAATTTGCTTGATAACAGCTAAGCCTTGCTGGAGCCCACGAGTTCCATGGACCTCGCTGATCAGACACGTCCTGATTATGGTGGACGCGAAGCGTCCTTCCTCCAAGAACACGGCTGGCTTCACGAATTGCATCCGATGGCTCTTCGGATCGGGTGGGCAGCAATGCCCGGAGTGTGAGACTCGGACAAAAAGCGAGACTTAGTCAGTTGCAACATGACTTACTCATATCATCCACCCTCATCAACGAAGTGAAGTCAGGAGCTAGCATTTAGCAACCAGCAATCAGTAGTCGAAAGCCTGGGAGGTAGAACAAATTTTACGATGATCTTATTTCGGAGCCGAGGGCGCAGCATCACCGACAGCTGGGCTTGCATATAAGGAGGCGAAATTCGGAGAAACTGTTGACAGCCGAGTCTAAGGAGGCCAATCAGAAGGTGATTCCGGCAGCCCCAGAAATCTCACATTTTCTAAGTCTAACATTTAGAATTTGTGGATTTTATCGCAACGACGAGCCCTGCACTCGCCAAAAAAGTTGACAACACAAGTGCAACATATATATAGCCCTCCTAAGCACCTATTAGTGGTTTGAAACAGAGAGGGCGGCCCTTTGCAAAGCAAAGTAAGTTGAAGCATCTCGGTGAAGGGTTTTTCCGGATTTCGCCTCCTTATATGCAAACCCCGACAGCTCGGCGATATTCGACTAATTGCCTTGTTCCGGCTAGCCGACTTCGCGGAACAGTACCGTCGCTGCAGGAACAGATTTCTAAAACTCGGCGACTCTGTCAGCAATTCGTCAAACAACGACCGCGTGTCGTCTTTCACGGGCTCCGTCGGTCTTCGCGGCCACGGCGATACGCTGCCATGTGAGGGAAAGTGAAGTCAAATGGTGTCTGCTTACCAGCAAAATTAGCACAGCAATTACGCCATGCACTACCGCTCGTGGAGGGGCGTCGGTCTTCTTACTGCTCCAATCGCAGTTCTGCTTGCCTACTTCTTGTTGTCGTTAGCTCAGCACCATTCCGACGCAACTATGTCTTTCCGACTTGCGACTACCCCACTGCTGCTCAGCAGACTTCTACCGGCTTCGGTCACGAGAACTAACAGTAGTAGCTTCCTTGTCCCTGCCGCGGCTTCGTTGTTACAAAAGGCTTTCTTCCTCCCTACGACTATTCCCTCATCCACTTCTGCTCCATTCTCGAAGAACTCTTTCAGCACTACCTCATCAAACATGGCCTCCACCAAGCTCTCCCTCAGCGAGGCTATCTCCCACCGCCGCACCATCTACCAACTCACCAAGGAGTCTACCATCTCCGATGACCGCCTGAAGGAGATTGTCTCGCAGGCCATCCTCGATGTGCCTTCGAGCTTCAACTCCCAATCTACCAGACTCATTGTCTTGGTGAAAGAGAAGCACGACCAATATTGGCAAATCGTGGAGGATGCTCTGAGAGCTATTGTCCCAGCCGATTCGTGGGCAAGCACAGAGGGCAGAATCAAGATGTTCAAGAATGCATACGGAACTGTACGTTCACAACCCCAGCACTCTTCTTAGTCACCACAGCTTGAGCATCGCTGACTCGTACTGCTATAGATCCTGTTCTACGAAGACCGCGAAGTCGTCAAAGGCCTCCAAACCAAACTCCCCATCTACGCCGATAAATTCCCTCAATGGGCCGACCACACTAGCGCCATGCACCAATACGCTCTCTGGGTTGCATTGGAGGCTGAAGGGCTGGGAGCGAACTTGCAGCATTATAACCCACTGCCAGATCAGAAGGTCTCGGAGCAGTTTGGTGTTCCGCTTGAGTGGAGTCATGTGGCACAATTGGTCTTTGGAAAGCCGGCGGAGGGTGCACGAGAGGGACTCCAGAAGAAAGACCAGAAACCTGTGGAGGAGAGGGTGCAGTGGCATGGATTTTAGATTGATGGAGGGACGGTTTGTGGGGAATAGATCTTAGAGGATAGATGAGATGGGATGATACACCATGGGAATGAATGATGAAATGCTGAAGTTTGAAGGTCTAGGGAAAAGGTCGTTTATCGGATTTACCACCACTTCGACCACTTCTGCCAAAAGCCTTCGTGCTTATCATCGGCTGCTGACAGACCATAGACATCACCTCTGTCGTAGAAGACCAACACCGCCTCACTGCCTCGGACGCTCACCACACCATCTGCTCCGACCTCCTCGATCTCCACATTTCCACTCGCAGTAGCGTTTCTGAAGGACTGCCCCGCCCACGTCACCTTATCAGAGTCCTTCTCATCAACATACGGAGCTGTCATACGCTTGACCCAAGCTCGAGCACGATGACCACCATATCTGCGTCCATATCCTCCCCTTTTGGCCTGCTGCCCCTCAAAGACATTGAAGCTTACGGTATAGTCTTCTGTCCAATTGGCATAGAACGGTCTCATATTGATCAAGGCTAATTTGCTCAGCTTGTCTTGCTCGCCAGAATAGAAGGCATACGCTGAGAAATGGTCCTCGCTCAGACCTTCTGGAGTATCCAACGCGGTTACTCGCGTTCCTTCTCGAGCGAAAGCTTCAGCGAGAAAGACCAAGCCCACGAATCCCGGGTTGACGCGCTGTGGACCACGTTTGGATGATGTGATTGGGTAGAGCATGCTATAAGTCGAGAAGCCTGGACTCCCGTCATCTCCAGCGGTATTACTTTGTTGATTACTCTGGAAGACGAGTGTGGCGCCTTGGTGCAGGTAGCATGCAGAGGCATTGCGTACGGCGTAGATGAGTTCGGTGTCGACTTCCCAGAGTGCTTGAGCGAAGGTATCACTGACATTGGGGTTGCCAGAGCATGCGATACTGTTGAATTCTCCGATGATCCAAGGCTGCCCGGCGGCGAGGGCAGCGTTCGCAGAGGGCACGATCTCGGTGTCGGCGTACTCTCTTAGGCCGGTGTGGTTGAGGATATTCGGGATTGTGGCGAGGGCGAGACGTTCTGGGTCGCATGTTGCGAAGGCATAGCTGTGGATGCTGTACTCAGAGACTTGCTTCTGCGAGTCGATCCCGGCGGGGATGATGTCTGCTGGGCGAACGTGGAGAGGTGTTTCGTCTGTTGTGGCGGATGATGCCCACCAACGTCCTGTTCCTAGCCGAGATGAGATAGCCTGGCCAGCTTCCGCGTCCACTGCGGCATCGATGGCAGAAGTGTATTCTTGCCATTGCTTGACATAGTTCTCGGTGCTGTTCGCCCATCGGTCTGGATCGTAGTTTGTGGGCTCGTTGCCGAGCTCGAAGTACTTCACCAGGTCGGGCTGGTATTTGATCGACGCTACCGCCATGTCTCGAGCGATATCGAGACTCTCGTTGCCAAAGTTGAGTGTCGACACGAATTCTGTTCCTCCGGGAAAGTTCGACCAGCTTTCGTAGTATGCAGAGCCCACAGTCGTGCGATACACGCCGCCCTTCTCATTCGTTGTGCGGACTGGGTCGCTTGCATTTGGCTCGAATATCATCGAATCCATTGTGATTCCGCCAGGACGAATGCTTGGTCTTCCGCCATGCTCATGGAGAATGTCAATCGCGTTGAAGGTGAAACTGTTAGGACTGGACGCGTTGCCAAAGAACTCGACCCAGAAAGCTGGCTCGAAAGAGAAAGAAGAGTATGTCGGGGCATGCTTGATGCTGGCTCCATCACCACATTGTGGAATGTTGAGTTTGGACAGGCTGGCAGATGTTCGGTGAGCTGTAAATGTGCATGCGAGTGTCAGTACTGGCAATTCTCTTCGTTGCCTCATGTTGATCCTCCAAATAGAATGTGGTCGAAATGAGCCCAACTCACCTTGTGTGCTACAGGATCACCATATAGGAGGCATTGCATTGTATGTGGAGCCGGCAAAGAAGGCTCGACAGCAATATTGATCATCTTCTCCGCAAAATGTCTCGTGTTTGTGAGGAGAATGAGGAGAAAGATGTGCAGGGTAAGTGACGTTTCTCCACGAATTGATGCTTGTGCTCGGTCCGTGTCGGAACAAGGTTTGGGGGTGCTCGTGACCCCCAAAGCAATCGAAAGGATTCTTGAAGATCCACCATTTCACGACGAGTGATATACGTTCGAGAAGTGACTCTGAATTAATCATATAAATGCGGTCTGGTGAAGGATTTCAAGACTTGAAAATGCAAGCAGGAGCCAGACGCTGCTGCTGCCGGGAACCCATGATTGCGATGTGAGCCTCAGGCCTCAACGGTCCCTGCGACCTCCCCTAGAACGTTCCACAACCTCAAAGTCGGTATTCAACTTGTTTCCCCTTTCCTACGTCCGCCTTCTCTATACACATCATGACTGTGTCCAAATTGCTCGATGCGCAGTGCAATCACTGCAAAACTGCGGCCGGAAATCTGTCGACATGCGCCGGCTGCAAGGTCGTGAAATACTGCTGCAAGGTATGAGCTGTACAGAGACCAACAAACGCCGTAGAGCCGTTCAGCTCATCTCGCTCAGGAACATCAAGCGGCAGACTGGCCGACCCATAAGGCACAATGTACACCTGTGAAAAAGGCTCGTGCACATTTTGAGAAAGAAGAGACGGAACTTCGCAACTTCCCCGGAGATTTCATATGCCCAGCGAACCCATTGGAAGAACCCGAGCCTCACTTCTGGGGCTGGCTCGAGACGCGTCCGTACATGCGTGCTCGTTACGGCTTGCTAGATGCTCTTCGCAAGATCAAGACCCGAGACGCGGTGCAAGCTGCCCATGACCATGTCAAAGAGTGCCTCCGACTCTGCCGTAGCGATAATATGGGTGTCCGAGTTATGGCTCCCGCGCTCATGCTACGTCTGGGGCGCGATCAAGAGGCTTACGACTTCTGGAGAAGATCCTGATTACGATTGGGGTGATCAATGCAACCTAGGGAGAGAATGCTTTCGAACCTCCAGACCCATGGACAGGGGGGTTCGATAACTTCACATTTCGAATTGCTCTCACGCTCCTCAAGCTGCGCCTCCTCCTGGACTTGCACTCGTTGCAGAACTCTATGAAGATTGCGGAGAAACTGCCTCAGGAACTGCTTGATGATATCCGCGCTCACTTGACGGGCGATATTGTTGGAAATAATGCAGAGATCATGCAGAAAGTCCGAGACGGAATCAGCATCCAGCTACACATCGATGGCATAGAAGCACAAATGAACACTTTGTTCAACAACGTTAACAAGTCTAACAAGTACTTTTGGCCGGCACTCGTGAAACTAGGCTTAGCTTTGACCGCAAGGCCAACGTCTTACAGCCATAGATCGTATAAGGAACTGGAGCTGAAGCTTCAGTATTCGTACGAGGCTTGGGAGGAGACTCCTAGGGCGATTGAGTGGGTGCGACAGAAACTCAAGAAGTAGAGTTCCCCGAAACATCGATGACTATAAGGCATGCTTGCCTGATTCGCCGGGCTCTTGCTAAGGATGCCTGTTCTTACGAGATCTGGTCACTAAGGCTTATCAGATGCTTCCGAAGGCCATCTGGCAAGCTTGGGTCCAAGGCACGCTGGTCAAGTGGCGGCATGTAAATTAGCTAAAACTCCGGTAGAGAGAAGAAGAAAATGTCTGCATTTGTAAAACGTCCTAGCACCTAAAGAAAAGCTACGAGGAGCACCGGCGAGGTACATACACAACCCCGAGTTATGTGTGGAGTGATCAATCTATTAGACGGCCGAGCTATGCCAAGGAGCAAGACCTTAGCCTTGCCTTAGCCTCATCGTCGCAGCCGAACACAGCCAACACTAGCCGCTTGCAACAACTAAAGAGAACTATATCTACTGACCTGCTGTGCACCGTCGAGCACTTTAGCGGCTTTTAGCCTTCGAAGCAGGCGACCGATAACGAATGCTCGGAACGTCCTTAATAAAGCTAAAGCCTAACGTATATGTGGTGTGCAATCTAGTCTACATCATCTTCATGTCAAGTTAAAGGCATTAGTATGCCGGTTGTGAAACGGAGACGACTGGCGGGACGCTGCTCTACCGCTGTGGACGCACACAATATAGAGCGCGCGGGAGGCCTCTACTAGGCGCAGTACGAGGACAGCCTAGACTTTAAAAAGATTGACATTAAATTCTTGACTACGGCCGCGCATAAATGCAGCTTTGTTTTATTAGACGAGTAGCAACAATAGCTTATACGATGCCTATCTTAGCAAGGCTGATCGGCCTAGCCTATTATCTTAGAGTGGCTGGACTCTAGATTCTCCATCTTTGTTAACCTAGAGTCGCACAGACGTACTACACTGCAGGATCTCGAGGGCTCGAGCAGCTCCTCAATTAAAGACTAATCGTGGCTATCTCCGAATGCAACTACCTCTAAGTGCAACCGCAGGTCGTCAAGTTAGTTAGCAAAGCTTTTTGTAGATCGAGAGCTAATTTAGTCAGGCGCTTGCACTCAAAGGTCGTTGGTTAGATGTCGAATTAATCATAGATCAGCTAGATCGCACGAGAAGCACGGCTTTGTCTACGATTGCCTCGAGAGACAATTACATAGCCTCCGGACAGAGCGAATGTCAAACGTATGCGATTGCTGTATAAGTGCTATCAAAGTTCAGCGTCCTCGCAGTAGTTGTATAGTATATCACGCTTTCATCTGGAACTAGAAGGCTTCGTAGCTTGCCAAGCTGGCTACGTCTGGTAACACGGAGTGTTAAGAGACGGAAGCTTCCTAGGACATGTTCACTCCGATTAGCCTCCTAGTGTAACCTATAATGTTCGTACACCATTCAAGCTGATCGAAAGACCTGTTGCGGTTGGCCATATAAGATCGCTACTTTCCCGTAGCTCGACATTAAGAAAGCGTCCTATCGTAGCCGCTTATTACGTACCTGGGTATAAGGCGTATTAAAAGGCGAGGACCGGGGAGGACGATTCGTCAAGTAACAAGTAGTATAACGGGACGGACCTTGCAGAATTCTCTAATAGCGATCGGTCGTCTCTACGGGACGTAAGGCGCTATAGCAGCACTAGGGACGAAGATCGCGATCTTGCGTCGCAGACTCGGTACAACGAGGTGTACTAATACGATTACTATAAAGACACTTCTATAAACGCCTCCGAGCTTACAAGGTTAGTTAACCAAACTTGAAATGTTTCACGACAGGCCTAGATAGGCGGTTGTCTCTAGAAACATAGGCGCTTCTAAGCTTGCGAAGGTAGTTAAGGCTTGGAAATTAAATCTGACTTGTTTCGAGAAACGTCTAGATGAATAGTACTCTCTAGCAATAAGAACGTTTCTAAGCTCCCGTGTGTAGTTACGGGCTAGATAATGCAGTCGACTCTTAGCAGACTAAGACATAACGATCTCTAAGAACATAAACGCTTCCGAGCTTACGGGGGCGATTGGGGCAGAGCGTACGAGATCTAGGTTGCTTAAAGAAAACCCGGCATAGGCGGTAGTCTCTGGGAACATAGACGCTTCTAAACTCCCGTACGTAGTGAAAACAGCTTCTTTCTGCAGCGACAACTTAGAACGACTACTATATCTATAGAATTGAATGCTAGTCCTCCTGCTAGTTATTAGCCTCCCAAATGTACTAGTGCTGCAAAGTCGAAGTCCGCCGCAAACCCACTAGACGCATTTCGTTCTTCTCGACAATTTTTTTACTAGTAGTCTTCGTCGACAAGCTGCTCTTTACCGTCGTCTTAAGGCGCAATATAACCGCTAACATGCTAGACATTCTGTATATGTAAGCAGCTATCGGCACCGGCAGGCTTCACTTATCGCGAAATCGAGCCGCCTATAAAGGGTTAGTTAGCTTAGGTAGTAGCTATAATACTAGTGCAATCTTTATAATCCCCCTAGCGAAGGGACGAATTCATAGCGTTGCTTTATAAGTAGTAGTAAGCGGACACTTAGCTCCGAATTTAGTAAAAAGGATAGTCTATTGCGCTCGAGGCAGCTATGCTTAGGCGTAATGCAACAAAACTTTTCCGCGCACTATAACAAGTAACGAAAATCGGGATGCTAGAGAGTTTAAAGTCGATTGCTAGAAGTATGTACAACAACTTAGAATTCAGCAAACAGTATACATATTTACTACGACATGCGCCCGCTAAGAAGTACTATAAACAAGATTCTAGCCTGCCTTAATAGATAACAAAGATATGCTATATAGGGCTCCTAGCGTTAGAAAAAGCTCGGACGCGACAAGATAGCTAATATGTCTAATGTTCTGTCTATCTTTCTTTTTAAAGCTTACGATTGTCTAGTACATATCTTAATATCTCCTATATTAGTCTTTAAGTGTCTAAGATAGCGAGCTTTTAGACTTATAGATGTTATAGTAGCGTTCCTTAATAGTATATATGCCTATCTACTAGTAGATTCCTCGTCGCTAAAGCTTCCTCTAGCTATAACTAGAAAACGCCCGAGCTTCCTCTTGCACTTTATGCTGCTCTTATTATTAGATACTCTATCTACCTTAAATAGAGCAGCGCTACTATTAATAGTAGTTTGTAGCCCTATAGCATAGCTGTCTGCAGACAACAAACTAGCAATTATACGGAACAGGTACTATGTTCTGTTATACGCGTAGCAACAAGTTTTTGCGCAATCTCTCTTGCGAATAGTAGAGGGTCTTATTCCTAGTCGAGCCGACTAGACAACTAAGATAGTCGAAGTGCGTAGGGATTATAGCAATAGTAATAATTATCAAACGTGTCTCTTTGTTCTATATCCTTGCTACATTTGTCTATAAGAGGCAGCGAGGTCTCTAGGACGCGAAGTTTCGATACGACAACAACTTCAATATCGTACGGGACTACGCGTAAAGTCATTTCATGCCGCCGAAATTACGCTTAGATGGCGGTGAGACTTGCATTTTGTAGGACTCAGGTTCGGCTATTGTCAAGCTGTCGCCAATTGCAAGCTCAAAAACCGAGCTTGGAAGAGTATATCGCGTATTCGACGGCCGATGAGCCCCAAGTCCAAGCCTTTCGGGCTACGAAATCATACACTCTGCTAGACGACGGCTGCGAGAAGCAAGCGCATCGGCCATGAAGCAGTGCGCTAGCCAATGATGGCGGATGTCCACACAAGCGTTTATTCTGATGTAGTCATAAACGCTATAATGTCTAACTGTAACACGGGCTCTCGTCTATACCGATGCTGCCTCTTACACTCAGTTGATAGACAATCTCCGCTCTCTGAGAGAGGGACAGAGAGAGAGAGCAGTCGAAGTAACGGCTAGAGTCATTGCCTACCCTTCTGCCTGCTCCGAGACACCAGCTATGCTTTAGCTCGACACTAGGAGCAGACGGCTTCTAGCTGGGTTCTGCATAGCCTTGCATTGAAGCCTGCGTCGAAGACAAGTCCCGGACACGCCGCTGCAGTAGCTAGTGGTGCTCTCGCGCATATGACCTACCAACTCGCTGTAACGTCAGTCTTGTCATCTTTCGTTGCGCAAACTTACCACATGGCGCCAGCAGCTTTCCAGACACCGGTTGAGCCCTGCGGCGCTCTCGATGCTATCACGTTTGACGATGTTACGCCTGCAATCGGACGAGAATACGTTAATGTCAATATCGTAGAGGACATCTTGAACGCACAAGATGCTAACAAAAGACTCCGTGACCTGGCATATGCGAGTAGGTGCGAGTCTTGTGTGCTGCGGTGACTTACTAACACCTGGCAGTTTCCGCCAGAGGAGTCGTGTTCTTTCGCAAACAAGACAATCTCACAAATAAGCTTCAGAAAGACTTTATCCAGCGCTTAGGAGAAGCAGTCGGGAAGCCAAAAGACTCCAGCCTCCACATCCATCCGGTGCTTAACGACACCTCCGATCTAGGCCAAGGCGATCCGCAAATCTCTCATATCAGCTCGGTGCAGAGGGACGAGTTCCTGAAACACTTAGACAGGAAGGACAAGTGGCAGTATCGTGCCGCTGAGTGGCACTCGGACGTTCAATTCGAGCGTGTTCCTCCAGATTACACCTCTTTGCGAGTAACTCAGCTTCCTTCGAATGGCGGAGACACGCTCTGGGCTTCCGGTTATGAGATTTACGATCGGTTCTCACCAGCATATCAGAAGTTCTTTGAGACCTTGACTACAACTTTCAGTGGAGAAGGATACAACAAGATGGCGGCCGCAGATCCAGAGAACGTCAAGATTCACCGCGATGCACGAGGCCACCCACTGAACACCGCGATGAGCTCTGTCCACCCAGTCGTTCGTACGAATCCGGTGACAGGATGGAAGAGCATCTTCTCAATAGGTCCATTCCCCACGAGAGTCAACGAACTCACGTCGCTAGAATCTCAGGAATTGCTGGCGAAATTTATGCGGATGATTACCGAGAATCATGACCTGACCGTGCGTTTCAAATGGAAGAATCCAAACGATATTGCTATCTGGGATAACAGGTGAGTCTGCCGGAGTCTACTAGCTTATGTTCACTTACCGATCCCTTGACAGATCAACGTTCCACACTCCAACATTTGATTACGAGGGGTTGGGTGAGCGCTATGGGAATCGTGCGGTCGGTATCGGTGAAGAACCGTACTTTGATCCTAATAGCAAGTCGAGAGCTGAAGACCTCGCTGCGCAGGTGTAAGTAGAAAGAGCTTACAGCTGCGGTTGAATGAAGGTACCGAGACAAATTCGTATAGAACTTTCGCAGAATAGCGAGCTACTGTCTGCCATTCACGTTATCTTGCAAGTGCCAGCGAATGAGATGCTGAGGTTTTGCAGCCCTAGTTCGGCACTCGAAGCCTTGTCCTAGTCGGTGAGATGGTGTCAACAGGCCCCTGCTGTGTTATTGAATGTCCGTCGGCGGCCAAGGCCATCTTTCTAGCTAGGGAGACCTTGCAGCAACTTTCCTATCTGGCGGAGAAAGGCGTGTAATGCCGTCCCTCTTCCTATCATACCTCAGGCAACTGCAAGTACAGACACCTGTCTTTCGCAATGCTTCTAGCACTTCTAGAACAACGTTGCAGTCCAACGTTACATGGAGCTCAGTATTCAGAAGGATTCGAGACGCCGGCAAACTTTCGCAGAAGTCAACTTATCAGCTGCCGTCGCGGAATCGGAAGACGTACATCCGAGTAACGACCACCAGGCCTCGCAACACGTACAATAGCGAGAGATTCCATGGCCTGCTGAGATCTTCCACGGCTACACCTCGCAAGTCTACTAAGCACAGATAGGCGTCCAATCTTTCGCAAGAAGCAGCTTTCTCGCATCTTAGTAGTCTACGGGCTCTGTTCCTGCCTGTCCTTACGAAAGAACCACCAAAAGATAACAGCTGCCAGAACCATGCCTCCTGCCAATGCTGCGTAGTAAAAGACGAGCCAAGGATCTTGTGCTGCGGGACTGGTTGCCAGACCAAGCATGCTACCCAGAGCGGCCGCTAGCTGCGAGAATGCTTGAATCATGCTCCTTGCGTTCTTTGGCGAGTGCCGATACGCGTACTCACTGGCTGTGACAAATCCTATGGTCTCTGCCAGTGCTGCGACGACGTAGGTAGGTATCTGCACCCAGACACTAATACGATTCGGCTTCCCGCCCGGCTCGCATGTTCTTGGTCGATCGTAGCATGGCGGAGATGTGTAGATTAGATGCTGAGTCACGGCGGCCAGGGCAATTGCGACGGCGCAGAGGACAAATGACACCTCGATCAGCGAGATAGCGCTGAAAGTGATCTTGTGACGGGCGAGAAAACTCCATAGAACTTGCAAGACTGGGGCGAGCAGCACACAGGCTATGGACGCAAAGACCGGAATCATATCGTTTGGGACACCAGAGAGCTGCATCTGCCCGGCCTGAGATACAAGATTGTTGTTCATCTGGTTGGCGCAGAGGTAGAAGATGGCAAACGAAAGTCTGAGACAGGTCAGAGTACGCTATAGCACTCTCAGTATGCAATCTTACAGCACTCGGCACGTGTGTACTGTCGCCTTGACCTCGTCAACGAATGAATCGTCGTACAAAGGAGTCTTGTTGTGCCGGGCTAGCTGGTATGGGCTCTTTGCCTTCTCGAGATTGAAGCCGTTCCGTATGGCACAAGATAGAACCCTGGCCGCAGGAACCAAGATGTTCTCGCCAGGAGTCACTTTCACTGGAGACTATTAGCTGACAGATATGTCAGGTATCCTGCATAACATACCCAAACGGAACGAAGCCCCAATGAGGAAGACAACGGCCACTAAGCTACATGCTGTGGCGAGAGTGTAGGCCGCCCAGAAGCCCCTTTTCTTCTCAAGAAGGGTTGTTGGCACGACAGAAAGGCAAGCCAGATTGATGACCCTGCCACCTCTTAGCAATACTTCACGATCGACACGTGTGGATCAAGCGCACGCATAGTAAACATTGTAGATAAGCTGCAAAGTAAGACGAGAGTCAATTACCACTTTTTTCCCATTCGCTTGCTGTGCGCATCGCAGTTCTTCACTCTGGTGTTGCTCCGCCAGGAAGGGAGGAAATGTCGCCTTGACACCTCCTGTCCCAAGTCCTATGAGGATCATGGTCACCCCGAGGCCAGGCAATCCTACGCTCTGGACGAAAGCAGGGATAGAACTCACTAGCTGCACAGCGCATCCGACAGCGATGAGGCTGTTGTCTGTTAACGGAGTTATTGGCACCATTAACACTGTTCGTACCTCAAACTTAACAGCAAAGTGTAATACCTGCCTAACCACAGATCTGCAACAATCGCGAACGGGACAGGTGTCAAAGAGGAGAAGACCATGTACGCGTTGCTGACCGCCGTAGCTGTAGACTGTCCAAGGCCTAGAGCTCCGGGAGGAGAACGAGAATCAGCGTGATTCTGCATGTAGTTCTCTGTGCACATTAGACGACGACCGCAGATCAATCAAAGATATACTCACGCCATGGAGTCGAAACCGCGTAGAATGCTGCCCTTTCAAGGCCGCCAACGACAAGAACCAGGACGATTGGCAGCGTAAGACGATCCGCTCGCCGGGGTAGATCATCGTTGTGCGTGGCCTCGATCGATTGCTGTGTAGTAGCTTCCGAATCATTGCGAGAGATCTCATTGGCTGATGTTGCAGCAATCGTTGCGTCCGCCATGTTGCTTTCGAGTCTCGCCAAAACGATCACGAGTTTTACACGACATACATCTGGGCAAACAGCTCGCACAAGAGTGCTGAGCCGTGCCTGGCAAGACTCAGACTAGAAGACCACTAAGCAAAGACATACTACCAGGAGCCCTGGATGGTGCGCGGTGACAAGGGCTCCCATGTATGCCGAGTTTGACAGGGGCGTTGCCACGTGAGGCGTTGAAAGAGGAACGTGCACGCAACGCCCAGATTGGCTTGGCGACTGCTTCTTCATTTGCAGCGGAAGCTTTTAGTGTCTGCGCATCCTATTGTACCATTCAGTCTCATCCCGACTCTTCGCTTCCATCGCTTCCTTGATGATTCGGCTCGTATGTGCGAAGCAAAGTTCCCTGATTCAGTTCGTCCCCAGTCACCGGAGCAAATCTGGCAGGTCGGCTGGCGCTTACGAATGGCGATAGTGGCGCTAGACCGGCGTCCCGATCAGGCTTGCCAAAATACATGACCGAGAAGCGCTCTGGGATCTCTCCCGTGGAAGCGTCGACAGGAGATGGCTTCCCCACGCGATGATATGCCGCGGGCAAGAGTCCATTGCTCCAACGTTCCATCGCGTCTCCGAGATTGACAAGCACAGCTGGTGCCGGGTTCGACACTGCAATGAATTGCCGCGTGACAGGGTCCTCAATCTCCAGACCACCCACATCGTCCTGCCAGAGAAGAGTCACAGAGCCCGAATCGGTGTGCTCACAGATCCTGCTGGTTCCGTTCGCACCACCGAGATCACCGGCAGCGACGGGAGGATAGTGAGCGAGTCGCGCTTCGCTGTCATTATGCTGATGCGCTCCCAGGAATGTTTCCGGTGGAGCGTCGATACACTCGGCAAGAGCGCGTAGAACACTCAGATGGAGTTCATGTGCTTGCGCGAAGTGCCTCTCCAACACCTCGCGAAACCCTGGCACCAGATTTGCGTCTGGCCACACACTTGGGTAGAGTGAATCGTGGATCGAGCCCCAATCAAAGGTCTCTTTCAAATCTTTCAAGCGGCGACCTTGACGCGCCTCCAATTCCCGTGTACGACTGAGACCAGATGTGAACTCCTGGCCAACAAAGCTGTATCCTCGGTGCGGATTTGGCACGGGAGGATGAGGTGCTGTAAGTTTCTCCGCTTCTGTCAAAGAGAAGAATCGGCGGCTGTAGTCGAAGACTTCGTGTATCTCATGCGGTGAGATACCATAGTTGAATAGACTAACAAAACCCCAGCGCTGCAGTGCGGTCTGAAGCTCCTGACAGAATCGTTCTCGTTCTTGGCTGCTGCCCGTAGTGTATAACCGGAAATCCAGCTGTGGGGGCACCTTGTCGCTCATGCTTTCGATTGGGAGTTTCCACTTCGATGTACGTCTGTCCAAATGACGACAACTCGATCAAGACGTTGGCGCGAGGCCAGAGCTTGAACATTCTATATTGATGCATTGGCACAGTCGGTCCAAGTTCGGCAACAAGTCCGACAGCTGAAAGTCCGGCGGAGTCGGCCGCACTATATTAGGTCGCGACTAGCAGTAGCTGCAGACACGATGGATCCCGAGCTGTTGACTGTACTAAGTGTCACGAGCTGCCCTAGATGCAAGACGAGCCCCGGGCAACTGGAAAACTGTTGGGATTGAAGCCTGTCGAGACAAATGTCGTCCGAGACATTCAGCTTTCGCTGCTAGACTCCATGCGTTTGCCGGTGTTATCGCTGGACGCTACCGAAACGCCGGGCTCATTGCAGCAAGTGGAACAGCATGCTTGCCTGCCAAGGTAGAGATATCATCCTTCGTCGGCTACGCAGATGCGATTAATCCACGAGTCGCATTTGGCTCAGATCGTTGAGTGGGAGTTCCAAATCCATCTTGCAAGCGACTGCATAACACACATTGCGTTGCAGACATGAACCATGTTGATTCCGACTCGCGGCGAGCAGACTATGCGGGAGATGTACAAGCCACAGACGAGGAGCTCAAGACCATCTGGCATTGGAACTCCTCATTGCCACGACCCATCGATGGCCTGATCCACGATCTCATTCGTGAGCGCGCTCAGGAGCGACCAGACGCTCCAGCAGTCCACGCTTGGGATGGCAATCTCACATATTCCCAGCTCGATGCCGCAGCTGGTAGATTGGCTCATCTTCTTGCATCTCGTGGCGTGGCCGAAGGAGACATTGTGGCCATCTACCTGAAGAAGAGCAAATGGACTCCGATCGCTATGCTCAGTATCATCAAATCAGGAGCTACTGCTGTGACGCTGGATGCCAGTCATCCCGCATCTCGATCAAAAAATATCCTAGAACAGACGAACGTGCGCCTGATCCTCACATCGTCGGATCTGCGGTCTGGCATGCCAGGATTTGAGCGATGCCAGGGTATTGAATTGGACACTCACATACTTGACTCGCTGGAGACCGAATACCTGCACCGGGAGGTTGTGCCTTCGCGCTTCGTCTATATCAGCTTCACATCAGGAACTACCGGACAGCCAAAGGGTGCATGCATGAGCCACACCAATGTCAGGAGCGCTATTTACTACCAAGGGCAGGACCTCGGATTTCACAACGCCTCTCGTGTACTAGATTTCGCTCCATACTCGTTCGATGTGGCATGGAGCAACTTTCTGCATACTATCTGCGCTGGTGGTTGCCTTTGCATTGCCAAAGAAGAGGACATGCTGGAGAATCTGGCCCATGTTCTTTCTTCCTATCGTTGCACGTTAGTCAACCTCACCCCAACTGTGCTACGGACAGTGCACCCGAACCCAACGACACTCGAGACCATACTACTGAGTGGAGAGCCTCCGTACCCCGAGAACATCTCGCAGTGGGCTCACCGTGTACGGCTGCTGAATACGTATGGCCCAGCAGAGTGCACTTTCAAATCCACATTCTCTCTCGTCCAAAGCAGGGCCACCGAACGTCCTAGCATTGGCGCAGGAGTGGGATCATGTACTTGGCTAGTTGACCTTGCGGATAACTCCCGTCTCGTCTCGCTCGGTGCCGTAGGTGAGCTCTTTCTCGAGGGACCGCTCGTGGGCCAGGGTTACATTGCGAACCCAGAGCTGACTGCTGCTGCGTTCGTTGTCGACCCTCCCTGGCTGCTACACGGATGCACTTCCCATCCTGGAAGACGAGGCAGGCTGTATAAGACAGGAGACCTTGCCAGATACGATGCCGATGGGAAGCTGATTTTCGTGGGTCGTAAAGACACTGCACAGGTGAAAATCAGAGGTCAAAGAGTTGAGATGGCCGATGTCGAGCATCATGCCCGCACTTCACTCCCTCCAGGACACTCTGCTCTTGTCGATGTTGTTCGTCCAACTGACACCGACTCTCCCTGTCTTACGCTGTTCATCGAACTTGCGGGGCATGCAGTAGCCGAAAGCAAGTCCATTGTGGCCGAGCTCAGTCGCGAGCTGACGCACTGTCTCCCGGGCTTCATGATCCCTACGCTGTACTATCCAGTCGATCAGATTCCTCGTGCTGCTACAGGCAAAGCAAATCGCCGTGCGTTGCGTGATCAAGCCAGCGCAATGACGATGGCTCAGCTGCTGGAAAGACAAGCGACCATTCTTGATCGTTCCGCATATGTTGAACCCCAGAACAATATCGAACAAACGCTCCGCAACATCTGGGCCAAGGTTCTGCATGTCCCTGCCACGACCATTAGCACGCTGGATAATTTCTTGCGTTTAGGGGGAGACTCAATAAGGGCCATTTGGATGATATCTGCAGCCCGAGATCAGCACTTGAGCATGTCGATCTCGAATGTCTTTCACGCTGCGACCCTTCGTGATCTGGCCATGACCGTACGGTCGACAGATCAAAAAGGGCTGCTACCAAGCATTGAGCCATTCAGCCTGCTTCCGCCTACCTTTGATCGCGAGAGCATACGTCGAGCTGCTGCGGCCTCGCTCGATGTTGGAGCGGAAAACATCGAAGACATATTCCCATGCACTCCGATGCAGCAGGGCATGATAGCGATGACTTCTGTGAACCAGAATAGCTACATATGGAGCTGCTCCTACCAGCTTCCGCTAGCGGTCGACCTAGAGGCCCTCGAGCTTGCTTGGACGAAGGTCGTGAGGGCCGCGGCTGTGCTACGCAGCCGTATATTACACGTCGAGAGCGGTGATCTTGTTCAAGTCGTGGTTCGTCATGATCGATCTGCGAAAGTGTGGGATGAGAACGTGGAAGAATTCTCGTCTATGGGCCTTGGAACACCTCTGTTCAGACTGGGCATTGGGCGTGATAAACGAGGTCACGTACTTCATGTGCAGATGCACCACGCAGTGTTCGATGGCTGGAGCCGATCTGTAATCTTTCGAGATGTAGAAGATGTCTACCGTCAACCTTCCGCTCCGCCTCGCCTGGCGCGTTTCCAGCCATTCGTGCGTTTCGCGCTGGAGCAAATCGAACAGCTACGCACTACAAAGTATTGGGATGAGCAGCTCCGCGACTGTCAGCTCGTATGCTTCCCACCCGTGAACGATATGAAAGGAGCAAAGGAAGACTTACATGTTACCATCACCAATCTACAGCGGCCACCGACGGGTGTAACACCCTCCTCCATAATTCGCGCTGCCCTGGCGCTACTTGTAGCCAAGTACACGAATTCGGACGAGGTTGTTTTCGGAGCGACTATTAGTGGACGACAAGCATGTGTACCTGACATAGAATTGGTTGCAGGACCCACGTTCGCAGTTGTACCAGTGCGCGTCAATCTAGATTGGGATCAGACGCTTCGCGACCTGCAGATGCAGATACAAGAGCAAATGATCGAGATGCACGAATATGAGCAGTACGGCCTCCAGAACATCAAGAATGCACTTGGAGCTTCTTTTGCAAGCGATTCGCGTCTCTTCAATCTGCTACTAGTCGTGCAGCAAGACATGGATCAGCCGGCAGGCAACGATGAGAGCAGTCTCTTTTCGACGACATTTGGTGCAAATTCGGATAAGACTCTCGATCCGTTCAACTCGTACGGCATGATGATGGTCGCGACCCCTGCAGAGTCCGAGCTTTCTCTAGATGTCAGCTTTGACACAGCGTCTGTTAGCAGAAATGAGTGCAAGCGCTTTGTGGAGCAGCTTGAACACCTGCTTCATCTATTCTGCACTGCAGAACAGCAAAGTTGCAAGCTGCGAACTCTGTCGTACGCGAGTACTTCAGACGTTCAGCAAGCACTGGCATGGAGCGGCGCCACGATGCCACTTCCTTACGAACCCGTTGTCCACCTGATCCGCCGCAAGATTGAGGCTCAGTCGTCTCGTCTCGCTATAGATGCTCACGATTCAAGGCTAACGTATGATGACCTTTGGCGTCTGTCATCACAGCTGGCGATATCACTTCGAAAACATGGCGTTCAAGGCTGCATGATCCCTCTCTGCTTAGAAAAGTCTTCTTGGTTGGCTGTTGCCATGTTGGCGGTGCTGCGCGCTGGAGCCACTGCTGTACCTGTATCGTTTTCTATACCTGCGGACAGAGCGCGACACATTGCAAAGACGTGCAACTCCACAGTCGCAATCAGTTCACGGCAAGTGGTCACGTCCTGCTCTTTTGCCGGTGCGCACAAAGTTTTGCTAGTGGAAGATCTGCTTGACGAGGCCAACGAGGTTGATGAGAATGAGCTCGTTCTGGCAGATTTCCAGTACGCACACTCAAGTCCAGCTGTTGTCGTGTTCACTTCTGGTACAACTAGCTCAGCGAAGGCTGTGCTGTGGAGCCATCTTACGCTCAGCAGCAATGTGCAGGCCGCTATCGAATTGTTTGGACTGAACAATGACAGCAGAATCCTGCAGTTCGCGGCTTACGATTTTGACGTGAGCATCGTTGAGATCTTTGCAGCGCTGTGTGCTGGAGGATCTGTCTGTGTACCCCGTCAATCAGAGCTTTCGGACAGGCTATCACACGCTATCGACAGCGCGCAGGCAAATTGGGTATGCCTGACACCTTCTGTCGCTTCGTTCCTCGATCCAGCGCAGCTGCCAGCTCTGCAAACTATTGTGCTCGCGGGCGAAAAGGTGACGCCAACCTGCGCGCGCAATTGGATCGACGCGGGTCTGAGAGTGATCGTGTGGTACGGCCCAGCTGAGGCGTCCGTAGCGACTTGCGGCGTTTTGGGCAAGCACGACTGGCCGACCGGGCTCATAGGTCGAAGCAAGTATGCACGCACATGGGTCGTCGATGTTCACGACTCTTGGAAGCTGGCACCCATTGGCACTGTAGGGGAGCTCTGCATTGAAGGTCCGATAGTTGCTGATGGCTACATCGACAGTAACGCGGATGATAGTGCTTTCTCCAAGCTGACAGCTGTTGAACAAATCACGGCCGATCGCAGCGACGTATGGAGCTCGTGCTACCGAACAGGCGACTACGTCAAGTTCGACGATAAAGGCAGCCTCGTCTACGTGGGTAGAGGTACCGACACATGGGTTAAGATACACGGCAGACGCATACAGCTTTCCGATGTCGAGGAAGCGGCTCGAACATTCTTTGCAGGTCGACCAGATGCTCGCATTGTAGCAGATGTGGCATCTTTCGCCGACACAAACTCTGCAAACCTGGTACTTTTTGTATGCAGCAACGGACAGCGTGGAGATCAACATGAGCTGAGTCTCGACAGCACACGGGACACACATCTGTTCCCGCTGCTGCGGCGTCATCTGGCCAGTCTACTCCCAGAGTACATGATCCCCACATACTTCATTCCGGTTGACACGATCCCGCTCGCTAGGACTGGAAAAGTCGATAGACGAAGGCTTCATCGTTTCGCCAACAAACTTCGTCGCGAAGAACTACTGATTCTTGCCGACGCAGGAGCCATTGATGAGCAATCCCTATCGCATTTGGAGAAGCTTATAGCGGAAATATGGGCACCTGTGCTTGGGATTGATCTTGCTCGAATTCGACGTGACGATCATTTCTTCCGCCTGGGAGGAGACTCAGTCGCCGCAATGCGTTTGGTCGCCCTGGCTGACCGCAGAAATGTCCGTATTAGTACGGCACAGGTCTTTAAGCATCCCATTCTGTGCGACATGGCCGCCAGAGCAATTACCAGCGATCATCGCACGTTTGAGGTAGTTCCGACGTTTTCTCTGCTGGACACTAAGGACATCGCCACTGCAATTAGTGCTGCAGCTCGGCTGTGTAATGTAGCACCTGCCAGAGTCATGAACATGTATCCATGTACGGCGCTGCAACAGGGACTGCTAGCGCTCACTGCACGAAATCCGGGACAGTACGTGTCTAGAAGTGTGTTGCAACTGCAAGACGACATCGACTCCTTGCGATTTCAACGCGCCTGGCTCGAAACCGTAGAAGACTTTTGTATACTCAGAACCCGCATCGTTGACCTCCCCGGGGCGGGACTGGTGCAAGTTGTCTTACAAAACCTACCTATGCAGCACGGCTCAGATGTTGAGAAATACCTTCAGGCAGACGAGCGACAGCACATGTCCTTGGGAGACGACCTTTGCCGCGCAGCCTTAATCGATCGTTCCTTCGTTCTCACGATTCATCACAGCATATACGATGGCACTTTCCTTTCCATGCTCCTCAGCAAGCTTGAGGCAAAGTACTTCTCGAGAGCAGGACAAAGCACAATGTCCTTTGAAGTCTTTGTGCGGCATACATTGCGTGTCCCAGTCGATGATTCCAAAGAGTTCTGGAGACGTAGATTCGCCACTATCGAATGTCAACCATTTCCACAGCTACCACCAGAAATCAACGAGCCACGCGCTAACCGTGAATGTGCCCGCGATATTGCTGTGCGCTGGCCACGCGAGGGCAGTACACCTTCAATCGTAATTCAGTCCGCCTGGACCGTACTTGCGGCACGCTTCTCGATGACTGATGCAGTATGTTTTGGTACGGTCCTGAGCGGAAGACAAGTTGATCTGCCCGGAGTAGAGAACTGTGCTGGGCCAACCGTCTGCACAGTTCCCATCCCGGTTTCTGTCGATTGGAAAGAAAGCATCGCGGCCCTCCAGATTCGACTTCGACAGCAAGACCTGGATGCGTTGCCTCACCAACAGTACGGGATCCACAACATTGCCAGCTCAGCAAGCAAATCTAATCCTCAAGATTTGTTTCAGACACTGCTAGTCGTACATCCCGCCTCAACTGGCAAAACACTGCAGTCAGACAATCCCATATTCAAAGCTCGTAGCTTTGGAGCCACGTTGGCCACCCTGGGCACTGACCCTTTCAATGCCCACGCGCTCATGGTGTCATGCTGGCTGAGCACTGATGGCATTCGCCTAGTCGTGAGCTTTGACGATCGCGTCCTGACTGAGTCTCAGGTCCAAATGATAATGCACACATTCGACCGCACTCTTCAAGACATGTGTGAGCGCCCTGAGAGAGATCTGGGCGAAGTTGCCGCAGTGTCGGCTGAAGAGCTCCATTCCTTCTGGAGTCAGCAGCCAGAAGCTCAAGAGTATTATCACGGCGGATCGATTAAAATCAAGACCGTTGCGCGGGTGCAGTATGACCCTGTCAAAACGCGTGAAAGGCAAGATGACACTTTTGGAAACTCAAGTACGCCTCAGCAACCCGACCGCCTTCGTGAGCAAGCCGCATCTTTGTGCGGCCTTGACGTAGACAATATCGAAGATCTGTATCCATGCACACCGCTGCAGGAAAGTCTGGTCGCGCTCTCCGAGCGGCGACCAGGAGACTATGTCGGAAACGACACTCTCCAACTAGCGCCGTCAGTGGACCTTCTTCGATTTCGCGCTGCCTGGGAGGCTGTCGTTCAGGCGATACCCATTTTGAGGACACGAATTACCCACATTCCCGGTGAAGGCTTGGTCCAGATAGTCGGGCGTGATGCGGCCCCATGGTCGACTGCAAGTACTTTGTCCGAATTTGCCCGCGAGGTGCAGCAAACGCCAATCTTTGTGGGGGCTTCACTTGCCAGATACGGACTCGTAACTGACCAAGACAAATCGAACTGGATCTTCGCCTTAACAATACACCACGCAGCTTATGATGGCATCACCAACACTCTGATTCGTGAGGCACTCGGGGCATTTTACGATCAGCAAGCGCTGCCTCTGCTACTTCCGTTCCGGCGGTTCGTGAACGACACTATGTCTCGTGATCCGGACGCCGAGCGTGATTTCTGGAGTGCTCAATTTGAAGGTCTGGATGTGCAGCACTTTCCCTCGTTTTCGCATAATCAAATGCCTCGGCCTGACTCGTTGCTCACGCAATCTGTCGAAGGGTTGACATGGGGCAAAGGTGACATTCTACCTTCGACCATCGTTCGAGCCGCTTGGGCGCTGGTGTGCTCAAGGTACTCCAGCTCCCACGATGTTGTCTTCGGAACGATTGTGTCCGGCCGTCAGGCACCGCTTGATGGCATTGACCGTGTTTGTGGTCCTACGATTGCGGCATTGCCTGTCAGGATCCTCGCGAGACCGGGAACTGAGGTGGGCGCTTTTCTGCAGGCGGTGCAAAGTCAGGCTCTTGAGATGATACCATTTGAGCAGACTGGTATAGCACGTATATCCAGTATTAGTGAGTATGCGCGTGAAGCTTGCGACTACAGGTCTATGCTCGTCATTCAGCCTGAGCAGAACATGCAGATGGCTGAGAGTACACTATTCATCGCCCAGGATTCGGACCACCAATCGCTGGACTCATACCATAGGTTCAACAGTCACGCGCTCATGGCTATCTGTACGCTGGGCAAGCAGAGGCTGTCCTTCCAGTTGAGCACCGACTCCGGGATCATCGACGAAGACACCACTTCACTCCTAGCCGGTCATTTCTCGCAGGCTGTTCGCGAGCTGTGCGAAGCCAGCACTAGTGCGAGACTTTCTGAGCTGAGCATGACTACGGAGCAGGAGCTGGACCAGATATGGCGCTGGAATGAACTCATTGAATCGTCAGCAGACACGTGCGTACACGAAATGATATCAAGAGTAGCTCAATCGACGCCAAATGCCATCGCCATCTCTGCATGGGATGGTGACCTTACCTACGAGCAACTGGACAGACTTTCAACCTCGATCGCCCAGCGAATACTGAAATTCAAGATCACCGACAACCAGATTGTTCCAATCTGCTTCGCAAAGTCCATGTGGACCACGGTAGCCTTCCTTGCGGTGGCCAAAGCTGGCCATGCGGTCTTTATACTGGAACCTAACTCGCCCGAAACTCGTTTGCGAAATATCATGGTTCAGATCAAGCCCGAATTGATAATCACCTCGAGTTCAAATGAGCCACTATGCTCGAAGTTCTGTGAGCAGGTCCTCTGCGTCGACTCCGCGTTGGAATCAGTATCCTGCCATGACCTGAATGACAACCCTGATCTTCAGCTACCTCACGTCACACTGCAGGATACAATGTACATCATCTTCACTTCCGGTAGCACTGGAGAGCCCAAAGGCTGCATGATCTCCCACGGCAATATGAGCAACGCAGTGGCGCTGCAGAAGTCCTGTCATCGAATTGGCGGCACATCACGGGTGTACGACTTTTCTGCATACTCGTTCGACGCGCATCACTGGTGTCTAACACACACTCTTTGTGCCGGCGGTACGCTCTGTGTGCCTTCCGAGACTGAGAAGCAAGATCGACTGCTGGAAAGTCTCCAGTCGTACCGCGTGACTGATCTGCTCGTCACACCCGCGACTGCAAGAATGATAGACCCAGCTTCCGTTCCCACACTTCGCAACGCCATCATCGTGGGAGACAGGATGCATAGCGAGGAACTCACTCCATGGGCGGCTAGCACCAATCTCACATATGCATACGGGCCATCGGAGACAACCTGCTGGGCGACAAGCTGGAAGGTGCCATGTTCGGTGCCGCGAAGCATCATGATTGGCAAAGGCAACGGGCAGGTAACTTGGATTGTGGATCCTGACAACTTCGATCGGCTTTCTCCAATAGGAACTGTCGGTGAGCTGTGCTTAGAAGGCCCCCTGGTGGGGCAGGGCTACTTTGGTAACGATGGAAGCACACGTGCATCATTCGTCGACTCTCCTTTATGGCTCACGAGAGGTTGCGAAAGTGCCCAGGGAAGGCAGGGGCGGGTCTATCGCACTGGCGACCTGGTCAAATATAACCCAGCAGACTGCAATATCATCTTTGTAGGACGAAGAGACAACCAAGTCAAACTCCACGGCAGGAGACTCGAATTGGGAGAAATTGAACAGCACCTCGTCAACGGCTTGGCTCGAAGAACAACGCCACCGCTTCTCGCAGCAGAGCTCGTCACGCCCGCCGCCTTAGCGAGGCCTGTCCTTGTGGTCTTTCTGCAAGTCCAGGAATTGAATTGGGAGACGCTGCAAGGCCAGCTAGAGGAGCTCCGTAGCGAGTTGGGGGAGCGTTTTCCGTCGTACATGATACCCTCCACATTCGTACCTCTGTCGGCGATGCCACTCAACTCTTCAGGCAAAGTCAATCGCAGGAAGCTGAGAGAGATTGGAAGCGACTTAGATGTTGCCCAACTTGCAGCTTCGTCGACTCAATCGATTGCTTCTCCTCCAGCAACGGACCGAGAACGCAAACTGCAGAATATGTGGTCACAAACACTGCACATCTCTCTGGAAACAATTGGGCAGGACAGCAACTACTTCCGCGTCGGCGGAGACTCCATCTCGGCCATGCAACTAATGACGACCGCCCGTCGGCAGGGCTTTTCGTTGGCAGTTTCCCAGATATTGACAAGGCCGTGCCTGAAAGATATGGCAGATGCGATGGAGCCGCTGGATGTAGGAGCACAGGCACCCAGCATCGAACCGTTTTCACTTCTGAATCATCCTAGAAAGCGTGATGAGATTCGACGTGAGATCTCCCGCCAGTGCAGCGTGAGCATCGACAGCGTGGAGGATGGTTATCCCTGTACGGCTGTGCAGAAGTCCCTTCTCGCTGTCACCTCAAAGCGGCCAGGAGACTATATAGCGCGCATTCCAATCGAACTAGCCGACGAGGTCGACCTATCTCAACTCCAAGAGGCATGGGAGCAAGTGAGTAACGTGGCGGCGCCGATTCTACGTAACCGAGTCGTGGCTATCGAAGATGAAGGTTTTGTTCAAGCGCAGTTGCGACTTCCTCTGGAATGGAGCGAGCACGAAAGCGTCGAATCGTTTCTGGAATGTGATAACAACCAATCTATGGGGCTGGGTACAAGTTTGACGAGATTGGCTATCGTGAAGGACGCGAAAGCCAGCAGAATCCTGTGCATCCTGATCCAGCATCACGCCATATATGATGGGGTGTCCATTGCCCTATTGCTGGACAAGGTGAGCAGCGCATACAAACGGACCGACAAGTACACTACTCCCGCTCCTTTCCAGCGATTCATTCAGCATGTCCTTGGGATAAGCAAAGAAAAGTCCAGGGACTACTGGAGAAAGCAGTTCTCAGGCTGCAAGGCGACCAGTTATCCCGATCTTCCTCATGAAGGGTATCAACCACAAGCCAATAGTACTGTCTCTGCCAGTATCGCAGGCTTGACCTGGCCGAAGCAAAACGTTACCCCTGCTATCGTCGTACGAGCAGCGTGGGCAATCCTATCAGGCTGTTACACCGACTCTGAAGACGTGGTGTTCGGAGTGCTCAGTACAGGTCGCCACGCTCCAGTGGACGGGATTGAGAACATAATTGCGCCGTTGATCGCTGCACTACCCGTGCGGGTTCCACTGGAACCGACCACGACTGTGCACAAACTGCTCTCCGCGATGCAAAACCAATCGATCGAGATGACCCCATATGAGCAGACGGACCTGTCTGACATTCAATCCTCGAGCGAAGATGCCGCTTCTGGAGCCAAATTCAACGCTTTGCTTGTCATCCAACACTCGGATCAAGCGGCTGGACTGACGTGTACGAATGGGCCATTCCAGCACGTCTCTCATTCGTTGCATGATGGAGACCTGAATCACTTCAACCCTCACGCAGCTATGATCATGTTACAGTTGAACCGTTCAGGAGATCTCCGTATTGAGGTCAACTTCGATGCCAAAGTGATCGGATCTGCACAAGCAGAACTTTTGCTCGCGCACTTTGAGCGGATTTTGCGTCAAATATGTGCATCGTCACCTGTCGACATGGTCAAAGACATCAGTGCGTTGAGTGAACGAGATATCGAGACGCTGTGGAAGTGGAACGCCGAACCTCCAGCAGCGACCCCTGCATGCGTGCACGATTTGATTGCCAGCACTGCTTCCACGTATCCCGACAGCCAAGCGCTTTGTGCATGGGACGGCGAGCTGACATACCATGAGCTTGACACGCTGTCAAACAAACTGGCCAAGCAGCTGCTGCATTGCGGCGTGGCGCCTGGCAGTGTCGTCCCACTTTGCTTCGAAAAGTCCATGTGGCAACCAGTGGCTGCTCTGGGAGCAATGAAAGCAGGCGCTGCTTGCGTTTCTATTGACTGCACGCAGCCGGAAGGGCGACTACGCTCGATTATTGCTCGGATCGAGCCCAAATTCATCCTTAGTTCCAATGCCAACCAAGCCATGGCTGACAGGCTGTACACCGCGACTGTGTTAGTCGTTGGGCAGGATTTGCGCGAGTTGCAGCCGCTTAGCGACATCTCCCTTCCCAGAGTCAGTTCGCACGACATGCTGTACGTAGTCTTCACCTCCGGCTCAACTGGCGTGCCGAAAGGGGTTGTCACCACCCATCAGAACTTCGCTTCAGCAGCGACACATCAGAGGAAGCGCCTGAAAGTGAGCCATGGGACCCGCGTCTTCGATTTCGTCTCCTACAGCTTTGATGTGGCGTGGTCGAATCTTCTCAACACCCTCATTTGCGGCGGCTGTCTTTGCATCCCGTCTGAGAGCGATCGCAAGAACGACATTCCTGGGGCCTTCAACAGATTGAAAGCTAACTACTCATATTTCACACCTACTGTCGCCCGTTCTCTGAATCCCCTGGCCTTACCGGAACTGAGAATACTGGCGATGGGCGGTGAGCCGATACCTGCGACTGAGATCAGTCGGTGGAGACAGGTAGAGAGCGTCGTGGGAATTTATGGCCCGGCAGAGTGTGCGCAAGCACTGTGCTTCATCGACTTGACGCGCGAAAGCCCTTCGAAGCATGTCGGCCGGTCATTCGGTGCAAGGACTTGGCTTGTTGAGCCTGGTCGTGTTGATCGACTGGCTCCTATTGGTGCCGTGGGAGAATTGGTCATAGAAGGCCCAGCCGTGGCCATGGGCTACTGGAATGACGAGGAGACGACAAATGCATCGTTTCTAGCATGTCCAGCCTGGCTCGCGGAAAGGAATGGCAATGCCAGCCGAGTTTACAAGACTGGTGATCTCCTTCGATACAACGCCGAGGACGGCACTCTCATATTCGTTGGTCGAAAGGATCAAATGGTCAAGCTACGAGGCCAGCGGATCGAGCTGAGCGAGGTTGAGCACCACGTGCAAAAACTTCTGCGAGCGCACACGGCATTGTGCAAATCCGTCGCCGCAGAGATCATCACGCCATGCAACAGTAAGGCACCCATTCTCGCGGTGTTCCTGGCCCTAGCGGACCAGGACGTGGCCTCGCATGATCGACTCGACCGGACGTTGCGCCTGACTCGAGCCCTGGAAGAAGTTGAAGAAGATCTCGTGGAGGTCCTGCCGCAATACATGATTCCAGGAGCATACATCGTCCTTGATGAGATGCCAATGACGACCACGGACAAGATAGATCGTCGAGCTCTTCGACAGATAGGAGGCCAGCGAAGACTCGAAGACCTTGCCAGCATGCAACTCCATGGAGGGAAGTCCTCGCAGAAGTCGCCAAGCACAGACATGGAGCGAAGGATCCAGCAGCTCTGGTCGCAGATTCTGGGTATCGAGGCTTCGAGCATCAAGTCTCAGAGCAGTTTCCTGCGTATTGGAGGCGAGTCGATATCTGCGATGCGCCTAGTCGCCGCGGCGAGACAAGCTGGGATCTCTTTCACTGTTGCAGATATCTTTCGCAACCCTCGACTGAGTCAATTAGCGCAGGTGGCTGAGGAGATCCAGGTGGAGCCAGAGCTGAAGGCAGCATCGTTCTCTCCGAGAAAGCCTTTCTCACTCTTGCCAACAAGTGCTTCGAATGGGCATATGGAGTTCCTTTACGACGTCGTGGAACCCCTTCTCGGCGGTGGGGTGGATGTGGATGATATACAAGACGTGCTTCCTGCGAGTGACTTCCAAGCTCTCGCTGCACGAGAGGCCTTGCAAACTCCGCCTGGACGCCTGCCACACTTCCTTCTCGATCTTCCAAGAGACATTGACGTTGCTCGTCTGCGATGGGCCTGCAAGCGCTTGACCGAGCACTTTGGCATTCTTCGGACTGTGTTCATCGAACTAGAAGGAAGAGTGTGGCAGGTGCAGCTCAGCAACTTGAGGATGCGCTTCGAGGTTACCAAAGCGGAGAACGAGGACATCAATGCCAAAGTCCAAAAAGTCTGTGAGCGAGACCTGAAGAGACGGAAGACGTGGGGTGAGACTCTGGTAGCCTTCATGGTGGTGACGAGCCCTTTGCAACAACAGAAGTTCATCTTCAGAATGTCGCACGCTCAATTCGACGACCACAGCTGCGCATCAATGTTTCAGGCTTTGACAGCGTTCTACCTTGGTGAGAGCATGCCAGCACCACGGACAGGGTTTGGAGATCTTATTTCTTTCCGCGAGCACAACAAGACTGCAAGCCTTGAATACTGGCGGAATCGCCTATATGGTGCCTCAGCACAGTTCCACGCTGAAAAGACCAACCAGGATCATGTTGTTCTGGCGCCGGGAGATCCATTGTCGTTCCAGATCAGTATACCACTTCCACCGTTAAAGGCGTGTAGAGGTATACCACTGGCCACGATTTTCCATGCAGCATGTGCGATTGTGCTGGAACAACAATACAAATCGCAGGACGTTATCTTCGGACGCCTTGTCATAGGCCGCGCGCTGCTTCCTGCAGAGCTTCAGGAGACCGTCGGTCCTTGTCTGGTGGAACAGCCCATAAGATATCGAGTGCAATCCGGAGATGACCTCTGGAGTGTTGCACAGGGGCTGCAGCGGCAGTTCATTGAGGACGCAAGCCACGAAGCAGCTGGCATGGTAGAGATTATTCGTCAGGCGACATCTTGGCCTGCCGAGTGTTGCGATTTTGGCTGGAGGACAGCGTTTCAGCAAGGAGATGGTGGCGTGCTACCATTCCTGGGCCAAGCTGGAGTGCGCATTACTGCATTCGAGAGACCGCATCCTCCGCGCTGTCGACCCGAGATATATGCTACGCCAGGATCTGACAAGCTCGAGCTATCTTTCGAGGGCAATCGCGTGACGCACAATGAGGAAGAGGTCCGATCGATCGTTGAACAGGTAGCGAAGTTGCTTGCAACATGTGTTGCGTAGTTAGGGGACCGTGGTAGTTCCAGCATCATGCAGCGCAGAGACTCAGGAGGTAGAACGATCCTCAAAGAACGCTTCCTTGCTTCAGAGGGCGTCAACGTGACATTCGATCGAGGTAAATTGTAAGCCGTGCTGTCTTTTTGGACCCCTCTGGTCCATGCGATGTTTGGCTGAGCGCGATCCGAGCTGGGCCTCATTCTCTCTGGTCGTTCGAAATTCCAACAAACATGCGCAACTCGAGGGCGTTATTTCTCCCTGGAAACTGCCTCGGCATTCTTCTTTGCTTGCTCCTGTGCCAGTTCTTTGCACACTGGACTCTTCTCTCTCAACTGGGGTCCATACCTGATAAATGCGAAAGGAATCAAGCACATGGGCAAACTCAAGAAGCCCAGAAGACTGCAAGCCCACGCGACGCCAAGCGCGTCATACATAGGCCGAGCCGCAAAAGGCAGCACGACTCCAAAGGTACTCCGTGCGATGCTCGTTGCACCGAGCGCACTGGCGGAGTAGATCTTATAAGAATCTACCAGGTAATTGAAGAGAGCGATGAAGATGAGGACAAATCCGATGCCGAAGGGAACACCACCGAGCATAGGCAAAATCCAATGCACATTAGGCCTTGCCGCCCATCCAGTCCAGAAGAGACCAATTGTGATGAGTGGCCCACCGAAGCATCCGAGTGGCAGACGTTGATATTCTTCTTTGGAAGCCCAGACTTTGCGTCTTTCTTTGGCCTGCTTCAGCACATGATCGTACCACAGACAAGGAGGGATTGCCGCGATGATGCCGATGCACATCGGAATGAAGGCCAACCCCACTTCTCCTTGTCCAAAGTTGTAGATAGGCTGAAAGATGACCGAGTATGCTTGGAAAAGCATAAAGATGATACCATATATCAAGGAGAGATAGAGGCAGCATGCGCTCACGATTGGCTCTGCAACAATCATTCGTAGTGGCCTGCCCAGCACTTGTGTGATCAATTGTCGTGGTGTCGTGTGTTTCAGCTCTAGAGGCGCGTAGACTTTGACGCCAGGTTGAGTTTTCCGTACTCGTCGGGCTTTCGACATGAGCAAGGCGGGTGCGAAGGTCTCTGGTAAGAGAAGCACAGGTGGTATGGTGACACCAGCGAGGATAAGTCCGAACCAGAATGGCCACCGCCAGCTGATCTCAGCAAGATATCCAGATGGAATAGGCCCAGCCGCGGGTCCAAATGAAGCTACCACCATGAACCAAGCAATGGACCGCCCCCGCCAGACCGGATTGTCAAGGACATCTGCGAAGAGTCCTCCAGTGAGCGATATCGGTGTAGCGCCGAATAGCCCTGTCAAGAAACGAAAGATGATGAAGGCTGCCCAATTGGGGGCCAGGGCGCAGGCCAGCATGAAAACAGTGTATGCTATGAAGGTGGTGATGATGATCCATCGTCGTCCATAAGACTCTGAAATAGGGGCCCAGATTGTCGGGCCTACCACATAGCCGATGAGGTAGACGGAGTTTGGTAGCACAAGCTGTTCCTGGCTGGCGACGTTGAAGTGCTGTCGCAGCTGCGGCGAGGCCAAACTAGGAAGGGAGCTTGCAATGGTACTATTCAAGCCGATCAAGCTACCGATAGCGATGATACCGATCTTCTTGGCCGTCGACCAATTGTACGGGTTGGTCTTGTCGCCATTGCTGAACGAGACAATGTCGTGTGAGCCTGAGGCCGGATCAGTAACGATGAAATTCGCTGGACAAACAAAAGCTTACCACCAGCTGCGCTGAGATCTTGGGACATGTCTCAATGGATGCGCAGATGAGGCCAAAGATGGAAGTGCAACGCCTTCGCCGAGCATCGAGACGAGCTCGCTCGATGATCTGCACAACTCCTCCCATGGTCCTCGGCAATTCTCTCAGCCGCTGATATGAGCCGGCTGCCAGCGTCACGCACGAATGCCATTGTGAATCATTGGATTTTGACACCCGTTCGACTTCTCACACCGTCCGGAGTGATCCCTGTTGCAACCTCGGTGGCGAGAAGTGTATGCCAGCTGGACTGAGGAGCGTGGGTTTGCGAGGCACATTACGTCATCATCAACACGCCGGGTCTGGTGTCTTTGAGTTCTGCTGAGTTCTGAGTCCTAGTGGCGGCGGTCTTCCTTCTGAGGCCACTCCCAAGCCGAGTCCGCAGAGCACAACGCGTTGGCCCTTTGCACGTCTCAGAAAGCCAGTGGAGGACAATCCTGCCTGTGACTTAAAGGCAAACCCAGGACACCGGGAAATAGAAACCGGAAGTGTTGTGGACAGAGAGCGTGACAAGAATCGTCCGAAGCCCTGCTGCGTTGTCGAAAATCTGAGCTCTGTGGAACCGATAGTGATCTGATTCGCAGAGTGCCAGCGCCTTGTGGCGACTTCGTGGGTCGATATTTCATTTCACTTTCGCGGCGGGGTATCTACATCTATGCGCTCAGCCATGCTTTCAACAGAACTTTTGATTGTCGCTACTCCTTCCAGTCGAATACCAAACTCACGCCATCATCTCCCGCCGTCACCACATACTTGCCCGCGACACCCGATTCTGAGCTGCCGTTCCCCTGCACGAAGCCCAAAATGCCTCCTCTTTCCCCATCGTTCTCAATGTGCCCCTTCCACTCCTTCAACAAGCCTTGGTCTGCTGAAGCTGCCATTCCGCCTCGAACATCCCACCTCCGCACAACGCCATCGTTTCCGCAAGATGTGAGCAAGTGGCCACGAGGGTTCGCCGTTCCGAGGGGTGTTTTGGTGAACTCGACTTTGATGACCGCGTGCGGGACTTCGTCCAGGGCGTGAGCGTCTTTGATGTGCCGACGTACTGAAAAGTTCTTCGCCGCGTCGAAGATGGCGATGCTGCCGTCGACACTGCCGGCGGCGAGTAGCGTGAGGGGCGGTTGGGAAAAGTCCAGTGTTTCGATACCGTCAGTTTGTGCGGCGAACGCTGCGAGAATCTGACCAAAGTTGCCTGTTGAAGACGCGGCTGGGGCTTGCTTGGCGCCTCCAGCTTTGGCTTTTGCGCCTGCACCTTTTGTGCCCACTGTGGACTGTTGTTGGGCTGAGAGCCTAGGCAGAGAGACAACACGAACGTTGCCGAATGCACCTCCGACTGCTACGATGCCGCCACCAGGCGAGATCGCGGCGGAGTACAAGCCTCCGTCGACCTTGAAGCGTTCGTCCTCGGCCGTGAGTTGGATGAGAGCTTGACTGCCATTGGGATTCGTGACTCCAGCAGCTGCTGCCTCGCCGAACACATCCCAAACGAAAAGAGAGCTGGCTTCGTCGACTGTGGCAAGTAATTGGCCTCCTGGTGTCCAAGCTCCGGCTGTGCAAGGTGTTTGGTGGAGGAAGAATGATTGCACCATGTTCAAGCTTTGCCCCTCAATGGTGTAAACCCAGACACTTCCATCTGCGGCACCCAGTGCTATTGTGTTGGCGTACTGCTCGTTCGAGGAAGGACATGGCAGTATCCAAGTGATGTCGTCGACTTCTTTCGCCGAAGCGACCAACTTGGCTTCGGAGGATTGTGATGTAGGTGTCGTGAATACGTTCAGTGTCCCCGCTGCTGTTCCTGTAACGATGAACTCCCCTCTTGGTAGGGTGAATGCAATCGCGTTGACTGTTTCATCTTGTGGCCCTAGCCTAGCCACAATCTCCTGTGATTTTCGCTCCTTTGGCTGAGGATTTGTCTCGTAGCTGGCAGGCAGAACTGGCCCCGGCTCGGGTGTTGCATCCCACAGATATGCCGTGTCATCTCCTCCTCCTGTCGCCACGAGTTCTGGTCGCAAGGGGTGTTGCGCGACGCAGTATACACTGTCTTTGTGCCCATCAAAGTGTGCCACGCTGTCGTTTTGCAGCTGTATCGTCTGTTGCACCTCGCCTTGTCCGTCATCTTCATCTCCCGAGTCCATGGCCGCATCGCCGTCATCTTCCACGATCTCCTCGGCCTCATTGGGATCCAGCATCGCGGCATCTTCTTCGTGGGGGTTTTGTTCGGCCATTTTGATTCTGTGAAAGTGTGTATGGCTTGGAGTGGGGACGAGAATCGGTTCCCGCGAACATGGAATTTATTTCAACGAGCTGCTTTGAAATCTGAAATCGATGTCATCGCAAGCTGTCGGCCTGCAAGTTCTTCCGATCCGAGCTTAGTCATCTGCTGTCACACCGCCTCGAGGTCCCGATCGTCGCCCTCTCGATTCTCTTCTTCACAATCTTGATCTCGTCGACCTTCCGGCAGCACCGCTTGACACGAAGCCATCCGCCATATCGCTGCCATATAGAAGGGCTGATACCAGACTACCGTGCATGACTTTGCTCCTTGGCGACGGGTCAGGACAAACGTCACCTTCACCGCAGCATGGAAGCACTGTCCGCTGGGGAAACAGCAGCTGTCTGTATATGATGAACCGATCGAATGCAAAAACCCTTCTCGCCGCCTCGCAGTCCATGGCCAGTGTCAGAACGCCCGCAATCTCGCCTGCAAAGGCAAGCCATGGCCTTCTCTGGCCAGACAGCACTGCCAAGCGGTCCAGATCAATGCACCGCAACTCTACTCCCACGTGGCAGCGTGGCTAGTCCGCATCGGTCCTGCTTAGGCCTCAATTAGGCGTATGGACACCACATGGCGTTTTGGGACGAGGCGGCAATACGGACGCCTCTACGGAATGTCCGATTCCACGTGTCGTGCGCCTGCGTCTGTGCAGACAAGACCTGCAGGTACAAGTATGCAGCGCCTCTCACAACGGCGTGACCTGCTGGTCCATCACTCATCAGATCTCCATATCGCCCCAGCGCCACCATGTTCAAAACCCTACTTCTCGCAACCGTTGTTGGTGCCGGTGCAGCCAACATTCCCCTCGAGGAACGAGGCAACAGTCCTCCTTCGTACCAGTGCTCGTCTGTCAACAAAAAATGCTCGCAGGCCAAACAGGTGTCGTCAGTCTCTGCCTACTGCTCCTCGTACCTGAAGGTCCCGAAGACTGCCACGAAGACCGTGACCAAGTGCCAGACCACAACCGCCTATTCTACCATCTACACGAAGACCGTCACGAAGCCGGCCACCACGACGGCAACGACAACCATCACTGGCTGTGCTTACCCTTCCCGGATTCCTGCCCGCGAGCCCGTTGAAGGCGGTACTCGCAAGCGCGATGCGGAACCGGATCTTGACAAACGCTATGGCTATCCTGTGCAGAAGCCGTCTTGCCTCTCTAGCTACAAGAAGTCTAGCGAGATCACCAGCGCCTGCAAATGCTTGTCTCTGAAGCCAAAGACTACCCAGACCACGACAGTGACCACCACCAAGACTGTCTCCAAGCCCTACAAGGTACGCGATTTGTTATCCCGATCGAATGGTCCGTGCTGACATGTTCTAGACTGAGTCGACGGTCTATGACGAGCCATCAACCAAGACTGTCTATGAGATCCCGCCGAATCCCACGTTCGCCATTGCACGAGCTGACAATCCTTACGAATTCCTGCAAAACCCAGCGGGAGGGGGTATAGACAAGCGTATAGAAAGTGGTCTTGGCTCGGGCAAGGAGTCAGGGAGTGGCCTGCCATTGTTCGCTGCACCAGGGGCTATTACTCTCGACGACGCGATTCTCTTCCAACTCAACAACGCAGGCGGACTCAACGGCGAGATCCGCATCGTTGACAGCGGCATGGGAGGCTCGCGAACCGGTCAAGGGCTTGGCGTCAACAAATATCCGCAACAAGGACAACCTCCAGACAACAATCCAGTCAATTTTACGCCAGTCTCGCCGCCTGCGTCTCCGCTGTTGACTCCCATCTCGTGCAGCATATCTCAAAACGCAGCAGACGGCACTTGCCCTATCGATTGCGAGGTTCCTGAACTCGCGGGAGAGGATGTGAACCAGCAATTTGAGGGCAGCGATCTGTGGTTTCTGGGTCCTGCTGGCACGACCTCTGACCAGACCTATATCACTTATGCTGTCACGAAGGAGCCAGAGCCAGCTGAGGAGCCAGGAAATTCCCCGCAGGAAGGCGAGAGACGACAGTCTGGCGGCGGCAACAAGAAGCGTTGGCTCGACGGTGTGCCAACTGGGCACGGTGGCAATCCGGAGGTGTGATGGCACTTATCGTTGTCTAATGTATGGCGATGCCTAAATAGTAGACGAATATTCCAAAGCCGTTTAAAATCAAGAGACGAGCGCGATTGTCAGTCGCGTGCCACCAATTCGGCGTTTGAGAGTTTGTATGCGAGATCTAGGTACAGACTCAACGCACACAGCGAATCAGTGCTGACCCTTGTCAAAGTAGAACGTTGTGTCATTTTCCCTGCAACTCGACCGCTACAGCCGAGAAGACCTCCGCGAACATGCCTTGAGGCTGCACGTCCATGCTCAGCACCATGCTGGTACTGGCGCTCGATTTGACTCAAATTCTGCTTAGGACAGACACCCAGCATTCAAGAGGCGGCGTCTCGATATTAACTCTGCCTGTTCTAGATATGCAGTGTTTCTGAAGAACAGAAGTGACGGCTACGCAGTGATAGTAATTGGCCGCATCTAATGCCTTATGACCGTAATGAGAGCTTGACGAGAGGCAGGAGTGCAGTCCGACTTACGACATGTCTCGTCGAATTTTCCAATCGCACAAAATAGAGGTCCAAAAGTTAGGACGTAGATAAGGGTATGAATAGTCTTGTAAAACAGAAAGCCATTCTCCAACAGATCCACAAGACTTCTCCGCCTCTACTCGACCGGCTGATCGCCTCGGCCAGCACAGTAATTCAGATTCCGGCATCTTCCAGGTTCCAAATTTGCTCTCGGACCTAGGATTTTTACATAGCGAGTACAGTGTTTGTACAACGACTGGTGGTGGTCTTCGCTTCGAATCTGATGCCTTGGGGCTAGTATGTAGGATCGGATCCCGTCTGCTTTGTTCACGAATACGAAATAATCAAGTCTGTTTGTACAGGTTCTTGCGATCAAGTAGAGCACTCGGCATTCCCATAGCACGTGCTTGGAGTGCTCGAACATGAGCATTGACACGCTGTGCGTACGCGAAGCCCGCAATGGATGAGTTTTTCGTGCTCTTGGCTGCTATGACAAGGTTGTGTAGAGAACACAGTATAGGACTGTCGCGCAGCTTACCTGGTAGGAAGGATCTCGAGGTGCTTCTAGTGCTGCCGGAAAGGCACTTGTCGCGCCAGGTGCCAATGCAATGTCGAAGATTGCTTGAATAAGTTTCATGTCTGGATGTGATCGAGAAATATCGCCCTTACAGCGGCTGACTTTCAAGGAAGAATCATTGCCTTCGAAAGGTGAGGTGAATCCGGGAATATATATTGTGTCATGCTGGGCGAAGTTCGGAGCACGGAGCAACTCTTGCAAAGACACAGTAAACAGCAGCTTTCCTTCTGTCCGCTCTTCATCCACCACCAATGCGAAGGAGACAGAGACGATGCATCCGCATCGCACCGCACGGCGGTGTGGGACGCACTGTTGTGTTGGGGAGCAGACGGGCATCGCCCTCTCGGCGTACTGATGGCAACGCCCTCTGCAAAGCGGGGGCCTCATCACGACCTCAAACACGACAGCAGGAAGTGGAAGTGGTTGGATACCGGGCTGAACGAAGCTCTATCTGTACCTCAATGAACGCAGACCGCGAATGCGTCTGCACGTCTCATTGGACCATGGACCGGTGAGCTGCACCGCAGCCTGCAGCTATGCGGCATGAGACAGCAGGCTGAGCTGGCGACGGTGATTGCCCGTCAAACCATTCCAAACGCTGCACCACGAGGAATCCTTCTCACGACAATTGACCCTTCTACATCCCCTCGCAGCGCCTCAGGAAGGAGACCGCTCGTGGCGAGATGAACAGCAGCGACCCATTGGACAACTTCGATTTCAATGCCTTCCTCAACCAGAGCAACGGCATGCCTTCGATCGATGCCGACCTGAATGAGGCAATCTCGCCTCCGCCACCTCCAGGCGAGAAAGTGCCCGATACGAGCATCAGCAAAGGTCAGATTGGAACTGAGATTGCTGTTCGACAGCTCTACCGCAAGGACCCCACCGAGCCGTGGAAGCCTTGGAAAGCTGGCGAAGATCCGGATATCAGCAAGCATGCCGAGAGCCTCAAATATGCCTTGGTAGACCGACGCGAACGAAACAGCGAGTTTGACGAAGGGCTTTCACTACACTCGGTCACGGTGCAAAATCCAGCGCTGCGTAGACTGCTGGCCACTGTGTTTGAAGGCTACCGCGGCTTTTCGAGCACCACCACCAATCTCACTTTCAGGGCGCCATTCCACGACTTCGTTCACTGTTGGACTCAATACGAAACTGTCCAGGCCACCATTCCCCACGACAGCACCGAGTCTCAAGTTTTCACCCTCTTCACAAGCATCATCGAGCCTGAGATCCGACCTCTCTTGGCGCTCAAACAAGACATTTTGCGAGAGGGACAGGCGGAATTCCAGGACGCCTGGCTCGTCTTCACTCCGGATACTGAGGTCGCCACAACGTTGGAGGAGGGAGATCGGATCTACAGCTTTTTGAGCAGCAGATACACATCTATCCGAGACGAACTGTTTCTCGAGCTCACCGTTCGTCATGTTGGTTACGACGGCGTGAAGTTCGGATGGGAACAGGGATATCTTCTCATCGGCGCCTACGATGGACTTAAAGCTCTCCACGATTTGGACGCTGTGCCACTGCAATTCCACCCACGGCAGCAGGAGATCATTAGCGTGACGACAAGCAGAGGTCGCGACTTTGTGAACTTGCAAGGCTGGCATTACAAAGCCTATTCAGGTCGTGTGATTCCAGCTGATCAGCGGCGTCGTGTGCGTCAGGTACGTATGATCGCTGGGCAACGATCGACACAGGACCTAACCGAGGACTGCAGATTGACCACGGACGGATCGTTGTTGATACCGCCATGTACTACTCGCAAACAGACACTCCGAGTTTGCTATCTGCACTTGACCCAAGCGCATTGCCTCCAAAAGACACTATGCCACCGCGACCGGATCCTTACTTCGACCCTTTTGCTGTCACTCCAAGACCTAAAGCGAAGAAGTCCTCGAAGAGAAGAAGGAAACAAGTAGAAGCTGCTCCCATGAAACTATCGGAAGACCTTTACCATCTTTGCGCTCCATTCGTCAAAGGCTACGATATGACAACTAAACAATGGGCCACCTTCGCCGTCGACAACATCGATGACATCACATTCAGCGCAGCAGCTTTCAAGCACTTGTTCCTCCCGCACGACTACAAAGATCTCATCCTAGCTTTCGTCCAATCACATCTCAACAAAGAAGATGCGTTCGACGATGTCATCGAGGGCAAGGGTCAAGGCATGATCATGCTTCTCCATGGCCCTCCCGGGCTGGGGAAGACATTGACAGCGGAAGCCGTGGCAGAAGAGATGAAGGTGCCACTGTATGTCGTTAGCGCGGGACAATTGGGCTTCGATGTCGAAACCATGGAGGAGAAACTCCAAGACGTGCTGGACATATGTGCCAAGTGGGGCGCGGTCTTACTCCTCGATGAAGCAGACGTCTTTCTCGAACAGCGCCAACTCACCGACCTTCATCGAAATCGATTGGTCTCAAGTAAGCTTACACTCTTCCTTTTGATCCCCCTCTGAGGCCGGATCTAACCATATACTCGCAGTCTTTCTCCGCCTGCTGGAATACTACCCCGGCTGCCTGTTCCTCACCACGAACCGCGTTGCAGCATTCGACAGAGCGTTCAAATCCCGCATCGACCTCGCCATCGACTACCCTCCTCTCGACTTCCGCGCCCGCCACCATATCTGGCAAACTTTCATCCGGGCGTCGGAAGATTTCCCACAACACTACAGCGGCATCACAGATGACGAAATGTTTGATCTGGCAGAATTGGAACTCAATGGGAGGGAGATCAAGAATTTGGTCAAGACTGGACGCCTGCTGGCAAAGAGTAAAGGGGAGCAGCTTGGAATGGGACATTTGAGGAGCGTGATCTGTGTGCAGGCCGGGTTTGGAGGTGATGGAAGCGGGTTGAGGTATCCCGTGCCTGACTGGTTCCAGGCTGGGTTGGGTAGGTTGGTGGTACAGGCCACTATGAGGGTGCGAAGAGGCATAAGTTTTGCGTGAGAGCAGTGAATGGACTCAACGCAGCTTTCTATCGGCACCTTGTATGCTCTTTCGGGCACGGAACGATGGCCAGTAGAGCGGAATAGTCTCGCTGCTTTGTACACTGCCCTGCATCACCAGCACTTCCCATATTCCGCGTATTGTCTCCAAGCTTCGCACGTCAGAACGCTATCAGACTGCAGACTGCTACAAATGTTTCATGCCTGAGGCAAATATCCACCGGCCTGGCTTGGCATCCAGGTCTCGGTCCCTACCATCTCCGCGCACCTCCGCGCTCTGCAACATCATCACAAGGACGACCAGATCCATCGTGGGGCTGAAATGTGGTTCACTCAGGCTGGAACGCTTCTGATCTTTATGGGTGCGACGTTTTGGTGTGTCCCAATCTCGCCATTACCTCCTTCAGGCGAACGAACTACTTTCACTAGTTAGCGTTCGGGATCACGACTTCAGCTTTGTCTCCGCCATCTTCAAAGGCTCAAAAAGATGTCCCCAGACTTTTGCGTCGATGACGACCTTCACGCACAGGCGCGAAGCAGATCCGCGTCCGCCATCACAGGATCTGCCGGGCTACGGATCGACACGTGACGGTCAACATGCCGGAAACACAGCCTGACAGCTATTCGCAATCTCAATCTGGCCGCCCTAGAGAAGTATCACACGGGGACAATAAAGGCAAAATTTGTTGAAAGCACTAGCGGTCTTGCGCATTGTATAGCGCTTATGCCTTCTTCGGGCATCGCTGTTCGTCCTATTTTGGTCTACCAATGAGCTGAAGATTTCTTTAGGGCTGCAGTGGCAGCTCGTCACTATCGACATCGTACCACAGACCCTCACTATGTCCTTCAATGAATATTGATGACCCAACGACCACATCGGGCGAAGTGGATGTCGAAGAATATGTTGATGTTTTCGACCCTCGCTAATTAGCACGTCTTGGGGCGCTACTTCCAAGGGTCTGGGCTCATGGGTTTCCATGCACCCATACAGGGATTCATCACTAAACACGCACATGTCAGTCCGCGAAACACCGTGGCAGTACAGCCTCAAGGATCGATGCCGATGCTGAAGTAGGGAGTAGAGGGTATATCAGCGCGCAATGGCGCTTAGTCCGCCGAGGTAGGTCATACGCTCTTTACATTGTCGTTCACTCATCTGGCAAATATGCCGTCCACTCGTTCGTTGATCTTCGGCCTAGGAGCCATCGCTGGCAGCTACGCTCAGCAGCAAACCGAATATGACTACATTATCTGTGGTGGAGGCACGGCAGGATTGGCTGTGGCGAACAAGCTCTCTGAGGCAAACAACACAGTCTTGATTGTTGAAGCAGGGGTCAACGGTTCGACCGCCTCTTGGTCATACAGGAGCACACCACAAACATATGCAAAGGGTCGAGTTCTCGATCTGCCAGCAGGAAGGACAGTTGGAGGCAGCAGTCAAATTAATGGTAACATTGTGTCGCGCCAATTCAGTTTAACTCAAGCACTGACAAAGGTAAACAGGCAAGGTCTATTCTCGCCCTAATGCCCAATCTATCGATGACTGGGGCCGAGTCAACGATGGAGACTGGTCGTGGAACACCCTGCTCCCATTCTACAAGTCTTCAGAGACACTTGATGTTCCAAGTGAGGACCTTGCAGACGCAGGTTACACATACAATCCAGATTATCATGGCACCTCTGGACCTCTCAATGTCTCTTTTCCTGCGCAAGGTACTCGAGCGTACTGGGAGCTTCTGAAGAATGCTTCTGCGGCCTTTGACATCAGTGTCAACAGGGATTTCAATGGTGGCAAAGCGGAAGGCCTTGCGACCTACCCAGCAGCGTTTACCATCAATGGCGAACGTGAACAGACTCGAGAATCTGCCCGCGAGGCTTACTACCTGCCAATTGTCGGTCGCACGAACCTCGAACTGCTCGACGAGACAGTCTGTCTCAGAATCGTATTCGCCGATGCTCAGGGCGAGAACGCGACACTGACAGCAACCGGCGTTGAGATTGCCAACACCAACAACCAAACCACCATCACGGCGAGGAAGGAAGTCATTCTTGCAGCAGGTGTCTATCGCTCACCAGGTATTCTCGAGTTCTCAGGAATCGGCAACAAAGCCCTCCTCGCCAACTACAGCATCGAAGCCAAAATCGACCTTCCTGGTGTCGGAGAGAACCTTCAGGACCAATTACAAGGAAACATCTACTACGAGCGGGTCAACTCATCCAACATCACCTTTCCTTCGCCCGTTGGAGACGAGATCACAACTCCATATCTCATCCACGCCACGTACGAGCAAATCTTCGGTGATGATGCGGGGGACTTCCAGGAGAGGACAAACAGCTCGCTGTCCGAATACGCCAATACCATCTCGGAAGGTATCAACGGCACTCTCAGCGCTGACCAGATTCTCAACTCTCTCCGTGTTCAATATGAGGCTATTTTCAGCACTCTCATTCCTTCCGTCGAGATCTTTTCTGGTCAAAGTTTGAACAGCACACACTTGAATCTTGAATTCTGGCCTCTGTGAGTATTCCTTGCATGATCTTCATCGCGTCATCGATATCTGTGTCCTTCATCTGACTCTATTACCAGGATTCCGCTCGGTCGCGGCAACGTCCACATCTCAGGTGGAAACCCAGAGCGTGCAGGAGATTCTCCAAACGTGAACGTGAACTGGGGTAAGCACTTTCTGGCAGAGCACTGTGCCTCAATCTCTTGCTGACCATCATCGTGGCAGGCATTCTCGAATTCGACTGGGAAATGCTCACAGCATCTGCCCGCTTCGTCAGAAACATGTTCAAAACCGAAGCTTTCGCCGCCGAAGTCCAGGCCGAAACTCGTCCCGGCTTCAGCAATGTCTCCGAAGATGCAAGTGATGCAGAGTGGAAAGAATACTGGCAAGACAACTTCCGTGCTGGATGGCATGGCGTCGGAACTGCTGCTATGCTACCCAGAGAGTGGGGCGGTGTGGTGAATACGAACTTGACAGTCTATGGTACTGCTAATGTTCGAGTTGTGGATGCTTCGGCCATCCCATTCCAGCTTGGTGGTCATCCTACGGCGACTGTCTATGCTTTGGCCGAGAGGGCTGCAAGCTTGATTGTTAATGGTACAAGTGGTTGAAAGCTGGATCATTTCAAGAATATTTGATATAGATATGGTATTGTTCTAACTTGTAGCCGTAGTATATCACGTTCTGTACGGAGGATCCTCCTTCCTTCCGCGCCTCTGATTTCGCCTCCACACTTGCCCTGTCCGCTGATTGTAACGCTCTGTGCGATAGAAGAAATAGCTGAATGCCATTCCCTTTTGGCTTCTAGTCGTTCAGCGTGAGTCCAGATATGCACTGAGGTTTGCAATGTGGTGCGACTGGATTGACCCAATCCCGCAATGTCAAGCAGCGAATTTGCTCCTGCGCTGATTCAGACATTTCATTATTCCTGGACTGCTTGCCACTTCTCGCGCGGAAGCCCCGTATGCTGTTCATGATTGTCGTCTTCGGCAGAGACATCGATGAATTGACCGAGTGGCAGCTCCAAATGGTCCGGCGTGAGGATTCGGTTTGTAGGAAGCAGTAGTGGCCACTGGCTGTTGACCGACCGTGGCTCATCCAGTAGCTCTTCGATTGTCTCGAGTCCACAGTAAGCTTCCACTGTGTGTCTGATTGTGAAGTTCTGCCATTGCCTAGGCGACTGATCTCGATTTGATCCTGGCCAAGGGTCCATTGACCGGCACATTGACTTTAGTGTCCATCGGGAAGCCGTCGACCACGATGTCCTTTTGGAAGACCAGACAATGCGTGCTCCCGCCATAATGGAACATGCCCATTTCCTGTCCTCTCTTTACCCTCTGCCCCTTCTTGATCGTGAGTTCGGTGGTGCTGACCTCATGCAGCCCCACTGCGATGAATGCCACAGTGCCAATGGCAGGGTCGTCAGCTTCGATAACAATTACAGCTCGCGAAGAGAGGCACGACATCGAAGCCATACAACGCTCCACTTCCAGATGTCCAGTCTCCACAAGGCAGTACTCCTCCGCGAATCTCGGCACAGCAAAGTACGTTCCATCGATCCGGTAGCAGTGCCGAACGACTCCTTGCACAGGCGCATGCCAGCGATGGTACGAGTACTGGCTCAGGAACCCCTGATAGACTGTCCCTCCTTCAAACTCCATTGCCAAGTTTCGATCGTCAAACATGTCCACCAAAGAGTACACAGAGCCCTTCATCCAGAACTCATCTTGCAACTTCACCCCTCTTACCAAACTCAGTGGCATACTCTCGCAGGCATTCACAATCGCATCCTTCTCTTGACAAACTGGCCTCAACCCATCTCTGAATCGTCTTATGAAGAACGCATCCCAGCTCCCAAATCCATAGAACTCCTTCTCCGCATCACATTCAAACATCTCCTCAAACTTCAAATTCGTCCCCACCGCCTCATTCGCACTCCTCACCAACTCCCCGAGACACCCATTCTCCTTTGCCAACCAAGTGTGCAGCCCAACTCGACTCTTCTCATTTCTCAAGTAATGATACCACACCATCAGCAACTTCTTGACTTGTCTCGCAACTTCAGCATCCGTGAATGCCGCATATCCAGAAGGAGTCAGAACAGCGTAGTAGAACATGTCGTTGAACGGCAGGCCACTGGATCCCATCTTCCAGCTTGCCGGCGACCAAGGCGGAGGTTGTTGAATGTACCGACTGAGGAGTTCCAGCATATGATCATAATCGCGAACATTGACATGACCTTCGACGTCGGGCTTCAGAGTCTCTTGCCACATTTGACGGAAATGCATGTGTAAGCGGGGCCGGCTTTCGATGAAGTTCTTGAAGTCCGCGACGGCAGGGTGAAGCTGATGGGTGTCATGATGGTCTTCGTCATCATCGTCCGTATCCTTCTCGTTGATAGATAAGGCGCTACTACTACAGTGGATTCGTCAGTATGCTGCTGGGAATACCAGTTCGTGAAATGGAAGTTCTTACTCATCGAATCGAGTCTCCCTAACTTTCAATGCCTGTTTGCGTTTACACCTTGACTTCAAGGCAAACTTGATGCTAATCAATGGAGTACACAGCCACGAAGACATGTCTGCAACAGTGAGCGTTAAACCAGCGAGAAAGTTTCGGAGGCTGAAATGCAACCAAATCGAAGCAAACAAGAGAATTGCGACAACAACCTCCCGCTCAGGATTCGCAGCAGCATGAACGTAGATATCACAAATTGCTCACTTCCAAGCACTGTCCAGAAGAGGAAAAACGAGCAACGTCACGGCGTATCGGAAGTACCCGCTTCACGTTGAGGATCAGCATGAGCCCGCTGCTTCCCCGAACGATGTCTCTGAGCTGCAATGTCTGAGACCATTGCGACAGCAACGTACCGTCCTGCACTGTTGCACAATCAAAGGCCCTGCCACCCTCGATCTCGCATTGAATGTCGATCCAGAAGTTTTCCATCGCAGAATAGATCGTGAGATGCCATTCGTGGTAGGCGCAGGGCCAGCTGCATGTCCGAGAGTCCAACGTCACCCTTCATCTTACACTCAGAACATCGAATATCATACATCGTTAGAGCAATTCCAGACACGCATGGCGTTGATCGCATCGTCATTGAGGCTCAATCCTTGCGGAGCCGCAATGGACCCCGAGATGCGACTCGATCACAGGGTGCGAGCAACACGATAGCCCAGCACGTCGCCGATGCATGCTCACATCATCATACTCGCTGCAGAAGTTGATTGTATGCCGTGTCGTCACCGTCAAATTATGATGCGTCTCTAAGATGAGGTCATGCCATGATGTAGACGCGCTTGTGGTGCTAATACCATTGTGTGCTGCTTCCAGGTAGTCCAATATCAAGAAGTGGCTCAACATAAGCGTCAACAGACTTACACGCCAATATGAGCTTCATGGACGAGAAGCATCAGAGCCCTTCGAGCTTTCGAGCATCAACGTTATACATCCTACTCTGCTGCTGTGTAGCAAGCTTTAGTGTTAGTCATCCGCCTTCTCGATGCAGGAGACGACAAATGAGCTGACATAACCCATGCAGGATGTTTTCACATATGCAGTGCTGCCACCAGTCATTCCTTTTGCGCTTCCAGAAAAGGCTGGAGCCCCACAAGACCAAGGTTCGTGATACTGGCCTTCCGCTGCAACAAGACGCTTTACTAACGTCTAGCCAACAAAAGTGCAGAAATGGGTCGCAATATTGCCAGCAGTCACAGCAGGAGCAACAGTGCTGGCTAGTCGTAAGTCCGCAATGCCATCAGTACGTGGTAGAACGTTGAGCAGTTGACATTCTGGCACAGCGTTCGCCGGTTGGATGGGAGATCACTGCAGCCGAAGGAAGCCACTGTTCGTGGCAGCGATTTTCTTTCAATGGGTCGGCATCGCACTCGTTACTGCCGGTCAGCACATCGCGCTCTGGATCTCTGGTCTCGTTATGTTCGGAATAGCATCTGCGGTCGTATGGGCCACGAGCCTCGCGCTCATCATCGATCAAGTTGCGAGAGAAAAAGTGGCTCAGTCGTTAGGGTTTACAGGACTGAGCCTCTCCCTGGGCATCTTCTTGGGCCCTGTGCTCGGCGGACTGATCTACGAACACGCGGGACATTATGCAGTATGGGGTACTGTCTTTGGCGTTTCTGTGGTGGACCTGCTGCTGCGAATGTTCCTTATCGAATCGCCAAAGGCCATCGTTCCAGGAAGGCACTCCTCGCCAGCACATCGCTTCGCGGCGCTGCAGCTCTTTCGTTCGCCGCGAATGGTCTGCGCGTTGTTGGGGGCATTCGCGCAGGCAACAATTCTGACTTCCTTCGATGCATCGCTCACCATCCACGTTGGCAAAGTCTTTGGGTGGAAATCAACGGCTGCGGGTCTGCTGTATCTGGCCTTTTGCCTCCCATCATTTGCCAGTCCGGCGATCGGCATGCTTGCAGACAGGTTTGGCGCAAAGCTCGTGCTCTTCGTAGCATTCCTGCTTTCTACGCCGGTACTTGCGTCATTACAATTTGTTCAGACGAACGACATTTCAGACAAAGTACTGTTGGTGGCTCTGCTGTTGCTGCTGGGAGCATTGCTTGGCTCGACCATTTGTGTCTTCAGCGCCGAAGTCAGCCATGTCGTGAGCGAGATGGCTGAGCGCACGCCGGGCATATGGGGACACAATGGGGCGTTTGCTCAAGCGGAGGCATTGTGGTGGGCATCGTATACCCTTGGACTGGCAGTGGGTCCTCTATGGGGAGGTTTCGTTCAGGATGCTGCTGACTGGTCTGTGTTGAGTCTGTCATTGGCCTTGTTGAGTTTGGTCGCGTCATTGCCAGTCATTGTGTTCGTTGGCGGCACGTTGTCGTTCGGTACCAGGCCAGGAAGGACAAGAGATGCTCCGTCAGGTAACGGCAGTTTCAGTAGTACCGGTATACAAACAACAGACGTCTGAAAGAGTGGCAACGAGCATTCCCTGCGTATGTGTCGTAGGTGGCGGCTCAACTCGTGCTGCGTCGTGAAGACATATGGTAATGGTCACGCTTGCGAGACCGGGACGTTTGGCAGATGCAGATCTTGGCCGTCCCTTCGCGAACCACACAACAACATCTGTACATCGGAGATGTTCTGCAGTGACGAGACACAGCAGCTCAACTCCAGTTGCTGCAATATAAGATATCCATCTGTGGTCGAAGGGGGGGTTTCAACGCCTCCAAGGTGAAAGAGTCGCAGCGCAAAGGTTCCAAAACCACAGCCAAAGGCAAGCCTCGCAATCGTTGAATCGGCAAGAAGAGCGGGAACTCGATCAACATGGCGCCTTTGATGGACTGCGAGCCAGGCCTACAACGAGACCAAATCGATCCAAGCCAGCTCGAGAAGAAAATTGAACATTGCAGCATTAATCTAAGTCCATACCATGTGGACAAGACGGGTCTCGAGTTGGTTTCCGAAACACTTCCGGGACTGCTGGAGAGGCAGGTTGGGCTTACACCAGATGCTCTTGCAATTGACAGCTACGAAGGCCAATGGACCTATTCGCAGCTGCAGGAGGAGATGCTCAGTCTCCAGATTTATCTCCAAAACCATGGAGTAGCAAGCGGCGCCCGAGTTGGCATCTTGCTTCCACTCTCTGCGCGAGCCGTCATGGCAATTCTCGCAATCATGGATATCGGAGCAGCTGTGGTGCCAGTAGACCTTCACCATCCTCCCGCTCGGCAGATGACCATCTTTCACGAGTCGAATGTGGAGCTTGTTGTGTCGGATAAGAGAGAAAGCATGCTCGAGGATTTCAGGCAGGAATACTCTGTAATCGACTTGAGTGATCTGAAAGCGGGTGGTCAAGAAGGACGTGGACCGACAGGCACCCATGCTGGCCCTTTGCCCAGCAATGCCAGCATATCTTCGGCGCAGCCTCAAGCCGATGCATACATTGCGTTTACATCGGGCTCCACCGGTGTTCCGAAAGGGATTGTTCAAAGCCACGCTGCGATAATCACCATGTGCAAAGCCATGGTAGCACCGTTGGAAGTCCAGGCATCTTCTCGAATCGCACACGTTGCACCGTACGTGTTCGATGTTGCAATGATGGAAATCGCATTGAGCTTCGGTACCGGAGCAGCGCTTTGCATTATGAGCAAGAGAGATCTCGTCATGCCGGAGCCCGGAGAGCTGGAGGAGAATCTGAACCGGTTCAAGATCACGCATTTCACGTTGTCGCCAACGATGCTGAGATCGATCAAGGTCGATTCGGTCCCCACTATGCGAATGCTCAGCGTTATGGGTGAGCCGCTGGATCGCAGGGCTGTGAAACTTTGGTCTGTTTCACGAAAGTCGCAACTGCGACAGATGTGGGGATGTACTGAAGGCACGATCTTGCAATCCATCACCCCACCCCTCCAGAGCCACGATGAGCCGCAGAATATTGGCTCCAGCCTCTATCGCGTATGTCGGCTATGGATCACAGATCCGGAAGACGTGGACGTCCTACGCGAGGATGGTGAGGCTGGCGAGCTTGTCGTAGAGAGTCGTGCGCTTGCAAGTCGATACATCAACCGGCCGGACCAGACAGAACGCTCATTCCTGGCGAACGTGGCGTGGAAAAAGCCCTCTTCGGACACACGATACTATCGTACTGGTGACCTGGCCCGCAAGGAATCCGATGGGACTGTCACCTTCCTCGGCCGCCAGGACGGGCAGATGACTATACGTGGCGAGCGAATCGAGCTGGGAGAGATTGATTATCACATCGAGCAGGCGGGCTTGCTCCAAGGGCGAGGTGACTGCTTTGCCGAGTTCGAGCCGTCGACTCAGACCATCGTCGGATTTGTCTGTGGCCATGCGCGGGAGCCCAGCGTGAGCGACAGTCCACTTACGCTCATATCTTGGGAAGATGCAGCGGTGAGTAAGGAGGTGCTGGGGGAGACCATGCTCAACCTCATTGAGGAGGGTAATCTGGCCCCTCAGATGGTGCCAATGTGGTGGTTCCCGTTGGCTGCGAGGCCGTTGACTATCTCGCACAAGACTGATCGAGCAAGACTGCGAACCATGATGGGAGAGCTATCGCATGAGCAGTGGACCATGTATCGTGTCGTTTCCGAAGACGCTCTTTAGCCCAACTGCCATTCATTCCAGCTGATGAGGACGTATTCCAGCTGATGAGGACGTATTCTGATGATAAATCTTCATGGTGCCTGCCAACGTTAGTGCCTCACAATGCGCTATGCGTCTGTGTCACTTGTCTTGCCCATGTCAAGGTGCCAGTCATCCTTCCGACAGCAGTTGTGGTTTCATAATAGTTGCTACCAGGGTGGAGATGAGACGAGATGGAATACATCCCGGTGTGCCAGACTTGTGTAGGTGGATGGGCAGAACAGAGAAGGAGACACGAGGGTTGCTAGAGACGCCAAGGCGATCCGGTGATGCCTTAGGCAGCAAGGCTGAACTCGACACAGTGCAAAGCAAAGCGACAGATACGAGCAAAATAGCTGGTCCCGAAGTCCGACTAGAGGAGTATGTCCCTGTTGGCGTAATACTGCATTCGGCCGGAGATCCCAACCAGACTAAAGTAATGCTGGTGATAATCATCCAGACATCGAAACAGCCGCCCATGGCGAGACACAGCGTTGCTCGGGCAAGAAGCGAGATATAAAGAATCTGTCGTCTTCCGTACATTTGGTCGGACGCTCAAGCATTCAACTTTCCAGTCACTCATTACTCAAGCATTCATTCCTCACTCATACACTCCTTCAAGATGCAATTTTGCGTTCTTGCCCTCGCTTTCGTTCTGTACGCTCTCAGTCGCCCGGCGTTCCAGTGACTGTGACTGACCCGGCAACAGTCCATTCGCTTTGGGCTATCCATCCAACAGTGGCTTCGAAGACAGTGGCGCCGACGTTAGTGGTTCTGGAGGAAGTGGCTCAGGAGACGGTGGTTCGGGCAACGGAGATTCTGGCAAGGGCGGCAAAAAGCACGACAAGAATGACGATGTCGCACCCACATCATTCTGCCAATGCTACAGTAAGATTGGCGTCGACTCTCTTCTGGGTTTGGTTGATCAAGAAGCTGACATTCCCTGCTTGTGCGTACCAGTACTGTCAGGACCTGCCGCGGACGGTCCAACCAAAGATCTCTGCCCTTCCTTCTCAGGAACATTCACAGATGAAAAGAACTCGGACGGCAACCCCGTACCATGGGTGAGTGATCCACGTCTTGAGCCGAACAGGCCACGTCGTACTGTAGTCGCTCACACAGAGAACAGTGTGAGAACATTGGCACGAGTCAGCTTGCATCTTTCGCCGATCAATGCCGCACAGCAGGCGTGGCTGGGGCTACCTGCTGCGACAAGGGCATGCCTTGGGAGAACTGCCCCAGCGATGGGAAGTATGATCCGAATGCGGAGTAAAGATGGCTCGGGGCTGTCTCGCCTTTCTCTTCTCACCGCGGCCTGTATACGGAGCATTATGCCTCTGTAGAAACAGATCTTACCACTTCTGATTGCCGGGCACATAGCTGAGCTCCATTTCAAACCACATACGGATTCCTGGGCACGCTTCAGGTCTTGCCGTCGTCGTTATTCGTGCCTGTGGTTGACAATAACACTTGTTGCACGTTCAAACCCGTTTATTCGGCATCGGAAAGGGGTTATCTTCCCGCTGATTGTCCCTTGCGGGCATGTTCGTAGTTGGGAGGTCTCAGCACCAAGGTGAAGTGCGACCGTGTGATTCTGATTGAATGCTCTGGACATGCTAGGACAAGGCGGAGACGCGAACTCGCGCCGTGATCCAACCTAATGTTACACTAACCTAGAAGAAGGGCTGCCGTGCTTCAAACAAAGCTTACATCTGCGGCTGAATCGGACATTGCATTGGTAGATGGCATGCCAGAACGACGAAAGGAAGTGCGCCAGAATACAACCGGAGGTCAAAGTACTGTCGGCTTCTGGCGGGTTAGTCAGCGTCTTGACACATTTCATCAGTAATCACCATCTCGTCCTAATTCCTGGTGCAGACGAGAAGCATGGGAAATGTTTGATATCGAACGGCGGAAGGCCGAGCCATATGATGTTCTGCGCGGAGACATGCGTGGTTATGCAGTGCGTCTGCCAGTAATGTCCACGTTATCCAGTCTCCAGACTGCGGGGAACAGGGCTCAGTTTTGAACCGATTGCAGGCCTCATGAGAGCTGTATTGGCAGCTCAACGCTGATGAGTACGCAGATCCGCCTGCTTATAGTCCTCCACATGTCTTTCTTGGCTCCGCACTGCTGAATCGAATCGATTATTCCAGGACAGGTGAGAAGAACCGCATTTGCACTCGTGAGATTGAGCGGTCTTGCCAATTGAAGAGTCCGACATCGCAGAGCTCATTTGCTGCAGAGATTCTTGTGAGAGTTCCAGCGCGTGGTGGTGCAGGCAAAGCCACGTAGGTCGAAGCATGTGACGGTGAGGTTGAGTCTCGACCTTTGTTGGGAGATGCAGACGCAGGAACGCACGGGGCGTGCCTCGCTTGGCATGTACCGAAGTGGGGCCGAGTTGAGCCGCATGACCGCAACAGGCGTTGTCGACGACGTCGATGCTCGAGCTTCAGCCAGCCAGCCTCTCTGCATGCCGTCTGTCTTGAACTGTCCACAACACCACCCCATCCACACCGCCGCCACTGCCGTAACGACACCTACACCTCGTGGACCTTCGACACACCGCTGCCCCACTTTAGAGTACCTCGCGGCGAAGAGCGCTACCACAAACAGTCTCCGCGGCAACTGTCCTGCGATCCGTCAACACATCCCCGCTCCGCCGCCTACACCGCCGCTATGGCGTCGCGCAAGAAGATTCTGCTCAAGGTCATCATCCTGGGAGATAGCGGTGTTGGCAAGACCAGTTTGATGAACCAATATGTATGATTCATTCACACGACCTCCACCGCATCCTAGTCTAACCATACCCAGGTCAACAAGAAGTTCTCGCAGTCCTACAAAGCCACCATCGGCGCCGACTTCCTCACCAAAGAAGTCCTCGTGGACGACCGCCTTGTGACGATGCAACTCTGGGATACCGCTGGCCAGGAACGCTTCCAGTCCCTCGGCGTTGCCTTCTACCGCGGCGCAGACTGCTGTGTACTCGTCTACGATGTCAACAACGCAAAGTCCTTCGATACACTCGATTCATGGCGCGACGAGTTCCTGATTCAAGCGAGCCCCATGGATCCTGAAAGCTTCCCCTTTGTGGTCTTGGGCAACAAGGTTGATGTGGAGGAGAGCAAGAGGATGATCAGCACCAAACGGGCACAGGCGTTCTGCCAGCAAAAGGGCGGGATACCATATTTCGAGACGAGCGCAAAGGATGCGGTGAATGTGGAGCAGGCATTTGAAGGTAAGCCGGACATTCGTACCCATGCGGCGTGCATGTGAAAGTAGAACACACACTAACACACCCCTCAGTCATCGCACGAAACGCTCTCGCCCAAGAAGAATCGCAAGACTTCAACCCCGATTTCCCTGAGACAATCCCCATCAACATTGGCGAGAATGAGCAAGGCTGCTCCTGCTAGAGTTCTGCTGCATTCGTGTCAGTGATTTGGGGCGGTCTTGTGCCTGTCTTGCTATCGATCTATCAATCATCATCATACCCTGGTCTTGGTGCCTACTGCATGGGAAATGGGAGTTTACGGAAGCGAGCTTTGTTGTGTCCTGCGATATGCTTGAGATGCGTGTGGGGAGGAAGAAGCAATTGGAGGATTTCATTGTACATCACGCGCGAAGATACTGAAGAGACAGATGAAGCATACGTGAATACAGAATGGGAATGCATTTTATGAGTACGAGAACTTACATCAGTGATTCCGCAGATTCATCAAACGGCCTGCCCGGGAGAGGCACATCGTATCTGTGCTTATTCGTGAGCGAATCTCATCCAGTCTTATCATAGAACAACAAAACAATCGCACTGGATCCTCGATCTCAACGGAGAAAGCCAAGCCAAACAAATACATCTCAGTTTGAGCCTCAATGTTCTCTTCAGATATTGTGCCGGCGCTCCAGCTAAGCGAATTACGGCCAGACCGTTAGATCAAGCACGCTCATTGCAAAGATGCGTCAGCACCATCAAGATTAAGCCTGGTCCGAGAGATACAAATCACTGATCTTTGGGCAGAGCCAGGGACCTCAAGGCACAACGAAAAGGGAAAAGAGACAGGTACTGCTCGAAGACCACGGAGGATAAAAGTGGCAAAAGAGAAGCAAAACAATCGTACTGGATCCTGAGCCTCAGGGTCGACGGCAGCGTGCGACATAACAGAATGTTGTTTGTCGGCGGTGACCTCCGGCCCTTGATTGCGCCAGCATTTTCCGGAAATGACTTATGAGCAGACCCGCTAGACCAAGCACGATCGTTGTCAGTCCGCTGCAAAGGAGTGAATATGAATCTTGGTCTGAGCTATCTGAACTGAGGATGCCGCGCGTTGGTTGACGAAGCACATGAAGAAATTCGAAGAGCAGAAGTTCGTCGAAGTCGATATCGTAAAGGTTCCAAAGTGCACTTCGACCTACTCTACACGTGAAATCTGGTATCTCGGCAGCAATGTGGAAGTGAAGCTTGCTATACTACGGTTATGTGGTGAGGACAAGAGCAAGCTGCGAACGTAGCCTCACTGAATACCCTCCAACCAATTCAGTACCCTTCCGCTACAAGGAGCTAACAACAACTTCTCGCATCGGGACGAGCTCAATGATTGAGCCTAGTGGGATGCGCATGGTACCCACCCACTAAGATTGGCCATAAAATGCATTCTCGCTCCCCAGAGGTCTGATACGCTTCAGCGTCGGTCACCTTTCACATCGGAAGGAAAGGGATGACGAGAAGCATTAGGTCCCGGCAGTGATGTATGAAGTCGACTGCTGCTCGATTGCTGATGTGGGTTCGCGGTAGTCCTCAGCGCCGTGTAGTGCGACGGCGGAAAATGTAAAGGCGCTCGCATCGGAGGAGGCGGGAGAACCGTAGCGCCAAGTACGCCGTTCTGCTGCTGTTGGCGCAGTGAGGAGAGATCTGATTCAGCCTCGTTGGATGAGATCGGCTTGGGGCCAGGGTAAGGCGGCAAAGCAGACGGACCATTCCTTCGCGCAATCTGTGGCAGACCAACATTGCTCGCGACGTCGCGATGCTCCTCCTCCTCACGTGCCCTCTTCTGGCCACGATACTGCCACGAACGCTCCTCTTGCACCAACTGCGCAGTCTCGTTCTCATTCTCATCCTCCACCTTCACCCTCACCTCCCCAGCCGGCACTTCACGCCGGGAAGCACCCTCGCCTTCGCCAGCGTCTTCAGCGCCCCTCCTTTCCTGCCTCTGCCCATTCCTCTTCTCCCAAGCATCCCTCATGAACTGTTCCCTCCTCAACTGCAAAGCCTGCTTTTTCTGAAGATGCTCCTGGTGTGCGTCGAACTTTTTCTGCAATCTATCCCGTTCATACGCAGCTTGGACCCAGTGCGGACCGGCTTTAGAATAGTCTGGAACGGGCTGATAGTCGTTGAGATCCTTGGCCATTGTATCGATACACCGGAAAAGGTTTATGCGCGAGTGGTTGGAATAGCCTTACGCTGGAAGTGCATGCGATGCTTGCAAAGTGTTTGTGTGTTGGAAGATGTGATCGTTCGAATTTTCTGGAGTGCAGACATTAAATTCCGTTACTTTCTATGGTCGAGCGAATACGCGTGGGGCATTCTGCTGACCACAAACTCTATTGGGTTCGGTGGAGCAAGTGAAGCTGCATAATTCAGAAAGTGCCATTTGTCGGCGCTTCGACTCCTGCCTCACCATCTAAGCGCAAGATCGTTACAGACGTTCTTGCCTCCACTCTTCATTACGGTCATAGTTGCCTTCGAAGCCGTTCGGCATGCTTTCTCCGTCTTCATGTCGTGCAGCTCTGCGGCCTCGTTTTGATTTTCCTTCAAGGCTAATATTGATGCCCTACAATACAGTGCAGGTACCGGCGCGAGGCTTGCTAATCCCGAGTCTGGGAAGTTCGTCAGCCTCAGGCGGTACTGGTGCAAATGATAACTCTCCAACTCTCCTCCAGAAACTTTCTGCCTCAGGCGACTTCCGACAGATGATGGGTACCACGATAAAGCTCTGTCGCTTGCTTTTCAAAGCGAGTACAGGGCCAAGTCCACGGCAGATATGGGTACTTGAACAACGTCGCAGACACTGGTTGCTTCAGTTCTCAGTGCAAGCTTGTGACCTTGTCCTCGTCCGACCTGTGCAGCCACCGGGTGGGCACCATCCTCCGAAAGCACATCTTTCAAGACATCTCGACTGTCGCTCCGGAGTCGCAATGTTCTTGGTCAATTGCACTTTCACAGGTAGCCGGAAGCACATACTGATCCAGGCAAGACTGACTTCTGATAGGCGGTGCGCCGCCAGAGCCGAGATGCGGATCATGCTCGACATTTGTTCAGAACCACACAGGCCTTGACGAAACCAGTTCGAGACGCAATTCAAAAGCTGCAGCAGTCTCTGTCATGCCGACTCACTCGATAGCACTGGACATCCAGGACTCGTGGTGCCGCGAGGAACATCTGCACGCTGTCATCGCGAGGCCAATGCCTCTACAAATCAAGTCTTGCCGCAAATGGCTCGACTTGATCATCATGACCGTCGACTCCAGATTCTCGATTGACCAGTACGACCAAAGGACTGAAACCCCAGATTTCTCGGTTGCAGTCGAGACCATGAACAGGTGCGGTCAAGCTGTGCAAGAAAAGCAATCTTGGCAATCTCGGATGCGGTGGCGCCGGTGTTCTTTGCGGACCTCGGCGCTTGTGAAAGCTCAAACTTTCATTGGCCACTTCGCCAATGCCTTCGCTTCTTCCTTCTCCTCACTCTTCACGATCTACGGTTCTGTCTGGCGAAATGCCTCGATTCGTACCGCCCGCCGTGCAGAGAACACGGCTCGTACAGAACTCGCATACCCGTATAGCCAGTAGGTGTTATAATATCAGTCACGATGGCTCTCCTCTTTGCCCGCCCCCCAGCATTCACTATTCTTTCTCTCGACAAAGGACCTTCGTATATAAAGCGAAGCTTTCCGTGGCGACCTAGACACTCCTCCGATTACAATGCCTTCACGTAGGTGCCTCACCACCGGGACTGTACTGGCTCTGGCCGCCTCCGTTGCCCAAGCCCAACTGGGGAATTATTCCACCATCAGCAATGTTTCTAGCTCGGCCTGCCCATCGGAAGGAGGTGCACACATTATTGTTGCTCGAGCGTCAACGGAACCTCTCGGATATGGCATTATCGGGGCCGTCAAAGACCTTGTTCTCGAAGCCGTACCTGCAAGCAACGCCGAGTATGTGGTTTACCCAGCCACATTAACAGACTACTTCAACTCAGAATCAGATGGTGTCCTGGGAATGAAGGAATTAGTTGAAGCCTATGTCGCACAAGATTGCCCAAACAATGCTCCACTTGTTCTCATGGGCTACTCACAAGGAGCTCAAGTTGTGGCAGACTACGTCTCGGGCCAGAACGTGGGCGTCTTTCCATACAACAGCAGTCTTGCCGAGCCCGCACCGGACAACGTTCTTTCAAAAATAGCAGCGATCATCACCATGGGTGACCCGAGTATCAACATCACGAACAACCCAGCACACGTTGGAAACTCGACCAAGCCAGGATTGTTCGAACGATTCGGGAATGCAACCAGCATCTTCGAGACAAGCGGCCTGGACAACAGGACACAGGCTTACTGCAACGCTTTGGATCCATACTGCGCCAGCGCCGGCAACTTCGACAACATCACTGTCCATCTGGTGTACGTCCAGGAGTTCGGTATGCAAGCACGGGACTTTGTCGTTCAAAAGATCGAAGAATGGTATGGAAGCAGCACTGGTACTTCGAACGGGACTGCGAACGGCACTTCGAATGGAACGACATCTGAGGGCGGAACAATGTCTGGAGCATCCGCGCCTTCGCCTTCTGACAGTGCTGCAAGCAGTATCCGAGACATGCAGGCGAGCATTACAGCGGCACTGCTGGTAACGATCGGTTTTGCATTTGCCTACGCCCTATAGGCGATCAGAGGCTCTACAAGAAATTATTGATGAGCATACGGGTTTTATTTCTATTCCAGCATGGACAGGTGCCTAGAAAGGTTCTCCAAATCGGTGTACACGGGACGACAATGAGTGGATACTCGGAAGAGCATGCTCAATGGACTTCTAATGGGCGTAACGTTTCATGAGATTCTGCGGACATTTGCATCTCTGAGTGCAGGAAAAGAAGCTGCTTGCCGGAGTCAGCCCGCAGCAGTCCTCACGGCGAAGATCCAGGCGAGCTGAAAGACAAGCGTCTGAACTTGAGCAGCAATTTATTTCCTGGAGCCATCCATCAAATCAAAGAGAATTTCAGACCCACCTGCCCATTCTCCTGCTAGACTGGTAGGTTTGCGTATCATTCACTGACACCACAGCCTACGCTTGTCAAATTACATGGAATTGTTCGTTGAGTTGGAGCGAACAATGGCACGCCTTGAGTACAGCGTCTAACAGCTAACAAATTGAGAAGTACAACTCCATGCTGGCCATTGGAATGCCCAGAAATCTCTGGTCCCCGCACAATTCACCAGTGTGTGGTCTCATTCACTTCTGAGATGTGTCATGATTGGTAAATGTGCCAGCAAACTGGTGCCTCACACTTGTTGAGACCACAAACATCGCCCATCGCTTTTCCCTTTGACTACAACAAAACACATTGCAGTGATCAGATTCGGTCAAGAACTTCTTGCGTATCACGTAGCACACTCGGCTACCTTCCTTACGATCTAACGCCATCGAGTCTATTGCACACGAACGCAGAATGTCTGATCACGAACAAGATCGGGAGGAGTGGCAGGAAAATGGGGTGAGTGCTCTGCGTCTTGCACTTTTGTGACATGACTGACAGTACTGAGTTTGACTACGACGACCCACTGATCTCTCGGGAAACCCTCGATGCCTTCTCCCAGCCTGAACCATATGACTACGACTCGTTGCTAGCTCTGCAAGCTCCCATGGCCCCATCCTCATCCATTCGGACATCTCAGGCGATTGGGAATGTTCCTGGGTCCCCGAGGCTCCGATTCAACGACACACGGAACAATCCTCAGCCAACCTCAGCTTCTTTCCCCAGTGGCAACCGCCCCACGATCACAGTCACGCCCGCTATGCCATCGAACCTACAACCAAGTGCCTCCAGCACATCGAACAACGCCTCTTCTTCAACCGCTTCACAAGGCTATACCATCATCCAAGTCTGGCCCGCAAGCGACGGCATAGGCAGCGCTGCGACCCATCCTCGCTCCACTCGAAACGATCTGTACTTCGAGCAACGCCTCGCCAGAGCCTGGATGGCAGAGCAAGGCATTCCACTCCGGCCAAACGTCAAGTACAAACTCGACCGTCTGCCAAGTGGATATTCGGGGTGGTTGCTAGTGAGCAATACTGGGAAGAATCAATGGCGTGAGTGGGCGAGCATGATGTGCAAAGTCGTATCGGATATTGTTGATGGACTGACTGGTGTTTAGTTACGATGGGACATCCTTCTGGTAAGGCTTTCGGCACTTTCACAGAATTGTGGGTCCATCTTAGGCAGCTTGCTACGACTGGTAGTGCATCTGGATGTGGGTGCAGGCTTTGTGTTGGCTCACAGGAAGCGGTGCCGAGAACGTGAGCGAAGGCGTCGATGGGTTGCACATCGAACGCCGCGAGGCGCAATTTGCGTTGGCTCAGCCGGCGGTAACACGCAGCTTCTGAGGCTGAGCTTCAGCTTCCAACATTCTGCGACTTGTCTTGAAGTGGTCCCGTACAGCTCCCCCAAAACCAGACACAGTCCAAGCAGTATTCAGATCACGACGTTCGAGGTGTTATGCCAAGAACGAAGGCCCAAAGAGCAGAGGCCTTGGCTGTTCAGTGCAACCGCGGACGTCAAAGACGCAACAGAGGCATAGGAAGAGGAATATTGAGAAAACCGCCGTCGACAGCTTCCCTTATCAAGCACTTCCCTGTGGCGGATACATAAGACTACTGATCGTAAAGCCTTCAAACGAGCGCGTCGCGCCATTGGACTGTAAGGTCGAAGTTGTGCCGTGCGACGAGCATGCCAATTACGCGGCTCTATCGTACACCTGGGCAATGCAGAATGGCGACAACTCGCTTTGTCGCGGGATCTTTGTCCACAACAAACATGTTGCTATTCGCCGCAACCTCTTTGAGGCACTTCGCCGTCTCCGACTTGAGAACGAGATCCTACGGATTTGGATTGATGCTCTTTGCATTGATCAGGGAAACGTTGCTGAGCGAAATGATCAGGTCTCGAACATGGCTGCAGTATACAAGAATGCCGCACGAGTAGTGGCTTGGCTTGGAGAAGGCGTCTTGGCCGAAGATCGTGCCATGTCGCTGCTTCTGCGAGAAATAAGAATCAATCTCAACGACAGACCGCCTCCCGAATCGAGTCGTGGCCTGCAGACGTCTGGGACATATGCCGGACCGCCGTCCGGTTCAGAGATCATCAGCCTGGAGCACTGGGTCGCTCGCGGTCCTTCTGCCATGAATTTGTCCGATTTATCGTTACGTCGTTCATGGAATTTTCGCCGCACGCTTCGGATCTTAAAATTGTTCTTGCGCCGCAGGTACTTCACAAGAAGATGGGTTGTGCAAGAGATCTCGCATGCCCGGAACAACACTCTCGAGCTTCGATGGGGCGTCTACACTTTTGTGAACCTGAGCCAGTTCCTGGAGGTTATGCACGTCTTGGAGGCATCCCTACTCACCACAAGCCAAACGCTACACGGTAGTGACCAGAACATTCACAAGTGGACATGCCGGAACCTGCGCGACTTGAGCATGTCTCTGACCTCCATACTTTCTTGCGCGACTGCACCGGCCCCACAGCTGCCCACCCTCTTGGCCGTTTGTCATTCTCTGGAGTGCTTTGATCGCCGCGACATTTTGTTTTCGCTCATCAGTATTGATCCATTATGTAACATCCAGCCCGATTATCGACTCGACGACTTTGCAGTCGGCGTTAGGCTGACGCAATATATGGTGGCCAACGAGCACCTTGTGAGCTGGTTGCTTTCTCTTCGGGAGCATCGTAATGCATCCAAAGCTCCCTATCTCTCTGGCCTGCTCCCATCCTGGGGACTCTGCCTCACCGAAAAGCTCGTGCCCACGCCCATGGAAATTGTCCTTTCCGAAAGTTCGAATGAGATAAGAGAATCTATGCAATGTTCGATCGATACGAATCGCATACTGACGTGCCGACTGCGATATCTCGGTACTATACACGAGAAGGAAACTCAAGGGAGGAGCAGAAAGCTCCGCGCCATGGTTCTGCACGAGGGCACCCATGTGATGCGGAAAGCTAAATTGGGTTTCTCAAGAGTCGGGCATGGGATAAAGCGCGGAGATGTTATGTTCACCTTGCCAGGGGTGGAAAACGACCACAAGCGTGCTGTACTGGTGTTGCGCTACGAAGGTGGTGGATCCTCTGGAGATACAGCGTTCTTCCTAGCGGCAGTTCTCTGGACGGGTTATGAGTCCGTCGAGGTCGATGGGGTATATGCGAGTGGACCTTCCAGGAGGCTGCTCCATAGCATAGTCAACGACACAGAATGGCCGAGGCCCGAACTAACTTTGAGGATCAAGTGAATCTTCTTAGCAGCAAATGGCTCAGAGCAGTGTCAAGAACGGACGAAGCGCAGAGCTTCAACCAAGCACGGTAGCACAGTCGATGGCCTGAGATGAGCTGCACCGACCGTGGCCAGGAATGCTTCCGAGATGGATGTCGTTGTTGTGTATATCGAATATGTGATGGCCCGAAACGGACCGATCTGGGAATTCTGGAAGTAACTTCGCTCGATACTTGCTAATTGTTCTGTTTCCTCCTAATCTATCATCAAGTCGTCTGCAAAAGTCCTCAATCGCTCACCTAAACCTATCCAAGTTCCTCCCCACCCACTCCTCAAACCCAATAGCCGGATGCCCCGTAAACCTCTCCACATTCTTCACTCCCTCCTCCCAATCTTTCACCGCAAAGCTCGCCTTACTATCCCCAATTTCCGCCATCTTGCCCGCCAAATACTTCGCAAAATGCTCAGGAATTCCCTTGGTCAGATACTGCTGTACAGCCTCCTCCTCTCCAATCTCTGCGATTTCAAACTTCTTCCCCAAAGCCTTCTCCACAATCCTGACCTGCTCGATACGACTCAACATCTTTGGTCCGAACAAGTAGACAGCATGCACGTCCTTCTGGTCTTTTGCGAGGATGTTTCCTGCGACTTCGCCCATATCTTCAGCAGTGATGCCGTCGAATTCCGCATCTGGAGCTTGTATCTTGAGACTTCCTTTCTGAATCTCATCTCCATGCCACATTTGGATATTAGTGGCAAAACCACCCGGTCGGATTGCCACAAAATTCTCCTTGCCGTAAATATCCAGAAGCTGAAGCTCGACTTGTGCGTGTCCATAAGGGATAATATCTTGCTGTGGGATATCCTCCAAAGGTTCCTTGACAGTATAACTGCTCAGAAAGACCTACACGATCATCAGCATACCACTCTTCCCAATCATCAATTTGAACCACACGCAAACTCACAACAAACTCCACACCACCCTCCTTCAAAGCCTGAATCGTCCCTCTCATATGATCCCCCGCAGCATGCATCAAATAAAAGAAAGCCTTCTTCGCACCTGTATCCTTCACAGCCTTCTTCACGCTCTCGGAATCCGTCAAATCAGCTTGAACTCTCTCAAACCCACCCTTCTTCTCCTCACTCTCATCCAATCCCGGTATAGTCTTCTTCGGGTCCCTCATAGCAAGAAACACCTTCGCACCAAGTTTCCCAGCCGCGATGGCAGCATTACGGCCAACATTGCCCGTGGGGCCGAAAATGATGATGGAGTTGGAGGACGACATAATGCTCCAATCTTGTGGAAGAAGCTTGTGCTGTTGGTCCGCTGGTTTTGAGATGGAATTAGCTCAAATATACCAAACGTCGCAAGAGAGTTGACAAGTTAAATGCACCCCCAAGTGGGGCAACCACCTGAGAATCCACAAAAAAGTCGGAGGTAACGCCCTTCCACCTTTCCCAAAAGCCGCTGGCGTTCTCGCACTGCATTTCAGCCAGCTCCTGCAGGATTCCGTGTTCGTAGCTCCATCACCAAAGCATCCAAGCAATGCATCCTCCTTCGAACAAGTGCACAGGGCTTCGGACAAACAACTGTTCGGGAAAACTTCAGAGCCTCCAGTCGATGACGCAAAAGAGTGTTTAGTGATGATAGTGCTTCTCAGAATTCGGCACCGAAGTTGCGCGCAGGAAAAGCAGGCAAGACCAATGTAGCACAAACCACATACCGCGCCGAGAGGAATCGCAATCTTACAAATGCTGCCGCCGACGGGAACAGCATTGTCCCGCAAGCTGACAAAGACAAGAGGATCAAACTCGCACATGGCAGCATGCAGACCAAAAGCTACTGCTGTGTGAGCTAACAATCAATATACACTGAAAGATACAGCAACAAACCAAGCCAAAGCGAAACACCAAGCGAGCCTTCAACAAGGTCACACCAATCATTACCACTCATCCAATATCCCAAGAAGCATACTCCAACTTCTATCGCCAGTCTCAGAGAGCCGTGGTACGCCTTACAAAAACGCACTAACCGAAGTGTCTTCCAATTCGGCCCTCTGCCTGTTACCCAAAACTCCTTCTCTTCCCTTTCGCTCATTGAGCCAATCCGTGACCATATGCTGTCCCGGCGAACGTCTCGTAGCAGAATCTCTCATCTCCATCATGGACTGTCTAGTGAGCGAAGCAGGCTTCTGGTACCCATCTCGCAGCGGTGGCTCCCTCATTGAAAATGTGGATTGCCTTGCAGATAGCCTGGAGAGCGAAGGCTTCATGACCGCATCTTTGAGACTCGGCTTCCGCACTTCCGTTCGCTTTCGGTGCTGAGACCCAGTCGCAAGCCATTGTGAGCTCGACAGAGCAGGTAGGGGCGACTCCGGAGCCCGGCTGCTGATGCTGGGTGGTCGCACGTTTTCTTTACTGCCGAACGTGTGCAACGGGCGATTTCTGCTCGGTAGACGGGCGTGAATCGGTTGGCCAAGACCACTGGGCGGTCTCATTGGTTCGCCAATGCTTTGCCGTGTCGGAGGTCGAGGTATCTCTGCATGACTGCTTCGACTTGGCGGTCTGAAGCTCGGGAGCACGACTTGCTGATCGCGCAAACTCGCAGGGCTTGGTGCAATTCTTGGGTAGCGATCGTTCATAGTCGAGACAATGCTGCTCGCCCGAGACCTTGACCGAGCTGGGTCATCAGCGGCTTCGGAAAGTGGCGAGATTGAACGAGGTCGAAGCTTCTCGCTGTTGAGAAGGCGGAACTGCTGATCAGTGTTCCCCAGAGTAGTTCTCATCTCGTCCGACAGCCATTTGCGCCAAGTGCCGCTTCCGTGAGCCCCGTGGTGGACGGTGTGCGATCTTGCTGGAGACGGCGAGTCTTGTGCGAAGTACTGCATGGCAGGCGATGGAGTGCGTCGTGCTTGCAGATACTGTTCATCACCTGGCACATTCAGCGACTGGTAGCCCGGGCCTGTTGTGCCCAAACTGGTTCTCATCTCGTCTGACAGCCACTTTCGCCAAGACCCACTTCCATTGCCTCGGTGGTGTCGACTCTGTGGCTTTGCTGGCGAGATGCTGTACCTGCGGACTTCTCTGCCAGTGATCAAAATTGTTGTCGTACCCTCATCGCCCTCTGGCGACAGTGGACGCAGTGAGACGCCATCGGTGCCGCGAGAGTACACGCTGGGCGAGATCACATCTGCCCTGGCATGAGGCACTCGGAGGGCCGATCGCCGCTTCAAACTGCTTCCCGGAGAAACGACCTCGGTGACTGGAGAGGGTACGTAGGCCGCGCGAGTGCCGGGTTCAGGTGTGATAGTACGGATGGTTGGCAAAGTAGGCTCGAATAATGTCGTGTCTTCCAATTCTGTTCATAGTCAGTCAGCTGCGTGCGCACGAGAAATGGTGAGTCAGCGACGCTTACCAGATGCATCCAACGGTGTCGTTAGGCGTTGCCTGGACATGGCTCGCTCTGACTTGGCAGGACGAATGCGTTTTTGCAGAGCGCTATACAGCCCCATACTTTCCTCGGAGGACTCCTTGAGGTCCGCTCTGCTGCCTCTATGCAGTCTGTTCCGCACGGGCCCACCGAAGAAAGAACCCTTCTTGCGCAGCTCACGACTGTTGGCTTCCAGGATAGGCTCGGCTAGGACATCTGGCTGCGTCCGACTGCGTACTGGGCTGACGAAGAATGAGCTCTTCTTGCGCAAGTCCTGGCCCGTCGATTCTGGCAACGGCTGAGCAGCCAATTCGAGTTGGTGCGATGGGCGACGTCGGCTGCGAATGCTTGACACTGCGGCTATGGTAGAATTTGTCCAGCTTGTGACACGGGATCTAGTTGATGTAGAGTATGGGCGGGAAAACGGCTCTGGCTCACTGATGGCGTTGTTTGCCGGAGGTTCCTCAGCAGGCACAGCGGCCTGGACTGTGTCGGGAGGAGCATCTGAAGGAGCATCGGGAGGCTCATTGTAAGCTGGGTCGGGGGATGTTGGAGGTGCAACGGGCACAATGGGCGCAGGAGTTGATTTTCGGAAGACCTGCTTGAGCCTACCCTTGATGTTGATGGAGAAGTGCCTTGGCGTGGGAGTGGGAGTGTTCGTATGAACAGTCCTCGCGGCAGGAGTATCTGGAGATGCGGTCACATCTGCAGGCTGTTCATCCAAGCCAAATGTCTCTTTGGGTGAAGGCTCAGACTGTGGTGCACGTGGAGTCGACACTCCTGCTGCCTCTGGTATGGATGTCGTGACTGTGGTTATAGATAATACAGCTGCTGGCTCTTGCTTCTGGGTGGATGTGGACGCGTTCGAACGCGTTGATCGCCTCCGTGCCAGCTCAAAGTGACTGCCCTGCGAGTGTCTCGATCGGCGGCTCGGACGACGCGTGGGTGTCGCGTGGTCTTCTGAGTGTCGAGCGTAGGCGCTCCTGGCGGCCGCTCGGGCTTCTGCGGCGGTCGAGTAGCTGTTGGTCAGCTCGGCCATGTCTGTGGCCGTGTTGATGCATACGAGAGAGGAGCTGAGAAGGAGATTGCAAGTGCATCTTCACCTACCTCGTCGCTGGCTGTGTCGCAAGAGCAGCCGCGAAGGCCATCGTCGTGGCAGCTACATTGTGCTCGACCAGCTCTTACTGTTGTTCCCATCGCAGCTTCTTCGAGCGGATTGCCTGGTGGCCCGGTCCAACTCACTGTCGTCTTATCTTGTCGCCGGCAAGGCTTGCATTAGGCAGCATGAGGTGGTCGTGGTCGTGCTCTTTTTCCGTCACTGCTGCCGCAATCGCGAGGGCTGTGGTACGCGTCGGAAGGCAGATGATCGTGCGACCTCCGCTGCGATGGAATGGTCGCGACGGTGAAGCTGTCGGAAGGTGAGGATTCCATAGCATGCACAAAACATTATGCGTGGACCTGGCCATGTTCGCGGAGACTCATCGAGCGAGGCTGCTTTTCGGGGCGGATGCAACCCCGGCCTCACCCATGTCGTCGTTGCCGCATTGGGCTTAACTAGTTGTCGCTGCTCGGGATGCCCCTGCTGCTGCACAACGTTTCATCAGCCCTTCGTCGACCTCCGCTCCTCCTCCGCAAACGGCTGCTGTCCATCGCAAAGTTCCGTTGAGCCTTGGAGCTTCGATATGGCTGTGGGAGAGCAGCAGGTCTGGCGCGTACCGTTCCAGTTCCAGACAATGACGCGCATGTGCCTCGGCCCACCGCGTCTGCGCAAGCCTCGGTTTCGAGGAGAACGCTACGAGCACGCGTTCCGCGCGGAGCTCGACTTCACTGCATCTGCGGGCAGCCAGGAGAGTATCGTCCCAGGCTGCGACTAATCATAAGTCCATTGTAGTCTCTCATTGTTGTTCAGCTGCTTTCGCTCCCCCTCTCACCTTGACCGCACCGTCATGGGAGTCCTCACTTCGCAGCCCGGAAAGGGCATCTGGACACTATGTTCACTCGCCCTCAATGCCGCACGTCTCCCACTGTGGATGATCTGGTATCTGCCCTCCTCGCTGCGCCAGCACAAGGACTGGACCTACAGACAGGCCATTCTGGTGCAGATCGTCAAGACCTTCCTGTGGAACGCGTCGATGGTGGAAGTGAAGACTCCGCTGTCCATCATCCCAGGCGCCGAGAAGGAGAAGTGGGCAGTTGCAAAGGTCGCCCCCTCAAAGGCCTACGCAGGTCCCGCCAAGCTCGATGGCACCATCAAGCCTGAAGACTGCGGAGGAACGTGGTATCCCACGCCAAACCCGATGGGCGGTGCCTACAAGCCCGAACTCGTCATCCTTCACTTCCACGGCGGCGCCTATGTCATTGGCGATGGCCGCAAGAAGGACGCTGCTTTCGCCGCGACGACCCTGCGAAACAACACCGATGCCAAATTCGTCTTCTGCCCACAATACCGACTTTCCTCGAATCCAGGTTGCAGATTCCCAGCCGCTCTGCAGGACGCCATCACTTCATACTCATACCTCGTCAATGAGCGCCAAATCGATGCCAGCAAGATCATTCTTTCCGGTGACAGTGCAGGTGCAAATCTCGCACTCGCACTGACACGCTACCTGACCGAGCACGGAAAGGCCACAGGTCTCGATTTGCCACACGCCATTCTTCTCTGGTCGCCTTGGGTTTCTCCTCTCGGCTCCTTGACTGCCGAATCCTTCAACAAAAGTCCAAACCTTGGAACTGATTACGTTACCGCTGCCTTTGGAGCCTGGGGTGCGCGCACATATCAGCCACTGCCTAGCACAGGCGCGACTTTGGATCATCCATACATCAGTTTCTTGTCACACGCATTCGCCACAAAAATTCCAATCTACATTTCCACCGGTGAATGCGAAATGCTATTCCACGATGATGTTGCGTTGTACGAGGAGATGCGCGCAGTCGAGGGAAATGATGTTCATCTGCAAGTCGAGGAGCATGCAGTACACGATACCATCCTGGCCGGACCTCTGGTAGGCTTTGAGAAGGAGGCTGTAGTGGCTGCGAAGAGAGCTGGCGAGTGGTTGAGGACGCTGAAGCCAAGTGCTCAGTAAATGCGGCGTGCTTGTGTTTCACGGCAGATGCTGCTGATCCGCCACCTGTGTCGATGAGCAGCAGATCAGTCAGTGCAGGTAGTACTGCGCCTTTGTACAGCTAGATTCCCTGTCCCAGCAATTTACTGCGATTCTCACCGGCATATAGGCTTCTAGAACATTTCTGCAACATACCACAGCACCCAGACCCATCTGCAGTTCTTACAAAGACTTTGCGTATGATCATTCGGTGATGCCTTCTGACTGGAAGCAGATTCAGCCCGTGAAAAGATGCGAAAATTCTCGATTTCGCAAAGCGCTCTTGGCCGGCAGCATTCGATCAGCTTATCTATGGGTCCCCACTCAATTCTCCGGTGGATGGTAAGATGAGCTTACACTTCGCACGTGGCATCACGATGTGGAATATGGAACAGGCAAAGGTCAAACAGTGTCCAAATCTGATTGGCGGCAGGTGGTCTATAAACGTCAAGGGCTGAGCTCACGCCAAGCTTCAATGCTGTGTAACTATGCTGCACGCCTTAGCAGCGCTCATCCAGTCGGCTACGCTCCACTGCATGCTGAAGCACAGGCAAGTAAGGCTCGGTCATGGCCGAGCAAGGCTTCCAAGTGCTCAGCCTTAGGATCTGGCGTGCGAGGTAGATGCCCTATACTATTCATACCGGACATCACAAAGCATGGCTTGCATGCTGCGGTCATCCTTGACAGCAGGATCCTGACAGATCTGGTGCTCCTACTGGCCAGCAAGAACAATGGAGTATAAGATCCTCTGTGTATCTCCATCCCAGACATATCATCATCAGCCAGCTACTGCAGAAAGCCACAAAATTTCTTTGCGTATTTCCTATTTGTTCATTTCCTTGAGACCTTCGTTAGTTTCTCATATATCTGTCTTGCTCTGCTGTTCGTATTACTAAAGCACGCAATCATCACTTTGCATCCAAGACCAGGAACACAAGAACACCAACATCCAACGAATCAAAATGCCTTCACTCAACAACCTTCTCACTCTCTCCTTGGCGGCCATCGGTGCCCTCGCCGCTCCTGCTCGCGACTTCACCGCACGCGACAAAGACTACTCCAACAACACCTCTCCATCCTCATACCACTCCTCCAACAACCACCACAACCAAAAGGCCGACGAACCTCTCTGCCTCACCACGCACCAAGCCCAAGCCATCGCAACAGACTACGGCCTCCTAATCTCCGACTACACCGACGCTCTCGCCGATAGTCTCCTCATGCCCAATTTCACCGACTACTCCCAATCAGTCAACACCCTCATAAACTCCTGTCCCCAAGGCTCCGAAGCCCACACTCTCCCCCTCTCCGCCCCGACCTTTACCTCCTTGGAAAAATTTAAAGCAGGTCAATCCCAACAACCTCCCATCAACTTCGAACAACTCGCCATCTTCCCCGCTTGTACCAGTGTCACAATCCGCTGGCAAACAACCAATACCGTCAACGCTACGGATCTTTTGCCTACGGCGAAGGAAGGTGCGAGACCTGTTGTGGGATTAATCACGATGGATGCGATTCCTGTTCCAGAGAGCAAGATTGGATGGAAAGTTCATACTGTTTACTCGGAGTTTGATTCGGGTGCTTGGTTGCAGAATTTGAGAGACGCAGACATTTGTGGAAACCCGGAGAAGAATTTGGGAGCGCCGGATGCTAATCCGAATTCGAACACGAACGCTGAAGCGGCAAGCGTAGGAGGTGCGGAGCCTTCTGGTGATGGAGCCGCTCCTGCTACTTCGAGACCGGTGAAGAGGGCGAGGATGTATGTTTGAGCATCTGGGCTGGTGGGGTGAGATTGGGCAACGCGAGTTCAACGTGGCGATTTGAGGGAGCATCCTTTGACAGTATGTATTGGCGTTGGTTGTGAAGTATTGTAGCATGGCGTTTTGCTTGTTTGTTTATTTGGTTGGTTCAACCGAGTTCATCGATGGTCTTGCTGTGGATGATAGCGTTGGTTGCATAAAATTTATCATAATCTCAGCCTGCATGACGGCTCTTGTCTCTTGTTGCCCTATTTTTCGAGAACTTTCGCCGTTTTGCTTACTGTGTAAAGCACTTGACATCCACGCTCGAAGTCTTCTGAAAGTAATAATACAATCTTCCTCAGGTCTCACCGATACTGGCTACTTCCCACTCGACAAAAAATTCTGACTTTCCAACCACTCTCTTAGCACTTCGTTGACTTCCTTCGGCTTTTCCCAAAGTGCCCAATGCCCAGCATCAACCTCCTTAACGACAGGCTGGTCAACATGCTGAACCATGAACGCGACCCATTCGTCCGTAACGAGAATATCGTCCATAGCACGCACGAACAGGTACGGAACTTTGAGACGTCCGCCATCCACACGGTCCAGGAGAGGTCTGGTGGCCTCGAAATTGGCTTGGGTGGTGCGGTAGTAGTTGCCTATACAGCATTTAGGAGATATCCCCAACTGATCCATTCCAGTGACGTGTGAGAGCACAAAGTACTCGCACATGAACAATCAGGGCATGACTGTTACTTACATGGTCCTCGCATTCCATTTCGCGAGAACTCTTGAACATAGTAGTCCAGTTCCTTAACATCCAACAGTGCCGGATCACCGACGCTTGGAAGACGGTTCAAGTCGTATCCGTTCTTAGGAGTAAATGGGTACTCTCCTTCAGGAGTCAACCCTCCGTACGCGGCTCGCAGAAATGTGCGCATTCCGTCCTCGTCTTTTGTAAAATTCTCGACGACACCTTCCGCGCTGCCCCATTGTAATTGGTATCCCAGCAAGGGCATGTGCTTGATGAGTACATCCAGTGGGACGTAATCCTTTGATGGCGGGAAGAAAGGAACCGCGACGGTTACCAGATGTGTGACGAAAGAGGGATACCATAGTGTGAAGTGAGTTGCCATGATGCTGCCCCTACACATTTGTTAGTCTACGCCTTGCAGCGGGAGTTGTATTTGCTCAAGTCAACTCACCAGTCATGCCCAGCAACGATGACACTCTCGCAGCCTAGCGACTTGCATAGTTCATAGAAATCATCGACCTGAGACTTGAACGTGTACGGCTGGAGGCTATCCGTTGGCGCATCCTGCATATATCAGCGTCAGCCAGACGGATCTGTCTGCTCAATAAAATAAGCTTACCGAACGTCCGTATCCAATGCAATCAGGCACAATCACTCGGAATCCATGCTCGACGAAGAATGGGATTTGATAACGCCATCCGGCAGATAGATCAGGAAATCCATGGATCTGTTACCAGAGCAAGACTTCGCATCTGCGTCGATCAATGAATCGAACACTGGAGCGACTCACCAGAATAATGGTGTGGATAAATCTAGCTTCCGGTTCAGCGAGAAGATACCCTATATACCCAGGTATGAGCCGGTTTCCAACAGGGAGAACATAGCTTATCTCGTTGAGACCGTTGTAAAAAGCTTCAGTGAAACTGCCGCAATTGGTTGGATACAGGATGACGGTGGCGTTGCTGATGCGGCCGTAAGTGTGCGAATGTGTTGGCCGACCACCAACGTACCTGTATCATAAAATTCGATATCAGTCTATCCTCGCAAACTTGCGAACAGTTTGCGTTCAGGAAGTAATGCGTGGTGAGCGATATGGGCAGCTAGAATGGAGGAGAGATGTTGTCTTTGCTGTTAGCCAATTCTATCTTGAAAGCAATCATGTGCCCAAGCATTTGGGGAGGGAGTGTTGGCTCGAGACTGTACGGCCGTAGCATATAGCCTCATTCTCACAATTGAGCATGTTGGCGGCCCCGGTCCGGCTAGAGCAAAGTCCTGGACAGTAACGGCGCGCTCGCTGGAGTTCTCCTCTCCGAAGGTTGAACAGACTCGTCTGAAGAACTTCTCCCGACCGTTGTCAGCGTCAAGCTCTTTCCAGACGGTGCAGTGAATGAGCCAGTATCCATCACGATTCCTGCTTCGTGACCATAAGCTTTCTCATGCAATGCCAACAACTCCATCTCTTTCCACTGCTGGGTACGGAATCTGCCCCCAGGATTATTCTTCTGTCTTGCACGAATCCAGTCCACGATGCTGGCGAGTGTGAGATTGGCGATGATAATCAAGCTACCAAGGATGAGGATAATTGCGAGTCCCAGGACGCTGAAGGATGAGTGGTCACTGCTTCGGGTCATCTGTGCGCGGCACATCCACTCGCTTTCGGGCTCTGGAGCCACAATGAATTCGTTGTATTGTTGGTTCCGGTACCCAGTGGCGAATCGTCTGTCGTGGCCGAATTAGCACGTAGCTCAATCTCATTGCTCGCCTTCTAACTTCAATTAGGACTCACCTCGCTAAAAGTTGTTCTCTGAACAATAGTGTCGAGAACCAATTTCCCAGCTCAAGTATCCACTGATCATCAGGCAGCCCCGGACTGTTTCGTCGCCTAATAGATCTGCTTGCGAGCATACTCTGTGCTCCAAGAGTCTTTATCAATCGCGCCATTGACGCCACCTTGGGAGCGTGGATTCGGTCCAAGATCTGTTGCTGTGTTGGCGTCAACAGTAGAGATCGAATGCCTTTCTTCCGGAGACTGTGAACGCATGGCTGATCAGGAAGTGCAGGGTTGCAGTACGTCGTGTCTGAGAAACACGCGACTGCAGTGCTAGAGACAGTCCGATCCGAGTCTTCGTTCGCGACGTATGCTGTAACATTTGCCGTTGACCCCTCCAGTAGGACGGAGTCTGTAGGAAAATCTGTAGCACGAGTGGCTTTGAATAGCGGGTCTCGGACAGGTCTCGTGAAGAAGACGCGATTATGCAAGAACACCAGCAATGTATCTGATGCCGCGCTGGTCAAGTCGGGTATCGCATCGAATGTCCCATTGCCGTCAATCTCGCGAGTGTGAGCCCTGTAAGTCGGATGATTAGCACAGTGTCATCAGCGAGGCAGTCAAGACTCACTGCAGCATGTACGGAACCTCGAGGTGTGGTGAGCCGCTAGTGAGCGCTCGTCTGCCGCCTGATGTGACATAGTAAGTAGCCAACATGCCATCGTCTCTACGATGGAGCGACTCGCCAAGGAAGTAAGCCGTGAATGTACTGGTGTTGGAGCGTGCAAGAATGCGATCTAGAGGGTGGTCTGAATGATTGCCAGGCGTTATCGTATAGTCGGGCCACAACGTGCTGATATTCTTGGCGGTGTAGCGCTTTTCATATGAGGACAGATCCAGAGGCGCGCACGTCATGTTCGCCCTATAATGAAGGCGATCATGTGTCCGCGAGTTGATCCCAAGATGCAGCTGGGTATCTATCATGCCCGAGTCAAAGGTGACGCTGTTTGAAGTACACAATTCCTGGCCGAAAGGACACTCGTCGCTCGAATTGAAGGTCCATGGAATAGCTTGCAAGCCAGGCGATGTACACGGCGCGCTGGAATTAGACTGCCGCTGGACATCGAAGCAAGCTTGGCTCAGTGAAAGTGCCGCCCGGAAATTCTCAACCTCCGCCAATTGCTGTGTCTGATATTCATCTTGAAGTCGCAAACCTGCCTCAGTCTCGTTCAGATCGTTGAGGGTCACGGTCGGCCATATCCCACATCGTCCTGGTTTTCGCAACACATCCGAGCTTGAACTGGTGACCTTGGATGAGAATACCGCTGCAGCGCCGAAGCCGAGTACATTCAGCAGCGCAAGAAAGATGAGTGTCGAGGATCTGCAAGCGCGATACCCGTCCCTTTTTGTCCATTTTCGGTCTGCGAGATACACATCGTGTATAGCGCTTGTTGCAGAGCTGCTATTTCGAAGGATTGCTAACTGCTGGGCCGACTGCGATGTTGAGCTGGACACGAAAGTCTGGGCTTCTGCTCGGAACTGGAATATTATCCAGCACAGCAATTGCCAGGCATGGCCTCCGGTGATCCGAACGAAGAGCGCCAGAAAAGCAACCAAGAAAGCCCCATCTCGATGAGTAAGTGTAAGAGTAGCACCTTGTATCTGGCCGAAGCTCCAGTTCGTCCATAAGCCCAGATAGATTTGATCTTGAGTGGCCATCTTCGAACAGATTTGCGCGAGTTTGAGCTGTTGAAATTATAGGTATGACTGCTCTTTTTATAACACGGCTCGTGCAAGCACCAACGGATCTATCTGTCGAGCCTATGGTATGCGTACAGTGCATCGACGGCCAAGAGGACGGTTAAGAAGATGGCTTGCATGTCCAGTGGAGGGCAGCTGGGTCGAGATGTGGCTCAAAGTCTCCATTCTCGACCCTTTAGAGTTGAGGAGGGCAGCGGCCTCTCCAGGACGAGCATGACAAGACTCAGTGGCCACAAAGCTGACGAAGGCATGGGGTGCGACACTCGTGGTCTTTGTTGAGGAGCTGATCGGATCACTGAGAGCTTGCAGCGTAGCACGAACTGCCTCTGGTGGAACCCAGGCCTATTCATTCGTAATGTCCCTTGGTTACGTCTGTGCAACTCCAGGTCAACAGAAATTGAAATCCAGAGTCCAATCACTGAGTCTGAGATTGAGAACCAATTCAGCCATCCGACAAGCTTGCCAAGATGAGTTCTATGTGCGCCACCATTGCCCGCAGCGTGCACAATAGGCAGCAAGACGTGACGTGGAAGGCCTCTCGTCTCATGAAACAGAACTGCAGTCGTGCAATGCGGTGCTCACACTCTACTCAAAGTCAATGTCAGCCTCTCCTGAAGTCCAGACTGGTCCTCACACTGCGCCCAACAGAGGCCGCCCAAATGCATACCAAGATGAAGTATAGCCCCACTTTGTATGCGTCCAGAGGAGTGGCGCAGTAGTCCACAAGCTGCATTGGTCGCAAAGCCGGTATCCTGATGCATTGGGGGATATGATCATGGGCGTGCTTCGTCCGTGCAGTACACAGTGTTGTCCTTTCTGCCCTTCATGTCTCGTCGTTCCTTTCACATGGGTCGGAGCCAGAAGTTAGCGCACTGGTCCTTGACATGTCGGACTGCGTCTCGACACACGCTGCCGTGTTTCTGGGGCATCTTGTCGCGAAGAGGGGCGCAGATGTGGAATCGCGGTCGTGACGGGCAGGCACAATTTAGGACGAGGAAGGACGTTTCCCTCTTGCTGCCAGCCAACAGCGACATCCACGTCCACGCCAAGACTTTAGCGCGGACTGATGCCTGAGGATTCTCACTCACGTCACCACTTCGCACGCGCCCTTCTCACTTGACATCCACTTCCACAACACGCGAGTCGATGCGAGCACAGATTCCCATCACGCGCACCAGGCATCTGCTCCGACGCTTCACCATGTCATCCGCCGGGCAAGCACCCAAGATCAACCGCATCAGCCCGCTATCAGCAGACGAAGCAAAATGGACCGAGCTCCGCAAGATTGAGGTCAACAGATCCCGACCGACTACACCCGCAGCCCACTGATTCTTCTCAGTGGACCGATCAAGATGGCAAGAACCGTGTATGGGAAGCTGCGGCCCGTAAGACTCGATCGAAGGGAGGCGTAGACGCTGTTGCCATTGCTCCAATCCTGCGCCACCCAACCAGACCACCGCAGACCATGGTCATCCTCCAATACCGCCCGCCAGTCGAGGCGTACTGCGTTGAATTTCCCGCCGGGCTGATCGACGAGGGTGAGACACCGGAGCAGGCCGCTGTGCGAGAGCTCAAGGAGGAGACAGGCTACGAGGGCAAGGTTTGTGACGTCTCGGATGTGCTCAGCAGCCAACCCGGAATGACGAATGCCAACATGAGTGTAGGTCCTCGATTGTAGCCCAACGATTGTCGCCGATCCGGGATTGACCAATGCAAATATGCAGGTGCGTTGTCCGAATTGCATCCTGTCTTGGCGTAATCGCTAATGTCTTGCAGATGGTCACCATTGAAGTGCAGCTCAAAGAGGGTGATGAACAGCCGGAGCAGCACTTGGACGAGGGTGAGCATATCGAGCGGCGTGTGGTGCCGCTAGACCAGCTCTACGAAAAACTGCAAGGTATGTCATCAGCGCCGTCTCCTGTCGTGAGGTTTGCCAACGGCGACAGAACTGTCCAAGGAGGAGGGAAAGATTGTGGACGCCAGGTAAGAACGAGTCCATAAACCTCTATCGCGCACAAACTGACCCATTCAGGCTCTTCCACTGGGCTCTTGGCCTCCACTGGTCTCGCAAGCTCGATCTCAAGAACTAATGTCGGAACATCGCAGAGTGGGACCAGAAAGGTTACATTACAGACGAATACGTTGCGTTCCTGGCTTACGGCTGGTATTATGGGCGAAAGTTCGCCCCGTTGTAGAAGTCATTCGCAAACAGATGCAGCTCCCACCAGCAAAAGGGAAGCAAGAGAAGTTGTCCAAATACCATGCCATTCCACATACTGTCTAAGTGTACACATTTTGACACGCCCGCAAACCATGCTACTAACGCTCAACAGATCATGCCTTTTCAGTCTCGGTCATACATTGTCATTCCAGCTCTCCAGCAGACCATCGACCTGGACTGCTCGCGTCACTCGTACAAGACATCCGCCCTTCTCTTTCGGATGTACTCGTAGTCCGGCCCATTCGCCCACACCCAGAGCAGAAACAACACCATGACCCCCATCAAGAATCCCAGGAAGATCGCGGTAATCCTGCCTCTCCAGTTGTCTGCGGTGCCAAGAGCAGCCATCGCTCTCGATGGATCCAATCCCGCTCTTTGAAGCTCCTCAGTTTCAGCTGATTTGCTCTGGCCGCGGACAACTTGACTTGCTCGAAATCGATTGAGCTGAGCAGTGCTTTCCTCCAGTGACTGAGCGAGCACGTTGCGGGACTTTCTGAGTTTTGCGATTTCAATAGCGGGATCCGGATCGGTGGCGTAGTGTATCGAACCCGAATCTTCCTCCGGGCCGGCAGTTTCTGGTGCACGACGATGTGCTCGAGTTGGATTGTTCATTATGGCTTCTCGATGTCTTTGCTGAGCGAATTGAGGAGTTTCTTCGACGACTTGCGTGCTTGCTGGCGATACTGCAGGCACCGGAGTCTGTCGTCCTGGCACAACAACGATGTTGCCACCCACGTCGTCCTCAGACTCCGAGTTTAGCTGCTCTGGCAGTAGTCCGCGCCTCAAAGGCGTTGGTGCTGCGGTGCGCTGGGAAGGAAGTCGGGATGCTGCGGCGGTCGTGCTGAATCTGGCCAATGGACTCGTCTGAATGCTGTCGTCCAAATCAGGATCAGAAGTTGGTGGTGAAGAAGCCGGTGATTGTCCACGGCCACAATGCGAGATGGATTCGTGATGTGTGGAATTGCCGACTTGAACACCTCGAGATGTTGTTGTTGCGGAACGTAACTGGTCCTGCATGCGTTGGCGACATTCACAAACTGTGCTGAGGTCTCGGTGAAGGCGGCAGTAGTCACACCGTACTGAGGAAGCTGACATGATTGCTAGACTGTCTCGGACCGTATTTGGTGTCGGAAACTTTTGCTTGCGGCCTGCCGTAAGCAACTGTTGATTGCTCGTGATGTATTGAAGCTGCAGAAAAGGAAGCAAGAGAAGCGGATATCGATACTTTTATGGAGGGCGAATGTGTCCGCGCTCTTCACTAGGCGAAGACTTTCGACACGTTACTGCATGTCTGAAGTGAATCAAGTCACTTGCTTGGAGGGAAAACACGAGACCTGGCGTTGAATCAACAACAGAACAGCCCAAATCAGGTGACACCAAGTCTCACTCGGGAAAGACAGGATCCCCAAATTGAATGATTGCCATTTCGAAAACACTCATCGACACAATTCTCGCGTCCTCCAATATCCTGCTACTCGTCTTTCGCGCCACATTCAAAGCCCCAAAACCTGCCGTCTCCGATCCCGAATGTAGGACATCTCAGGCCAATGAAACCAGCAGAAACATGCATAGAACAACACCACCACCATCAACACGAACAAAGCCTGGACTCTTCCCTCCCTTGCACTGAACCCTGCGATGTGCTTTTCGAGTGATTCCAGTCTCTCATCGATCTTTCTACACTGGCCGCGGAGTTTCGCCGACCATGTCTCGTTTCCTTCTACATCGTCGGCCATCTCATAGAGTCTGAGACGTGCTCTCATGTTTTGATCAGTGGCATTGTGCAAAGCTTGTCGCAGAAGGGAGTCTGGATTGGAGCCTGGGGGCTGCGGTCCCAAGACTGCACTGCGGCCGCCATTAAGCGCCTCAATTTCTCCACTGGGGGTCAGTGGTGGAGCATCTGGCATTTCAATGTCGCTGGCTGCAGGATGAGAATTGACAAGAGTCCCTTGCTTGTTTCGACCTGCAGGTCTGGGCTCGCCACCAGGACATGGCGTGGATCTTGGCGGCTCTTGAGCATCTTCTGGAGTATCTGCAATGACGGGCGTCGTGCCATCGTGCATGTCGTTTTGAAATTCGCTTCCATCAGCACTGCCTATGCCACCAGGGCTTGACTCTTCGGACTCGTTGATGCTGCTGCTTGACTCGACACTGTCGCTGTGCTGGAGTGACGCAGTGCGATGTAATCGAGAAGGATAGCGCGAGCACCGTTGGCCTGCTTGTGTCGGCATATTTTTCGCAGGCTCGAGTTGACGTTGAGGCTGGTCCTGACGCACTTGGAATATTGATTCTATGTTAGTGCTGATTTGAGGTGACAGGTTCACAAGATGAGATACAGAGGAAACATCTTGCAAGGCCGTGACTATAGAAGGTCAACGCGTGGGGTGAACCCAACTTCCACCGCGCGTGACATGACTAGCTCATTCACTCTTGGAATATGAGCTGCGCCCAATCATCCAAAAGTCTTCACTCGCCGCTTGGCCCTGGAAGCACCTGCCCATATCCAGGCGGTACGCCAAAATCTGGCGTGCCGTCCTCATTCCATCTCACCACAACAGCATTTGCACGCCTTTGATCTCCGCAATTTCCCCCAGAATTGGGCGTCGAATGGTAAACATTCCAAGTCTCGCTACCATCAGGGCTGGTAAAGAAGCTGTTGTGTCCGGTACCGAACTCTCCATTCGCACTTGTAAAGTGAGGGCCGGTCTTGACCCAGCTGGCGCTATCCATAGGATCACCTCCCGTCCATTCCAAAGTGCCAAGTGCGTACGAGGGTGTTCCGCAGTACGACCCAGAGAATGCGATGAAAGTTTTGTTGCCATTGTACAGAGCATAAGGACCCTCATTGACGGGTTCCCCGACCAGCTCCCAGCTTTCTGTCGGCTCAGAGAGGACTTTGTGCTCGCCCGTGGTCGTGGCACCAGTCAGGGGCGTGATGTAAAGCTTTTGCTTCTCGCCAGCTTCGAAGCCTCCGTTTACGAACCCCGAATACACAAAGTAGTTCTGATTTTGCAGACGAACGATTGTGCCATCGATTGAGAAGAAGCCAGGGGTTTGAAGCTCGCCGGCATAGCCATACATATCCCAAGGCGTGCTGCCGCCTGGCGATTCTATTAGCTCAAATCCTCTCAAAGACTCTATCTGCTCACCTCGAATGGCATGCGACCTTTGACGACTTAGCGGATTAGGTCCAGCAGAGTAGTAGACATGCCATGCTCCATCTATGTAGTGCATCTCTGGTGCCCATACATTGCAGCAGCGACTTGGTTCAGAATCGGCCCAGATGAGCTTCGTCTCACCATTCTTCAACCCATCCAACGTCCTCGCTCGGGCCATTTGCAAGTTGGCAAAATTTGTGCTCATGAAGTAGTACCAACCATCGTGCCAGACGATGTTGGGATCTCCTCCATTGACATCGCGAAGAGGATTGGAATAGCTTGCAGCGGAGACTCCGCTGAATGAAAGCGGCAAAACTGCCAGGAAAGTAGAAAGCTTCATGGTCGGTAATTTTCGTTGCTCATCTGGTGCTTCATCGTGGAGGAAGACCTCTATTGTATAAGACTGGCATGGGCGCAGAAGCCCAAGACGGAGAATCTATTGCCATCGCAATGACAGCAACAACGTGAAATACCTACCTGTCTGGTCGTGTTCGTCGCCTTGGGACTTCTTGGCTGTTGATGATCAGCACTGAATTCACATTAGACGGAGACTCGTTGATGGAGGAAGTTGACCCGGGAGTCTGGGATGGCATCAGAAGATCAGTGGTCTGCAGTGCGACGTAGTGTTGCATTCAGTCACCTTGGCGTCACCACCATTGCCAAGCCCCCCAGATTGTGGTCTCCACCCTCTCCGTCCTCTCCACCTCGGGGCAAATTTCTCCACCAATGACCATGTTCTTCCCTCACAGCACGCCGCTTGAGACTGGATGCCGCAGACCGAACGGATAATGAACACACACTTTAGGATCCACAAGCCGATCCAACACGAGTTGGCGCGTGGCCTTTACCCGGCTTTGGCACTTGCAGGAGCCACTGACGCACATCGTCGATGCGGCCACTTCAAAATAAAAGAGCCTCCATAATGGCTGTGAATGCGGCTCCCATAATCTTCCAGTCGGCCTCTCTCGACAACATCGGGCAAGATGTATCGCTTCACCAACATCTATGTGTTGGCGGCCTTTGGCACCATCGGCGGTGCCTTGTTCGGGTTCGATATCAGCTCGATGAGCGCATGGCTTGGAACTGAGCAATACACCCAATACTTCAACTCTCCCGACAGCGACCTACAAGGAGGCATCACCGCGTCGATGAGCGGCGGATCACTCATTGGTGCCCTTGCAGCTGGATTCCTGGCCGATAAATTTGGACGAAAGATCGCACTACAAATCGCCTGCGTCATTTTCGTAATTGGCTGCGCGATTGTCTGCTCATCGCAAAACGTTGGACAACTCATTGCCGGCAGAATCGTCAATGGCCTTTCAATTGGTATCTGCTCGTCACAGGTCTGCGTATATCTTGCAGAGCTTTCACCCTCGGCTATTCGTGGACGCATCGTTGGGATTCAGCAATGGGCCATCGAATGGGGCATTCTCATCATGTACCTCGTTTGCTATGCCTGCGCGCAAACAGTCTCTGGGCCTGCCGCCTTCCGAATTGCTTGGGGAGTGCAAGGAATTCCAGCAATCATCCTTTTCTTCGCCCTCTTTTGCTTCCCGGAATCTCCCAGGTGGCTGGCTGGACGAGAACGTTGGGAAGAGTGTCTGACCGTACTGGCTGAGCTACATGGACAAGGTGATCGCACCAATCCCATCGTCATTTCAGAGTTCGAGGAGGTCCAGGAAGCCCAGCGAGTAGCTGCACAGGCTGCTGGCATCGGATTCTTCAGCCTGTTCGGCCCCAAGATCTGGAAACGAACCCTTGCAGGAACTTCAGTCCAAATGTGGCAGCAGCTGCTAGGTAAGCCCGCAGATTCTTCTTTGATAGTTGACCTCTAACATAGCAACAGGTGGAAATGTCGCCATGTACTATGTGGTCTATATCTTCCAGATGGCTGGCCTTTCTGGAAATACAAACCTTTATTCCTCTGCGATCCAATACGTCATCTTCCTAGTCACCACAGGCGTGATGTTACCTATCATCGATAGAGTTGGACGACGACAGCTACTGCTTGGAGGCGCCGTTATTTGCATGACGCTCCACTTTGCCACAGCTGGTGTCATGGCGACCTACGGTCGCCCTGTGGACTCGGTATTCGGCAACGAGAACTTGAAGTTGGAACTGTCGCCCGTACCAGGCAAAGCTGTCATCGCCCTCAGCTACATCTTCACCGGCATCTATGGCCTCACGTGGGCACCAACTGGCTGGATCTATTGCTCTGAGGTTTTCCCTCTCAAGTATCGTGCCAAGGTAAGTTTCGAACTGTCCAGGTGAAGTCAACATCTGAGAACTAAATCATTTGACCAGGGTGTTGGCCTTTCAGCTGCGACGAATTGGGTAAGCTCGAACCCCTTTCCTATTGATGAATCACAACTGACCTTCTCAGGCCTTCAACTTCGCTCTCGCATATTTCCTGCCACCTGCGTTCCGCAACATCACCTGGAAAACGTACATCATCTTCGGCATCTTCTGCTTCGCAATGACTTTCCACATCTTCTTCATGTACCCTGAGACCGCTCGAAAGACACTGGAGGAGATTGATCTGATCTTCGACTCCAAAATCTCTGCCTGGAAGTCAGCGAAGGTGCACGCCAATGCACTGCAGACGAGGGCTGCGAAGATCGAGAGTGGCGAGACACATGGCGATACAGGACTTGATATGGAAAAGGACAAGGAGGGTGATGTGTATCAAAAGGAAGTTGTGTAGGTTTCTTTCTTATTCAGGTATTGCTGAACGCATATCGATCTGCTCTTGGCAGTCGATTTCATCTTTGCCTTTCGACGCTTGCTCTGATGACCAAATTTATCCCATATTGCTTTTTGGGTACAGTTCGCGACCCGCGCGATTTCAGAATGCAATGCCAGCCGCGTGAATTTTCTCGATCTTGCTCAACTTATAGTCGGCGAGATCGCTCTTCCCCGTCTCCTACACCAATGACAGGCCAAAATCTCCTAGTGCCTGCACAAAACCCTTACTGCAACGCCTCCCACATTTTGTGTGCAGAAAAATGGTCCAATCCCACCTGACGGAGGGAGGCCCAGAGTAGGCATATCCGTTGCAGCAGCCATTCCCGTGGGGGCAGCTCGGGTCGTCGTGATCAGTGTCGTTCGTTCTTCGCCAAATGCTTGTGGTCGTTCGGTGTTTGCCGCAGGCTCTTCGCCAAATGCTTGTGGGCGCTCGGTATTCGTAGTACGCTCTTCGCCGAAAGCTTGTGGTCGCTCAGTGTTCGCCGCCGCCGTCGTGGTCGTAGTCATTGGTAGAATAGAGAAAATAGGTTGGCTGGTAGTCGTTGTAGTTGATGCCGCAGTCCGGGTCGTGGTCGTCGATGTGACGATTGGAATTGTAACAGAGCCACTCGGAGGCAGAGTATCGCGTTTGAAAGCTGTGTCAACGCTGTCGCTTTCCGAAGCCATCTCGATGCTGCTCTTGAAAAAGCATACACCTGACCCGCTGCCGCCGATGTAGGAAAATCCGACACACTCGGCAATAGCATCGCATAGTGGGAAACATGCAGAAAATGAAGACGCTGGCTCATTGCTCAAGTCCCCTCCCCTGCGATCCGTGTTGCATTCCGTCGTGTAGCCACCAATCTGAGTTCCACTGCCAAGTTGCTGACATGACATTTCAGTAGGAGGCGATGATTGCGGAAGCGCAGAGGCAATGCTCGCGGCCATTGCAAGGCCTGAAAGAAGTGAGGTCAACATCTTGAAGGATCAAAAAGATAATGAATGTAGGCTGAAAAGGATACTGTCGAATGAGAGGAATGAACAATTGTTCTAGATTGGTGAGCGCAGCGGAGTGGAACGAGCACAGAATACTCATATGTAACACATATAGCATACCATCATCGTAGGAGACAGGGTGCTATGAGAAATAGCGATCCACGAGTCTGCCTTGGCTGTGACACTCGTGGGTATAGCGTGTGAGTAGCGCGAAGTCGGTACGGAACCGTGCTCCAGCCCATCCTGCATCGTCATAGCTGAATACATGCCTATAGATCGCAAGAGATGCGTGCTGGGGCTCGTTTGACGTGACATCCATGACAGCACGAGAACTGCCTCTATTCGTGACCTGCAAGAATCAGTACATGTCTGGCTAATACTTGCAACAGTTGTCAGCTTCAAGAGGCGCATGCCTTCGAACAAGACCGGGGATCACTCCTTCAATAACGTTGTCTGTCGTTTTGGTAGAAGCGAACAAGATTCTGAGTTTGCCCGATTGCCTAAGAAGGCAATCATCTGTGCCAAGAAAGCCTTGATTCTGTAGATGACAATCAGCCACCCGTGTAGCTTGCAGCCGCCCTGTGTCACATCTGCAAGCCGTTGTAGACACTTCGTTGGGCTTCGTTATGAAGGGATTGCTTGCCCTGCTCCATACTGAAAACAATGAGCACAATTGTTGAGCTGAATACGGTTCCTCGTTCCAAACCTGGGGATGTGCATCGCACGTTGCCAAAAACCGAAGACGCCGTGTTTGCTAGGTAAGCAACAGCATAGATGCTCTGGACTCGTCAACGTGATACTTTGGATGAAACTGTGCTGATGAAGTTGTGAAGTCGGTTGAAGAGACGTCCCAAAGCTTGTGGCTTGGCGTTCAAATTTATCCGCAGGGCAGGGGCCCTTCATTCCGCGACAGACTTTTGCTCTGCTCCGCCACCTCTACTCTCTCATCATGAACGGCGCGCACCTTTCCCTCGATGCCCCAATACAGTTCACTGCAACACGCTGATTCTATCAAGATTGACGATGGCCGTGAGTGGCTGGTGCCAGACCAAAAGAGTCCTGCTCACATTTAAACACAACTGTGGAACTAATCCACCTTCCTCCACCAGAGTTCTCCTGTGAAACCACCACCACGGGTGGATCTAAAGAATTGAATCAGCAGAGTCCGCATGAAGATAAGCTATAATACTCACTGGATATGTAAGAGCTTCCCTTCAGGAGTGGTATGAATTGTATAATTCCTCCTCTGCAGCGCTCCCTGCCAACTCGGTCTTGGAAGAAGCAACGTCAGCTTCATCGCTCACCCGAATTCATCGGATCAGACTTACACATTGGCGACTACTAGAGGGCCATGGAAGATCTGACCTGATGTGGTGTTCGCTGGAATATCACGGCTTATGGTAATCGGTCCAGCATACCCTATGCTGTGCTTGCCAACGAGAGCCCAGTCATCGTCTGAGTCCTCCGGCTGGAAAGGAAACGTTCTGGTCGCGCGACAAGGTAATGGTAAGCAGGTCGTCTGAACAATGTAGCAGCCATTGGACGGCCGCGAGAGCACCCTCTATTTCCGGCACTTACAGATTCGGTCGCAACTCAGGTTCAGTAGCCGTAATGGTAGCAGACATCCAACCGGACTTGCTGTATGTGATGATGCCAACGGGTCGCTCTCCATAAGCCTCATCTGGAATAGGTACACCGTCCCGCGCACTCGTTGTGTTGATCAAAGCGTACGTTCCGGCAAGTGCGTCCAAAATGGCTTGGTCTGGGTAAAATGGTTCGCATTGTACTGGGCTATTGCTGTTGCTGTCGCTGGCCTCCGCACTTGTAGAACCAGCCTGGGGATGAGGAACAGCCCAAGCGGTAGTGAGCAGCAACGATGTTGCAAACGAGAGCTTCATCTTGTTTGGGCGAGGACTACTTGAAAGACCGAAAGACCGGGCTGATCGAAATGCAAGATTGCTAGCTGTATTTACGACATCGCTCGTCCGAAAGCCCTTTAGTATACTCTCCGCCAAGCCAATGCTGAGTCGGATGGTTGGTCATGCCGAAGCGAAGTCGGCTTGCTTTGTCCTGCGAGATCTTGAATGGTACGCCGCTTGTGTCAGTATCTACCGAGTGGTGCGGCGAAAGGAAGCAGTGGTACGTTTCTCGGAGCAGCACGCTTGATCATGGCGCTGGCTCAAGCATTTCGCCCAGGCGAAGCTGTCAGCAGTAACGGAAGAACAACTCATCTTGGAAACCCGCCAGGGTCGGAACAGTGGAGTAAGGATTACGGCTGCAGCACCAAGAGCACAGTGTTCCGAATACACAACCAGCCACGAAATCACGGAAAAGATCACGGCTGATTCAGAGTATGACCGCCATCCGGTTCGACAGAGAGAGATGAAGACGAAATGTACTCCGCAAATCTCCCCACACAAGGCTCACTGCCCATGGGGAGAGTGGGCTCGCATGAGAACCTGCGCGCCGAGATCATTTGGCGCGAGCGCTAGATCTTTTAGCAGTCTTCGGACACATGCAGGCCCCTGCTTCCAAGACGGACTATGCTGGCAAAGGCCGCTTGGCATGAAATCCGCCAGGCCAAGGTCCGATGGGACTGCAAACCGTTCCTGATGATTTGTGGTTTCTGATGTTCGGGCGAGATCTTACATTCAATGAGACTCAGTTGGCGCAAGCTGGCACGAAACCATGTCTTCATCGTCGTCCGCCATTCATTCATGTCATTACCAAATATACAATCATGATCCGGCCGATTACCACCCACTCATGATGCTGTGCTTCTTCCCCAAAACGAGACCCAAAAAGCAGACCCGAATATTCAGCAGACCCTACCGCCACTGCCCCAAGAACAAGAAGCGCCAAACACACCGTGCTCAAACACTCAAGGGTATCTTTCGACCATCATTCTCACAAGAAAGCCTCGCTCTTGAGCATTAGCTTGGCCCTTCTTTTCGTACTCATCGAACCCCTCAGACCGAAAGTATCAACAGTATCTTGTACAACTCCATCCTCCATAGCGCCGTTCACACTCATAAAAACCCCTTTGACAAAGAACTCTTGCGTTGCGGCACCTCAATCTTCAAGTCGCCAGAAGAAGTACCTGGCGGAGTTGGAGCAACGGAAGAGCCCCTCCTGGAGCGGTCTGCTCCGAAGCCTGCATCACTCAAGTTGGCTAACGTCGCGGATCTCCTCACGCTTTCACGGTCAGCCCGCGAAACGATTCCCATGCGTTCAAGCTCTCGTTCAAGGCGAAGGTTCTTCTCGCGCTCTTCCCGAAGCTCACGTTCGGCGCGCTTGGACGCAAGTTGTGCGGTAGAATCCGACTGCTGGAGCTCATCGATAGTCTCGAGAAGCTGGGAGATCTTGTCTCGGGACTTGTTGAGATCTTCCTGAAGCATCTGCTGAGACTTTTCGCGTCGCTCAATCTGGACCTGCAGATCTTTGACGGTACGATCTACGTTGCGCACGCTGCGTGCTTCGGTCGTGCGTGACTTTTCGACATCTTCCAATTGGTTTTCGAGCTGGCAGCGTGTTAGCATTCACTGGCTTCACAGAAAGTTACAAATAATTTACCTCTTGGATCCTGCCATGGAGATATCGAACGTCCTGGCTGCCACTGGTGTATCCTTTCGTCTCCAATTCGATGCAACGTAATTGGAGATCCTTGACACTCTTCTCGAGGGCGGCCTTCTCCTTGTGGAGCTGGACGCTGCTCTCGCGTTGCGTGGCGATGTCTTTGGACACCTCTTGTGCCAAAGCTTCAGCTCGTCGCATCTTGCCAACTGCAGCTGCCGCAATGTCTTCTTGCTGGGCAAGCTTCGTCTTCAGCTCGAGCACTTCCTTGTCGGACATGGCGACCGCGCGCTTCGATGGAGAGCCATTGTCCGATAGGTCTTGCAGGCGTTCAGCCGCTTCGGCGAGGCGGGTCTGCAGACCAGCCTTTTCTTTCAGCAGCATGTCACGCTCGGCAATGGTATCATCCACGCTTGTCCGCAGTGCACGAACCTGTCCGAGAAGCTCGACAACCTTGCTTTGGGCATCATTGTGGGCACTGACAGCGTCGTCTCGGGAATCTGATATACTCTGCAGCGCCACTTCCAGGCGAGACTTCTCCTTAGCCCAAGTCGAACTGTTGAGGACTTCGTCGTCCCACTTGTTGCGCAACTCCTCGAGCTCGTCACGAAGTCGTCCATTTTCGCCTCGAGCATGGATCACATTGTCTCGCTCTACCTCTAGCTCGTTGGACAGGCTAGCCAGCTCGGTTTGATACTTCTTTCTTGTCTGTTCGAGCGAAGACTCCTTGTCCTCGATGTCCATAGCTCGCTGCGAACGGTAGTCCTCGAGTTCGTTTTGTAGTCTCTTTTTGGCTTGAAGAGCGCTGTCCAGATCTGTCGAAACATCCTCGATTCTCTCCTCGAACTGCTGTACTTGACGCTGGAGATCTTCGACAAGGGCGTCCATCTCCTTGCGTTCCGACATAATCGTCGCGCAAGTCTCTTCCATTTCCTTCGCCTGCGATTTTGCAAATTGCTCTGCTCGTGATGCCTTCAACACTGCGATCTCAGCCTGCTCCAACTTCTCGAAGTACTCATCCGCACGAGCTTTGTACAGGTCCATGCTGGCATTGAGATCGTCGCATCTTGAAGTTTCGGCGTCCAGTCGAATTTGTAAGTCGGAGAACTCTTGCAGAAGCTGCGCATGGTTGCCTGCTTCTTGCTCGCGCTCGTATCGAACGTCAGAGAGCTCCGACTTTGCGTCACGCAGCTCAATTTCCACAGATGCCTTGTACTGCTTAATCTCGTCGAATGCCGTCTTAGCATCGGTCAGCTCTGCAATAGCAGCGTTGTGGGATGTAAGCAGGGAGCGGCGAGATTGTTCTTGCGAGTTGATGAGATCATACAACTCTTCGTGGCTCTTGGTCTGGACTTCTTGGAAGGAAAGTTGTCCCGCACGCATACTCTGCTCCAGCGATGACACTTTCTTCGCAGAGTCATCGAGCATGTCGTGAAGGCGGAAGTTCTCCCGCTCAAGCTTCTGCACACGCCGCATTGAAGGACTCTCTTCCTGCCACGCGGCCTTTGCTGGAGTTCGCTCAACCTGGGCCTGCAAGTGCGCATTCTTCATCTCGGACATTTGCAGCTGGTTCTGGAGCATATCCACTTCAGCAGCGAGATCCATGCGGTTGTTGTACGTGAAAGTATCCGTGGTGCGATCAGAACGTGCCGAATCGTGACTCTCCTTGCTGATATGGCGCTGGTTGGTAGGGGTCGACACACCATTGGCAGCCGCTGACCACACCCTGCGACCCTCAAAGTCTCGCCTCACATTACTAGGCGATGATCGGGCATTGACCTGGCTTGCGTTCATCTCCTCCAGCAGGGCACGCTTCGAATTTTGATGGCGGTTGTCGTTCTCCTGCATGTCTTCCTGGTGCTGTGATCTAAGCTGTTCCAGCTGAGATTCGGCTCGAGAGAAGCGTTCAGTCGCAAGGCGTAAGGCTTGTTCAGAGGAATCCAGCTTCTGAGCGAGATCAATCGTCCTCTGCATGTCTGGCTTTGCACCGTCAAGGTTGGCAGGCAGCTTGCCGTTCTCGGGATCGAAAATCTTCTGCAGCAACCTCAAATGGCCATGTGCTTCGGTCAGCTCATTATGAGCCGCGTCTAGGGAGCCTTGCAAGGTCTTGCTGTTCTGTTGAGCCTGAGACCGCATCGTTCGCTCAGTCTCAAGCTTTCGATTTGCCTCCGCTAGCTGTAAGCTCACAGCCGACGACTGCTGCTCTGCGTTTCGTGTGGCCTTGTGCTCCCGCTCGACTTCATGGTTGAGATCCTCGAGGCTCAGGCTAAGCTTCTCCTTCTGCTTTTCAAGAGAAGTGATTGTGAGCTGCGAATCAGTAAGCTGGCGCTGCAGCTTCTTCGCCTCTTCCTCGAACTTCGCCTTCTCATTCTGCAACTGGGCAATCTTGCCACGATGGGTATCGCTGACCTTGGAGTTGGAACGGGCAATGTCCAAATTCTTCTGCTGCACCTTGTTCATTAATGCACGGTTGTCGTTCTCGGATGCCGTTAATCGGCCCTTGACTGTAACCAATTCGCGCTCGAGACGTTGCTTCTCTTGATCGTGGTGTAGCTTGAAATTCTCCGATTCTGCGATAAAAGATTTCAGACGTTGCACTTCGCCTGCCAGCCGAGCACGCTCAGATTCTGCGTGCTCCGCTTCTTGTGTTCTTACGTCCAGTTCTCGACGCACGACAGCATGTCGCTCGTTCGCCTGCTGGGTAACATTTCGCTCCACCTCAGCTTCGCACTCGAGTTTTGCTTCCTGCAATTCGAGGAACTTCTTGCGAAGGCTTTGCAATTCAGCTTGGTAGTCTTTCCGATCTTGCTCTGCCTTCTCGCGGGCGGCCGTGGCATTGCGAGTCAGGTCGGACTGGGCATACATTTCTTTCTCGATGGTGACCTTCGAGTCGTTCAACGCGTCGTATTCGCGTTTGAGATCACCATACTCGGCAGCAGCAATGCGCTTGACATCGTCGCGAGATTGCTGTTCCCTGCTAAGGTCAGTCTGGGTCTGGAACAGGTCGCCTTTGACGTCGTGGAGCTGCGCTTCAAGCATTGCCACTTGCTCATTTGCGGAGGTCTGCTCTTCAAGTGCCCGTCGGGCATCCGACGCCTCACGCTCAAGTTGAGCATGTTGAGTCTTCATAGCTTGCATCTCAGCTTGCACGTCGCGCAGCCGCTTTTGAACGCTGCTATGTTGCGCTGTCAGGCTCTGCTTTTCGTCCTCGAATCGCTTGCGGTCGTCTTGGAAGCGCTTCAAGTCCGTCTTCAGAATGGCCAGATCGCTGTCTTTCCGCTTGATGAGATCCTCGTAGCTCGTTGCAGACGCTGACAGGTCGGACATTTGTTGACGAATCGATCGGTTTTCGTCAAGCAGCTCACGCACTTGTTTCTTCGCATTCCCCAGATCTTTGTTTGCGGTCGCCAGTTTGAGGTCAAGATCTTGATCGTTCTTGAGGAGCTTGGCCTCCAGGTCCTGCAGCTTTCGGTCCTTAAGACTCAGTTGACTTTGGAGCATGCGGATTTCTTGTTGCAATGCCTCTTCCTGCTCGCTGCGCATAGATTTGGTCTTCTCCACCTGCTCCAGGTGCGCATTTAATTCAGCGATGCGATCGGTCAAATCCGTCTTTTCGGTTTCCAGTTTTGCGATGATTTGACCTGCTTGCTCCAGCTGCCCTTTACGCTCCTCGGCCAGCTGCTCAGTGCGTTTGCGAGCATCCATCAGCTCCTCGAGCTGATCTTCCAAACCTTCTTGGTCTTCAAGTGCACCGTGCAGCTTCTCGATCAACTCAGCTTCGCGATCTTGCAATCTTCGGAAGATTTCCTCCTTGTCCAGAGCAAGGGCTCTCTCGCTTTCAAGTGTCTGCTGCACTTTCTGAATCTCAGCCTCTGCACGCCTGCGCTCGTCTTCGACCTTTGCGCGCTGGGCCTCTTCTTGCTGCATTTTCTCCTGCAAGAGCTTGATTTCCTCCTCACGCTTTTTCACTTCGTTCGATTGTCTTGTAGCGCCCAGCAGTGGCCGCATGCGAACGAAGAGCTGCCACCAGGGATTCTGTTGGAGCTCGGCATATACCTGGAAGTTACGCTGGATAACTCGAGTTGCCTCTGCGCGATACTGTTGCTTCTTGTATATCCGCCGCTGGACGTACATCCGAGCCACACTCTGGAATCGGATAATGATATCACGAATGAGAGCGTCGCGCTTCTCTTCCAGCTCAGCGAGGACTCCTGCGCGGAAGAAGACCTTGCTAAGACCAACTCGATACCAGCTGCGATCCATGTTGAGCCGTTCTAGCATGAGCTTGCAGTAAGCCTGACCCTCAATGTATCCTTTGGGCATGTTTTGACACAGAACCTCGTATCGTGCGCGGAACTCTGCGAATGGTAATCTATTGGGGAAACCTGTTCGGGCAATGCGAATGCCTTCCAATACACCGTTGCACCGGAGCTGGTCGAGTACCAATGCATTGTTGAACAGCTTTGGACGCTTCTTGTGATTTGGCAAGATACATCGGACGAAGTGGGGATGCGTGGAGTGTAGCTGTGCCATCAATGTGGATAGCTGCTCTTTGTGTCGCTGGGCGACAGTGCGGAACAGCCCCTTCTTCACACGGCTTCGCATAGCACCCTCGCCTTCTGTGATTTCTGCACAGTCTGCAAACAAACCAGCAACATGGTGGTCGGTTGAGTGGCCCAGAAGTCTAGTCACATTGTCGTTGAGCGGGTCCTTGTTCTTCTCTAGCCAGCCGTCTGTGGAGTATTCAACTTCAGCGGCATAGTGGGTAAGCATGAAGCCTTGCTTGAGCAGAGATCTCTTGTATTTAGGCGTCTGACGATCCCATAATGAATGCAGCTTCTCTGTGAAAGTCTTGTCCGTAGCCTTTGGCATTACCGAATCTTCATCCAAGCATGAGAAAATGCCGATTGGGTTGCTCAGCTCAATGAGGTCGATGGTAGGCTGGAGGTCACGACCGAAATCGATGAATTTCCATTCAATCTGCTCTCGCGCGTACTCTTCTTGCTCTAGTACAAACATGTGATGATTGAAGAACTGCTGAAGCTTCTCGTTGGTGTAGTTGATGCACAGCTGTTCAAAGCTGTTCTCCTCGAATATTTCGAAACCCGCGATATCAAGTACTCCAATGAAGGAGGTGTCATCGGAATATGCGCCAGCAGCGGAGCGATCCAGCTGGCAATTGATGCGGTCAACCAGGTCCTTGAAAGAGCGCTCGTAAATTCCTTTAGCCAGAGCATCAATCGCGAGACGCACTTGCTCAGGAGTCTGCGCCTTTTCCACCCACTCATGACCAGCCCTGACGCGAGGGTGCAACAACGCTCGGACAAAGGGCTCTACACTGATTCCAAGAAGCTTGCAAGCGCGTGCAACAGACTTCTCTGCCTCAGGAGCCAGCGCGGCTTGGTCGCCTCGGATGGTCTCTTTCATCACTGTTATGTTTCCAAGATGCAAGACAGCAGCGATGGTTTGTAGGATAGATCGCTGGTCTTGTTCTGAAAAGTTCATGACGTGAAAAGCCTCGACAAGAGAATTCCACTCCTCTTTGTCAGACACTCCTGAAATGGTGTCGTTACCACGCCGGGTATACTCAAAGTCCTCGTAGTCACATCCTTCGAGCATGAACTCTCGTCGCATGCTTGAGCTCGCCCCGCGCAGTAGTTGGTAGAAGACGTGATAATTTCGCTCCTGGGAGTTGAGGCGCACAACTCTGCTCTTCTCGAGCAGGTACCAATCAATGTGAGCGCCTGCGATCTGACCGGAACGCCCGAATTGAATCCTGATGAACTTCCCGAATCGAGAAGAATTGTTGTTTCGCACAGTTTGAGCGTTACCGAATGCCTCGAGAATCGGATTGGCACGCAAAATCTGCTCAGAGAGATTCGAAAGCTGCCTCCCGCCGGACTTGCCTCGCGGAGTCTCAGAAGTGGCTACCGCTGCCAGGTACTGGATGACCTTTTTCGTGTTCTCCGTCTTGCCAGCGCCAGATTCTCCCGTGACCAGGATGGACTGATTCGTACCTTCATCGACCAGATTTCGAAAGGCTTCGTCCGCCATGGCGAATATATGTGGCTTGGTATCTTCGCGACTCCTGCCCTTGTACATATTGATGTAATCCCGGCCGTAAATGGGCAGCGGTGTGTACGGATTCACCGTTACCAAGAAGAGACCCGAGTAAGTGTATATTAAGTCGGCTTGGTACCGTTGCTGGAGGTTGTGCACCACGCTGGGCTCGTTCAAATGCGTGAGCTCTGCCATGTCGTCGGCTTTGTCAAACTTGGCAGGGTTGACCTTATCCACGCTGTCCTCTGGCACATCTCGTTGCGCGCCATTGTCGCATTGCACTCGCAGCATGCCCTCGGGCAGTTCTTCAACCACTAATCCCCGCACAAAGGCGCTCTCGGGATCGTGCAGCCAGACGTAGCGCTTGCCTGAGAAGTCATTCTCGCCTTCAATGCCTTTGACGCGTTCCACCGCGCTGTCCAAATCCTCACTCTTGATGAATTGCGGTGCAAAGGTGCCCGCGGGTGTTGTGTTTCGCACCGAGCCCGAGCCTGCTCGAAGCCTCCTGGAGTCCGCACTGCTCATCCCGGGAAGGCCAAAATCGGTGAGGGAGTTATTTCGCAGATGGTCTTTGGTGGGCGACAAGTGGCCTGCTTGCATAATGCTCGACTTGCTGCGAGCGTGGCCGGGCGGCGGCCCTGGTGATGTTGAATCTGCATCTTTCCCGCCGCCGAAGGGACTGCTGCGCCATCGAGGGCCATGGGGCGCCTGCGAGCTCATGGTCGCGGCGTGTCGTGTCGTGTCGTGTGCTGTGTTTCCACGCGTCTCTCTACCCAACGCGCATCAGCCGTCATTCGTGCATCGGGTGTCGCAACTGAATCAAAAAGTGACGCCGTCTCCGTCGTCGTCGCGTATGTACAGTCGGGAAAGGTGCAAAGGACGATGCAAGGCAAACGACTTGATCGTTGGGAGCTGCCCGTTGTCGTTTCTCGACTGTTGTTTTGGTTTCTCCGAATTGGGGAAGGCGCGTCCAGGATCGGAGCTCGCAGCCGCACGCGCCGACGCCATCCTTGCATCAGAAGCGTCGTCGAAGCGAAAGCCTCTCCTTGGCTCGCTCACGTTCACGTTCACGCTCACGGCGACTGAGAGTTGTTGCCGGCGGCCACAGCGGCATTCTGTCAAGCAATCGCATTCGCCCATCGCCATCGCCCATCGACTTCACGATCTCCCATACACACGCGTCTCATCGGCAGCATTTGGCCAAGCGCATTCTCGAGAAAGAGCCTGTCGAAACGCGAGAAAACCGCTGGACACACGCGGATTGGAAAGTGAGCGTCGTCGCGACTATGCTCGTAGCCTGTAGCACATCAGCTTTTTGCCTTCGCGCGCGCGCTTGATCGACATGTCGAACGGTTCCTTTTCCTGGGGAGGCGCGCACGCCGCTTCCCAAACATCATACAACCAGCAGCAGCAACAGAACAGGTCGATGACATCCCCCAATGGCACTGCCAACGGCGCGCCTGCTCCCGGTCACGCACCACCGCCATCGACAGCCGCTGGCATGCCTGCGCTGCCGCCTGAAGTACTCGCCGCGCTGCAAGGCATTGCTCCAGAGCAGCTCGGAGCCATCTTTCATGCCTTACAGAGTGGCCTCATTCCCATGCCTCCCGCCCCAGTAACCCCCATCCCAGCGACTGTCTCAGCACCTATCGACCCCCGAGCGCAACCTAGTAATACGCGAGCGTCAGGCGCGCCGAGCAATCGAAATATTGAGATGGGAGAAGAAGACGGCGAGATTGAAGACGGCGAGCTGGACGGCGCAGACACTCCGCAGGCTCGGGGATTCCTGCGCACACCTCCAAAGGGACCACGAGATCCAGAAAGCGGGCGTGGGTCACACCAATATCAACATCAAACACAACAGCAACAGCAACAATTGCGCCCCGTTGCGGTTCAACAACCATCCCTTGTGCCAATTCCTAGAGCTCAAGCCCTCAATGGGAAGGCTCCTGCTACATCTAGCACCTCCACCAATGTCTCTCCCAGGCCAAGTAAGGAGGCTGCAAGCAAGATCTTCGTGCTCGAGATGCACAAGGCAGGATACAAGTACGACGACATCCGTCGAGAGGTGAATGAAGAGCAGTTGCTTCGGCGCATTTACAACCAACTCGACCTGCCCATCCCCTCCGGCAGTAACACTCCTACAGGAACAACCAAACCCGCTGCGCCCAAAGCTCCACCGGCAAAGGTGGTGAAACCGGCCGCGCCAAAGGATCGAAGCGAGTATCTGGCGAAGTTGCAGGCAGCGAAGGCAAAGAAGACTGAAGCGAATAAGTTATCGGTCACACCGACAGCATCTACGCAGCCAACCGTGCCGCAAGCGACTGAAGCTCAACGTGTCGCAACCAACCAGCCCTCGGCCTCCATATCAACTTCCGCAGCGGCCACACCACCTGCCCCTAAGAGCGGCGTCATGACCAAGGACAAAACTGAGGAAGTGCGTCGAAGACTAGAGGCAATTAAGGCCAAGCGAGCTGCAGAACAAACTGCCAAACTTGCCAACGATGCAGCTGCGAACAAACTCGCTTCAGGGAATGGGATGCCTTTTAGCTCTGGCGCTCCGCCTGCTGGTGGACTTGGTGCTGGGCTTGTAGAGGCTGCTGCCAGCCTTGCAACTGAACAACCGATGCCACCAGCCGCAAACGCCGCCCGAGCTCCCGACAGCAACGGTCATCAAGCACCCGCCTCCGGACTGGTATCACCGCCCAGCAAGCAAAGCTTTGGTCTCCCTGGCCTCTTCACGTCGTTCGCTCCCCAATCAGTCTCGCAACCTTCTAGCGCAACCGGTGCAGCAGCTGGATATCAAGCTGTGCCAACGATAAAAGACGTCACTTCTCCCCCCGCTATCGGAATTGTCAATGGCAACAATGCAGCTGGCTCAAACCAGACTTTTGGCGACCGCGGGGGCGCCTCCATCGACGACCGCTGCATCATTGCATTAAGTAGTGACGACGAAGATGATATGGACATCGACGATAGTTCCGACGATGAGCAGCAGACCCAGCCTAACCCATCAGCACCCTCAGCTCAAGATGCACCAAGGCTACCAAGCCACTCGCAGGCTGCAACATCCTCTCCCAGCACGCCCAGTGCGTATAAACGTAAGTTGGAAGAGATCGAGGCTTTCAAGCAGCAAATTGCAGAGAAAGAGAAACGGCGCAAGCTGCAGAGTCTGTCAGGAACACCGACGACATCAACGCCGAACGGTGCGAGCCCTACTCTCGCTATCGGCGAACAGAATGATCAGGCCTCTTCAAAGGCTGCAACTGCTGTCTCGCCTGCTGATCCTGCCGCAATCAGGCTGGCCCGTGCTCAGGAGAAGGAGGTATTGCAACGCCGACTGCGAGAACTGGAAGCGCTCAGAGCTGGTCACAACTCTGGGAGTCCCATGACTGCACATGCTATCACACCTTCAATGCCTACCAGTGAAGCAAACACGGAAGCACAGAGCAAAGCAAATGTGACGACGACAAAGCCAGTGTCACTCGCTACGAACGAGACTGCGGACGAGATCGACGACGACGATGATGAAGATCTATACGGTGACAGCACTGAGGCCTCACAGCATCAGCCGGCCCAGGACACCCGTTTACCGCCGCGTGTGGACTCTCAGGCAACCACTCTTTCGTCATCATCCCTACACAGCCGCGTCGATGGTGTAGTCCCAGAAGACGCAGCTGATTATCCACACGCAATGGCTTCAACCACCGACGACGCTGCGGCGCGCGGAGAGTACGACAATTCCACTACTTCGTTCAATCCGCAGGCTGCTCTAGCGGACGGTGGAGCTGTCGACGATGCTGATGAGGACGAAGACGACTTAGATAACATCTATGAACCCCCTGCGCATATGAACGAGAACGTGGTTCAGATGCAGCCGCCTGCTCAGGACTCCAGCGCACCGGACGATGTCGACAGCGACGAGGCTATGGATACATCCGAGGAGTCTTCCGACGACAGCGACGATGACGACGACGAAGTCTACGCTGGGAAATCAGGCCACAGTGGGGCCGAGCCTTCTGCGCAAGTGTCTTCATCCGAACAAGAGATGTCCGCGGCTTCTTCAGAAAGTGGCTTGGGATCGAATGACCCTCTGGACGACTTAGACCTCGCGCCGGAGTTGCAAGCTGTGTCAGACGACAGCAGTCTGGCCACGACCCGCAATGACCAAGTTCAGGCATCACGCTACACACCATACGAGAGCCCTTTGCGGCGATTCAAGGACTACCGCTACCACCCGGAATATACTAACACCGTGTCAGGCGGCTTCAAGAGCTTAACTTTCAACCACAAAATCGACCCTGATGCATTGGTGTGCCCTTTCGAGATTGAGCGTGGGCAATGTGACGTTCCGAACTGCGGCTACCAACATTTCCACGAGATGGCGCTCCACGGTACGTGTTGTTTCTTTAGTTTTCTTCACATTTCAGCGGCAACCGTTCAACATTACATTATTTCTGCGGCGCTCACTGACCCGAGACGACTAATGTCACAGACAACGACTTGCTTCGACTGATGGGCACCGAGCGCACTCCTGCTCGCAATCCTGAAGAAGACAAGCGATGGAAGGAAGGTCTCTCGAATCTCATCAGAGAATTGCGCACAACAAACATTGGTAGAGATGCGGGACTAATTGCGCAGCGCATTGCCGAGTATCGCCGTTCATTCGTGAATGATCCGACCCGCGTTGTGCTCCTTGACGACTGAGGACATTTCAACATCTCGTTGCTATTCTGAAGGTTGTATCTTATACACTAATGTCTGGCAGCGCGTTCTGCAATGATCTGAGCAAACAGCAGCTAGACTGCATTGGCTCCGAGCTCAGAAATGAGACAGAAGCAGAACGTGAAGTGAGCACATGCATCGATCCTGCAGACCTTCAACGCATCTCGGGGTGCTTGTTTCTGATGGTTCCGATGGACGCCCTTGGTTTGGGCAGGAATGGCCCGCAATGAATGGGCGGCGCGCGCTCATCGCCTATTGTCACCCACCCATGCAGCGTGGCTTTGCATTTATGTGGCGCGCTCATCTCAGCGCGTTCGGATCATGAGCATCTCGAACTGTCGCAACTGCTAGAGCAACGCTCTGTACCAATAGGTGTATGATGCCACCTGCGAGAATGCAGAAAGCAGTCACCTCGGGAGAGGCGGAGGTTCTTATTGCGTTGCGAGACAGCGTGGGCACAGGAGGGTCTTGCGAGTTAGCTATCTGGTCTACGTATCCGTGCCTGTAGTACAAAAGCTTTACTTTGCAATGTTCCTTCCACCTAGAAACCTTTGGCAGCTCGCTTGATACTTACCTTCACTTCATCATGCGCGGCGCAACGTTGAACCCTTGTCGCCCGCATGGTTCCGCGAAACTCAAATTGACCCTTGCACACCACCTCGAATGTCACTTCGACGCGGCAAACACCAATGCTCACGCATCAATGTCCAGCAAGACAGAAACTGACATCACGACCTATTCGAACCCACCGCTAGTCCACGCCGGTGGGCAGTCCTTTCGCACTCTGTCGGCAAGAGAACGCACAAGCGAACATCAGCGAGGCCAGCGCCCAGAGGTAGCCCTCAATTTTCGTCCTACTCTGGAAGTCAAGCGCCCCTGAAGACGGTGGCACCCAAAGGCTATTTGAGGCATTCACGACACAAGCACTGAAGCAAGTGCAGTGACGTACCCGCTGTCCTCCCTTTGGAACCCTCCAAACTCAGCATCGTGACCAAGTCAACACCTCCGACGAAACACCTCATGCCGCCCAAGGAACTGGGTCACAGCAGTGATGCTCGGCTGACATCAGCTGAAGGTCGTCCATTTATCCCAGGAGAACGCAGTTCCGCTCGCAATGCAAACAAGCGCAAGAACTATGCAGAGTCACTGCCGAGCAGCACGATTGAGCCAAATCGGGCGAACTTGCAGTCCATGACTACCATCAACCCGCAACGGACTGCACGCGGAAAAGGATCTGCGAGGGATGGGAAACGCAATGGAAAGTCAATCAGAGTCTATTCTTTGTCTCGCCAGCCTGCAGCAAGGAGACCTGCAGTCCAGTTTGGCAAAGTGGTGAAACGTGTAGCCACACTTGAAGCTGCACAGCAAGAGACGGGCGAGAAGCTTCGAATAGACGATGATAAGTCCTCTGCCCCTGCTTCTCCAGCGCATAAGGTTCATGACGAGGTCGATGATTCACACACGGCCCGCCTGCCAGAAGCGCATGTGCAAAGTTTGGCATCAGGCGCTTCGCACTCGTTTCCGAATTGCAATCAGGAGTCCGAAATAGACTCTGCGGAGCAAGCAGGCGACTCTGTCTTGAGGTCAAGCGGGATGGCAGATTCGATGTGTGAGACCAGCAAACTCTCAGACCTTCCAGAGCGACCGAGCACACCAGACAACGCCAAACAAGAGCGAGACACAGACGTGTCGAGTCCGCTCAGCGAGGCACCATCCGACATTGACTTGCGGCCTATCCCAGATGATATCTTCATGGGCACGAGGGTCTACGCCAAGGAGCCTAGAGGCGATACAGATACACAAACTGCTCCTGCAGACAACCTCCAGGACCTGCCATTGACGGATTCTACGCCTGTTATTGCTAGTTCTCTCGTGAACATGCCACAAAGCTCTACTGAATCTGGAGTGGAAACCCTAATCAGAAACGCGCGACCGAGACGATCGCTCAAACCAATTCAGAGGTTTGGTGACCTTGTTGAAATGCCACGCGAAGAGGAGAAGAGTGATGATGTGATCATCGTGGCCAGAAGCAACCCAAGAACTGCGAAGCATAACGGGAACGTCCTTCCAGCCACTCAGGACAACGCAGATGCAGGACGTTCGACACAGAATTCTGTCGGCAGGAATAGGAAGCGCAAGCGTTCAGCTGAAGATGATGTCCACAAACGTTCGATCCCAAAGCAGACCAGGAGACGGAGCTCCTCCAGTAAGAGCCTCCAAGCTTCGAGTGACATAGTTACGCTTCGAGTAACACCAGCCAAGCTCAGTACTGCGATATCGAAGCAGCCGAAAAGGAGGTCTGCGATGACTGCTACGCACCAAGAGTTCCGAGCAGGAACAACGACTGGAGTAACTGCTCTGCCCACTCCAGAAAGCACGCCAGGCAGCAAGTCTCTTGCGACTCCAATACACACGCCTCAAAGCTGCGAGTTCCCTGTGGCGGGTTTCGAAGAGCCACCCGCAATACCAGAATTGATACAGCTGTCTCGGAAGCTCACAGCACGTCGACCCATCGATTCCAAGGAAGAGCCTCAAGGCCACCCTGAAGTATGGGCAGAGAGCCGACAAGCTCTTTGCGAGACAGTGCCATATTTCAAGTCGCCGCAGAGCGGATGCTACCAGAACAGCGGCCACGTCTATGCCTTCCTCTACGATGGAGTTGGCAATTCTCGAGAGTATATGGACACAGATGTGATCATCGCTCGAGCAGGAGGTGGTATGCAGGCTGATGCAAGTGGGCAACTGCTGCAGGCCAAACACCATTCTTTGGACGACGCCCAAGTCCAGGCTGTGCTCAACGACATTGAACATCAAAACCCCATTGTGGTAATTTGTGGTAACAAGAACGCTGGCGCACTATGCAAGATGCCGCATCGTTACTGCGTGCTTGGATGGTACAAGCCCGTGGCAGTGTGGGAAGAGAAGACACTGGGCAAGGGGAGAAAAGCCTGGACGACTGTGAAGTTCCGCCTTGAGCGACTGGGGGACAACAAGCGCGCATGGCATGCTCCATCACAGCAGAACGTTACTGAGGTGGATCGGGATGTTGCTGGGCCACTAACCGAGGAAATTTGCCAGGACTGCAATAACGAATCACCACAAGTGTACTTGAATGGCTGGATGTGTCTTAACTCAGCTTGTGGGAGATTTTGGAAGCTGGGTGAGGACTCACCTTCTAGTGATCTTGCATTCAATCCTGCCTTTCTCCTCCACCGAACCCGATGGCAGAATGAAGAAGAGCCTTTCAGTGTACGGCCACCCATCCCTGACAGCGGCAAAGTCATGGGCGATAACTTGACCAACATCAACACTCGAGGTGTTGTCTGTCCACAATGCGGACGTTGCAACCCTAGGCGACTATGGCGAGGGTGGTCGTGTGACAATTCGCAGTGTGACTTCTCCAACTTTCCTAAGCACATTACAGTCAAGCCTGCAATGCTTCACCAGCCTTGGGATAGCACGGGCGAAGGGCCAACGCTGTCTCGCAACAGGTATGCGAAGCATCTCGGTGTCAAAGTTACAGTCGAGCACAACAAACTGGGCTTCAAGATCTTTACCTACACATTTGATGGAATCAATGGCAAGCTGATTCATGCAATCAGCAACTCGAAAATCAATTCAGCATCTAGAGGACCTGATGAGATGTTCGATGCAATGCAGAGACAGGATGATCCAGAGATGGATCTGCACCTGGAGCGAAGGCCATTTATTGGAACAGGAAGCTCTACGACTCTCAAGTTGAAGACAGCTTCTCCAGGCAGATTGACAGCAACCCCAGATGCGCACAAACTTGGGACGAATGCAGGAGTGGTAGACGATTCTATCATTGAGAATATGCTCAATGGCTCGCAAGCACTTTTCAGCGAGGCACAGAACAACCTCGACGACAGCGAAGACGAAGACGAGGCGGAAGAGCCGTCACCACCAAAGAGAGCACGCGGCCGACCATCCCTCGCAGCCACCACAACAACGACAGCAGCACCCACCGAACCAGGCGACCTCATGACAGCCTTCAGCGTCAATTATGGCATGCCCTACAAGTTCGTCGCCGGCGGCTCCAGCTTGCCATTCTCCTCCGCCCCCTGGCCAGTCCGAGCATGTCGCGCAGACCTCAACTGGGCATCCAAAAACTTCTCATCCCCTGCAGGCCACACCGACTTCAACGAACAGCTTATCTTCGCGTACATGGAAGGGCAAAAAGTCGAGTACCACGACGACGGCGAAACCGGTCTCGGCCCTCGCATCGCCTCCATGTCCCTCGGCAGCAAAGCGAAAATGATGCTCCGCATGAAAGCCAAACACTTCGTCGGATGCAGCAAGACTGGCATTCTGACACCTGAGAAACCAGTCCCAGTCTCCATCGGCGGAAGAGAAATGTATCTCAAACGCCTCGCAGCTTGGGAAGAAATCCAAGAATTGCGCACATCTGATAAACGCACCTACGAAACCCGCAGAAAAGAACTTCCACATGAACTCGGCATTTTCGCAAAACGGACGAAGAAAGCGGAGGATTTGGTTACTTTGACGTTGAATCATGGGGATATTGTGTTGATGGAGGGGTATGAGATTCAGAGCTATTTGGAACATAAAGTTGTTCCGGAGGGGTGTTTGAGGTTTGCGTTGACTTGTAGGACGGTTTTGCCGGAGCATTTGAGGGCTGAGGAGAGGCCGGAGTATGGGGTGGAAGAGGATGAGCCGGGGATGGGGAGTTTGGGGAGAATGGCTGCTGCTGATGCTCGGGCGGAACGACAGAATGGGATGGGGTTTGGTGACGAGGATGAGGTGGTGTGAAAGTGGCGAGCTGAGTGAGAGACGATGGAGTGGCGAATCGCTTCACAGAGCCTTAGTGAACGAGCAAGAATGTGCTCGAAAATCTCTCAATCCTGCTGTTCAGCTGTGATAGTGTGATAGCCAAAAATTGTTGGGGGTCAGCAGTGACAATATACAATTCAGCACTAGCTAGACATCTTGCCAACGGAACGAAGTGGTATAGTGTACTGTCATCCGAAATAGTGGCTGCCTTCCAGCGAACAAGTGCAACAAAGAGGTGGTCAGCAGCCATCACTGGCTAGCTGAAAGTCCATTCTCTCAAACCTGATAGGTCGAAGAAGTTCAAAGAAGGCGAAATCCGTAGAGGGAGTGGCTGTAGCTGAAGTAGTTGTAACAAATCAGCTTGCTGAGCTGAGCGTGCGCGCTCCTCGGAGGGAAGAATGTAGGCAGAGTCAGCCGTTCGCATGATACGGACGCAGGGTGTGGTGTAGGAAATGGGTAGTGAGTGGTGGGATGCAGGGCTGCAGATGGAGGGGTCTGGGGTGCAGGAGGGTCTCGCTATTTTTCCTGTAGTGTGCAGGGCTAGGGCTAGCTGACCAAATTTGGGATCCTGATTACCCTGATCTGCGAAGGCTGAATGCGAAAGGGAGGTGTGTGTGCTTCGTCCTGAGGGAAAGATCTTTGCGAGATGGATGGTTGCTGGTCCAGATGGAGAGGCCTATGGCGAGCTCTTTGATGCGCATCTCGGTGGACGAGCGTGTTGACAGTTCACATCACACCCACACGAATGTTCTGGGAGCGGATTAGAGTGATGTTTCGCGGGAGTTCCGGTATAGTATGATCATGACATTCCTTTCTCTCCACCATAAGAAGAGGCTATACGAAATGGAGTGAACGGACAATGAATTGTGGTTGGACATGCCACGAGGCCGAAGGAAGGCGGAAGGGTGCATAGGGCAGTCTGACCACGATTCGAGGCACCAAAAGCTGGCCGCGAGGGTCAGTCGCGGAGGCGCGGTGGTTGTATTCTGTCATCTGACGCGGCTCCATTATGCACCTGGCCAAATCAGGTGGACTTGGATTTGGGAGACAGGTGGTACAGGCGCAGCGATGGCCTCGCACATCTTCGCAACGCTGTGAGGTATTATGCGATGTCGATCGCGTCCCAAACAGGTTGTCATCAAGCTGCAAGAGGTGGTGTAAGCTTCCTCGAAAGGTATGCCGGATTCCGGCGATGTGGTGGAGAGGGTGTCGCGCTATAGTGGAAGACCCCGGCGGATTCCTGGTATAGACGCATGTCTCAGTCGTGAGAGAGGGTCACTTGCCATTTGCCACTTTGGCATAACCGGTTTCTCTGCAGTGGAGCGAGTGCCGCGTAGGACCATACGCACCCTTTGCTAGGCACTGCCGGGGGAGGGTGTGCTAGGGTGCGACGATGTTTCACCGCTCGTGTAGCAGGCTAGCAGCCAGGTTCGCCACTTGCGGCTCAAGGAGCATCGCGAAGGTAGATTTCGGTGCCGCAGAGGCAGGTGTCGGTGTAGGAGATATCACATGGTGGTCAGCTGTCAGCCGCAAGGGAATATCAGCCAACTCCCACGCCCTCATTCCTTGTGGCGGGCGCTTCCCATTCGGGCGCGGACGGGACAAACAACCACATTGCGCTGCTGTCGGCAGAGGAGAGTTTGCGCATGACGATGAATCATGATGAATTCTGCTGGCTGCAATGCTGCGCTGGAGGCGGGCAGGAGTCCGGTGTCCGCGTCGCGAACGAGGCTCAGGTCGGCGGGTTGATGGAGAGGGTGTGCTCGGTGTGGTGGTAGGAGGTGATGTTAGGATCAGCGGGCCTCCTCTCCTCTTTTCGTGGGGGTTTCCGCAGGGTCGAAGCGAGGAAGAGCCGGCCTGGCGGTTTCGACCGTCGAACGTGTGCAGGCGTGGTTGGATGTTGCGCGATGCTGTCCTGTCTGCCATGCGCTATTCGGTCATGACATTGGCAATGGGCAGCGCGTCGCTGTGGTCGCCTCATCCACAGACCAGAGATGGAATAATGTATGAGGCAGCATCAAGAACAGCAGGTTACACCACGTCCAGCCACAATCAATTGCGCTTCGATGGTTCCGTGCGCCGTCCCGCGCGGCGCCAGCCGAGCACTGGCTCGCACTTGCACTTGCACTCGCACTTCGCTTGGGGATGGATGATGCACAGAACTTCCAGGGAGGCAGGACAGAGACGCGCGCGAGTCGGAGCAGCAGAGGCCCACACTACTGCAGGCCATCGCCAGAATCGCGAGAGCGCCAGGCGCGGCCGATGCCTCATTCAGGCAGCGGGAGTCGAGTACCTGCAGCTGTTCGTGCAAGCCACCGCGCGCTCGAGCTCGACGTCGCCCACAATGCACTTGTGCTGGACTGCTGCTGACGCGGGATGCGTAGCTTTGCCCGCCCGCCTCTTTCTCGCGACCCTCTCGCCTCTGTTCTGGCAGCCGTGGATGGCATGGCATGGCATTCTGGGAGAAGGCGTCTGTCTCACGGATGACTGCTTGGTCAGTCCATCACATGCGGCCGGCGATGACTGAGTGACGCAGCCACCACGAGCGCTGCCCCTCCGACCAGGCGGCGACCCATTTGCATCCTGCGTGAATGACTGTGCCTGTGTGTGCCGTCTGTCTGCCTGCAGCACTATGTACTTACGTAGTTACGTGATGCCTGTCGCTGCTCCTCCTGCAGCTGCTGCATTGTTGCACCCAGATCGCCCGCCGCCCCTCCTTCTGTGCGACCAGCATAGACCTCCCCAGACTACTTGTAAAGACGACCTCGCACGACGTGTCGTCGCCCAGCTCCTCACCACCACCACGCACCGTCCCTCGTGGTCGGACGGCGGATCGGGCCTGCGTCTCTCGACCGTCCACGTCCACGATCGCCTTCTTCTCCTGCACAGCGCATCGCATCGTCCCGGCTGAACTCACGCCTGAACTGCGGCGCTTCTCTTCCCACACGATCTGCACTATTACACCACTCGCGCATCTGCTTGCCTATCCCACGCCTTCCTCTTCGCCTTACTCGGCCATCTTCCAACCACATCTCTTGCACTTCCAGCGCCCAACTACTTAGCCATGCCTTCGCCCACGTTGCCCGAGCAAAGCCTCGAGTCTATTGTTGGCGGGAGAAGTTTGACGTGGCCACCAACGACCGTGCACTGCACCACTAATGCAGACAAGAAACGTATAACAACATCACCACCCACGCCACACGACACGATGCCTTTTCAGCCCAGACAAGCACCGCGAACCGTCTCGTTCGAGGATGAAATCAACGAGGATCCAGCGTCACATTTTCTATCACCTGCCAAAATGGCCTACGAGTACGAAGACTGGGCTGAGGACTCCGATGACGACGCCGAAGAGGTAGAGTGGGACGCCGGTATCACCGACTTTGCCCTCTTCCACCAGGACCGACGTCAAGCGCAAGCACGACGCACATCGGTGCCAGACCGATGGGAGAGCCTGTTATCCAGTCAGGCCTCCGCGCTGCAGCGTGCCGTACAACGAAACCGGTCAGACTCGGATCCCACACGAGCCCGGACATGGACGCCACTCGCACAAGACGTCCCGCATCTGACTCCAGACAACTCCCCGACACTGAGAGATGACTTCGACATCGATCACTATTGCGGAGGCCATGCACCTCGTCCCAGTATTCCCAACTACCTGCAATCTGCCTTCGCACCTTCAGAGGAACTTTCAGACGATGACGACTATGACTACGAGACAGATTCAGACGACGAGGAGCTACCCATCGACTACCTCGTGGAACGCGCGCGTGAGCGAAGACGTGCAGCTCGCAAAATGGAACGCCCAGGCATGCGATTTAACAGAACCATGTCCGGCAAGGTCCACGTGTGGCGACGACCGAGCTGGCAGCTCCACGATGTCGGTGAAGATCCCGAAGCCGAGCGCAGAGCTGAGCTCGCATCTGTGCAGCACGATCAGCCCCGTGTGCAACATCAGGAAGCCGAGCAACGGGGCCGAAGGCGGTGACGCGGTACCGCAAAGCATGCATGAGTATTGAAGCGAAGAATACACATGCAAGCTATTTTACCAAGCCATCAGACTGTGTACCAAGAAAGATTTTTGCATTTCCAAATGTGGTTAAGAATTGCATTGTGTGGCGTTTTTATTGCATTGGATCGATGATTCGGGAAAGGATGCGGGACGAAGTCGCATTTTCTGCATGACGAAAGGGCATCAAATTCCTGCTACTGCAACAGACTGGCGAAAGGATTCCTTGTCATATGCATACGAAAGGAGATGTGGCGTGATTTTTTTGAGATTCGATTTTTCTGCTGTTCGCAAACGTCACTGGCTGGCAGAGTTGCATGGGTTTTATTATTGGGCGTTGGTTTCTGCACCTCGGTGCATTGTTGGGCATAATTGCATGAGAGATACCACCTTTGTTTTCGGTTGACTGTGGAATGAAATACGCATAGACTGAAATGAAATGAATTGGCTAGTGGAACACCTTCCCTTCTTCTTCCTCTCTACATCAACGTTCTGCTAACGATCACCTTATGAACATCATCGCAAATCTGTCAACATAACTGAAACTGCCTATGTAGAATCCTGCAATCCAATTGGTTACCGACAGCGCGAACCGCTCGAGCACAACATCCTGCAAGCTGCGAAGCTGCGCAAAGCTGTATGCTGCTTTCCCGTCACGCGCTCACAAACCGCAGCAATGCAGTGGTATTCCCCCACTTTCTCCTGCTCTCGCTTCCTTCTACCACAGTATTTTCCTCCATCATCATGATGAGCACCCGCAACCCGAGCCAAGAAAGACTGTGATGGCAAAACTATGGTAGCGACGACGGCTGGTGAGGTGGAAGGCAGAGAAGAGCATCATAGTAGCGGTGTCGTTGCGGACAACATACCGTGGACGAAGATTTTTCGGATCACGGTCTGCTGGCGTGATGGGAGGAGTGAGGCTGACGATCGATGGTTACTGCTATGATATGGTATGGGATTTCGTTGATGCATGCATGCAGAAACACCGTGCCTCCTGCTGGGTAAGGAATAGCTGACTGGCCACTGCAATGATGACTTAGCAATCGGCACAGTTTCGAAAGTTCAAAAATGTCAAGAAGGTCAAGCAAGAGGCATCGTGTCACGATAATTCATGATGTCCACGTGGACAAGAATATGCACGATGAAGGAATTGTGCGTCTATACCATAGAAAAAGCTTCAGCCACTACCTCTTAGATCATCGCAGTTGTACTATGAAGAGACAGAGCAGAGTTGCAACTGAAACCCCCACGCTTTTCATACTGCTTGAAAAAAAAATACGGTACCGTACCGTTCTACTGGATTCGAAGCAATGCAGTATTGCTGGTTGGTTGGCTAGAGAGCTATAGCTTCCATCCAGTCCTTCGACAACCTGCTATGTACCTCCATCCTACACCGCTTAGAAGTAGAAATACCATTCGCGATTTCCAGAAACAGCAAACAGGATCGTAGATCTTTGTGGTTGGGATCGACATGGGGTTGGTACTTGGTCTTCCATGTTGTTGCTCCCGCGTGGTTGTCGCCGCGCTGTACTGTACCATACTGCATGTCCTGAACTTTGGTTCCGGAGGCTGGATGATAGCTGTATTGTACGCGCGCGCGGGAAAGACAAATGTCACACGGCAGGGTGATGGGCGGCGCGGCTAAGAAGGAATGTGATGTGATTGAGGAAGGAAGTGACAAGTCGGTCAACGGTCGGCGTGGAGTAGAATTTACATTGCAGGGAACCGTGGTACACAAGTACAAAGTCCCCGGAGTATCAGAAATCCTGCCGAAGAAAACTAATGAGTGGAAGCAGGCTGTGGTGTGGAGAGGAAGTGGGAAGATATACGGATGAAGTCGGACACGACCCGCAGACGACCATGTAGTTGCGGGCCATACAGGTATATGCCAGCAACACCTCTGCATCATGACGAAGTCTTCTCACAATACACCTGCTGAGAAAGAGAACACCATCGAAGGATCGCGGCTGAATTGCAATGTACTCACAACGTGGGCATCAGAGTACAAGCCATGACGACGGCAACGGCAACCCGCATACAGTACTCTGATCTGCTGACTGGTTGTTTACCTTGGCAATGCAAGGGAGGGAAAGCGTGGCACTGGCACTGGCACATAGACGTCGGTCGGGTAGCTGCGCTTTAACGATTCCGCGCGGTTCTGCTTCGGTGTACAAAAGTACGAGAAGGACAAAAAGATGTCAACTTTGCCGATTCGTGGAAAATGAGCATGTGAAAGTGAAAAGCTGCAGCTTGCAAGATGTGATAACGGTATACCGGAATGGGAAGTACATAGGATGGCTTGAGTTCTTTCGCACTAGTAGGAGTGAGGCGAGTAGTCGTAGTCGTAGTCGCCATGGCGTCGTCGGAGTTTCATCCGGAGAGGGAAGACATTCCTTGAGTAGATCGCTTTTGGCCTATTATTCGCATGTCGTTTGATGATGTGCATGTCATAGATGCAATCGAGATCCAGTTCATCTATCGCGCATTTGGCTGGTCTGTTCACACGCATCATTGTATGCATGCGAGCGAGCGGAGAAGGATCCGGACGCCGGAGTTGTTCGTAGCGAATGTCTTCATGATGCGTTGATCGTTGATATGGCGCGAAGCGAATGTGTCGACTGATCGAAAAGAGCCACACACCCGTCCCATTCGGGCCTCTCTCCGACACATTCGTTCACGCTTCGCAGCCGATATTGTTCGACGGGTCATTCTCGTTCAAGCCTCCCTCGCGACGCGCTTCTGCCACTCTCTGACCCGCCTCTCGTAGACGATGGCCCTCCCCTTTCCAAGCGCTCTCTCGGTATCGTAGTTTTCGTCATAGCTGTCGAGGATCATCCTGTACTCTCGCATTTCCACCAAGTCTTTTTTGTAAGCTTCCTTCTTGCGATGCAATTTGTCGATGAAAGCGGCCATTTGAGTCCGGCCCTTCGCGGTCTTGGGCATGCTCATCAATTGCTTCTTGAGCTCGGCTCGTTGTTGGCGAATCTCTTGCAAATCGGATTGAGCTTGGGCGATCGCTTCTTGAACTATGCGCAGAGTAGCATGGACACCGTCTCCTTGCCGGTACTTGAAGTCTGAGGGTTTGGTAGGCATTGGCAGCGGTTAGTACGTCTTTGATGAGTTGATTGGAAGGCCTGTTGATATTTGCTGGCGTGCTAATGTGAGAATCGTTCCCGTGCTGGTTGGTATACACTATGTGGGTTTCACGCCAAGATATATATATACAGTCCTGAGTTTGCCGTGTCAATGTATTCACGGATGCTGATCGACTCGTCCCCTTCTATGCTGGGTGCAAACACGCGAATTTCCAGTATGGTGTACATCTTCGACTCGGCGTGTCCTGAGTCTCATTCACGACGGTCGCCGAAGTCGGGGTCGTCGATCATGACCCTGTCGCGGAGTAGAAACCTCGCGTGCTCAATATGAAGCTGTCGCGCATTGTGTACAGATCTGACTGGCAGCGTATTGCTGCGAATACCAGGTCCGTCGGCAGTGGTGACATTGAACCCGGTGCTCACGCTGTAGGTGCGGTTCCGAAAACCATTCGGGAGGTATGAATTACCCCAGCGTCGCACCCGCACCTGCAAATGCGTGTCCCGGCTTAAACCGATGAAAGTCGTCGTAGTGTGCGATGTCCGACCGTATTGTACACTTGCTCAATCACTTCTTGAGGACTCCTCAGGTGGCTTCTCAAAGAAGTCCGGCGCAATGTGTCCTCATCTCGTGTCCCGAAGTAAAGAACGCCGCGCTGTATGCCTGTATTTTCCACATTTTCTCTAGAAACCTGGTGGGTTCAATCTCTGGCTCATCCTCGTCCACTTGGGCAATTTATGAATGCCCTTTCTGTACCCTCTCACTTTCTTGTCGAACATGCTGTACTTGTCCCTCGGCTGCATCTCCGCTTCCGTTGGCATTTCTGCTTTCCATCGTTCAATCAATTTTGTCGTTCCTGTCTCTCGCACCACATCCCGTAATAACTTTTTCCCAGGCGTAGGCACGCCTACTGGATTCGTCGAGGGCACCCAGTCGCCTTGCTTGGGTCCCTTGCCATGTCTTACTGCAGCAAGACTCTTCGACTTTGGTGTTGAGGCGGCGAGGAGGCGCTGCCCTTCTGCTGTTGTGGAGAGCTCCTCGGCTGTTGCTGTGCCTTCGGAGGTAGAGACGGTAGCCGGAGCTTCTGAGGATGCGGATGTTGATTGCGGTGAGATGGAGGAGTTTTGCTGTTTGCGCAGCGCGTTGTCGAGAACTGCGACTACGCTATCGACGCGTCGCAGCCTTTGGCGATGGCGCTGCTTTTGAGGAGATGAAAGTCGCCATGGGATTTTCCTGGATTCGTCAGATTCGGAGCTATGTGGCCGAGTACGCTTTGACACACCATAGGAGACCACCGGAGAGCGGCTGACTGGGTCGGAATGGGCCAAACATGCTGTGTGTGCGTGTTCGATGATGTCGACTCCAATGCTGTCTGGCGGAGATGGAGTCCGCCGCGGAGGTGCCAAGAATATCAGAGTGGGTCCATTCAACTGCCCGAGCTACGGCAGTCGCCGCTGTGTCCACAACAACATGCGCAAGTAGTGCGGAACAGCTCAAGGACGCTTCAGCAAGTCTCTCCGCACCACTTACAGCCATGTCGTACTACTTCACCATCATCGGCAACCGCGACAACCCTCTCTTCGAGCTGGACTTTGGCACATCAAAGGTTGGCGGCGATGGCATTGCACGCTTTCGGGAAGAGGCCAAGCATATGAATCAATTCATCGTGCATGCAGCAATCGACATGGTGGAGGAAGCCCAGTGGAGCACGAAAGACTTGTTTGTTCTTAGATTGGCTTAACGTGTCTTCCAGAAATCTGACTGAATATCAGATATCTCAAGAAAATCGACTCTTTCCAGAACAACCACATCCACTGCTTTTTGACTGGCGGCAATATCAAGTTCATGCTTCTCATGAATCCTGATCCCAGTGCTACACCCTACTCGAACTACCAAGCTCCTCCATCACGGCCAAACACCGGCAGACAGAGCACGTTGATAGCCAGCAATCCAACTAGCCAACAGACTGAAGAAGCTGTCAGGCAGTTCATGACCGAGGTATGTTCCTGGAAGACCTGTGTTTCCTGGTTGGTGATGCTGACCTTGCACAGGTCTACGAAGCATGGATGAAGTGCATCATGAATCCGTTCTACAATGTGAACCAACCCGTGACCAGCCCAGTTTTCAGGAGTAGGGTCGCGACTGCCGCGAAGAAGTACTTGTGAGGATGTTCTCTACTTGCCACTTCCTCACTCATTCTCATCTGAGTTGGTCATTGGACTACCGGCGACTCGTGCAAACTGGACGATACCACAGCGCCATCCACCCAGCTACTCCGCAGTACCGAAAGCGCAGCGAACTGGGATACTCTTCCACCTACAAGCTCCTGCAACCTGCTGAACTTGGAAGCGGAATATACATCTCGACTCCAGCTGACAGTGACCGGTTGGATCCGCTGTGTTTGATCACATCAACGGCCACGATAATAGGTCACCGCATCAAGCTCGGCGGTCAACGCTGCCAATGGCAATTGACTCGTCGACATATGCCAAGTCAGCCGCAAAGGGACGATCCGATCTTTCACCAAGCGAACAGCGTCTGCATCAAAAAAGGTCCGCATGCTATAGTCATGGCGATTGTGATCGAGAATGCCTTCGCGCTACTCTTCCGCTTGGACATTATTGATCACGTCTGGATCGCAGGCGGCGTTTGCTCTAAGTAGACAGGATGTGTTCCTGTCACCCCTCACCATGAGACCGGAAAGGTGGTCACATGAGTGGCTTGAAGGATGGTGAGGTCTTCACGCAACACAGGAGAGTGAGCTCACTTGTATCCGAGCTGCTATTTGAAACTACCTCATTTCATGCTGAGCTCCCATACACTGAAAACATTTGTCATGCCAACACCCCCAGGCCTGAGCATCTCTAAATATTTCCAAACCCCGCACAACCTCGGCATCGGCCAGCACACTAAAAGTCAGCACGAATCGCTAGAGCGGGCATCATGGTTCGCATCAAGAGCGAGTGTCCACGGCCACCACCACGACAACATACTCCAGGCAAAGGAGGTCCACTTCGTGACAAAGGAAGCGGTGGTGGAGGAGGCGGCAATGCCAATGGCGGCGGTGGAGGTGGCAATGGCAACAGCGGCGGGGGCGGCAACAATCAGAAAAATCCTCGAGGACCACTGCACCCAGCTCTCATGCTTTCGAACAAGAAGACGATGGAAATCCTTCGATGCGACAACACCGACTTGGAAATGATTAAGCACGCCGCCTATCGCATCATGAAGACACAGTCACCAGTCTCTCGTAAGGAGCTTCGCACCAAGCTCGCGGAGCAGCAGGCCGAATTCGAGGAAATGCTAAGCGGGGAAAGATGGGAGAGTTTCCAATATCCTGATGGCAGAACTTTCGAAACGGATATTGATCACCTTCTTATCAAAATAATGAGTATCGCGCGCAAGAAGATCAATGGTGAAGCGAAGAAGACCAAATCGAAGAAGAAGGTCCCGGAAGATCGAGCAAACGTGATCGACTTGAGCAGTAGCGGAGAGGAAACTCCCAGTCGCCCAGTATTCAGGAAATTTGTGTTTCCTCGCGCATCGCAATCTCCTGGCAGAATCCGTTCGACCAGTCCAAGCGAAGCAGAGCAGGACTATCGCATGTCCGGCGGACTGCCCAACGACAGTGACAGTGACTTCGGGTCGCCTACTGGCGGCACTGGCCTGGCCAGAGGTATGGCCGAACACGTTTTCGGTCGAAGCGCTGGCGAGCTGCAGAGCCCGTTCCTGCGCAATGTTCCGGGGCGGTCCTCTATTCTCGGCCGGGACGACGATGACATCAGTGAGTACAATGGTATTCTCGGCAATTCGATTCGTTGGGTTCGTGGTGGCGGTAGTGGCAATGGACCACCAAAGGACTGAACTCCTGAAGATGATGTGATGATGATTTTCGACATGATCTAGGTAACGCGAGACGAATATCGAAATCATGCGCGTTCATCCGATTCTTGGAGACTGGCACATCACTGGGTTGGATCGAGAGACTTTGTATCGAATCATCACTCTCACGGTGCAAACCCGCACGCTTGTGAGAGCTCGGCTCGATACAATATTGGCTACATTGCACTTGGGCAAGCAATTCTCGGATGGAATTCAGCTGCTTGGGGGACCAATTCTACCATCAACAAGACAGTAGCGACGATGGCAGAAGAGAAAGATTTGCGTGATCATTTTAGTTGCGCATCGCACGGCTGCTTACACGCCTGAATCATACAAGATCTATCCCTTCCATTCTTCGTATCAGCCAACCCAATCACTGCTACAAACATGCGATTGCGAAAGCTCAATGCCACCTGTGCAAGTGCAGACTCTTTCCATGCTGATCATGTTGTGTGCAGCGCTTCGTGGCCGTTCTTCAGTTCCGTTATGCTGCTCGTGTACCGATTTGCTGCAGCCGCTTGAATGCGGGCGTGCAAGATGAGACCGAGTCGCATTGGGAGCCTTTACCTGCAGGTCATTGTTGTGCATGATTTCTAAGCACTGGCTGCTTGCCGCTGTTGCTCAGGTTCGCGGAGGCACGGCGCGCTCACGCCGAACGACGAGCACTGGATTCTTGGTACCCTTTTTCCGTCCCCTTCACGAGAATAGTCCTCTGTCGCGGCAGGCGCCTGAGAGCTTTTGCAAGCTCCATTTCTGTCATCGCGATGCCGTTCATTTTCCAGGGCATGGAAACTTGGCCGATGTGGCCGTGAAAGCCCAGGGCGACCTCGGAGACTTTCAGCGCGCGCAAGATTGAGACGATTCTAGCAGCACTTTCAAGGGCCAAGTGGTTTCTGAGATGTGTATATGAATGGCGTGTGCCTTGCGAAGCATCTTCGTGCGCTTTGACTGGGCACAAGAACACGATCAGAGACTTGAAAGCCCGGAGCCTTTCCACGACGAGGCTCAGGCGCTGCTCAATCCTCGCAAGCACAATATTCTGCTCCGTCGGTCCAGAACTGTAGCGCAATTCGTTTTCCTCTTTGACGGTGAGGCAGCACAACTCAATTCGCCTGATGCGTGAAAATGGGGCCGGAAAGTGGAGATCGAAGAACCATTCATTGCTCATGTCGATCGAAGGATCTATTGCAGCATCCATTAGTGGCTGTGTCGTGAAGAGGTTGAAGGTGTTGACTTCGAAGTAAACATTGACTGCTATGTCGGCAAGACAGCTTGGAATGCTGTCGACCTTGCGATAGATCCTGTCGAAGAGGGCCGTGGTATTGCTAGCATCGACCGGCTGGTAACTCTCGATCATGACATAGCCGAAGATCTCCTGTACGAGCTCTGGAGAGAGTAATTCGAAGCACTTCCACATTTGTTCCCGATCTTCCCGGCTCTTACGCAGAAGTGCAGAAAGGTCGGCACGACGCATCGCAGCGAGTGCCATCTGTGCGTTGAGCTTGTAGCTAGGGTTCGTTCGCTATACTGAACTGGGAGCTAGCCACTTGAAGCTTCACAGCAAGTTTGTCTCCTGACAGGTGAATGCTTTGTTGTCCTGCTTCGCACTGCCAGAACAGCCTCGAACAGTGCGCTAAAAGTGTCCAGACTGGAAGGAGAAGCTTCCAACTCCTATTGTGAGAATGGACTGCTTAGCTGATGCTGTCACGCTAGCCTTCCTCATATCGTTGCTTGCTGTCCGTGATCGCAGAACATGCGCCAAACGCCTCGCTTGAAATCATGTCGCATTTCAGCGGTCATAACACATCGCAAACCAGACCAGTTCTGGCATTTCTAGGTCTTGATCGTAGCACCCAATTTCTCCAGCTCCTTTCTTCTCTCCTCCATCTTCTTCTTCTCTTCCTCCAGCATCTCATCGATCTTCTCCTTGCTCTTCTCCAGTTGCGCAAGCACTTGCTTCTCGTACTGCACACTCCAGGCACCACCGCTCATTCCTGCACCCTCGCCGCTACCAGGCAAGGCCTTTTCAGGCAACTGCGAACTGGGCTCGACATTGCCCTCGAACACAAAATCCGGCTTCTTTCCTTTGCCCCTTCCCTTCTTCACCTTCAACCAATTGAACTGATCCTCGCTCATCAACATTTTCGCGAAATCCGACGTAGGCTCGTTGAACTCGATTGTCTCTAATCGCTCCGCGACGACAAAGTTATCCTTCTCTTGCCTCGCTTTCTGCTTCTCATCTCCGTACGGAGAGAGGGTAAGATAGTGCTCCCGATAGATGGCCTTCTCTCCACTCTCTGGTGCGAAGTAGAGTCTTATCTCCACTGCGAATTCGCCATAGCCCGTTTCTGCCACCTCAAAGCTAATGTCCTTCTTCGCGGCGCCTGTTGCGGGGTCGAGCAGAGAAGAAGATTCGATGGTGCGCGAAGCATCGGCGTAGGTGTGATGGAGTTTGAACTGGACTTTCTTGAGCCATGTCGTGATGTCGGGTCCATTGGGAAGAGGGCGGACGTAGACTTTCCAGCCTTTGGTATGCCCTTCTGGTGGTGGATTTGGGTAGCCGGAGTATGGGAGAACGTGCGCTTCGTTCCCAATGATGAAGTGGCGCGTGATCTTGATACCACGCACGCGCTTCGATGTTGCCGCGGGCATATCGGCGGTAGTGGGGTTGGATGAGACGACCAGAGATGCGGCGCACAAAGTGAGGACGCGACTGACCGGAGAAGAAACGCGACGCGAATGCCAAGCCGCACGTGAAAGTGGAGCTCAGGTCACCTCCCTGTTTGCGATTACTCTTCACTTCTCCTCCTCTACATCCGCAAACGCATCAGTAAATCTCATACCTCGCCTCCGCCATGCCCGTCCCCGAACATAGAGTCTAATTGTGCTGGCACGCTGCCTCACCGCACGCAGCGCCACAGCCAGTGCCGCTTACCTCCAACCGTGCTGGCGATCAGAGAACTTTGCCCGGCTGCCAGGAACGGATAGACGCCCATCCAACGACGTGATTCATCGCTCGTGCGATGATTAGACATAAGACGTCTGGGGTCCCTGATATGATACTGCCTAGGACAAGAATGAATCCTAAGAAATCTCGATTTGCTGGATCAACACTTCGCAAATTGTCGAAGTTCTTTTCTCGAACTCCAATCCACGTATCGTGACGACTCCTGTCCTCAAGCACTTAGCGTGAGTCATGCAGCCGACTCAGACTTCTATCCATATAGAGCCCCGCGCCGCTTTCATATCTACCATTGATTACCATAGCCCTCTCTCAAGTCCTGTCCCCTAACTCGTTGAACTATGCGAAGATGTCAGCAGCACTTTCCCTAGTCCGCCGACCTGATCGTCACCTCCCCATCAATCCTCGTCCACAGTCTCTCCAACCGCGCACCGTGATCGATACCGACGACACCTAAATTTGAAAATTCCGTGGAGGGCAGTGACAGGTCTTGCGCCCAGAAGACTAGTAAATCATCAATGGTAGTTTGTATCTTTGCGGCCCCGATGGTATATGCAGGAAGTCTGTAATAACTCTGGAGAAGAAGTCCTTGGCCGACAATCTGATATTTGCCATGGTGGTACGTCGTGCGAAGAATGAGGCATGCGCCTATATCATCTGCAATCATCAGAAGGTCACCTGACCGAGCACCGGGGCAAAGGAGAGCCATGGCTCGTGAATCGTGAAAAAGCGGACGCATTGTCTGGTCGACGATAGCCTCCCTGACTCGATCGACCAGTTCATGACTTCCTCTCAAGCTGGCTTGAGATAAATCTTGATCCAGAAATTCGAGACCTAACGAGCGCTCCGCCCATGTATGTGGCGCAGCGTCTGAGCAGAGAAATTGTCCTTGGCAATCTTCAACCACGCACACAAACTTCTGTATCATTCTTTCACAGCCTACCAACCTTGTGATGTTGGAGCGCGGTGACGATGGCATAGTTAGCCTATCTGTTACGAGTCGACGCAGAACCAAGTGACTGCTGTCGATCCTCAACATCGCTAGGAGTTGAAGTTCTTGGTGGTGCTGAGCAGCGAAAGGCAGCAGTTTGCGAGCCAGGTCTAGTGCAGACCTTGTGTAATCAGGATAGATGAAGTTGTCGTTCTCCATCCACTTGATGAAAGAGAGCGTGCCATAAATACGGTCACGGGCATCGGTGCAGCCAAGTCGGGTCAGAAGCTCAAATGAGAAACCTTCCGAATTCATAGGTCTCTGGAGTCCATCGAAAGAGAACAGTAGCGTGTAATGAAAAGACATGGTTGGCAAAAGATGGGGGCCTAGCACATCGAGGTTCTCAAGCAGTATGGTCGAGTCTTTTCTCCGTCCACAAAGCATCAATTTTCTTTTGGCTAGCTTGCATTCTGGCAAGACCCAGAGACGTTTCCAATAGCGGCGGTCGCAGAAATGTTGACAAGCCGTTCTCAGCTTCACCAATCCAGCTGAATATGAATGCAGATTCGTGAGAGGCCGAGGCAAGTACTTGCCGAAGTACCCCAGGCTCTCATTGACGGCCTGGCTCTCCGTAATTTTCTCGACGAGCATGCTGGGCCAGATCTCGTCAATCGTGTCCACGTCATTATTGTCTCGACCGATGCAGCAAAGTACGAGATGTGCAGACGCAAATGTTCTCCCTATGCACTTGACTTGGTAGCCTTTCTCATTCAAATCGTTCTGGTTGATGCAAAGCGAGTCAATCCAGATCCAAGAATGTGCATAATGGAGCCTGGTTTGCCACAGCGCGTAGTGGCAATTGACCGTGACTAGATGAGGCGCTTTGTCTATCAAAACCTCTTTCTGGTTGTCCAGGTCGCCCCAAGTATACGCAATGGCCTTGTATCCAGGCTCCTTGCCGCGGTAAAAGGTCTTCAGCTCAAGAGCAACGACTTCATCTTGTTGCCCTGGCAGCAACTTGAGAAGCCGTATTTGTTGCTCGGGATCTTGGAGTGGTTGCATGGACAAAGGAGTACTTTCAACTGAAACGTGCAGCAAGCTGAGGAAGATGCGCAGTGAAGAGCTGTCGATTGCACACGCAGCTGTGGCGGGGTGTTCCTGCCAAGCCATGCGTGAAGCGACCATAAGGAGGGCTTNGCAGTATCGTAAAGAGTCGTGATTTCGTGCTCCAGGGTATCATATGCTAGGCTATGCATCCATTCATCCTCGCCACTCGACTCCCAGATCAGCTTTCTTCCGCATCGTGCAACTTCCTCTCGTTCTGCGACAGAATCGGGTTCTCTTCCCAAGGATATCCATTCTCTTCCTCCCATCTCCATCGATCCGAAGCGAGTCTATCCAAAGCCTCTTCTTGATCCATACATAACTCGTGGCGTCCTTCTCCGCCTTCCTCCTCAACCCATCGAACACCAAACCCCTGCTCAATCCGCGCAAGATCAAAGTCGTACTTCTTTAACATTTCCTCTCGCATCATATCGTTCCACATACCGGCATGTTCGGGTTCATCCAACATGCGCATTCTGATTCTGTGCTTCAATCGATTGAGAGGAACTTCTGTCTCACGCACGATTTTCCAAGCTCTCTTGATGTCGCCTGCATATACCATCTGCTCAATGAACCAATACACCCCTCGAAGTTTATTCGTCATTGGCATAGTCTGCTTCCTGATGTTCTCTTCTCCAACAACGAGAAGTCTGCGAGGTTGCTGATATGCTTTCGATTCTTTCCAAAACAGCCATTCGTTCCAGACAGCATCGGCTTCTCGGCAGCGTGCCAGAACAGCAACCCAGCCATGAAGAAATTGCCAGTCCTCGCGCACGAGGAAAGTACCGAAGTGATATTGATCTTCCTCAGGTAGATCGAGGCAGTCCTTGAACCCAAGAAGGACTTCTCGTAAATCTGATCTCCTCCATCTGCCATTGCGGATCTCACCAAGTCCTCGGTGTCCAATACTGAATTTTGCAATGACCGACCTGTAAAGATTACTAGTCATGCCCAGGCCGGTCTCTTTTATCATCCTCAGATATCTCTGCATTGCCGCTTTGCTTCTGCTCCGGGCAGCAAACTTCAATGCCATGTGCAGCAGTTGTGGTTCAACATCCAACTTGGCGAAGCGGTACCTCGTGATAACGGCATGCAATGTGCTCAGGACTTCCGGATCAGTGACGTTATTACGACATCGATAGAGCGCTCTCATGATCGGTTCGTACAGATGCATGAGATTCATGGCAGATTGACTGTCCAGCATTGCAACAGCAACCACTCTCAGCACATCTCGCGGCCACTCGCATCTTAGCAATTGCGACCTCAAGACAGAGCGAATAGCCTTCTGTCCCACAGCCAACTTCATGGTCTGTCGGAACGTGGCGTGTGAGATGGGAGCATCGTCAGGCCTCTGCAGGCGAGGTGGACCGCGAAAACGTATTTTGCCTTGCTGCACGCCTGGCCATGGGTTTGACAGCGATCGAAGTGTCCTTAATCGCGCATCTTTCTCCCGAAACAGTGCTTCGAAGCTAAGCGCTGCTTCTCTCAATGCCACTTCGCGTAGCGCGTCCTCCGGTATAGGCTCTCCATGGTGTTTCAACTGCCGCAGCGTCTTCCTCGAGTAGAAGCCTCGGGAGTTGTGTGGCGGTGAGTCGAGCAGAAAGCCATCGTCCTCGGGGCGTACAGCAAGTGATGTCTCAGGATGGGCGCGTCGCGGCGCGGTGGTCAATCGGCGGCGGGAGAGTCGAAGCTGGCGAGCCTGGCAGGTGAGGCAGACGCTGGGTCGCCTCGCCACCACACTCATCGTCGATGGCGATGGGCGGTGTGAAGGGACGAGGTGAAGTGATCGGTGGAGCCGCAAGTCCCCCGCCAAATGATGCTGGTCCCTCGATTCACATGCAGCAGATCAGCGCCACACCAGAAACTTTGTGACTCTTCGTTCCTGAATATCACTTTTTTCTTCTCTTCTCTCACGACAACACCGAGCACACATGGCGGCTCCTCACCAGCCACCTCGGCAATACGTCGAGAACGAAGGCTACGTCGGCGACAGAAATGCCATGCCGGAATCTGCCAACGACCCCGCTACCAACGAAGTCGATGAAGAGGATGAGGACTACGATGATCTGTTCGAGTCCGACCTTTCTGAGACGGAAATATCTGCCTCAAACCCATCGGACTTTACGAAAGCCTACAATCGCCAACGAAAACTCAACGACAACTCCATCCCCGCAGACCAGAAACCAAAAACGAACCCCCAGCTCAACACGAAAGCGGCCATAGACGACCACATCAAGAGTTTGGCACGACATACTGCTAAGCTGAATGTCAACGCCATCGAGAGCGGTGCCACAAAAAGCCATGGGGGTGCTGAGAAGTCGGATAGAGCCACAAGCGAGCAGGTGCTTGATCCACGAACACGAATGATCTTGCTGCAATTGTTGAACAGGAATATCGTGTCCGAGATCAACGGTGTGCTATCAACAGGAAAAGAGGCGAATGTCTATCATGCGGCGACGATCCCCGAAGAAGGCGAGAAGGTTCTCAACCGAGCGATCAAGGTCTACAAGACAAGCATTCTGGTGTTCAAAGACAGGGACAAGTACGTGACGGGCGAGCACAGATTCAGGAGTGGCTACAACAAGAGCTCGAATCGAGCAATGGTGAAAGTTTGGGCAGAGAAAGAGTTCCGAAACTTGCGAAGGATACACCAGGCTGGCATACCTTGTCCAGAGCCAGTGTATCTCAAGGCACATGTCCTAGTCATGTCGTTCCTCGGTAACAGCAAAGGATATCCAGCACCGCGGCTACGTGATGTTGAGTTTGACGAGACCAGGACACCAGAGGAGATTGCGCAGAAATGGTCGACAATCTACATCGAGCTGCTCAGCTACATGCGGATCCTGTACCAGGTCTGCAGGCTGGTGCATGCAGATCTATCAGAGTACAATCTCTTGTACTACAAAGATACATTGTACGTGATCGATGTCTCGCAATCGGTGGAACACGATCACCCCAGATCGCTGGAATTCCTGCGCATGGATATCAAGAATGTTTCCGACTTCTTCAAACGCAAAGGAGTGGATACACTGTCAGAACGATCTGTCTTTGGCTTCATCATGGCAGGAAGCGGAAGCACAGAAATGTCAGGTATGAAGGAGACACTGGAGAAAATGTTTGAAGTGGAAGCACAAGCCGGCAAGCAAGATACCGAAGTCGACGATGAAGTCTTTCGTCAGCAGTACATTCCGCAAACGCTACGAGAAGTCTACGACATTGAACGCGATGCCGAAGTCATCAAGAAGGGAGACGGTGATGGGCTTGTTTACCAAGACTTGCTGGCGGACAAGACGGTGCAGAACGGTGCGGACCATTCAGAGTCATCTGAGCAGGATGACGAAGACGATGATGCTGATTCGGAGGATGACTCTGGGAGCCAAGTGTCCGAAAGCGCCTTCGACAAGGGTCCTCCGCGAGGCAAGAAGCACGAGGACAAGGAGGCCAAGAAAGCGCACAAGCAAGCTGTCAAGGAAGAGAAGAGGGAGAAGAGAAAGGAAAAGATACCCAAGCATGTTAAGAAGAAGATGATCTCTTCCAGCTCGAGAGGAAAGAAGTAGGCCGCGGGAGCTCGTTCACGCGGATGATTGGCATGCAGTCGTTACAATGCAACTGTGTCTCAAACAGGTCTCTGTATCACAACTACCTCTCGAGCATGCTCTCCAACAAAAACAGCACTTGCAAAGGGCCCAGAACGTAGACGCCCGCAAGGCCAACACAGTCCAGATCACAGTGGCCAAACAGTCTGAGCATGTCCTGCAGCCACAGCACGATCGAGGCCACCAATAACTTTGTGGAATGTTCAAATTTAGGCGTGGCTAAATGGTCATGGCACGTTCTGGCGCCACATTCAGGCAATACCACCACGTGAGCGAGCTCTCATAGGCCTGGTGCTCACCAAGTACCAGGTATCACTGGCAGCAAGGCTGAAGGATTCTCGGGCAACGCCAGCGCTGGAGCCGGCTGCGGCAGCCTTTCATGACCTAGGCACTACTGAGGCTCATAAGACACGCTGAACGAGTCTGTTGAACGGGCCACTTCCTTACACAACCTTCTCGAGCACACTCGCAATAAAGGCCTTTCATGTCCACTCTCTACTCTACCTCAGCGCTTGCGCGTCATTCGATCCCATTCGACTTTGACCCAAGAGATTCTGGCAACGTTTTGGTGGGCTACAATGCTTTTGCTTTGACTGGCATCCCGAATGTGAAAGACCCGGCTGGAAGAGATCAAGGTGGAGCGCCAGCAATCCTCGAATTTCATTCGGAACCCGCTCGGACCGGAAACCGGATTTCATGCCCAGAACCAGGCTGTTCTTCAACATTTGGAAAGCGGAAGAGTCTCTATCGGCACCGAAGGACAGTCCATCACAATGGCAGACACACATGTAAAAGTTGCCGCGAAGACTTCAAACGACGAGACATTCTGGATCGCCACGTACGTGAGCAGCATCAGGAAACCACTGACACACTCGAGTGCGTGTTGTGTGGAAAAGAATTGAGGCCTCGGAGTTACCCACTCCACCGGAACACCAATGCTTGTTATAACGCTGCTGGAATATCTCCAGCCGATGTCCTCGCTGCGCCCGTGGAAGTTGTCAGACTGGGGGTAGAGCTGCTTGTGAAGTTCAGACCCTGGGGCCAAAATCATCACTACTTGGACTGGCATCCAGTGCCAAATGCACACATCGAGATGACGAACGAAGTAAGAGAGCTGGAGAGACTACTACATCGCCAATTGATCATAGCTCTGAACTCGGAATTTGTCGAAAAAGATTCTTCATTCGTTGACGCTCTCTCCATCATCAATGTCTTCACCTGCCAAACGCGAGGGTGGGAAGCATCCATGGTCCATTGCAAGGCACTTGTTTTCCTTGCCATGCATCAGATCATGGCCCTCGGAAAGGAGATTACGAGCTTCAAAGAGCCTTCTAAGGGTGCTGTTGAGGTTCTTCGCACAGTTCTCTTGAGCAACGTCCCTGAGCACTATGTGGCGATATGCGAGGACTTTCTCGTCCGGTTGCTGAGAATGATGCGAAGCGCTGCCTGCGTCACTGGGTTCTTGTGCTTTGGTCATCCTAAAGCCCCAATTATCGAGTCGGCCGATGTATGGTACAATCGCTGGAAGACGGAGATTTGTGCGGTAGCTTACCCTACGCGAAAAGTAACTTGCTAGGGAGTGTCAACACATCGGCGAGTGGCTAATTCTTTCCAAGCGAAAATGAATACAATATCATGCTCTCGTAAGGACCAATTACGCTTTCAAGGATGCAGCAGCCGAAATGATGGAAGAGTTGTCTCAACTGTATCAACCTGTATTTATCTGGATGCTGCAGCCTCCCAAGATCGTTTGAAAGGCCAATAGGCAGAACCTTGCTTTCCCAGGAGACCCCAATGTCTGGTACGCTAGTGCTGGAAAACTAAGGATGAGGCTCACGAAACGAGCTACGACTCAACGGACTTGGATGTTGAAGAGGTGAAGTCTAAACCGTCATCAACGACGCGCCTCTTGCCGCCAATTTGGCTTCATGATCAGTCTCTTCCGTGAACCATAGCTTGACAACTGCATCGCCGCTGCTGTGTCAACGACAACCATGACCTTGACACAGCATCGAACTGCTTCCATTGCTTCCAGAAACCCCTCTATAGCGAAGCGCATATTCCAGCCTTCTTGCTCAGGTTCATCTTGCCACCGACACTGATCGAGGCGATCTATTATAATGGTCAAGTAGAATGCATCGTCGAAGTGCCCGAGGATATTGGCAAGAAGGCCAGAAAAAGCACCGAATGCCTTCTCGCCCGAGTCACTACGCCAGTCGGACCCCTCCACCACTCTTTGAACCTGATCGTGATAGTCTCGCAGCTTGTCTGAATGCATCAACACAATTTGATATATCAAACTGGCCAAAAGGTCTTGGATCGAGCATTTCTTGCGATCTGTCATTGTCCAGTCCGTCTGACACAAGAACCAAGCCACTTTCTGCGTGTCCGAGAGCTGAGTTCGCAAGGACTCTGCCAATAAGACGCAGCCTTCTGACAACCAGATCAGATCTTTGGAGTCGAAGCGATGCCAGTTCTGCCCGCCGACGAGCAGCAAGCTTGACTCCTGTTGCGTCAACCATCGCGCAAAATCAGAATCTTCAGCGAGCAGGTCCAGCGATGTCTCCATTGGTGCTCGAATAATTGCTCGCCGATTGTGGAACGCTCTTCCGAGAATGGCCTTGTACCTTTCCAAGTCCGTGTTGAAAGTATACGGTTCCTCGACTTTGATCCCCAGTATTCTCCGGATACTGGCTAGGTATTCACCATCGGCTGAACTCCTGTGTGCCAATGCGATTGACTGCGTTGAACGCAGCCGCACACTCATGTCATCAATCGTCTGTTTCATCTTGCTAATGTCTTGGAGCAGGAGCGTGTCACTTTCCTGCTTGACTTGGCCCAATTGTCTCCGGATACGGGACATGGTCTGCATTTTGACCTTTCCCGGCGACACTGCGTCTTTCCACCTTTGTCGACGCGAGGAGAAGTAGTCTGTCGTCTCTCTGGCAAACTTCACCACGAGGCCGAAAACGTCTGCGATCAAGTCTTGCAGTCTGTCGCTTGGTTGTAGACTGCGAAGCATAGCCAGTCGCGGGATTGCATAAGTCAGCTCTTCAAGAGCGTCCTCAATATCGTTCTCCCGCTTGTCTTTGTGCACTACTACACTGAGAAGTACTGACAGTGTACCATAGGCAAAGCCACCATATTGCTGATCGGCGGCTTTCACGATTTCTACGATACCTGAGAAGCTTTCCAGAAAATCCGAGAACGTCACCAGAAATCCTTGCACTCCTGTTGCAATCTTTCGACCTGTACCGCTCTTCCTCCTCGCACGCCATTGAGACATGCTTGAAGTAGCGATGAGAAGCTGCTGCTCCGTGCGTTTGGCAAGATCGTTTTCGGGACCGAATTCTTCAGGATCGAGCGATATGATTTGAGAGTCCAGGTCGTCCTTTGAAGACGAGTAAATGATTTCCAGGCTGGAGCTCTTTCTCGTCAGCGGCACTAAAGTCTCGCGCGAGGAGAATCTGGAGTCTTTCATATCGCCCAGCGTTTCCTTGGTCCAAGCTTCTCGATCGTCCCAGAGGCCGTTGGCCTCGCGGAAACATCTGAGACGATAGAGTCAGTTGAGTGGGAAGCAAGAGCCTTAGTATCATCGTCAGGGAAAGCGTACCGTTCTCGCTGCGACTGATTTGTGAACCAGCATTGTGCAGTGCTTGGCGGCGACGGCATATTGCGCCTCTGTCCAGAGTGATGAAAAGCTAGATAAGAAGCTCTAGAAAATGTCCGGACCTTATGTGGATCAGGACGACACGCAGCTGCTGCTTCGTGAACGAGCTCTCGACTCCCCGCGGCTGTGCAGCCGTCCTCGCTGTTGTGAGAAGCAAGCATCCTAGAGGACGGAGCGTGCAGAGATTACCTGCATATGGCGTGGCGCGTCCATGCACAGTGGTGATTACTCGCTCCTGCGTGTCTATTGTTGCGCCATGCTGATGACGACGCTCACAAGCAACCATTGATATCAACCTGAGCGGGTGTTCGGCTCCACAACATACTTCTCGCCCGGCCTATGGCCTACCATGTTGCGAATTTACACAGCATTTCTTGCTCTTGCACACCAAACAAGCATGCAGCACTTGACAGCAACGGCTTCGCCACTCGAGGCGCCCGCAGTGCCCCGAACACGTATTTAGCAGTCTACAAGCGAACCGGTTGCACAATCTTCAGCCTCACGAAGCGAGCTTGAGCATGAAAGTGGAGCTCGCGTAGCAGCAGGATCGCTTGACAGAAGGGACTCATAAACCGCCTCAGCTCTCAAATGAACTTTCACTCTGCTTCTCGACTGCACTGTGACTAGGGCGATCAGGGCATGATGACGCCTACAAACCGCTCAGTTGGTGCTCAAGCTGTATGACTTTCGATCCATAACGAAGTTGCACTTCATGAAGCTGATGTGGATTGGTTGCAGGGTACACCGGCTGAGAGCAAGTCGAGTCTGGAGTACACCTATATGCGATTACTCGAGCAGCGTATTGCTCAACTTGAGGCTGTGATCGAGAAGGGTGTGACAAACCCCGCAGAAAAGGTGGATGAAAATGAGCGCAGAGGGATTCGCTGATACATCACACTGACCTCGGCTTAGAGTGACGAGTCGAAGACTGATACTATTGACAAGAAGATCGAGTCGGAGGAGCCGTTGAAAGATAAGAGTGAGGAGGAAAGTGCAACTGCTGGCGCTGAAGCGAGCAAGTCAGATGAGGTGCGAACTTTTTCGAAATGTTGAAGTAAATCTGACCGGGCTCTACAGAGCAAGACCAATGGAGACATAACGAAGACTTCTGAGAAACAGAGCGGGAACAGCAAAGATGAGGTTACGAAAGGCGAAGAAAAGAAGGCCGAAGACAGCAATGCCGATGATGGTAGCCGCGTGCGCAGTGTCATATCCAAGGTGCGTGGCCATCACTGCCTGCTGCCTCTATACCTCTTCTAACAAGGCCTAGTGGAACGAGGTCACTAACGATTATGAAACCCTGAAAGCGGGTAATGTTGACTCCAAGGAAGACAAAAGTCAGACGAAAGTGACAACATTCCGAAAAGTCATGGACCGCGACAACGAGAGAAAGCTGAAGCACGAAGCCATAGAGATCAAGTCAGCAGAACTCCGCAAGCTATTCCTAGAATGTAGCCGACATCGAGACCCTGTCAATTTTCAGCATGATGAAAAGCTTGAGCTGAAGTCGCCATTCCTGGACTTCGCCTGGTACCACGATGACTTTTTGAAGGCCTGCGAGCCCCGTGAATCAGACTCACCAGCACGAGCAGAGGCTCGAGAGGACTTGAAGCAACTACTGGGCCTTGTCAAAAAGTCATCGTCAATGGAGCCGTATTTCAAGACTCGTGAAAATATCGAGAATGCGGGAACGATCAAGTACGAGCACCTTTGGAGTCTTTTCCCTATGGGGGAGCGAGTCTACGCAAAACCGCTGGCCCCAACATTTCCAGATATCCAAATGTTTGAAGTGTGGTATTGCGCCACAACTCCACCTGAGTCGCATGAGATTCCGCACAAGCCCAAGACAACAAAGCTCTACTTGTTCGGCTTCGACTGCGATGGCGTTAAAGTCGATCGATACTATTACACAATGGAAATCAAAAAGTTCGAAGGAGAACGATCAATAGACATGCTTGAAATTTTCCCCACCCGCTTCTATCGCAACTCAGATCGACAGCGGGACGATAGTGCTCTGCAGCAGGAATTACTTGATCGCGGACGCCGGTTCATTGAGCTAGCTGTAGCGGATACAAAGGAGAGCCAGCGATCCTATTATGGCACCGCCATTACACAGGTCAACGCCCAGTCAGCTTTTGCTGGCATGGCATCTGGTCGCGATGACACCGAAACAGCCGCATCACATTCAGACGACGAGGAAGACAACAAGATAGGCATCAAATCATTGACGCCAGACATCAGAGGGAAGATCATAGTCGACAACTATTCATTCCAGCGATCGAAGAGGAATCCAGTGGCATACATGAATCCTCCTCTTGGCCGTGTTGACGGCTGGGCGCTCCTCGAGCTCGATTGTGCATGGTAAGTTACACAGATTCTATTTGACTCCTGAGCTAATTCCCGAGACAGCCGCGCTTGTCAAAGCAGTGTCGCGCTGCAGTGGAAAGTCCAGCCCACGGACGATCTTCGACACCAAGTAGAGTCGTTCCAGGAAAGTGAAGAACGACTGAGAATGTGCCCACCCAAAGTGCTTGGGTACGCACTCAGGCAACGATTGTGGGCACAGTTCCGGATCAAAGATATTAGCAACTCTGAGAACAGCGCAGAAAGCGGGCACTACTTTCAGAAAGAGCTACAACTGGACTCCAAGTACAAGGAAACTCTGATGGCTTTCATCACTAATCATGAGTCGTCTAGGAAGCGGCGGAGTCAACCGAACAGCAGACATTCGATGCCAGAGACGTTCGACATCGTCGAAGACAAGGGCAAGGGCTTGGCGATACTGCTTCACGGAGCCCCAGGGGTGGGCAAGACTTTGACTGCTGAGGCCATTGCCCTTGCCACAGGCCGTCCACTTGTTGTGGTCTCGGTGGCAGAAGTTGGCACCGATGCCGCAGATGCAGAAGCACGTCTCAGCGACATCTTCAGCGACGCCGCCCGCTGGGAAGCAATACTCCTGATGGATGAAGCCGACGTCTTTCTTGAGGCACGCGAACGAACGGAGAACCCGAATCGCAATGCCCTCGTCAGCGTTCTCCTTCGCTGCCTGGAGTACTACGAGGGCATCATCATCCTCACGACGAATCGAATCCGTTCGTTTGATGTTGCGGTACAATCTCGCATGCATCTCGCTATCCAATATGACGACCTCAGCACCGAGCAAAAGTCCGCCATCTATCGCAATCTGATAGACAAGATTCCCAAGTCAAAACTCGATCGCGAACTCAAAGAGCCCAAGAAGCTCGAAAGGAACCTGGAAATATTGTGCAGAAGAGGCAAGATCAATGGACGTCAGATACGAAACATTGTAGCGAGTGCCATGGCTTTGGCAAATCACAGGAGTGATAACGAGGAGAAGTTGAAGGGAGTTTTGACATTCGACGATTTGGAAGCCGTGCACGAGATGACGATGGACTTCGTAACGACGCTCAGTGAAGATACCTGGAAGACGCGGAAGTTCAATGAGGCTGGGAGGTAGGGAGGTCGGATGGAAACGCCTGACCACCAACCTATGCATTAGAAGAATCGAATTCGCAGCATGATTGCACAAAGTTCACGGTCAAAGAAAGTCCAACTGATGTTTCCACAACTTAGATTGATCCAGAGGAATAGTGGAATTGGTTGTCAATGTGGTATCCCTGCTACCGCTGAGACAAGGCAGACACAGTATTGCTACGGTGGTACTTTGATCGTACAAGCCAACGCAAGAAGAGCTCGCTGGAGATGCACCCTCTGGCTATGGAAGGAATGCGCATACCATGACCTTGGATCATGTCTCGTTATCCGCGACGATACTTCGAAGGTCAAGAAACTCAGCAAGGTGAGATGAGAAGTGTGCCAAGGGTGAGATGTCTTGGCAGTTCCATACATGAATTGATCGACTCTTTTGGCAGCTTCGAAGGAGAGACCAGCAGTTGCTTCAAAAGCGCATTGCATAGAAGCCACAACCACCGCCATGACGAAGCTGAACGCCGAGAGAACAAATACGAACGAATCCCATCCTGAGAGGTCAATGGAGATCGCAGGCAGAAGAAGTCCCGACATCATGGACAACGCCCAAGCAATGCTCATAGCGCCAAACATACTTCAACTTTGGTCTTTGGCGCCTTTCGTGGTTTGCGAGCATAGGGCCTCATGTGAGAAACCGGCAATACGGCAGAAGATATCCAAGCACACCAGAGCAAGCAGGAGATTGATCGCAGAAGTGCGATCTGAGATCGTTCAATTGTCTTTGCTCTACGATGAAAGTGTAGTTCTTGATTTGTGTCTTTGTACAACGATTCTAACAAAAGGTGATCACATCGGATCATGCACGCCGCACCACCATCCCCGTCTGATCCGAGAGCAAAGAGGTATCTCTGATAATGCCACCCAAGACTTCCCGCCCCTCATTTTCTTTAATGCTCACCGCATCTTAATTGGGTCTTACTCATTCCCATACCCTTTGCGATGCGAGAAACCACCATCTCTCAGTCCAGCCTTCTCGACTGGATTCTCCGCAGCAGACTGATTGCCATCCTTGACTTTCACCTTCTCCCACTCAGCCTCTTCCTCACTGCTGCGCTCTCTCTCCTCTTCTTCCTCTGGTGTTTCTCTGCCTTTCTCTTTGTCGTGTTCTTGCATTCTCAATCTCATGCGCTCCTCTTCAGTTAATTCCTCATGACCCTCGGCTTCTTCCTTGCGCTTGGGTGGGCCACTCATTTGCCATTCCATCAATTTCGCGAAAGCTCCGTTCTTGTCGGCCGCGAGCTCGCGGTAAGAGCCCATCTGAGCTACTTTGCCATCAGATCCAATGCAGATGATGGTGTCTGAGCGTTGAATCGTGGACAGCCTATGAGCGATGGAAATGGTCGTATTGTCGCCTCGTAGCAGGGATTGAAGAGCTTCGTTGACGAGTGTCTCGGATTCGGCGTCCAAAGCTGAAGTTGCCTCGTCCAAGATGAGGATGTCAGGCTTCTTCAACAAAGCACGAGCGATGGCGATGCGTTGCTTCTGACCACCAGAGAGTTGCGTGCCGCGTGCACCACAGAACGTTTCAAGGCCGTCGGGCTGTACACATGGTTAGCATAGTTCGATACGAAAAGCTCTTCAATACTCACAAAGTCGCTGATAAAGTTGCAATTGGCTTGACGCGCAGCTGCAACAATTTCAGCCCTCGAGGCCAACGGCCTGCCGTATGCGATATTTTCCGCAATCGTTCCGGAGAATAGTACTGGCTCCTGTCCCACGTATCCAATCTTGCGTCGCAGTTGCTTGGCATTAAGTGTGTTGATGTCTCGGCCAGCGATGGTAATAGTTCCCCTTGTAGGCGAGTAGAAACGCATGATCAGGCTGGCAACGGTGGACTTGCCAGCTCCTGACGGCGCGACAATGGCGACATTGCTTCCCTGAGGAATCTGAAAGTTCAGGCCCTCGAAGATGGAAACTGCTGGTCGAGTTGGATATGCGAATGCGACATCCTTGAACTCGATCATGCCGCGAGCACTGCGCACCATGTCACCTTTCGTCGGGCTGATCGTCGGCTCACGGTCTTGAAGCTCAAAAAGTCGACTCGCCGCTCCCACGCCCTTCATCAGCTCGGAGTAAAAGCTCGACAGACCAAACACACTGCTACCTGCGTAGCCGGTGTACATCAAGAAGGTCGTCAAGTCACCAACACTCATCGCGCCTTGCCTCACCATACCACTGCCGATATACAACAGCGCCAGGAAAGTAGCATTGCCCATAAAACCAGAAGCCGAGAAGAAGGCTGCTGAAATGAATGCCTCCTTCCGCCCCAGTCCAAAGATCTTTCGCACTTGCGTGTTATAGCGATTGACTTCCTGCAACTCTCCAGCAAAAGCCTGGCTGGTCCGTACGTTGCCCAATCGTTCTTCCGCAATCTTGGTCAGTGTTCCCAAATTCTTTTGTATTCTTCTTGACAAATTTCGAATCGCTCGTCCGTACAAGAAGGCACCAATGGCCACTGGCGGGAATGCAATCGCGAGCACTCCCATCAACTTGACGCTCATGTAAGCCATCATGGTGAGCGCCGCTGTAGCTGAAACAATCGATCGCAGTCCATCCGAAACGTTCTGGGTGATTGACTTGCCAACAATGATAGTATCGCTACCCAATCTGCTGATCAAATCTCCCACGCGATTGGCATCGAAGAATTCGGCATTTTGCACAAACGTACGTCGGAAAAGCGAGCTTCGCAATTTCGTAACAACACGCTCGCCGACGATACGTAGGATCACGATACGACCGTAGTTCGCCGCGGCACCCGTCATGAGGATCGCGGCCATGGCACCAACAAAGTGTTCCAGTTTGAGGCCAAAAACAATGCCTTCTTCCTGGGTCGCTGAGTCCAAGATCTTGCCAATACTGAAGGGGACTGCCATGGTAACACCGCTGCTTATCAAGAGCAAAACGAATGCGATGCTCAGCGACTTGACTTCCGGTTTGGCAATCCTGAGCAATCTCCAGACCTCGCCTCGTGAGCCACCGGTCTTTCCCTCACCATCTTTGCCGTAACTCGACAATTTGGCGCTGAGATTAATTTGTGACGCCTGTGCAGCTTTTGCAGACTTCTTGAAAGTCACAGATTCATCCTCCTCCTCGACTTCAGTAGGATCACTGCTCTTCTTATTGATCGTGTTCTTGTACGCTGTCTCTTTATTGCCATGCTGAACCACGTTCAGAGACTCATTTTGTGAAGGCGTCGTCCGTAAAGACCGGGCGGGATGTATGCGTGCCGTCTGCGAGATCAGAGATGTCGTTGTCAGCCTTGCAGGCTGTGTGCTGCGCTGGATGGACAGACATCGCAATTGCTGTGCTATGCTCGTCCTGTGGAAGGCGGATGTTGTCGTCCGGGTGTGAATTGCTCGGTTGGCGACTTCGCTCCGTATTCTGTGAGTAAACAGGGCACCGTTCCCAAGACTGTCCCAGGCGCGACACGCGAGTTGTGGCCCGCGCATGGCCATGGCGGTGATAAGTCACTCGCAGGACGGATTGTGGTCGGTGTTGGGCGTTATCGTTGTGCTCGGCGAAAAAGCGACATCGTCGTGGTCTATGACGAGTTCTGTTGAGAATGGGCCTCGTTGGCCAGGTGTGGCGACTGCAAACTGAGCGATTGATGGTCCTGAATCCAGCGATGGCACGGCGTGGGCAAACACAATGCAAGGTACGGGTGCACAAGAAGTGTCCAGGCGGTTGATTGTTGCGAAAGTGCCCGATGCAATGGGTCGATGGAGGAGTTGCCGCTTCCCGGAGGTGAGCTTGATTCCGAGGTCGCGCCCACAAGCCCACATGCCGAAAGCTTGTGAGGTCGCGTCACGCTGCGCGCTGCAATAATTTGTGCAGTTGAAAAGAACAACATCGTAAGTATACAGCTGTGCGTGGTATACGGGTAACTGTATACTGTGTAGAAGCTACATTGTGTCATCGACTGTTGGTACAAACTCGACCAGGAGCCGCGTGCCGTGCCACTGCTCTGCGAGCGAAAATACAAACTGCGTTCGTGAAGGCTTCAATATTCCTCATACCTCCAACTCCAAGCGCTGACGAAGACACTACTGTCCAAGCATCGCAGCAATGCCGTCTTCGTCGACTCCGCCCACGCCTTGGCCAAAGATTTCGTCATCCACGTCCCCGCTCGGTCGGTGGCTCATCTTCCGTCGCTTGAGTCTTGGATCACCAGGATTGCCGTCTGATGATGACGATGGAATCTCACCGGATGGTCCTCTGACAGTGCCTTTGAGTGAGTCCAGAGTCGCAAGAAACGCCTGGGCTTGCGTCGCTGCATCGTCGGCAGCTGTTATGGTGGGCTGTGGGACGAATGCTGGCGGAGGCTCATTTCGGTTAGGAGGTTGCTCTTCTATCGGATCTGCTCCCGTAGGATTTCTGAATGGCGCCTCCAGAGGTGCCATGTCAATCTGATCGGTGTCGTTCGCTTCACCAGGTGGCGTGAAGGATTCGATCTCAGGAGGCGGAGGGGTGAAGCCTTCGGTCTCGGGTCGCTCTGGCTCGATGCCATTGCCGTTGCCGTTCACTGGCAACGGCTCGACTCCACGCATGATGCTGTCCTCCACGTCTCTGATGATCGTTTCCATGCTGTCTATCTTCGTGCCGAGATCACGCGACGTGACTTCATCTTGCGCAAGCTGAGCGCGGTTTGTCGCAATGAGCTTTTCCAGCCCATCCAGGAGTTCCCTTCGAGAGTTCATACTGGCTTCGACCGCATTCTGCGCCGCCATCAAGTCTTTTACCAGGCCCCTTAACTTTGCTGCTCGCACAGGAGCGCTCGGCACGACTGTCGCTGGATCTGTCGTTTCTGCGTACTTGGCGTTGGCGGCCGTGATGGGGGTTTTGCTGGCAGTTTCTGCTTTGTTCAATGCCACTTGGATCTTGTTGATGGGCTCCAGCTCTGATGCCACACTGCCACTTCCACCGCCGAACAGGCTGCCCCCTAGTCTTCCAACACCTCCTCCCAACTTGCCTGCACCCTTGGTCTTGTCCACTTCGTCCAGCTTCTTCTCAACGCTCTGTTGAATTGGTGCGTCGAAAATGTTTCTCTGCCGCCAGACCTCCACAACTCGTCGTATCTTCCCTTGCACGTCCGGGTTCGCGGCTTTGTACGCACTTGCTGTCGCGTCTGCAATCACAGGTTCGAAGGCGATCTTAAAGTCCATCTTTCCTCTCGCGCGAGACTGCTGCACGACTTCGTTGGCCAGATAGAGTAGGTTCAGCTTTTTGTTAGCGGTGGGCGATTCCTGCAAAGTGGCCACCCACAGCTGGGCCGTCTGCGCAGCGTATCGACGATGAAACATAATCCATTGCGCGACGGTCACGATGCTATCTTGCGATTCATTGAGAGAAGTGAGCTTCCCTTTAACGTTATCCTCGTTGTAGGACATCTTGTCGACCGCGCTGCTGCTGTGATGTGAGCGGACGCTCGAGATGTCTACGCGCTCACGATGAAGGTGTTGTGGTCAAGAAAGAAGCAGAAGAAGCGGGTTGGAGTTGCACGAGCTAAACAGCAGTTGGCAGCTAACACGGGTCTACCCGCTCCCGGGTTTCGGTGGATCCACTCGTTCATTGGCAGCAGCTGCGACTGCGACTGCGTGTCTATTGAACCCAACAAGTTGCAGCAAACATCACCCTCGCTCACCACATCATACCTACAACACCCTGCGCGAGACATTGCGATCAAATACAGACAAGCAGAGACACACACAATCATGGCGGACCGCTTCCCTTCGCTGGAGGAATTTGACGAGGGTACATCGTCTCCTTGAACGCTCCACCACGCACCAACTAATCCTCCAACACAGGCAAGACAGAAGCCACCGGCGCATCCGCCCTCGACGACGTTGACGAGCCCTCCGATTTTCTTGCCCGCGAACGCGCAGCCCTCGGCGAAGATGCCGAGCAGTTCACATCCTCCGCAGACAACACCGCGACCGTCGCCGATGCAGACGACGATGATGACGATTTGCTAGGCGGAGGTGGACCTGCTCCCTCGAACGGATTTCCCGCCGGCAATGATGACATGATGGGTGATTTTGAGAGCTCATTCCCCTCCGTCAACACACAAAACGAGCAAGTCGCGCCCGGAGGCACCATCACAGGCTCAGCCGCCCCTTTCCAAGCACCACGACCGGAAGAGTACGAGGCTGAGCCGGATGTTGTCCGCGAATGGCGTGAGCGACGCGACTTGCAGATTCAGCATCGCGATGAAGTCAGCGCATCGAAGAAGGCGGAGACTGTCAAGGCTGCCCAAGAAGCCATTGATGACTTCTACGAGCAATATAACAACAGGAAAGATAAGCAAATCGCGCAGACAAGGAAAGAAGCGGAAGAGTTCCTGAAGTCGAGGGAAGATACTACTGCAGGTGGCACCAGCTGGGAGCGAATCGCAAAATTGGTAGACCTGAGCGGGAAGGGTTCATCAGGAGGTGCTGCTGGTAGCCAAAAGGCGAAGATGAGGGAGTTGTTGATCAGTTTGCGAAAGGACGAGAAGGCTCCTGGGGCGACCGGAGTCTAGAGGACATCGAACGCAACAACGAACACTTTCGCTCTATGAGGCTGCGAACTACACGCAGCCGATGCCCTCAGCCAGACGCTGAGATCGCATCACTTGATGAGTTGCGTTGTTGGATGCATGTCCTGGAATACATGCTAGCTGCACGAATAGACGTCTGTAACATATGCTCACCTGTGTTCCCAGATCGCAAAATGAATCGCATGTACAAGTGGTTGCAACTTGATCGACCGTTTGACCAGACAGCACAGCTTCTCAAGCTAGGTCAGAACTACAGAAAAAACGCAATATCACTGACCACTTCGCTAGTGACTCTGTGCCCGTGATTTAACTCCTCAAAGCGGCGCCAAGAGTGTGGCCGCAGGATCGAGCTGTGCCGCACTATCTATCAAGACTTCTTGCGCATGGTGGATGCCTGGGCTCGATGTATTTCTATTCTGTTGCCTGAGATAAACTACCCGACTCGGCATGTCGACTGTACTCTCAAAGTTCCCGCCTGACGCCTACTATGCTTCCATTCGAAACCTCAACCTTCCTTACCCGAGTTGTATGGGACCAAAGTACATACCAATTCAAGATCCTCGCAAACGCCCGACGCAACAATGAACCTCGCTCGAGATCCGAGCTCGTGTTCCTTGAGACTCACTGCCTGGCCATCGTCGAATACTGCTTTCCAGGTTGGCAAGTTCTCATGCCTGAAGGAAATAGACTTCATGTCCCGAGCGACCAGTATGAGAAGATACAAGATATTTGCCTAAAGACACTCCGCTGTGGCGGCGTGTTTGTGGATAACACGGAGGACGATTGGACATCCGTCGAAGATCACTATGTAGAAGTGCTGCATGAGCAAGTACCCAAGTACTATTTCGGATGGCCCAATGACGGAGATGGAGTCGAAGGAGAGCGATCGAAAGATGCGGTATGGGTGCTCACATGCCATCCTAGACCAGCGGACATGGACCATGTGCGAGACTGGTGGCAGGCTATGGACGATTTGAGCGCGGTGCTAGAGCGATGCAATACCATGCAGGAGTACTGTAAAGTCCTTGAAGAACGTGGAGCAAAGTATTACAGCCATGTCGAAGATTCACCCGAAGCGCGGCAACACGATGTGCCGATTGTTGCGTGGCCTACATCGGATACGTGGAGGACAAAAGATGCGATGAAGTCGGAACAAAACCTCAAGCCTGACATTGTTGAAACTGGTAGGCGAACATCGGACTTCCAAGATGATAGAAATACACCCAAGCGTATTTCCGGCATTTTCGGAAAGCTTTTCAACAAGTGAAAGTTGGTATTTCAACTCCGAAGCCCCAACGGCTGAACAATACGAAGTCTGCCGCCCCCTAAGCAATCTAAGAGAATGACCAGCAAACAATCTTCTGGCGAAAGAGTGGCTCTCACTCATTCTTTGGATTATGCTTCATCTTCATCAGTTCGTAAAGGTCTTTCCGGGAAATCAGCTTCGACAGCAGCATAGCAGTCAAATTCGGCATATCCTGACAAGCTTTCACGAAACCCGCCTCCTCGTCCGCGAGCAACATTCCAACATTGTCTTGAATGATGTGACCAGCAAACTTCCACAATTGGTCATCACTCGGTGCACCGCTTTCATGGATCGAATAGAGCGCGTCAACTAACTTCTTTGGTGAGATCCTCAAGTCGCCGTTGTCGTCGCTGCAAGCTTCCTTGAAAAGGATGGCTGCTCTGCTGGGCAGGTCTGGCATCTCGTACTTTTCCGCCAGCATGGAGACTGCGATGCAATATTGCGCCATAAACATATCTTGAGGCGGATGGCCGTCGAAGTCATACCCGTAAATGTATCGCAGGATGGCGGTGAATATTCGTGGGTCCTCGCTGACTTCGACTTCAGTGATGTTTCCCTGTATTGCTTCTATTAGTCCGAGCATTCGAAAGCTTTCGCCATTGACGACGACATACGTTGGCATTGTTCAAAATTCCTTTGAAGTACGCGCTTCGCGAGTGCAGAACCAATTTGTGGACCTTGAAGGTAGCTGTATCGCCGCATTTGATCGTGAAGTCAGAGTAGTATTCGCTGTGATATAGCCTACGATCATCAGTGTTGGACTTTCATCTGCAAATCTGCAAAGTGGAGGGTGTACGTACCATTTGACGGTTTCTGGCAGTCCCACGGCATACTCGACTGGTGTTGGTCGATCACCCATTATGGGAATATACGTGTAAAATGTTCCTGTGGTTGGACTCGTGGGTGTCCGCATAGCAAGGTCACAGAATCGGATGCAATACCTTGCTGTGATGTGAAAACAATGCCGTCGTGGTAATTATGCTGGAAACGAAGAAGCCGTAGCAGCAGCAGCAGCAGTAGCCGCGGCCACACAACATGGTAACAAAGCTCTTGCTTGTGCAACTGCGAACCTACTGGTGTGCACTTTCTCCAGTGCCTGAATTGTTTGAAGCGGAAGCGACGATAGAGCAAGAACTCGCAGGAAATGCTCACACTCACTTCCAACCTACAACCTCGCCTTCCCACTCCCCCTCTCCCAAACCTCCACCCTCCTCCTCCCCTCCTCCTTCTCCCTCTCAATCTCCCTCCCCATAGCCCCACTCCCCACCCCATCCCTCCTCCAATCCCCCAAATCCTCCACCACATCCCTCCACAACTCCCTCTTCAACTCCGCATAAACACTCAACCCCGTCGCCCCCTTCTGCGCATTCTTCACAAGTCCCACCTCCCCCACCAACCCCATCGCCTCCTCAAACCCACCCAACCGATCCACCAACCTCTCCTGCAACGCCTCTTGCGCCGTAAACCGATGCGCCTCCAAAATAATCTTCCTCTGCACAACAGCATCGAGAACTTTCGTTCGGAAAACACTCATCATTTGTCCTCTCAACGCACCACCTAATTGAATTTCATTCATGCAGAGCCAGCCTTTCGCGGGATTCATAATTCGATAATCGTGCATTAACGCGAGGATGAAACCTCCTGCGAAAGCGTGCCCGGGGATGAGAGCTACAGTAGGCATAGGAAATGTCAAAACGCGACGCCACATGGGGTAGAGCGTGGTTTCGAAGTATCCCGGTGTGGTGGCGGCGTGTTCAATGTCCATGCCATTGGAGTAGAATTTGGGGCTTGCGGAGGTTGTGATGACTACGCCGGGGGGATGGCGGTGTTCGATTATGTCGAGGGCGAGGACGAGGGAGTTGCAGAAGGCCTATTTGGCTCGATTAGGATGTTGTGAGGGGAGTGAGAGGTGATGGATGTGTATGACTTACACTTCTGAGACGATTATCTTGGCCACTTGAAAATGTCAAGAGGTAGACTTTGGAAGCAGGTTGTGTGCAGACTATCTTTCCACTTGTTTCTTTGTCGCCTGTGTCGATTGGTACTTCGAAGAGTACTGGGCCAGTCTTGGATGTTGCCATTTCTTCTGAACCACGGCTCGTCGCTTAAGACGAATGAAGGGAAATTGCGTTGATGAAGTAGGTCGTACCCAGAAGAGATACCAATTTCTGCACTCGTGCGTCCAAGACGTTTGTACTATGCCTGAATGATGATGAGTGATCGCAGCTTCACATTGGAACAGCCGATTGCATTTCATTGACAGCACGACGTGAGGTCAAAACTGACCTCGGCTGTCACACGCCGAAGGCTGCCGCCCGCGAACGGTGATCACAGAACATGACCGTGACCTTCGCACCCATGTGACACGTTCCCGGCTACATCTATGCGACGAGGAACAAGCGGTCATCGAGCCATTGATGTTGATGAGAACGATTGAGGTGCAGGAGTGTCTACCGGGCCAAGTGTCAGAAGGTCTTGGCATTGAGTCGAAAGTCGGCGAGGGCATTGAAATGGAACAAGTTCACGCCTTCTCGAACGATCTCACCCACAGTCTGCCAATCGACACGTGCACGCACGCGGCCACTTTACTTTCAACTTCAGACAAGACAAAAGTTTGATCATGAGTTCTTTTTCCTCATATGCTACGTAAGATTCATTTAGATGCCGGATCGTCTCTAGAAGATATAACCAATCGAATGGTTATACAACCAGTTGCCATTCTTTCCATTGGCACGATCAGCAGCCTCCTTCGCGAGCCATTCTTGCTCATCAGCATCAATGACATCCTTGCCAGTCCAAATATCTGCCTCTTCAGGCTTGGCCTGTTTCGTGCCTTTGATGTATTTCCAGCCGATGATCATGATGAGGTAGAGTGGAATACCAAGGTAGCCGGTCTGATGAACAAGTTAGCAACGATTTCGTTCTCAAGTTTTAGAATCTGAGTCAGACTTACGATGAAGTTCTTGTAGTCAAAGCTGCCGTAAGTTTCTGGGCTCGGAACGAAGACAGTGAAGTTCTTGGTCAGGGCAATCAAGCAGCAGAAAGCCAGAGCGAAGTAGCTGCCCCACAGGCCGAATGGAGATCGGTATAGCAGCAGAGCGCTGTCGTCAGGGACGCCCTGTGCTCTTCTCGCCTTGACGAAGTAGATGTGCGATACGAGGATAGAGATCCAGGTCAGCAGACCGAAGATGGAGACCAAGTTGACGAAGTAGCCGAAAACGGTCGTCGACGCTGTTGACACGTTCATGTAGGCAATGCAGCAAATGAGCGATGACAGTCCCAGAGCGTAGTATGGAACACCACGTCTGTTGGTGCGTGCGAAAAGCTCAGGTGCGTGCTTCTTGATAGCCAGACCGTGCAGCGTTCTCGAGGCAATGTAGAGATCCGAGTTCGCAGCGCTGAAGACGAAGATGAGGATACAGGCGTTGAGGATACCTGGAAGTGATGGAATGCTTGCGGATCTGATGGCGGCAACGAAAGGCGAGGCGGCGGCGGATGTCTTGCTGCCCTTGGCCTGCAGGAGGAACTCGCTGTTGTATGGAATAATCATGCCGAGGAACAGGACCGAAAGGATGTAGAACACACAGATACGCCAGAAGGTGAGCTTGATGGCGCGTGGGATGTTCTTGCGTGGGTTTTGCGCCTCACCGACTGTCACACCGACCAACTCAGTTCCGAGGTATGCGAAGACGGCAGTAACCATACTCTGCCAGACGGCAGTGAAGCGGCCAGTGGCTCCGGTGCCCACGTACTCCTTGAAGGCACCAGGGTTGTCCCAGTATCGGAAGCCCCTCACATCGCCATCGGCGCCTCCGCAAGCCATGATCAAACTGAACAGAATCAATCCGAGAATGACGACCACTTTGATGGAGGACAGCCAGAATTCGAGTTCTCCAAAGTACTTGATGCCGAGAAAGTTGATGGTAATAATGATGACCAAGAAGACGGTAATCCATACACCCGGATTCACCCTGTCTGCTGATACCCAGTATTGAATCACCAACGCTGCGGCTGTGAGCTGATTTGGTGTCGTGATGATGTATTTGAACCAGTACGTGTAACCAAGGGAGAAACCGAGAGCAGGGTCAACGAATCGATCAGCGTAGACAGCGAAACCACCAGCAGCCGGGAGCCAAGTAGCCATTTCACCCAGAGCGGCCATGACGACGTAGACGAGGAGACCAATAATCGAGTAAGAGATCAGGATGGATGCCGGGCCGGTGTTTGCGAGAGCAGTTCCCGTTCCGATAATGAGACCAGTACCGCTGCGAGACGTCAGCTATGGCGTCTGCGAGTGAATTGGCACTCGATTCGCAACTTACATGGCACCACCAATGGCAATCATGGTGACCTGACGGGCCTGGAGGCCACGGTGCAAGCTGTGGCCCGCATCTCGAGGGTCGCTGAGAGTGCCAGCCTCAGGAATGGGCTCCGAGGTGTTGTAGTCGTAGGCGCCCTTCTCATCGACGCGATCGGGAGAGTGCTCGTTGGAGAGCGACGAGCTCCGCTTGCCGGCGCCGAAGATGGCCATCTTGGATCAAGGATCAGGCGAGGATGGTCGAGGATGGCGGAGGGAGGGGACGGATGTCACACGACGAGGGGCCCTTCGCAGCTCTTGTACGCTCTGTCTCTGCGGCGCAGATCTCTCGCGTGGCTACTGGCGATGCCTTCGTTTACCCACCAACTGCCAAGCGATCGGCGAGCCATGCTGAGCGTACGGGTGGCAGAGCCAAGGCCGACGCCCCAAGCTCGTTATCTACGCAGGTGGTTGCTTGCAGCCGAATGCTACCCTGCGCGCCCAGCAGCACGGTCTTTGTCCCAGGAACAGTCTAACTCGTCGTGGGCTGGCTTGGCCTTACGTTGCGGAATAGCCTCATTAGCGTAGGGATGCGAAGCCGTCTGGAGTGGTCGTTGGCTCGCTGGACTGATAAGGAAGGTGCGTTGGGTGCAAGGATGGAATCACGCAAGTCGCAACCACTCTCGTCAGCGCATCAAGTAAGTGCGTCTTGGCACAAACCTACACGCTTCGGCTGAGCTTCTTGCGGCCTCTTGTGCCGCCCGGAGCTGCCCGCAGAGTATATAATACCGCGCCCTCAGTCGCTCGCTTCACGCCTCTTATGCTTGTCGCGCAGGCTTGGAACACTTGAGCCACCACCTCAAGCCCCCTCAAGCTGCGCAGCAATCCTTCTCTGTCCAGCTTATCGCCCCAAGCTTCTTCCTCACCACCACACCTGTGCCTGGCTGCACAGCGTATCGCATGCACCGCCCGGCCTAGACACTGTGCCCTGTGTAACGTCAAAAACAAACCCGACCAGGCGGCCTCTGGCCATCTGCACGCCTGACCACAAATCCCTACTCCCATGCGACACCATGCACCGAACCACCCGCCAAGCCTTCTCGAATGCCCTCCAAACGCTTGTCCAATGGTTCAGCCGCCGTGCCATGGGGTATCTCCGACACGAGGTACTCCACCGCAGTTCTGCCATGACCACATCCACCCCTGAAATTGCTCGATCTGACAGTCATGACCCGATGAAACTTGACGCTCAAAAACATCACCAGTGGCAACGCTTGCTTGCTGTGAATTTCTCTTATCCAATGCCCAGACCTGTCCCCAGTCAAAACGACCTCGCGTGCTCCGTTGCCAATGCTGAGCACTGCGTTATCAAGATGATGTTCTTTTGTGTACGAAAAGAGAGCGCTACTATTCATTCCGTAGAAGCGAAGACCGCTTGTGCATATGCATAAACGCCACTTTCCTTAGCACTCGGGATGCACGATACAGTAGGCCCCAGGTAAGCGGCTGAGCACGAGCACTCGCATGTGAAACTCGCAACAAACTCTCGTCCAAGATAGCCAGACACATTTCAGCATCAAAGGAAAGATGCACTACAGCTTTCCACGATGACAAAGCAAAAGGGAATACATGTTTCGTATCATAGCAATAACACAGCAACCACTGGCAGTCGCACATCCTCTCGCAAATATGCGCCAAAAGAACCCCATCATACGGCAACGACTAGCAATGGCACTGGCAGCCGCACTACCTCTCGCAATCGAGCAGAACAAAGACGGCATCGGAAATTTACCACTGAGAGGTATACATACGTCCACAGACTACATAGCTAGCTACAACAACGTCTGTCGATTCGTCGCTCTTGCTATAGATCTGCCTATGCTTTCACCTTTGCGCCGTACAGGAAAAGACTCTGCACCACAACCACAGCAACAACAACAAAGCCAAAAGTTTTTCCCAACGCAATGGTATCTCGCAAACAAAAGATTTATACACATTCCAACGAGAGGAGACCCAGGGAGTCGGTACCAATGTCCCGTATCCAGGTGTCTTTTCCTCTCTCAGATCATCATCAGCATCATCCTCCAACCTTCAACCCCCTGCTTGACAGCATTTCCCTCTTCCACCTCCTTACTCCTTCAAATTATCATTCAACAATAACTCCACCACAATCTGCGTCTTCTCCATCTCCGGATGCTGCATAACCAACTTCAACGTCCGATTGCCCCCAACAGCAGCAGCCGCAGCACCTATTGCAGCAGCATTCCCATTAGCCCCCTGCGGCAAATGAGGCAAATTCGCCGACCAATTCGTCCCATCATCCAAACACTTGACTTCCCTCCCCGCAATAATTTGCTTTAACCTCCCATTCTGCGCATTCCGAATCTCCACAAAATCATTATCGAACAGCACTAAGTAAGGTCCATACAATGCTGCGTGGTTCGCACTTCCCACGAAGCGCATGATAACTGACCGTGAAACGTCGCCGTGTTTGTTAATGTATACTGCACAGTTCGTGTAGCAGAGTAAGAACTCCTGTTCACTGAGTCGTAGCATTCTTAGTGCTCGTTGATCCTTAACATGCTGTGCGATGTTCTGTACGTGTTCTGCGTTCAGATCCGGCACGCTCCACGGTTGTTTCTTGTCGAGTGTTAAGACTTCAAAACCACGAGCTGTGCTGACTGCGAGGCTGGAATGGAAGAGGTTCATGCCGGTGCATTCGGTCGGGATGTAGAATTCGTCATACTCTCGGAAGAACTCGGTTGTGCCGCGCTTGAAGATACCTGCTGTCCCTCGTCCTTTCTTCTCGCTCGACTTTTGGTAGACGGGCTCGAGGACCTTGAAGACGGCGTTGAGGTTTTCTCGTTTCTTGTAGAAGACAAGCACACGATCCTTCATTCGTCCAGTAGCGAAGAAACCGACATCTTTTGATCCGGAAAGCTTTTGAGGTGCTTTTCGTGCCGAGTCGTTGGCAGGTGTTGGACCGTTGAGCGACGTGGGACAAATGACATCGAGATGGCATGCTATCAGCGATTTGTCAGAGATCAGCAGGAAGAGATTGAACTCTTCAAGCACCGCAACCTGTGTTACACGCTGCATGTTTATGGCCTGAAGTTTGATATCAGCTATTGCTCAAACGTCCTATACTTTTCAACAACTCACCTTCGTCCAACCACGAGGGTTGTCGACCTCGCTGACGAAAACGCCATAGTCTGTGCCGACAGCAATCATCTGCTTGCCAGGGTAGGGGGTGGAGAAGCTAGTAGCACAATTGACTCGTGCTCTGCATATTGGTCCGGGTCTGCCTGTGTCCTTGAATCGAGTATCGACCTCTTTGATGGCACGATCAAGAGGTGTTCCTTGTATCGTGACACCTCTGCCACTGCCTCCGAACGGATCGTAAACGAAAGCAGAGTCAGCCATGACCCGCAGTCGGAAGGGCTCAGCATTCTGTGCGTGCAATGCTGCTGCATGCTTCCTCTTTGCTTCGATGATTTTGTGACACCAGTCGCTTCTTGCTTGCTCCGTTGACGCAAAAAGTGTGTAGACGTCTCTGCCCAAGTGCTTGATGCGGAACGGGTACAGAATTTTGTCGTCTCTGCCTTCGCCCATTGAGGACACGGTGTGGAGCGTGTTCGCAGATGCTCCTGTATTCACATGCTGCAACGCACCAGGGCCGACCGGGTTATTAGTAGGTGCTCTAGCAAGCCCATTAGGATCGCCTGGAGTACCTCTACCGGCTGCTTCTCTAACAGAAGTGAGGCCTTTCACATAGCTTGACTTCTGCACGGCAGGTTCGTCGCGGCTATCAAGCACGAGAAGATCCATCGGAATGGGCAGCCTCGACACATCGTACTTCTCAATCCTGCCAGTCTCGCCGATTCGTTGCACAATAGTCTTCGTGAGGATCAAGTAGTGGTCGAACAGTAATACGTGGCAGTCTAGCCAGTTGAATCTGCTGCTTCCCATCCTTTGTAGATCACCGCGATGTATGAGAGAACGTCCAAAGTGGTCAAGGTTGAGCTCAACCTCCTTTTTCATACCTGGTCGCAGGACAAGCTTCTTTTCGAGATCCGCAAGATCAATCTTCCTTTGCTGCTCTGCGACGCGACTGTCACACTCGGACGCCACAGCTTTGATCTCGTCCAGTGCAAGCTGAAGATTGGTCTTCTCTGGTGTTTCTTGCAGCATCGTCTTCAGCACAGTGGACAGCAGTAAGGTGTATCTCTGAAGACGAGTGATAGGCGACTTCAGGAAGCTGTCGAGCGGCAATCTGTTAGATCTCCTGTCGCCTCTACATCGATCAACAAAATTTCTGAACTCGATATTCCGTTCCATTTCAGTACGAACGAGGTGATCTGCGCGTGAGAAGTCTGTCGCGTAATCAACGTAAGCGGCTCTTGCCTTTCGGATCCATTGTCGGAAGATGTCGCTATAGCCTTGGATCCAGGGCCCTTGTTCTTGTTGCCGATATCTCAGTTGAGGTAGCAGGTGCTCTTCATTAGCCTGTCGAACGGTATCGACGCGGCCAAAGACTGCGCGAATGAAGCCATCCTTACGCTGCGGCGTAATGACCGAGGGTTCCACGCGAGCAAGCTGATCTCGATACAGCACACGCAGGACATCAAGATTTGCCATGAAGACTTCCTCAGTGTACACGATTTCATGGAGGATGTTCTGCCTTTCGACTTCTTTTTTGTCTCGTGCTTCCATTTCTTCCTTGCTGAGTTTGTAATATTCTTGCCAGCTTGACGAGGTTGTTGAAGGTGCAGCTTGCAAGTTGATCTTCTTCAAGGTCCGTTGACAATGGTGGGAGTAACACCTCATGTTTGGAATGACATGGTTGTGTACCGTGGGCGAGTAGCAGCCGAGTTTTGTAAGCTGGAAAATTACGCCGGAAAATGGTCCTGGGAGAAGTTTGACCCATTCTTCTGTAGCCACAAGCACGCTTGCCTTGTACATGTTGTCGACTACATTTCCGCTCAGTGTCTCTGCATCAGCGATATTCATAGTGGGCACTTTGTTCGTGAAAAGCGCGACGAGGGCCTCTCTGATATCTGCTTCTTTGAGCTCCGTGTTCTGTTCCGGGTTCGTTACTTGCAGCAGCCACTTCAGCAACTGAGTCAAGGCCCATGGTTCCTCACATTTCTTGAAGTCGGCAGCACCTAGCTTCACAGCCGAAAATCGTTTCCCAATTGCCGGCAGATCGACAAGCATGCTGGCAGCTGCAGGCGTTGTCTGTTCTGTGGAATATCCAGAGTTTCGCTGCTGCTGTTGGCGGATCCGCCGCTCTTCGGCATCAGTCTTGGATCGCAGAGGCTGCATCACTTGCGGCGTACTGCTGTGATTCACGAGTGATGTTGATCTTGGCACGAGTTGTGCCTGAGAGGCACCAGGATAAGCATCGGGTGCATACGGTGGCTGACCCGGCAGCGGTGGAAGCGCTTTGTGATCAGCACCTGGTTGAGGGAGCTCGTCCTCGGGATAGGGGACTGCCGGCAGAGGTCGAGACGGATATGCCACGCTGGCGGCTTGAAATCCGATGTCCGGAGGCTCATCTGGGAACCTCTCAGGTAATCCTTCCATGAAGGAATATTCATCACCCTCATCGTAACTGTGTCGCCTGCCGTCGGCGGTTGGCTCGGACAGTCCGCCAGTGCCGCCCACCTCGACACGAGCTTGAGGATTGAAGTACCGTAGTGAGTCTGTTCGGTGTCCATAGTCGCCGCGGTTCGAGGACTGCGAGGCATGGGATCTGCGCATCGAGCTCTGTTGGCTTGAAATGCCAGTGTTGTGGTTGTATCCATCGATCGGGTCTCTGCCAGGCGGAAGGTTGCTCAGAGGATCGCCATACGGCAGATGCACATCATAGCCGCCACTGATGCTGGTCATGTCGACTCCAGGGATTCCATCACTGTCATGGGCATCTCCTTGCTGGAAGCGTGATGGCTGCTGAGAACCGAAACTACTGAATCCGACCTGCGTTCCGCCACTTTGTCGGCGTGTCTCATCTTCTTCTGCCTGGCGCATCATTGCAAGACCTTGCGCCGCTTCAGCGTCGCTGTCGTCGCTGTACTGAGCATTAGTCCTGTGCTGAGCTGATACAGGGGACAAATGGCCATTCAGTGCGCCATTACGGCCTGCTCGGCTGTCTTGTCGAGTAGCCACGGGCGAGTATTGTGCTGGGGCTTGACTCAGTGATATTGATGGGCTTCGTCCGCTGAGAGAACCACGTCCGGAGGTGATCTCCATCAATTCGTCAAAGAGCTCATCCTGAGTCTGATTCAAATCTCCGCCGTTGCTACTGAAACCAGTGTGTGTTCTGGAAACACCACCATTATCAAAATAATCTGGAGAAGTGCTAGCTGCAGGTCGCGATGGCAAGGGGCGCTCTTGTGGATGTCTGTTCAACGTGCCAGTCCTTGAAGGTGCATGCGCAGGTGGAGGGGGCGCGGCCTCTCCTGTTATTGGCGAAGGTCTTCCGCCGGAGCTATGAGACACAGACGGGCGGTGTTCTAAGCTCCCGTGTATTGGTGGCGATGGTAGCCACGTCTCGTCAGGCCTCGAGCTGGGTATTGCTGTCGGCATATTCACCGCAGTCTGGGTATACGCAGGGCTGGGTTGAGCCGGATAATCACCAATCGGATAGGGTGCACTCGTGGACGCGCCAGGCGAAGCTTGAGAATAGCCATAACTGGGATACGGAGCAGTGTGCGATGGAGGCGGTGGCGGAGGAGGACTTTGTGGGTAGGTATACTGGTGTGACTGAGGCTGCGGACTGTACTGCTGCTGTGCTTGGGGGCTATAAGGCAGCTGCGGAGATTGCCCGTAGTTGCTGGGAGGTGGTTGTGAGGAAAAGCTGGCCGTCGAATGGGTACCAGGTGAGTAGGCATATGGATCCACGGGTCCACTGGTGCTACTCAAACCAGTCTGCGCGTATGCGGCAGAATTGTATTGATTGCCATATGAAGATTGTTGTCCTACGCTAGCATAGGCGGCCGGGTTGTAGGTCGGTTGCTGGTATGCCGATTGCGTGTGCGTTGGTTGTGGAGCATAATCCTGTGGATTGTACTGCTGACTATAGGCCGGTTGCTGGGCATAGCTGAACGACGTAGCCCTCGGCGACTGATATGGCTCCTGCTGGTAGGCATATCCACTCGCCGGCTGTTGCACCGGACCACCTCCACTTGGGTATTGGCTGTACCCGGACTGGCTCTGATACTGATATGGCTCCTGGGCCTGCCCGTACTGTCCTCCATTGTGCGCCGGCTGCTGATAATCATCGTAGGCGTATTGGTACGTTTGCTGCGGCTGCTGCGACGATGGTGGCTGTTGAGGTGGCTGCTGCTGATAGTGCCCTCCTTGATAGTACGACATGGTGTTCGTATTCCCCTACAGTCGACGCGACTGCAATGGCGTGGTGCAGTGGCAGGTGTAATTACGTGGGATCGTCAATCGAAGCAGACCTGCCAGCAGGCTGTAGCTGCATGTGCTGCGCGCTCCGCATGGGTTTCCTCAGGCGCGGCGATAACAGGCTGTTCAGCTTCTTCCAACTGCTCAGCGGACACACCGCGGATCTATGCGCTCGCAGGAGGGTGGTTCGTTGCGCAGGTCGAGGGCATCGTTCGGATCGGGTAGACAGCCTTATGGTTCGTGGAGCTCGCTCGCCCGCTTCAGTGCCCAGATGCCCGCACGTGCCTCGCGCTGGTTGTTTGTGTTCCCGCGTCTCCGGCAGCGGTCGTCGGCGGTGGGCGGCGCGGTGGTCGAGCAGAGGCAATGTCAATGGTGGGGATGCGGCGCAAACACCACAGTCCAGCGGGAGCGATTATTATGGCAGGCGACGGCGAAGGATGCCCAGCGAATGGAGCTGACTTCGGACGAATGATGATGCATGCAGCAGACGCGGCTGACTTGACGCCGCGGACGCCATCAAGCGAGCAGATCACAGATGATGGACCACTACTGCACACAACCACGCGCATTCCTACTACAGTCCGCTGCCCTCGTCTCGACCGCTGCTGCTGTTGCACTTCTCATCCCGCGACGCCAACTGTCGATCTCGCAACGTTGTGTCATGACGTCCATGGCCGTTGAGGCTCGCGTCTTCACATGCCCACCTGCCAAGTTCTCTAGCCCTCACCTGCTGCTTGATCCATGCCACGACTCAAACCTCACCGCGTTTCCCCTTTTCGCTCCTGCTCCAACCTCGCCCTCGCCCTCGCACTTTGATCGCGCGACCACCAACTAGCCTTCCACAAACCCTCAGGGGAATAGGAAGGCTGCGTTCCGATCAAAGCAACAGCTACCACAGCCACGGGAAACATCCTGCAGGCACTTGATCCTAGCCTCCCGAATTCTCGAAATTCAGTCAGCTTCGCACCACATCCAGCCTGGTGGTCTTCTCGGCCAGTCCGAGATGACGAGGAGAAGCGTATACCCGCGCTGATGGCCGCCTTGCTCATGATTTCTGTAGCTGAGTTCTCAGAGAAGAAATCGCCAGAGGTGACTAGAATGTCGTCCATGGCGCCCTAAATGCCAGGCTCGGGCAGGAAAGAGGACCGCAACTGACCCCGGTCGACCAACGCGATATCCGGATAGCGCACGCGCATACTGTGCTACTCCACACAAAGAGGCTTACTGAGAGACACATACTCGCTATCTGTTCACAAAACATTGACGCGCGTATAGACAGTGCTCCCAGACTTGCCAGCCAGGGTATAGGCCGCGTCCTACGGCACATAGACTGTATGCGCTGATTTTGAGCTTGACGGGCCCGAGTTTGCAACAACATGCCACAGATTGCAGGTCTTCCCGGCTTCGAATCGATGGAAAGAGAAAAAGCCATATTTGCGCTCGACGGTATTCAAGCGGATACATCTCAGAATAACTCCGTCGGTGAAGGTCATTGCGACGTCGATTTGCTGCTCTTGCTACAGTGTCTCGTCCAGAACACACCCTACCCCCTGCCAGGTCAAACACCAGAACCTTTATGCTTTTCGGATAACCTTCCCTGGGATCCCCACTTTCGGCTTTAGTGTCGTCAGTCCCTCGTGGAGTCGTAGGAGGGGTTCTCAAGTTGCCCGAGGATCACGTCGTTGCACATTTGCCTCCCAACACAACGACCGAGTCAGACTCGGTGTTCAGTAAACTATTATCTCAGCAGAAGAATCATTACTGTAGGTCCATCTCACCGTGACTTCCGAACCACCACTGTGTTTACGGTGCACGAAGCGTGCTCATTTTCGTTGCTGCTGCATTTCCATACACTTTTGAAGACACATCACAAAGACAAATCGCCATCATGGGCCACGTTGGAGATCCTAGCGAGTTACCCAAAAACATGGGCAAGACTCCGACCAGCATTTACGCTGATCCGAATGTGGACGACATCGCACGAAATAATCCAACTGCTGAGCGAGATGGATATCTTATTCCTGAGACCGATGAAACTGGATATCGGATAAGAGAGCAGCCATATGGCACCAAGCGTGAAGTGAAGGTCGTCATCATGGGTGCTGGTGCATCCACTCTGAACTTTTTGAAGAAGGCTGAAGAACAGATGGAAAACTTGAAAATCACCGTATACGAGAAGAATCACGACGTCGGAGGGACTTGGCTGGAGAATCGGTATCCCGGCTGTGCTTGCGATATTCCAAGCGTATGCTATCAGTTCCCCTGGGCGATCAAGCTATGGTCTCATTTCTACTCTTACAGTCCAGAGATATGGGAATACATGAAGGATCTGTACGACAAAGGCGATTTCATCAACAAGTATGTCAAGCTCAAACACCAAATCAACCACGCCGAGTGGAACGATAAGAAGGGGAAATGGATTCTAAAGGTCCAAAATCTGATCACTGGAGACGATTTCGAGGATGAAGCCGAGTTTTTCATCAATGCTGGTGGCGTGCTCAACAATTTCAAGTGGCCAGATATCCCAGGTCTTAAGGACTTCAAGGGCAAATTGATGCATTCAGCCGCATATGAAGAAGGCTACGACTTGAGAGACAAGAAGGTCGCTGTCGTCGGTGCGGGAAGTTCTGGCGTGCAGATTGTGGCAAAATTGCAACCTCATGTCAAACAGCTATACCATTGGATCCGTTCACCGATCTGGATTACGGCTGGATTTGCGCAGACGTGGGCGGGCACAGATGGAGCCAACTTCGAATATACTAAGGAGCAGCTTAAATATCTCGAAGAGAATCCTCAAAAGTACCTCGAATACCGCAAGCAGATCGAGAACGAGTTGAATCAGCGCTTCAAATTCATCATCAAAGGCTCCAAAGAAGCCGCCGATGCTCGAGACTTCAGCTACGAACAAATGGCTCGCAAACTCAATCACGACGCCCGCCTCTGCGACAATATCATCCCCAAGAACTTCAACCCAGGCTGCAGACGTCCCACGCCTGCTCCAGGCTACCTCGAAGCCCTCGTAGCCCCTAACTCCACAATCTTCACCGACGCCATCAACACCTTCAACGAAACCGGTTTCATCGACCAAGAAGGCAACCACCACTCCTGCGATGTCGTGATCTGCGCCACAGGCTTCGACACCAGCTGGCTCCCCCGCTTCCCCTTCATCGCCCACGGCAAAGACCTCCGTGAAATCTGGACGCCGGAAGCAGGCGTAACATCCTACCTCTCCATCGGAATCCCCTGTTTCCCCAACCACTTCTCCTTCTGCGGCCCCTACGGCCCTCTCGGACACGGAAGTTTTCTCCCCCTCATCGAGCGCTGGACAGAATACATGTTCTCCGTCATCACCAAAGCCCAAGTCGAAAATATCAAATCTTTCACTCCGAAATGGAAACCTTCAAAACAGTTCCGCCAACACGCGGATTTGTTTTTACAGCGTACGGCATGGACGAGCCCTTGTAGGAGTTGGTTCAAGCAGGGGAAAGCGGATGGGCAGGCGGCGATTTACCCAGGGAGTAGGTTGAGTTTTTTGCATTTGTTGGAGAGGCCGAGGTATGAGGATTTTGAGATTGAGAGTTGGGATGAGAATGTTTTTGCGTTTTTGGGGAATGGTGAGTTTGGCTTTTCTATCTTTTGCTGCTACTTCCTTCTGTCATAGCTGTTGCTAATGTGATGATCACTAGGCTTCGATACCCGCGAGTTCGATGGGAGAGATATTACGCATTATTTGGGATTGTTGGAAGAAGGGAAAGATGTACAGCCTCAGTATGGGGACGAGTTGTTGAATAAACTCGCGGGTTGGGCTGTAGGGATGTGATCTCGCAAACCGTGAAGACAGAGTCGATACTCCAACCCCCTTTGTCTCTTCAGTGTCAAGATACAAATGTTTCGTCCTAGACAGATTCCCCATGCTGGCTTCAGCACGACGAGATTCCATTGCTCCGAGAGCTCATCAAATCCACATTTTCCCCTCGATTTCTCTCTCTGCTGGGAATCCTATCGTACTTTAGGATGTCTCAGAGCTTCCACGCATCCACTGCAGACCAGCACCAATCATGAGGTCATGCGAAATAGCAATGTCAATGTTAGCTTGCTTATCACATGCTCATCAACAATAAGGTGCCAGAGCTACCTTCACCCCGCCGCCGCGTCCACAAACCTTGCTTCAAGACAAGGTCAACCGCGGTGAGCAAGCTATGATGATGAGCGTTCGCATATGCGCGGTGATCCGGAGAGCTGCAGCATTGCGCAACCGAGGTGCTGGGATTGTTTTTTGGGTGCTCCTTGCTTCTATACCAATAAGAATGGACTCGCGTGCTCCGCACTCAGCTAGCTTCGATGATTCTTGCTGCTACATACTAGGTTTTGTCTCGTCTTCAGCTACTAGCCAGAGCTCGCAGCGCGACTGCCGGCCACCATTGTGAGCTTCGGAAGTTGCGCTTAATGGCGTAGGTTGAGCAATTGCCGGCTGCGAGCAGTGTATTGACTACGGCTTCCAAAGCACTCTCACCTCAGACGCCTTTCGAACCCGCCTCAAATCCCAAGAGCTTACCGCACGATTCAGACCTAGTGATCGCGTAATCAATAATGGCCGCTCAAAACGCAACAGAACGCGCTTTCCAGATCCCTGAACTTCTCGAACTCATCCTCGCATACCTCGCACCTCGAGACCTACTGCTATCCCAACGAACCACACGCTCATTCCGCAACACGATCCAAGGTTCCGTCATTCTTCGCCGCAAGCTTTTCCTCGAACCAGACTGGAAGCTCGAGGACAGACTGTTCAGCGCACACGCGACTTCTAAAGGAAGCGTGAGCAGGCCAGGTCGCAAACCAGAAAACAACCGATTGCTGCTGCGCGCATTTCCAGGTTGCTACCCCACAATCACACTGGTGATCATAAGCAACAGCATAAATCGGCAAGCCCGATTTGGGGTTGCAGGAAGCCATAGTCAGATTGTCAAGAGTCCGCTCTCAGAACAATGGAGCTGGGACGTCTGCATTTCGTTCCCAGCAGATGCGAGACCAGAAGTCCCAGCAGCAGTGGATCATCCAGAGGCAAGCTGGCGAAAGATGTACCTCTGTCAGCCGCCTTGCTCGGAACTGTATTTGGTGCGGCGCTGGCAGAGAGGGCTCAGGCCCGCAATCATTCGAGACGGTGGCATCAGAATGGGTGATTTCGTTGATGAGGCCACAAAACCGAAGCCAGGCCTCGAAGGGCGAGATTGGCATGTCAGCTACATCAGCTCGGATCGTGACTGGCATTTCGAGGGAAGCATCAAGTGCAGTTCGGTGGAGGTGTAGGAGCGATATCCGTGGCATTATTTCTTCCTTTGAGCTGAAACTTCTCTGTACAGGACCGAGCTTGAGTCGACCAGAAGCGAGATGATGCGGTTACTGTGTCAATACTCCTATACCCAGTTGTTGGGTAACGGGCAAATTTTGGCGTTTTCTGATGATCAGGATCCCGCACATTTGGTAAATACGGGAATCTGCGAGAGAGCCAGACGGCCACGGAGGTCTGCCAACCAAGGATGAGGGCTGATACGTGGATAGTGGCTCCTGAGAAGACGGTGCGTGGACGTCCTGCTATCCGAGATGTACAGCGAATATGGAGGGTAAATCGTCCTCCTCTAGCCTTGGAGCTGAACTTCGGGGAGATGGTGTGTCCCATATCGGTGTAAGGCACAACATCGCGATTGAATGAGGCGGCCAGGGTCCAGAAATACACACGAAGTTGAACATCTGTGATCGATATTCCTGTCGTCTTGTATTGCTCCACAGAGTGTGCCTACTTCTTCCTCAAATCTTCGGTTCCATCGTTTCTCGTGAACACCTCGTATTCGCTGCCCTCTTCGATCTTCTTCTTGGTCGCGTCGTCGTAGGTGCCTTTCCCAGCGTACAACATCGGTGCCTTTCCTTCACCCTCGAGCTCCGTGCTCGTAGAGATAGGTTTGTTTCCACGAAATCGCTTTCGCATATCGATCATGCCTCGCTTGCATTGACCATAGCCGTGCTTCAGCTGTTGACATTGTGTGGGCAGCGTATCGACAAGAGGTGGGCGAAGACAGTCGGCGGGTTTATTGCGGTGGACCATGACACAGTCGCTGTTCTGAAGACATTGCGCGAGCGCCTCTCCTGGTCATCTATCAGTATGTATAGATTGCGGAGCAGGAATGGCCTTCGACGTACGGATATCTGTACAAGATGCGGGCATGGCTGAAAGGTACTTAATTCACTGCGTTCCCGGATGGCCAGGGCTGTTGTGGTATGCTGCACTCTGGACGTGTCGGTTGTGCTTGTTCGATGATGCTCTGGATTTTTGGTTCAAGTCTGTCGGCTGCTGCGGCGTTCGGCATTCGGGTACGTCCGAACCGACCGCCGTGTCATCTCATCTTGTCCTCTTGATGAATGCAGCACACATATCCTGCAACAAGAAATCTTGAGGACTGATGAGCAGGTCTGAACGGAAGTACGACACTCTAAATAACACCAAGTACTCCTTGAGCCCGTTGGTCTCGGGAGTCACTGCTGTTTTGGTCCCCAAATAAGCTATACTCCCGTCACGTTCTTCTGTCGCGGTGATGAGCTGCGGTTGCATACTACGCATTGACGTCCATCGAAGTGGCCGGCTCATCCATGACACCCTACTCTTCTGTGAGGAAGCCGTCGTCTTCGGCTACAGATACCAAGGGAACAAGTGTGTGTGCCGTCCGAAGTGCATACCTGGAGAAGTGGAGTGCAGTGCGGCTCTGCGGTTACTCGGAAAGGAGCTCCGCTTGGCCATTGGCAGTCACATGCAATGACATAGCTTCAACCATGGATACATCTGCTACAGCAACACTGACGAACTATGCTCCCTCACCGCCGTCATCCGCCATCGAGAGCTACAGTTAACATGCAATATACAACTTAAGCATTTCTCTACAATCCAGACGCTCTCCTTGGCCGCCACCATGGCGCCTATACCATTCTTAGGACGACTTCACCTTCACGAAGCCCTCGCCTTGGCCGCCTCGTTCGCCATAGCCCTGCTCGAGCTCGTTGCAAGAACGATCACCCTATTACTTCCCACGCCCATAATCCGATGGCTGTACCGTCTCAGCCGCAACGCCTTCAATAGCCTATCTTCTCCTTATTCTCGACGCGCCAGGAACAAGAGAAAGAAAGTGTCCAGCCCGATAGCGCACGCTCATGATTTCCTCGAGCTGTGCGAACTCTATGGATACCTCGCAGAAGAGCATGTCGTCCAGACAGGCGATGGCTATCTACTGGGCATACACCGCCTCGCGCATCGCAGAGGTGAAGAGGATCAACGTGTGAATTCCGGACCAGGCAGTGTGGAAAAAAAGGTTGTGTACCTACACCACGGCCTTATGATGAACAGCGAGGTATGGGTGTGTCTTACGGAGAAGGAACGTTGTTTGCCCTTCATGCTCGTCGAGCAAGGCTATGATGTATGGCTTGGCAACAACCGAGGCAACAAATACAGCAAGAAATGCCTACACTATGGCCCCAACGACATTCGGTTCTGGAACTTCAGCATGGATCAATTCGCTTTCCACGATATCCCGGACAGTATTAACTATATCTTGGATACCACTTCCCAGCCAAGTCTGTCATATATAGGCTTCAGTCAGGGAACTGCTCAAGCTTTTGCGACATTATCCATCCATCCGACATTGAACAACAAAGTCGATGTCTTCGTAGCCCTTGCCCCAGCCATGGCGCCTCCTGGTATTGCTTCCGGGTTAGTGAGCTCGCTGGTCAAATCTAATCCAGAAGTTCTGTACTTGCTCTTTGGCAGGCGAGCCATCCTCGGCAGCACTACCATGTGGCAGGCTTTACTATATCCAGCAATTTTCTCATGGGTCATCGACAACTGTCTGCGCTTCCTGTTTGGCTGGAAAGCACTGAACATCGCGCCCCATCAAAAGCTCGCTGCTTACCCGCATCTATTCTCCTTCACAAGCACCAAGAGCGTTGTGCACTGGTTCCAGATCATTCGAAACGGCAAATTTCAGATGTTCGACGACGAAGTGACGAGTCCGACGAGCTTCAGCACAGGCAGCAAATATTACAAGGTGGCCAAATTCCCAACCAAGAATATCCGGACGCCCATCGTCTTGGTCTACGGCGGCAGTGACAGCTTAGTGGACATCAAAGTTATGCTCAAGGAGCTACCCAAGCATACTGTTGCCAAATGTGTTCCAAAGTATGAACATCTTGATCTTCTATGGGCCAACGATGTTGATAAATTGGTGTTTCCCCACGTGCTCGAGGCTCTGGAAAATTATGCACAGCAATCACAAACCAAGCAGCAGGCACTCGGCTGGCGCACGACAAGACCTAGCATTTTTGATAACTCCGCCATCGCTCTCAATGGCTCTGCACCTCCCGGTTACTCCGATGACGAGCGAAGTCGCCAACAAAGTGTTAACAGCTTCAATGCTCCTGCTTTCTCCGACGAGCGCCCGTCCACTGCTGAACCTCAGCTAGATGAAAGTGACGAAGATGAAATGTACAATGACGAGACGCCGCTGGAGTTTACTCTCTCGGCATTCGGTCACTCTTCCAGGCCACCGTTCACGGATACAGCAACTACGGGCTTAGGAACCATCTCAGAAGGAGTAAGTCAGCATTGAGATGACAACAAAGAGTCGCTAACCTCACATCAGCGTAGACTACAGAACTCAGCGATGCCAAAGACACCTTCAAGGCATGATGGGTTTGAGCATCAAGAACGGCAGCTACGACAACAACAGCAACAACATGCTCAGTCTTCCGGAAGTCCTGTTCAGCATTCACGAATACCAAGACCTACAAACACCAGCCCTAATGCAACGATGAGCACTGCTACTGACGAAACTGTAGTACCGCGGTCTCGTCCTGAGGGTTGGTGGAGCTCGACCAATACCAGCATGACTAGTTTGGTGGACGATGACGCCCAGGATAGGCCGCTGGAGATGAAGAGAGCAAGATAACGGATGTTTTTTTTCCAACTTGGAAGCGTGTATATATCCTCTGGGCCGCAAAAGCGAGGCGTTGGGTGTGAACAGTAATCAATAATAGGACAAACAATTCGAACACGGCCGTCCTCAATATCAGTATGTCACTTAGTCACTAATGCTTTACACATTTTCTGGCGAACATCGAGCAATGCCACTCCATAATGTTACGCAACGACCAGTCTCGCCGCCGCACATTCCACCGAGCGGTCGTAGAACTTCCGTGATCGACCGCTTGGCAAGAAAGCCTAATAGCTTGAAACGTTCCAAACGAGGCAATCAATTCGAGGCTAAGCACGTACCATATTCTTTATTGGTGGCTTTTTGTCTTCAACTTCTAACGATGCTGCTGGTTTCGCCCTGACGAAGTGGCCGCGTGTTCCACAACGACGACCAGAATGGTTTCTCCACCCGTCAGCCACGCTTGTTACATATAAGGCAGACATAGTCTACGGGAAATAGGTGATTGTGTTTCAGAATTTCTCGTATTGTATATGAGGGCCGGATCTCCCGTCTTACTCTCACATACTTTACTTACCTTTTCTTGCACTTTGAAGTGAAGTGAATTCCATTTCGTCTCTGAGGGATCTCGCGACAAGACAAGACAAGAAAGAGAAACAAAAAATGTTCTCAAAACCCTCCATCCTGGCTCTAGGAGCCGCTCTCTCAACAACCCTCCATCTCGCAACAGCAGCAACGACATACCCCAACCCGCGAGAATGCACAGGCGAATGCGTCAACACCCACGACCCTTCCATAATCCGACACTCCGATTCTGGCACCTACTACAAATTCTCCACAGGCGGAACAATCGCCATCCACACCTCACCTTCAATCTCCGGCCCTTGGGAATTCGCTTGTCAAATGCTATCTTCTGCTTCAAAAGTCCACGTCCCAGGAAACCCAGGTACAGACCTCTGGGCACCGGAAGTAACTCGCGTCGGAGACGAGTATTACGTTTATTATAGTGTCTCTAGCTTCGGAACACAAATCAGTACAATCGGTCTCGCAACAAGTAAAGATATGAGTTGCGGGAGTTGGACAGATTTGGGGGGTACGGGCGTAGAATCTCAGACCGGGGATGCGTATAATGCGATTGATGCGAGTTTGTTGAATGATGATGGGGTGTGGAGGATGACGTTTGGGTCGTTTTGGAGTAATATTTATCAGGTGGAGATGGAGAGTCCTCCGACTGAGAAAGTTTCTGGTTCAACGCCGAAGCAGTTGGCGTTTGAGCCTGAGGGAGAACATCCAGAGGAGGGACCGGCGTTGGTGAAGTATGGGGATTGGTATTATTTGTTCTTTTCGTGGGGGAAGTGTTGTGGGTATGATGCTGATCGGCCGGCGGCTGGGGAGGAGTATAGGATTAAGGTTTGTAGGTCGGAGAGTGCGAGTGGTGGATTTGTAAGTTTTTCAGTCACTTGGGCTACGAGTTGTATGGTTGAGCTGACTCTGTTGCGCAGGTCGATAATTCTGGCAAAGACTGTACTTCTGGCGGCGGCACAGTTGTTCTGGAATCGCACGGAAATATTTACGGTCCTGGAGGGCAGTCCGTATACAATGATTCGAAGGATGGCTGGCTTTTGGTCTACCACTATGTCGACACGACCATTGGGTTCGCTGATGGACAGAAGCAATTTGGTTGGAATAAGCTTGATTGGAGCAGTGGTTGGCCCGTCGCTTCATGATGCAGACGGTAACATGATGTGTCAGAGCTCGAAAGAAATGATCCAGAGCCATGTACTCAGATAGAACATATGAAGCGAAGCCGGCTTCTATGAGAAAGGCTCATAGCAGACCAGAAATTTGGAATTGAGATGAAGCGGATGTCGTGCTCTTACTCGTGTTGTGGGATTCTGTTCTGCAAATGAGTCCGATCTCCATCGCCCTATCCTTAGCCCTGTGTTGACGAAGTTCACGCGGACCTGACTGTCCGTTGCTTCTTGTTCGCTCCTACTTTGTTCTCATCATAGCAGATCATTGGAAGCACGTCGAGAAATGATTGACGAGAGAAAGGTATCAATCGACGACCTGAGAAGTCGGGATGTAGAAGGAATCGAATGCGTGGAGAATGGGCGCGGATCGCAAGTGGAGGGCTATCATTTCTGCTACTGCGGCGTGCTCGATCGATGGCGTTTCCCTCGTTTACCTAGTCTCTCACGGTCAGCTCGTTTAGTAAACCACGTCCAGTGGTTCGTTTTGGATCAGAGCGGAGCTGAGACTCTCGTTCAATGATCACAGCGCCGCTCGATCGTTTCTTCCTTATAAGTCAGAGGCGAACGTTCTGAAGAAGCTGGAATTCGAAGTCTTCTACGCCAGCTCGCCAGGCATTGCACCAGATTCTGCGCGCGAAAGCGGCTGAAGTGGAAGAATATTGGCGAGATCAAATTTCTTGACTTCTGCTGCACCAGCGGTGGATGACGAGACCGTAGGAAGACAATGTATCCTCGCCTTGGTTGGCATTCTCCTGTCCACTCAAGAGTTTTGCGAGAGCACGACAGTGTACGCGGCCGCGCGCTGCAGGTTGTGGCCTCCGCAGATCTCGAAATTTCGTCCGAAAATTCGCACAGCGATTTGTGATGCCTAGCATCGCTCACAAAGTATTGTGCGACATATGTCCTCCTCTTTGCGTCTTCCCCAACTGATCCGATGTGAGAACTGCCATCTTCGGACCAGCGTCGTCGTCAGCTCATTGTCGCAGTGTCGCATCCAACTCCGAACGAACACCATCCACTTTCGATAACACGTCAACAGGATCCACCTGAAACATTGCGGATCCCGTAGTCGAGCTTGCGAGCAATCAAAAATTCCAGTGGAGCACACTCCAGTTTAATCTGGGTCCGACGAGCGCGTCACAATCGTGAACGGACGTCGTTGATGATAAGATTTCCTCAATCAGTTCGGTCCACGGAAATGGTGAGGCGAGCAAGTGATGAAGTTGGAAACGATAAAAACTTGATCTGTCATTTCAGGTGGAATAGAACAGCACCGCAAATTTGTTATACATGTGAATGAGGCGACGACCTTGTCTATAAAACGACGACCATATTACCGGGTCAAGCAAAAGAGAGATGGATGGGATGGTGAAGCTCAGGTGCAGGCCTTCGCTGACTGCCGAGACACTCCAGCTTTTGCAGGTCATGGTCCATCAGCCGACCATGGGGAGCGATGTTCGTCGACAGGGTGGGTTTTCTTCACGATGGACAGGCAGATAGATGGTAGCGATGCGACTCAGACTCGTTGCGAGATGTGCTATTCGCGCGGAGACTTCTGAGCGATGGATCGCGACAGGTCAAACACTGTTGACACGGCAGATGGGATTTCCTCAGTGCGTCGTGAATGCTGAAGTCCGCTCTCCTCGAAGGAAAGGCGCGACCAGCAAGTGGAGGGGATCTCGCAGACCTGGAAACGAGCAGCGATGTGGCATGTCTGCCTGAGCAGCGCGTGCGGACCGGTTGCTACGCTAGGGGAGCTTCCAGCATGCTCAGCAGGCTCAGCCCCCATTGGTCTCCGTGCGGGACAAGGCTCTAGCACATTCGAAAGAATGAGGTCTCCCAACGCGATCCAGATGGGAAATGTCTCGTGCCGGCAGTTGTTCTCTCGTGTCTGCTCCTATCGTGATCTTCTGATGACCACAGCTGTCACGTCTCTCTCGTGATCGTGCGCGCGGTGAATGCTAAAATCCCTGCCTGTCTTCACTCAGGAGTGGATACCGGTGTCTGCCGGAAGGGCGTTGATCGTCGCAAATCACGTTATCTCAAGGCAGCAGGCTTCTCCTGAGGTCGAGAGAGCGGAGAATCCTTGCTCGAACGACTGCCGCCTGTGCAATGCCCGTTGGCGGCGAGAAAACAATGATCGATGACAGGGAGTCGTGACGTTGCGAAACCGATCTGCTCAAAAATGACAGGCCACGTTCATTGGATATTGAATGCACTGTCCAGTGTGCTCCTTGCCAACCTTGCAATGCCTCATCTTCGGAGGAAGCTGAATAGGTGTTGCTCCCTGCGCTCCGTCTCAGAATGGCTTAGAACCAACACACAATGCACCGCCCAAAGGACAGCTGTTTGCGGACGCAGCGCGCCGCGGGGTTGAGATGAAGCATCATTTCAAACGTAACACTTTGCTTGACTCTTCGGCGGCTACGAGATGTTTCGCGTCTCGGTGTTGTGGCCGGGTTCGAAGAAGTTTATTCTCGCGGTGGTTTCGTGGCTCATCGAGGCCTGCTCTCCAGTGTCGATCCGGGCGGTGGATCGGTGCGGACGAGCAAAAGCCCTGTCATGTCCTCACGCCTCGCAGCCGAAGGGTTTGCAGAGCTCGGCGTTGTCTGCGAGTGTGCAGTGTTGAGTTCAGCGGCTTGTTTCACAATGCAACTTGATGCAAAACAGCGACAGACGAGAAGTCGCGACTCGCATATACCGGATGTGCAAGACTTCATCAGCTGAATCGGAAAGTGGTGTCTAGCTAGTCGTACCGAACTTGAAGTCCGATGTCCCAAGAATTGCGTATGGTAGCGTGTTCAGATGGTGTCTCAACAAAAGAGAAGATGATCGACCACAGGACGTCCCTGGTCGCATGGTCGTCGCGCTTGTGTCACCACCTATAGCGGACAGTAGACGTCTCACAACGAAGAAGCAGTGCTCCAGCGCAGCGCAAGTAGCACCGAGCCACATGCACGTCGTCGTTCCACGGAGGATCAGGTTAGTCAGCGCGAGAGTGCCACTTTTGCGAAATTGGGCGGTGTCGCTGGGGATACCATACCTGTCACAAGCAGTTCATCACAAACGATGATCCTGGCTGCATCGAAGTGTGCGCTCATTGACAGAAGGCTTCTTCTCCCACATGAACCGAGAGTGCCTGTGCAAATCCTCCAGCGTGCTGCACCGCCGTTGAGCTAAGCACCGATCGCATCCGGAACATTCAGCGAGGCGCATGCTGCCGCGCTCGTCGTGATGAGAAAGCGGTCATCCCAATGCTGTTGCGCGCGCGATATCGATGTCTTGGATGCGCGAGCAAGGGTAATTCCCGGATATCGTGCTCGTCTCCCAAAGTGAACCCTCCACGCCTGTCACCGGCATGCTCGGAGACAGGGTGCGAATGGTGTCGATATTGCTGCTGGGAGGTGAGGCCGGACTGGGAAGGCGCGCGAATCCAGGAACGGCAGGCGCGGGCAAGGGAGCCACGTGCACGCGACTGGGGTGAGCAGCGTCAACGTCAACCGTGGCGCTGCGACCAACGTGGAGGCAACGCCGGACGCTGAGCGGCACGCCATCATGTCGATGGACGTGCAAAGTCTATAGGAGAGGCCGCACGACCGCACGCGATGCGAATCACAATATCGCAACAAGCTGCAGTTCGTAGAGGCAGCAAGTTTTCTCGACGCGCTAGCGCTGCACGCACAGGTGTCGAGCAGCATGGGATTCTCCGGAGCTTGCAAGAGCTTCTGCCGGCGCGCGCTGACTGGCCACGGCGGCAGGTCGAGTCAACGATGTCTGGAGTGTTTCACGATGTCGGCAGGAGTCCGAAGCAGGGTGGGCCGCAGCGCAGCCAATCATAGCCCGCTTTAGCACATCGCTTACGACCAGGGCATGAGCTGGGCCTCCCTGCACACAGCGCAAGCGACCAGGACTCCCTGGCCATGGGCGCACCAGCCTGTCTATCCGGCTGCATCTGACCATACGTGATCGAGGAGTCGTCCAGCGAGCTCAGCACCACGACGTGCGCGCCGATGGCCTACGGCGCGCGCGCATGACTGCGCTGCTGCGTCGATAATGCTCGCCTCACCGCTTCGGGCGCGCGAGAAGCTCGATTAATCAAAGTCGGTGGAGCAATGCGGGGACTGCGCTCCGGGCAGCAGAGGTCGTGGAACCTGACGGGCGATGCGTTGGCGCGCACGCAGCATGAGAGCTGAGATATCGCAGCAGTAACGTGCGATATCAGCGCCAAGGCATAGTTGGGCAGCTGGACGGGCGCATAACTGTCGATCTCTTAAGGTGGATGGCCGGCGGAACGATCGATGGCTTCCTTCACTTGCCGAAGGGTATGGCGAGCGCAGCACGCCCTGAAGATGAGGTTCGTTGCATGCGCGAGGTCCTAGGCGAGCGGTGTGCAGCAGGCGGTTTGTCAGCCCCGTCGGATAGGCAGCAGAGCAGGCCGCGGCAGGAAGCGTGAAGCGTTCAGCGTGGCAATGTGCACGTACAGTCCAGTACACAGCACTCTGCCCTCAGCGGTTGCTGCACAGTATGGATGGCGTGCGGTGCCCTCGCCCTCGTCGCCGGTCACAATCGCACTGCCGGCCGGAGGAGGTGTAGCAAAAGGCAGGCAATTCGCGTGGACTGGCGCACGGGCCGCGTCAGTAGACGGATTTAGTATAGGGTGCACCTGCCAGCGCTCGCCGAAACAGCACTAAGCAGTCGGCACCAACGGGCTGTGACATAGTCGACCCATGCTCGCTGATGCTGCGCCAGCATGTTTTTTGCTGCAGTGCGGCCCTGTGGTTGCGCGGCACTTTTTTCCTCTCGTGCGTGCGTGCGTGCGTGCTCGCGGTCTTGCATCTCGCCTCCCTGTCAGACATCGCCGGGCAGCGGACTCGAACGGAATCGTGGGTGCTGGGGGTGTCTTTTAAACTCCACGACCCTGCCTCGCCTGCCGGCTGCGCAGCCCTGTCTCTACCACACACAAGGTTCCGACACTTGCATTAAGGCACCGCGCCTGACACTCGCCAGGGCCAGCATCAGCCCGCACAGCACGCCTGCCCGCGACTCGAATTACACTTTGGCCCTTCCGCACGCCATCCTGGCCACCGACCGGGCCTGCGCCGACGACGTCTCGCGAGCAGCGCTGCGACTGCCAGAGCACGCGTTCAGCGCAGCGGCTCTTTGACGGGCACCACCAACATGGTATGTGGCCAATTTTTGTTGTTGCGACCAACGCGTCCGCTGGCGGCTGTCCGTGTCGACTCTCTCTGTCCTGCACTCGCCCCCAGCACCGCGCCAGCGTACTAGTTGCGCTGCTGCTCCCATCCATCGTTGCCTCTGCCTTAGCACACACCCATCATCCTTCGCAACGCCCACCGTCGTTCCCACATCCACTCCCGCAGAAGATCTGAGCAGCGCGAATCCGCCACGCGCGCCCCTGCCCGAAACGGCCCATCATCCACGCGCTGCACGGCATTGCACACACAGAACTGCACCACCGGCAGCCCATCCATGCGCGAATGTCTGCTGTCGCACTCCCGCCACCACCTCCTCCGCTACACGGCCACCGCGCGAGCAGCATGCAGTCGTTCGACATGCGACAGCCGTCGCTGCTGGTACGCCCTGCCCTTATTCATCCGCATCCCATTGATCGATCATCACTTCCACTCTACTACACTACTTTCCCACCTGCACCCAACTCGCAACTCCCAACTCCCAGATCCCGGAAACACGGCCCAACCCAACATCAATCATCAATCACCGCACTCGCAATGCACGCCTTCCCTCACTTCCCACTCCATCGGCCACTCCCCCAACACCGCCGTTCCCTGACTCCCGACACCCGGCCATCCCGCCAGAGTCCAGCACCTTGATTTGTTTTGCGTTTGATGAGCGACGCTGGCTCTGACACTGCCCGTCCTGCACGCAAAAAGTCAAAAAGGACTCAACTAACTTCACCCGCGACTGCTCTGCTGTCAACCCAGCCGGTGGAGCTTTCTCGCTTGCCCCCGCCGATGCCCCTCCAGCACCCAACACGCCGTTCATCACACACTCTGTTCACCGTCACTCCCCAACCCGCACCCTTGCACCCTGGCACCACTTCTGGCCTCTGCCTGGCTAGCAGACGCCTGCCGCTGCCTTCGCGCACATCCCCGCCCGCCCATCGACCGGGATCCGCGATCGGCACCTTGAAACACCAATAAACATCTGACGTCCAACATCATATCACGCCCATCCGGCAGGCACGACTAACACGTCCGCTGTATAGAATCAACCCAATGCCGGCCAACAGGGTCTGCCACCTCCACAGCAGCAGCAGCATCACCAGCAGCAGCAACAACAACATCCGCAACAGCAGCAGCCGCTGCAGCACCCGCGATCCGCCGGCCTCGTCCAGCAGCAGCATCGCCCCAACTCGCCGCACCAGACGCACGGCCTGAACAATCCGACGTCGCAAGGACCCTACATCTCGCCCCACTCCTCCACTCACAGCCTACCCCAGCAGCACCAGTCTCCCTACATCGGATCGGTGCCAGGAATCCCATCGCAGCACCCGGGTGAGGCCCCGTTCTTCGGTGCTCATCCTAGTCCGTACAGCACAAACAGTGCCGCAGGTAGCTACGCTTCGTCAGGTGAGTTGAAACCAACTAATTTGAGTCTTGCACACCCCGAGCAATAATGGAGGATTGACTGTCACGCCTCGAAAGAGAAAGTTGGCTGCCATGGCGCGCTCTTTCAGTTTGGGTCTGACCAGCTTTGCAGAACCGAACGAAACCATGGCCACGCAGGCGGCGATCAGCCGTCAGTCCTACCCGCCAATCTCTAGCTACCAGACTCCGCAGTCGAACTCACCGGCCTCCATCCATTCACCACAGACTGACGCGCATGGTCGACCGTTGTATGGCATACCCTCCATGCCTCAGCAAATGTACTATCCTCAGTACCAGATGCAGCAGCAGTCGCCGTATGGCCAACATCCGGCTGCTGCTGCATCGCACCACTCGTCCATGACCTCCGCGCCGGGCATGCTGATGTCACATCAGCAGCCCCAGCAGCAGATGCAGCAGCCGCAAGCCACGCCCGGTCACGCGCAGTCCAACATGCTCGATCAAAAACCCTCACAGTCTGCGCTGCAGCGTCCGCCTTCAGCTCTCGCTCCTCCTCAACCGACGGCTCAGACACCTTCAGGTCCAGGTATGCACGGCCTTCCGACACCTAACTCTGCTCCGAATGGACCTAACGCGAGCGCAGCACCAGGGCCAATCCCAGCAACGACTCCACTGGTTGTGCGACAAGACAACAATGGAGTGCAGTGGATCGCTTTCGAATACTCGCGCGACCGCGTGAAGATGGAATATACGATCCGCTGCGACGTCGAATCTGTCAACGTCGACGAGCTGAGCCCCGAATTCAAGTCCGCTAACTGCGTGTACCCTCGCGCGTGCTGCGGCAAAGATCAATACAAGGGCAATCGATTGCACTACGAAAGCGAGTGTAACGCGGTTGGTTGGGCGCTCGCTCAACTCAACCCGAACCTGCGCGAAAAGCGCGGTCTCATCCAGCGCGCCGTCGACAGTTGGCGGAACAGCAACCAGGACGTGAGGTTACGGAGTCGAAGAGTGCGCCGCATGGCCAAAATTCAAAATAGGAACGCAGCAAAAGCAACGCCTGGTGTTGCTGGTCCGTATCCGCAAGGCCCTGGTAGCGCTGGGCTACCTCCACAGGGCATGGCTCCTGGTTCAGCGCGTCCACCCAACATGGGTCCTGGTGGGCCTCAGATGCACCACCACCACACCGACGGTAGTGATACCGGTGGTGGGAACGACGTCAGCGGTATGTTCCACCAGATGTGAATGATATCCTGTACTACTACACTGCTATTGCACGCGCACGCATTTGTGGAGTTTTTCTGTTCTTTCTGGGAGGAGGCACGAAAGAGGACTTGGTCAGCATCTTATTGCGATCACAACTGTACATTCTGTACAGCATACGATATCACCGCCAGCAGCCGCGCAAAAGACGGCTGTTGAAAGCATTGCATTTTCTGTTGTCGCTATTCTGTACCACCACCATTCTCGCTATGCTTTTCCACTGCACACCCTTGTTCTTCTCGCTTCCCGAACACCCATGCTGCACATCATCGGAGTTCGTACGCTAATTGTTCGTCTTTCCTTTTAGCCGGAAATGAATACAATAGCGCAGCCGGGCATCCTAACCAGTCGAGCAATGGACAAAGCGATCTAGCATCGCCTACCACGGGACGGTACGCCAACAACTTCTATCCCTCGTACCCTCAGCAGCCAGGAGTCGGAGGCTCGTCCATGCCCTCGGTTCACGACGCCATGGATCCCATGCACGGCCAAGCATCCACACTCGCTACACCCGCACGTGCAGAGTCACTCAAGAGAGAGGACGAAGAACATAAGCGCAACCTCTTCGGCGACGTACCCGAGTCCAAACGTCGCAAGTTCATCCTCGTCGACGACAATCAACGCGGCACTCGAGTGCGGGTTCGCGTCATGCTCGACCAAGTCAAGATGGACGACATGCCTGACGCACATCTGAGGATCAACGCAGTGTACCCACGTTCATACTTTCCCCGCCAGATGAGGTCGCCGCCCGGATCACCTGGCGCACGTGGCAACTGGGATGATGAAGATGATACCGTCGAAGAGGAAGGACAGCCTATGCCACCACAAGGCAGGACGCTGGTGCCAGTCTCGCTGCTGGACGGTAGCGAAGCTAAACTACCAGTCCCACGCATGACCAAGTCGAGGAGGAACAAGGAGGTCGCCTTGAACGAACTCGGCTATCGAATGAGCTGGGGCCAGGCGCGAACGTTTAACGGTACGCACGAATACCTTATCCCAACGTCACTGCTACTCTCCACTAACGCTTCATATAGGCCGCACCCTATTCTTGCAGAGATCTCTCGATGCATACCGTAATAAGATGCGAAGCACGATGATTGCTGGAGGGAGCGATGCTGCCACCATTGCACCTCACTTTGAGACTCGACCTGGAAAGCGCAAGTGGTTGGAGCGCAACAAGAGAGCCCGGCGAGCGGACTCTGTTTCCTAAACCTATTGGGACCCCTGCACATGGATTTGACACTTGACACTGTATGCAGCGGCGCGACCTTACGAATGGACGCTCCCACGAGCATACTTGTTTGCACGAATAGATTGTTCAAGGAGAAGCGAAGGCGTTGTTTGGGATTCGAACGGCAGCAGTACACGATAGCTGTCTTGCGGGCGAATGGGCGGTAACGACTGATGACCGACAACGGTTCTTGGTCTGGCGCATGGCGGTACACATTGGCGAGCACGAACTCACGCATTCTCGTAATGTACAAAACGCGCTCTCCTTTTATTGCATGGCTGTTCTGTCGATGGGAGTTATACAGATGGGCGCATTGCGTCATGTTTATTATGGGAGTCCTTGTCGCTGTCTTGTGCTTTTGCTTGGAGGCTTCCTTCGCACTTCGCACGTAGGCGGTATAGACGGACGGAAACCTTCGATTGGGTCTAATGTATTCACACATAAAAGCGAATGACATCGTCTGAAACTTGCCTCCTGCTTCTCTTCTTGACTTGTATTCGAGCCTGCTGCCTAATCGCTCTTTCCTCCTTAATTGCGACTGCTCGGTCGCACATTCCTCGTCCATCGCATGCGCACACCATCTTCCAGTGTTTTCCCGTAACCAATGTACTCTACTTACCAGCATCATCATCCTACAACAGATCAAACTGACAACTCCTTCCCAGATAGCTACCGCCCTCCTCACGAGCAGACATACAAGCAACCCCCATCCCGCACATGCCTAGCTACCTGTCATCAACAGGATATGAAAACGAAAGGTCATGCCAGCCTGTCATCGCTCCCACTCGCTCGCCACATGCTTGAAGAGTGAAACAGGCTATGCCATGGGAGAATGATGTCAAGGGCTTCTTGTTTTGCTTTGCATCGTTTGGTTGCTGGAGCAGGTAGAATTGACGTTTGCTGGGATGTTTACTGCCGCCCGCTTGTGGGCGGATGGGGGTGCGTGCATGATGCTTGTTTGGATAGAGGACGTTCTTTTCGCTGATACTGCAATAACGTCTGGAGTTTGAGATCTTGCGAGGTTTGGGTTTTCTGGATGTTTGCCCTAGAGACTGGGTTCGTTGTGATGATCATGAGCACGTTGTTTGTCCGTAAATTTCCATCACTCATCCTCAATCGATATCAAACTCTTCTTCATCAGAGCCCGACTCATTGTTCTAAACTGCCGGCGGGTGCGCCATCGGTAATCAGTAAAAGCACGTCGGTACTCCTTATCATCACCATCAGCGTCATCACAACAAGAACTCTCAAGCTATGCTTTGAATATGAAACACTACTCAAAGCCACGATCTTGCCTGTCTGAAACGAACAACGGAACACTGTCTCTTGAAACAAGCATACCATCATGTGTCACCTTTTCTCACCCTCACTCTCACCCTCTCACTCAGACGATGGATAAGCATGCCGAAACATTCCATCATCGATGATCCTATCGTAGCCATCGTTGGTTCACAAAAGCATCCCTACAATCTGAACTCCCAATTGACTTCTACTCTGCTTTGCTTTTGGGTATCCTATTCCTTGAGGCTGGCCGGGCGCGGTAAAAAGTCTATGCAAGCTTTCCCCAGATTGAGCCGCTGACATGCTATGAATGCCAGGCTTGCGCCTTGAGGCTGGACCTAGTGCTGGACCTAGTGCTGGTGCTGGTGCTGGTTGTTGACCGCGTGATGGATGGTCATGCCATGAGGGTGGAGCTGGTGCTGGTGCTGGACTCGTGAAGAAGTGAAGAAGTGAACGGGACTGGCATGTAGCATTGCCACAACGTCTATGAAGAAGACGACGGCGAGAGTCTCAGGAAATGAAATGGCGACCAAGTATCGATCAGCACAAGTCTCTCAACCACAGCTAGAATCCGAGCTTGTAAGCGCATCGCACACGTTGGCTACATGTTCGGTCCACCATTAACTGTGTGTGTGTGCCATTCCTGATAAGACACCACAATGCTCCGCACATCGTCTATGCGATTTTTTGACCCTTTTGCTGGGTTCAGTCCATTTCACATATTCCCACACACCTTAATGCATTTCTCTCTCAATACTCATGTCAATCGTGAAGGTCGCAGAAAAAAAGGTACCAAAAACGCCAAATGCTAAACAATTCATCAATATGGCTTAGCCACCGACGTTCCGCAGTCGGGGATTTTGATGCCCTTCTTCAAATTTCGGTCCTTGTCGAAGATGCCCCAGTAGGGTTCCCATTTGTTGTGTTCCGTGTCGAACTGTACGAAGTGTCAGTGGTTAGGATACTCTGAGTACGGTTGTCGTCTGCGCGACGAGGATCGCATATGTAGACGTGGGAGTGGGCTGCTTACCTGGTGCTTCCATGGCTCGTCAAAAGCTTCGAACCTGGTTCATGCCACGTTAGTTTTTTGCTTCTTATCTGCTCGTCATGCCATGCGAACAGCTGTTGGGCTGAAGGGTGCAAGGCCAGGGGTTGGCTGCACGCCAGGATTGTGTCGGGTTCATACTTACCAGAAGAACGTGGTGCCGTTTTTCAGTGCCTCGCAGACCCAGCCATCCATGAATGTGTTGAGATTCTCAATGCTGGCCACTGCGCCGTCTGTCTCGCTCTTGCAGCCAAAAGCTGGATCCGAAGACACACCGCAGTCGTTACCTCCTTGGGTCGGCCAGCCGATTTCCGAAATGATTTGCTTGGGATACGTGACGGAACCTATTGTGCCTGTTTCCGAAGAGGTGAGGGCGACATCTTTGTTCTGCCAGAAAGACCACGCCCAGCCAGCTGCGTCCTCAGCAACGGTACCTGCGAAGAAAGGATGGATGTTCGACATCACGATATCCGAGGCCTTCGCAAGATCTGCATCCCAGTTGTCACCCAAGTCGGCAGTGGCGACAGGCAAGTTGATTCCTCTTGAAGAGAAATTGCTGCGGACCTCGTCAAGTTGCGCCGCGAGCTCTGTTACTGTCATAGTCTCTTGGAAGAGAACTTCGTTTCCGACAATAACTCCGACGAATCTGTCATGTGGATAGTTGTCCAGAATCCGGTAGAGGTCCTTCAGTTGGCGGTCATTCGTCGTCTGATTTCTTCCATCCAGGTATACCCCGAGCCAGACTTTCATGGTATCCTGCATCTCCAGGCGCTCAATGGCTTCCAGAACCAGCTCGGTCTGGTTGCAATCGGTACCATAAAGGCGGACCGATGCAGCTAATTGTGAAAGACGTGCAATGTCGAGTGTGACGTTGTTCTGCGTAGGTCCACCTCCAGGGCTCAAACAAGCTGGATATTGAGCATACCACGGCGTGTAATCAATGGTCGGGAACACTCTATGCAACCGGTCGTCGTTGAGCACGGCCTGTACTTGCCTCGAATTGAGGTCGTAAAGGCCAGCACTGTCTGAACCAACTGTCGAGGAGCCTCCACTCGACCCGCGCTCGTTTTCGTCCTTGTTGTTAGCAAGAATACCGCCAACGACGCCGCCAACGATGCCGCCAATGACCAGAATGGCAGCAATGGTGCAGCCAATGATCCACTTCTTTTTGCGACTGCTTCTGTCAGTCTGTTTGGATAGCCACTCCGACTTCTCGGCGTCGTTTCCAACAGGCCCGTAGAGGCCGCTGGAGCCCCGGTTCATCGCCTTCATGCCAACGCCTGTGCCGGCACCTGCAGCGGCACCAGCTCCGGCAGCCGCTCCAAAGCCTAACTTATTTCGCGATCGGGATCGATCTGGAATCCCGTCATCTCCATCGTCCTCGATTGTGCTCGGGTCAAAAGAATCGTACTCGTCGCCATAATATGAGTGATGTCGTGGTAAAGATTGGCCGTATCCTGCAGCGCCAAGGCCTGCTCCTGCGCCTGCCGGCATGGCAGGAGCGTTTCTTTGAATACTTCGGTTTGTCGACACCGAGGGCGAATAGCCCACCGCTTGGTTTTCTGTGAGTGGCGCGAGAGAGGTTTGCGATTCCTGATGTATCGGGCTCACAGGCCCATGCATGTGCGGTGGCGGTGATGGCGGGCCATAGGCATCGTGATAAGGTCCTGGTGAATGCGTGTTCATTCGTGAGTCGTATGGGTTGCCAGCGTCTCTGTAATCGTGTCCATAATGCGGTGTGTATCCCATTGCCTCGCCCGGCGATTCCGGCGTGCGAGTTTGCTGCGAACCTTGTACGTGGCCCAGCGGTATTCCATACGTTCGCTCGGACATGATGCCGTGCACTGTGGGGTTAACGAGCGACTGTTCTCAGACGATGCGCTGCCGGCGCAAAAGGCGAAAGAATGTCGGCGGAAGAGGTGAGGTCCAGGAGATGTCAAAGAGATGCGCACGAGACAGCGCGGCCTGGACGCGGGCTCAACGCTCTGCTGACCTCTTCCTGGCACAAGGCTGGGCGTTTCTGGCGCGCTCGGCTGTGCTGATCTGAGAAGCCGTGCGTGGCGTCGCGAGTCCTGTGGCCCGTCGTCGATGGCACCGGAAGCCGCACCGTGGAGGGCGAGTGTGCAGACGTGCAGCGTGATGGGCGGCGATGCTGTTGATGAGAGATGGATGCTGCCAACACGAGCTGGCGTAATGCTCTTGGGAGGTGGATTCTATTCTTGAAACACGATGCAGACGGGAGCTAAGAGGTTGCATTGGTGTGGCAACGCGGCTTTTAGCTGAAAGAGGATTTGGCTAGCCCGCCACCACCACACCACCACCACAACGTCCCTTCTCCCTCCCTTCTCGCCAGGCTGGAGCGCAACGTTTGACACTGTCTTGCCTTGCAGACCACCCATTATTCTCCGGTCGGTTGTCGGCTCGCCGTTGACGGCATGCCCGTTACCTCCGGACACTGCCGGCGAGGACCAGCGTTCCCAGTTTCTGCTCCATCACCCGTTCCACTGGAGCTCGCAGACGATCCTCCGCGGAGCCCCCACATTTGGCAACGGCTGCACGAGACGAACACCTCCGCAATGATTGCTTCAATGCGACACCAGGTCGGACATACACAATGCGAAATTGCTCGTGAGCGCGGACAACACTCCCGTCAATTGTGCAGACGCAGGTGAAGCGTACCACGAGGAAGCAGCGGAAACACGAGCACGTGCAGACAAGAATCAAGCCTGTACACTGGGAGCTTGCGCCTCAGACGCGTTGCAGATATTCTTGTTCTGTTGCCATTTACGTCTACCTCTCGAATATCCATCCACGGGTACTTCTTGGCGCCGGTTCTGCGACAGACACAGTCCGCTCATGCCTCACTTCAAGCCACCTGCAATAACAATACTTTGCCCCGTAGTGAAACCGGTTCGAGCATAAAACGTCACTGCGTTCGCAACTTCTTCGGGCTCGCATAGCCTGTGGAAGGGAATGCTGTCCACGAGGCCTGGGAACTGGTCACCAGAAGGCAGCAGACCGGTGTTGCCAACCATTGCAGGAGCCACATCGTTCACAGCAATGTTGTAAGGCGCGAGCGTGGTGGAGAGATTCTTCATCATCGCCATCAAGCCACCTTTTGATGCAGCATAGTGGCAACCCTGGATCGTGTCAGCAACAACCTCGTATTCTGGAATTGGAGCCTCCCTACATTCATGCCTCCGCCGTAGGCTGCTATTGATGACACGAAAATGATACGACCCCATTTCTGTGCCTTCATGCCGTCCACCACGCCTTTCACGAGCAGGAACGGCGCTCGGAGATTCACATTGAGTGTGACTTCGAATTCGCTCAATGGGATATCAGAAACATCTCGTATCCGCTTGCCGTAGCCAGCGTTCGAGACCAGAATGTCAACAGCACGGGCGTGGTCTTTCTGGACTTCTTCGGTGAGTTTTGTAGTAGCTTCTGGCGAGGCCAGATCGGCTTGGTGCATCGTTATCTTCAGCTTGTCATTCGATGAGGACAATTCTTTCACGAGCGCTTCTAATGAGTCTTTATTCGATGCGTATGTGAGAGCGAGGTCGCAGCCATGCGAGGCGAACTGTCTTGCACATGCTGACCCGATGCTGTTGTCGTTGATGAGTGTATGGACATTGGGCTGCAGAATGTCTTGGCTTACCCGCCCGAGGCACCAGTGATGAGCACCAGTCTGCCGGTGATGTTGTTGTCTGCGGTCGTCATGGTATCGAATTCGACTTGTCCAAACTGTGCAGAACGTACAGCGGCAGTCTAGGCCTGGTTATCTATTCCCTCCCATCTGCCCTAGTGCCAGTGCCAGAAATCTTCCGTCTCCAAGGGCCTCCCAAGGCGGGCGGTATTGGACGGCACGCAAGTGCGACTTGGGGCGGCTACTCACCCCACTGAAGTTGGGCGACAGACGTCGGCAACCGACCTCGCAGCACACGCTGTTCTCAGCAACGACCAACATGACAGACACAGAAGCCCAGGATCAGGAGCAGTCGCCCGAAAAGCCTGCCGTCAAGGAGGAGAAGGAGAAGAGAACATCGCGTGCATGTCTTGCCTGCCGCGCGCGCAAAAGTTCTTGCAAGCTGTGAGTCTTCCCGGCTTCTGGCACGTCGCTCCGCGCGCGTCGTTGAGATCAGGCCGCCTCGGGTTTCTGTCCTGAAACGAGTCTGCATCAGTACGAGTGTTTGCGCGCGCGATGCCTGGGGAAACGACAGGTGTTGCACCTGTCGGCCTTTCCCTGGAGCCTCAGATTTGAGTGCAGCGCATGCGCTTCTTTTGCCGATTCAGACGCCGTGCTGACATGCCCTCAACAGACCGAAAACAGAGGACGGAAAACTGACTACGCCATGCGCTCGCTGCAAAGCATCGGGACTCGAATGCGTAAGCGCCATATAGTGACCCACAGAGATTTGAACTAAGCATTGCTCGCAGGTCATCGGCTCTTCCAACAGAGGCGGCCGCCGTGTTCGCAAGAGAACTCTTGACCAAGCCGGCCTCGCCAACAATAACGTTCAGCAGCCGAGAGAGTCGCCAGCTATCAGTGGCGCCAGTGTTCACTTCACGCCTGATACACTGTCGTCAGGCCAGACCCATACAGGATGGCCTCAGTCAGATTATGGGCCCGCCATACCACAGTCTGGAACAGGCATGGGGGCTGATCTCAATCCGCCTGCCCCTGATGCCATCATGCTCGATCCAGCACTGCAAGCGGCAGATGCGAATGCGCGTGAGGTAAGATGTTCGCTATTGCGTTCTTGCTGGCAGACCGCCAAGGCACAAGGCAATTGAAGAGAATCAGCATCTGATACGTGAACAGTCTCTGCTCACTAACCCAGCCACACGAGAGAGCTCGATTGGGACATCAGGCAACATCGCTTTCAATGATTTGCAAAATCCGAGCGATGCCCTTGGGATACTAGCACAGATCGCCAGCAATGGAGAATACAATTCAGGCTACGGCTCTTCGCAGTATACAACGACTACTACCATTTCAGCACAACTGGAGTACCCTCTTGTACGAGAAGGACGGTTATCGATGAGCAGAATTCTTCAGCTTTTGCAAAGATACAAGTACTACTACCATCCATACTTTCCGATCGTGCCTGCGGCAACTTTGGACGCTGCAAATCTGAGCAGGACTGCGCGAGAAGAACCACATCTTCTCACTGCTATTCTGGTGATCGCTTCACGAGGTACGGTGACCTTCGACGACTTCTGACTAGCATACTGAGCATTATTAGATCTCACCGATGAGCCCAACATATTCATATCCTGCTCCGAACACATGCGAGCGTTGGTCTCAGCACTTGCAGCTGGAGGTTCTGGTCAAGTGGAGGCTGTCGAAGCACTTCTGGTCCTTGCAGAATGGACGCCATACACTTCCCGGTCAGACGCTGGCCATGTCGGCCGCGGAGAAGAAGATCGCGAAGCTTGGATGCATGTTGGAATGGGTAAGTATAGCTATCGGAAGGTTTTCTGAGCTCGAGATAGGGTACGTGTTCCAGACACCCGCTGACTTGCTGTAGCTCTACGGATCGGGTATTTCCTGGGCCTGGACCGATACTCATTTCATGTGCGTGGTGACGACGTGAAGGATCCGCAGTGGCAGCGGAAGCGACTTGTCTGGACAGCTTGTTACATCAGTGACAGGCAGATCAGTATCCGCCTTGGTCGAGCCTTCTGGTCTCGAGGCCCAGGACCTTTGACCACTCTGTCGAAGGCAGACTTTCCCATGCTTGCACCTGCCGGACCAGGAGATGAGGACTATGCAAGTATCTTCCAAGCCACGCTGGAGCTGACTTTGCTGTTTTCCAATGTCCATGATGTCTTGTACTCAAATCCTGGGAATAGCGTCCGTAGCCACCTCAGTGGAGGCTACATCAAGTACATTGACGACTTCAGGAGCGCGATATACGGGTGGAAAAGTGTATGGGGCACATTGACCTGCTCGGCGCACCTCAAGGCCACACTACTGATCTCGTACGACTATCTACGGCTTTACACTAATGCATTTGCTTTCCACGCAACTGTGAAACGAGCTCTACCGCAAGCCCAGCAGAACCCGGAACCCCGAAGATCGACGAGCACAGCGCCGGGTCGCGTGTTCTACAATAATGTCGGTGCAGTCGGCGACGCTCGCTTCATCTATGAGGGCCTAGATGCTGCCAAGAGTCTTCTCAGCATGATGAATACTTTTGTTGATCCGGAAAAGTCTCTCCGTTACATGCCTTTGAGATTCTATCTTTATTCGATCTACGCCGGTGTCTTTCTGTACAGAGCGAGATGTGTCGGGGTTCTCTCAGCAGATGAGGAGCAGTCAGTACGTGCAATGGTCAAGGAGACTGTCAGCAGACTGGAGAGATCCGCAATGGGTGAGCAGTCAAGGTTTATCTGGAGATGATGTAGTCGCTGACTCCAACGCAGGTATACAGCACCCCGGCAACCGGTACTCTCAGCTATTGCGATTGCTCTGGGATAAAGTCGAAAAGAAGGAGCACCGCAGGACGCAATCTACCGCGACTCTGCAGAATCCCTATCGACCAAACAGCAGCATCAGTGGTGCTACACCAACATCGAACAAATCCCAAGATTCACCAGCTGTGACGGAATTGATGGGCGACTTCTCCTGGACTGATCTTGATGCTATTGGAAATTTCGCCGTCAATGGCAACGGAGGCGCGGCTATCAACGATGCAGACTGGTGGTCAGGCTTTTTGCCGGCAGATTCGGGGAACTTTTTGTTCGATCAGCTGAGCAACATGGAGGACTGGACGAACCTGGGATTGCAGTAAGCAAAGATGTGTTGGCTCGATTTGGTTCTGCCACTCTTGCTTTCCAAGCACCAGTCGTGTAACAAGCAGCTGTGTTCCATCCTGGCGGATCTGTCAACTTGGTGCAACGGTGCCCCCAAACACGCTATCGTGTAGAGCATTGGGGCACTGACGATTGAGCTTCGGGGGAGCCAACAACGCGATGGACACCAAGTGGATGTTTGGTCTTCACGTGTCTGTCTCGGCGCATCTAGCATATCACCCAGGCCGAGCAATGAGAACGACAAGACATTGATGGCCTGAGGTGGTTTTGGCTCGGAACGGTTATTGGCGGGTATTCATCCTTCAGATGCCGACGATCACCACTGCCAAAGCGGTTCAACTTTTTGGCGAGCACTTTCCTCCCACATCGCGAGAGCACCTGTCCACTTCCACAACTTGTAGCTACAACTTTTCGTGTTTCCCTTTCCACTCCCATCCCTGCTCCCCATTCAAAAGCATGACGCAGTCACGATCAGCCCTCTTAATTGGGGGGATAACTCATGCTCGTAAGGAGTGGGAGGCTCTTTCGTCATTGCTGCAACTGAAGGTATTGCTTATGATCATCCTGAGCTTCCGAGCTAGCTGCTGATTGTGTGATAGGAGTATGGATCCGGCTCAAGAGAAGACTTCATCTCGCGGTGCAGGAAGGGCGAATACGACGATGTGGTTGCAATTTATCGATCGAATGACTCCACGGCCGTGACTGGGCCTTTCGACAAGGAGTTGATTAGCGTTCTACCCAGCAAATTGGAATGGATCTGCCACAATGGAGCTGGTTACGACAACATCGATGTGCCAGCTGCTACCGAAAGGAATATTCAGATTAGCAGTACACCCATAGCAGTGGATGAGGCGACAGCTGACAGTATGTTTTTACTGACACTGCTCACATTGCTTACACTACTAATGCTCTCCAGCCGCCCTCTTCCTCCTCCTCGGTGCCCTCCGAAGAATCACAATCCCCTTCCTCAACGTCCGCAAAGGCGACTGGCGGGGCAAAAACTTTGGTCTCGGCCACGACCCAAAGAACAAAGTTCTCGGAATTCTAGGAATGGGCGGTATTGGCACAGCAGTGGCAAGAAGAGCTAAGGCCTTCGGCATGACGATACAATACCATAATCGAAACCGATTACCCGAAGAGAAAGAGCATGGTGCGAAGTACGTCTCGTTCGAAGAACTCTTGAAGACTTCGGACGTGTTGAGTTTAAACTTGGCATTGAATCCTTCAACAAGGCATATCATCGCGAAGCCGCAGTTCGATATCATGAAAGAGGGTATTGTGATTGTGAACACTGCACGAGGACCGATTATTGATGAGGCGGCTCTTGTGGATGCGCTGAATAGCGGGAAGGTCTTCTCTGCGGGGTTGGATGTGTTTGAAGAGGAGCCAAAGATTCATCCTGGATTGTTGGAGAATGAGAATGTGGTTTTGTTGCCGCATGTGGGGACTGCGACGTGGGAGACGCAGAAGGAGATGGAGGTTTTGGTGCTGGATAATCTGAGGAGTGCGGTGGAAGGGAAGGGCTTGTTAACGCAGGTGCCGGAGCAGAAGAAGAAGTGAGTTTCAGCTTCTCTCGTGCACTTTTGGCGAAACATGTGCTGAGAGGTCGTGCCGGTCTAGTGAGGATGGGCGTTTGAAAAGTCGGTTGTAGATGGAGATTTGGAGTTGCTAGATAGATTACGAGACCCATGATACCAGCATACAATAAGTTACTTCTCAGGTCATTACACATTGTACTTATGCTCTACTTTGTTGTTGGGACAATCCATGGTAAGGGCTCGCTCGACTGAATCAACCGGACAGACCGTCTTGGCGTGCGAAGCAACAACGAGCGTCGGCAATTGAAGTCGTGGCCACTTCTCCATCACCACGTGCACTATCATGATCATCTCACAGTCCACCGGATACATTTCATCATAACAGAGCAAGAACACCGACAAGGAAATCCGAATCTAGCTGCCGAAGAATCCCGCAAAAGCCGATGGACTTCACACCCGCACCACTCCACATCGCTCCACTCAAGCAATAACGCAAGACCGCACAAGCCCCAGCCACGCTCCATGCTTGATGAGGACCTCCACGCGGAGTCTCCACAAAATCTCCCCCAACGGAACGTGTGAGCCGTTCGAATTGTCGAATGATACGGTGACACTACTACAACGGTGTGCAGTAGCTGGTAGGAGAAGAGAATAGCCGGCTTTTGATGAAAGTAGACCCACTCCACGCGCGGGAGAAAAAGGTGATGGAGTATTTGAGGTCTCTCTTGCAGGGTTTTACTACTTCTTCTACTTATTCGTCGAGGCAGAAAAGGGCTGTGAGGGAAGGCAGTTCGTCGCCATCTTGGAGAGCGCTGTTCTTGTCTAGACATTCTGGTGCTGGATCTGGATCTGGATCTGAAGGGAGAGGAGAGTACACAGCACTTCAGCAGTCTGGCGATATGGCTAGGGCAAAGACGATATGGCAGGACATTGTCCAGTATAGGCGGACGTATTTGCTTACGGCGGTTGCGTCTTTTGGAGGTGAGTGCAAATCGAAACGCAACCGAATGGAGATTTGTGGCATGCGATGGCTTCTTTGTGATGGAGGACCGCAGGAGGAATGATCGCACAGAGTCCGAGGGAGTTATCAAACACAACTTGAAAGATTACGCTAACGCTGTCTCGCTCCAGGCATGCTCTTCGGCTGGGATACTGGACTGATCGGCGCGGTCCTCACCATGAGAAGCTTTCAAAATAGCTTCGGTCTTGACGAAGACTCTCCAGAATACGCGAACCTCTCCGGAAATATCGTCTCCGTCCTACAAGCTGGATGCTTCTTCGGAGCACTGGCTTCCTTCTTCGTCTCGGATAAATTTGGCAGGAAAAAAGCTCTGATCTTCGCAGATGTGATCTTCATCATTGGGAGCATTATCCAGACATGTTCAGGCTTGACCTCGACGTCCTTGGCGGAACTATACGTCGGAAGAGTAGTGGGTGGCTTTGGCGTTGGTCTCATTTCTGCTGTTGTGCCGACGTACATTGGAGAAAATGCCAACAAAGAGATTAGAGGAAGATGCATTGGATGTATGCAACTGTTCAAGTGAGTACAAACCCAACATGGAGCGTTCTTTATTCCGGAATTTGGCGTACTGACTGCAATCAAGCGTGACCGGAATCATGCTATCCTACTTCGTGAACTACGGATGTAACCAGAACATCTCCTCGACCAACCCGGCACAATGGCGAGTGCCTTTCGCACTTCAGATACTGCCAGGAGTCCTCTTGCTCTTCATTGTGTTCCTCAACGAGTCACCGAGATGGCTTGTTGAGAAGCAGAAAATTCAAGAGGCCCGTAAGGCACTGGCCACAGTTCGTGCACTTCCTATCGAATCCGAAGCAGTCGATCGCGAGCTTGAGGAGATCATTGAGGACTTCAATGGACACGAGAAACTCCGTCTTCTGGAACAGATCAAAGTGACATGCCGCGAACCAAAGGCCATGTACACATTCACCATGGCTGTAACACTCATGTTCTGGCAACAATGGACTGGGACGAACAGCATCAACTACTACTCACCACAAATCTTCAGAAGCGCTGGTCTCGTAGGCCAAAGCGCCGGCCTTTTCGCAACAGGAATCTATGGCGTGGTGAAAGTCGTCTTCACTTCTCTGGCCCTCATGTTAGCTGTCGAAAGTCTTGGCAGGAAATGGTGTCTGATCATGGGAGCTCTTGGTCAAGCCTTCGCAATGTTCTACATCGGGATCAACCAGGCCGTAAACCCTCCCAGCGGAGAAGGACTGGACGGTCACAGCATCTTCGCAATCATCTGCGTGTACCTCTTTGTCGTCTTCTACAGTTTCGGCTGGGGGGCAGTCCCATTTGTTCTCGCTGCAGAGTGCGCCCCGAATCATACACGAAGTTTGGTCATGAGCGCAGCTTTGATGACTCAATGGCTCTTCAACTTCGTGATTGCCAAACTCACGCCGATCATGCTGGACAAGATCACATATGGTACCTTCTTGCTGTTCGGCGGATGCTGTATTCTCATGGCGATTTACACAGTCTTCTGTGTTCCGGAGACGAAAGGTGTGCCTCTTGAGAGCATCCACTTGTTGTTCGAAGGCGGTATTATCAAAGGAGCTTTGAAGGACACGATACCTGCGAAGTCAAGAGCAAAGAAGCTACGGGAAGCACAGGCTGTGGGAAGAATAGATGTTACTGGGAAAGACTTTGATGATGAAGAGGCCCATCATGTTGAGCAGGCCGACCGAGACGACATCGTGAGGAAGACAGCAAGAGCGCAGAATGTTATAGGCAGTCGGGCTTAGAGTCGCTCACTCCTGTGATGATAGCTTGGAAAGAGGCAGAGCGTGACAAGCTGGAACTTAGACATGGAACTCATAAATATAGAAATATGTGCAAAGAAGACACAATATACCTTCGACATTCTTGAATAATTTGAGCAGCGATCTCACTCTCTAAGTAGCGGCAACGCCACTGTCTCTCTTCTCAATCCTCTCCTGGTCAGTTCCTTGCCCTTTGCTCCAATCTCCACCCGCACGTCTCCCCATAGCACGATTCAAGATCCACTGTTTAGCAGTGACTGGTTCACCGTCATCGACAGCAGGATTTTCTTTTCGCTTAGCATCAATCATTTCACTTCCATCAAGCACCTTCAGAATGACCTCATCCTCAGGTCTATTGAAATAAACCAGACTGAATCTCGTGGAATCTTGCTGTGCGCCAGGAGGATTGACAACACGATGAAGCTGGAAGATTCGTCACGAGTCAGCGATATCATCATCTCCATCTCAGAATAACGCCATGCCACAGAGGATGAAGGGGAATAAAAAAAAGAAATACAACTCACATTACTCCTCAAAATCCCCGCCGAGAACTTAACCATCGCATCCCCCAAATTAACCACACAATGCCCTTTCAAAGGCTTCACAAACGCCCACTCCTCCTTCATCCCCTCCAACCCCGCCGGCGGCAAAACCTGCAATCCCCCCAACCGATTAAACAAAACCGTCACACTCCCAAAATCCGTATGTTCCCCCAACGCCGCCTGCCGATCACTCACTTCCTGCGGCGGACTCTTCACCCACCTCATTTGATCTCCACTCCTGCTCTTCAACCGATGCAAACTCTCCAATTTCCCCTCCGGCAACCCTAACTTCTGATTCAGATGTCCTAGGATTAAGGTGACGAGGGCATGAGAGCGAAGCATATATTCTTTAATCAAACCTCTCGTTTCCTCTTTTGTGAGGATCTCCGGATTACGAAGTCTTTCCGATAATCCCAAAATATCATCTTTTGAAATATTCCAAAATTCATTCCGATCTTTCGTTCCTTTTTTGTCGATGACTCCCGCTCCGTAGCCTTTATACCCAAAATAACTGTTTTCGCCCATCATGTCGTAGGAAGCCTTCTCTTCTACGGGTAAATCAAAGACATCTTGGGCGAGAGTGAAGAGGTCTTCGGCGTTGGAGAGGAGAGCGTCGCCTTCGATGGGTAGTACGTCTTGTTGGGTTTCTGAGGAGGTGTTGTTGTTGGTGCTGTTCCCGCCTCGGAGGTCAAGGTAGAAGAATCCAAGATCACAGCATGCGCGCCAGAGTTTTTCGTCTTCTTGGGTGTCGCCTGAGAGGAGTTTTTGGAGGCTGATGCGGAGGAGTGGTGCTTGAGGGACGTCGTTGGGGAAGGGAGGGAGATCTTGGAAGTCGAAGTCTTCGTGAGGTTGCTCTTCGATGGAGCCCATGGTTGTGGTGATGTGGTGAGGATACTAAATGATGTAGTAGCTGGTCGTTGGAAACAAGAACAGTTCTTACAGTGCTATGATACTGATGAAGGAGAAAGTTAACCCTACGTCCTGCGAAGTCTCGACATCGGTATCAGTATACGTTCGCTCTTCCCGAACGCTGAAGATCAAGAGCGAGGTACTTGTGCGTACCCCGCCTTGATGATGTCGGACGGCTCGCAGCAACGTGAACAAGGTGCACAACAGAAAGCTTATCCAATGTCATTAGCCGACAACACTTCAACACGGGCCGGGGTATGGAGAGAAGGGAAACAACAGTTCATCAGATCAAATCATGTTCGCAATACGCCATGTACGTACTATACACAATCTGTCTCATCCTATTCGACCCTCTTCGCATTATGCACAGTGCGCCTCATTGATGTATCCCATTAAAGGCGTTGATCACACCAAAAGGTACATTGAGAAGCGTAACCCCAATCGTGAACGTCGCTCCAAATGACTTTTTTCTTTCGTTTGCGGCATATCACCATGCATGCATTCATGTTCCATCATACTAAGGACAAGTCAGCCTTGTCTTTAAAGTGAAGACCAGTACAAGACATACCAGCTGCTGCAGCTTCGAATTGTTTACAGGCGAGAGCCGTGGACGACCTTGTAGTCGACGGCGAGCTCACGGCCCTCATCGCTGATGACAAGCACGCGGACACTGCCACGGCCGTTGTTGAAAGAGTCTTGAAGACGGTTGAGCAGGTCGCTCTGGTCAAGGACAGGAAGGCCCTGCTTGACATCACCGGTCTCAGTCATGGCGACAACGCGGCCGTCATCACGGATGTCAAGAACGCGGTACTGCTTGAAGACAGGACCGATCATGTTCTGGACAACAACGGATGGGCTTGGGTTGCTGACGAATGAGCTCTCCTCGTGCAGTTGCTTGGTGAAGAGGTCAACACCGAGGTAGCGGTGCTGGCCAGTCTGTGCAGAGGTGGTGATGCGGATGACTTGGCATGGGCGGCCTTGGAGGATGAGCAAGTCACCGATGCGGATGTGGTGGCATGGGATGGTGATGGTGTTGGGAGCCCCAGCGTAGCGTGGGGCGCTGTAGGAACCTCCACGTGGTGCACTCATGGTGATCTCGCGGTCCTTGACAACGACGTCTTCTTCGACACGCTCAGTGCGGCCCGAGTCGTGGTGAGAGTGGTGGTGGTGGTGGCTCTCGAATGGGTGCAAGATCTTGTCAGCGGCGCGGCGAACTCCGTGGCGGAAGGAGTGGTAGTGTCCGTCTTCGTCGTAATATCCCATGTCCCGCTTGTGTTTACGCTCGGAGTGACCGTCAACGGTGCGTTGCTCGACCTTTACTTGCTGGTCGAACTCGACTGGGTCACGCTCGGCGTAACCTTGGGCTGGGTACTGACGTGGGTAGGTCGACTTGTCTTGCCACACGCGAGAAGCTTTGTACTCCTCGGCGAATGGGGTGGTGCGGTCACGGTACTCACGCTCGTTAATGTCGATGCGAGAGTCGAGGTCGATGTGAGTGGCTGGAGTGTGACGGGTCGGGTACTCGCGGTCGTAGACGCGGTCCTCAACGTTGATCTGAGCGTCGGCGTACCGTTGGTATGGCTCTCGGTAGCTGATGCAGGAAAAAATGTCAGTGGCCGTGACACAAACAAAAGTGAAGTGATGATGGGGTGGCAGGGAAGGAGCGGCAGTGAGGTGTGATGGTCAACAGGGAAGGGTCGGTGAGGACGCATCCGTTGCTGAGACGACAACACACTAGACCGTGCTGGGGTGGATAGCGTGTTTGCCGAGCGCTCCAGGGGAAGTGTTGTGCGTGATCCGCGCGATAAAGAGTGGAGCCCCAAACAATGCGCAGGCGAACACGAGCTGTGCGGTGAGCCGTGCCGGTGCAAGCCACGCGCATTGTCCGCTCAGATCTGCGCCATGCGCACCGTCGCTTGTGAAGGAAGAATACGAGTTGCTCAACTTACCGCTCGCGGTGGATGTCGACGTCTACGTTGACGTTGGTGTCGTGGTGACGGCCGGGGCCTGAGAAGTGCTCTTCGTGGATGCGGATGCCTTCGCGCTTGTCGCCCTTGCGGTATCGCTCTTCTTCAGTGATGCGGATGTCTTCGCGGTAGCGGTCGTCTCGACGGGAAGTAGCTGATTGTCGCTCTGGTCGATCTTCCCGTCCAGCGCCTTGGACAGTGATTTGCTCGTCAGTCGTGACTCCAGTGTCGGAAGTCTTCTCGTTCCTGTAGGTGGAGGGGAAGACGCTGAACGGGACTCTGCGCGCCTGTCGTTAGCCGATGTTTCCTCTCCCTCCCTCGCGCGCTCAGCAACTTACGGAACACGGGCGTCGTAATCCAGCGTGGCGATTTGCTCACTTGCTCAGCCTTCCAAACCCCCAGAAGAGATGGAAGGTCGACAAGCACAGCGGTCTCGTCTGGATGTATTTGAGGGGGAAGACGAAGCTGGGGGAAGCGATGCCAGCGCAGACGGCTCTTGTACGTGGCCTGTCGGAGTGGTGGGGAGAGACAAAGCGTTTGTTGTCAGAGCGAGAGGACAGGGGAACAGGACGTGTCTTTAGAAGCTTCGACCAGGTACCAAACAGCGCTAACGCCGCCCAGCAACGGCCCTAGCAACCGAGCCAGCCTCGGCCTCAGCCACCTGCCTTTTGGCATTGGATCACAGAGGCTCAACAACTCTTTGTCCATCGCGCCCTCTGTGCTCTGAAGTCCAGCACCGTTGTCAATCACCAGCCATCTCGTCCGTCATGTCGATCGCGTTGGGCGCACGCCGGATCCCACACATCCTCGTTCGCGGCCCACCGGGGAGTCGTGTAGCAGGTCTATTGGCCAGGCCAGGGTCAGTATCACATGCATGAACGCCCTTCTTTATGCCTCAAAACACACTTCCTCATTCGTGCATGCGCCCATGCTCACGCAACGCGTCTCTGGCGCGCTACCGAACTCTGTCCGGCTGCTCACGAACAGGACGTCTGTCAATTGTGCAAGTCAGAGGCAGCATCGAGATATTGCATCAAGCGTCCCTTCATGCTGTCATCTTCATGCGAGCTTTGTTGCTGCCATAAGCCTCGAACACTTCAAGTGCAGCTTGTGTGAACGGCGATGCGAGCATCCCGAAATGAAGCAAAGAAGACTTTACACCCCAGCCATCCTCATTTCGCAGCAATCAGTATCAAAGTCTATTCGTATGCACAACTGTCAGCGAACGATTCTGCGCAGCTCTGCAAGGTACTGCCTTTGCGACAAAACAACAGCTGCGTTGCTGCATTCGTGGGCTGACACTGCGTCCGGTGCTGAGAGCCGGTGCTGAAGGCGCTTCGCCGCATCTTCCAGCTATCGGAAGCTCGCGACCTCTTGTGCTTGTGTCAATGGCATTGATGAGATTTTCACTTACGTGTCTCAAAATACACTGATGAGTTCCTGTCCGCAGGCACGAGCATGCGAATTGGTCATCAGAGTGACGGTGTGGGGAAGTTGATCCTTCGCACCTCAGCTCGCCATGCAATCATCCGATGATGAAGCCAGGCAGCACAATTGTGAAATATACTGCAAGACTTGCGCCCATTGACGTGTTTCAGGTCTATTCGTCACCGAGATGTGGTCTCCAGCGTACATTGCAGTGGCTCTGTTGGCACTTGGCTTCCAATCTGGCGCGACAGAGTTCCATGCCGGATTTGACGATCTGGTGGAAGACCTATTGACGAAATGGCACCTTCCGGGACTCAGAATTGCTGTCGTGCGAGGTGGTGAAACCAAAAGTAAGGTGAGGAAACTTCGCATGAATGATTCGCATGCTTTTTCTTGTACAAGGGCTGTGAGTGCAATGAACATAGTGCTGAACCACAATGGCAGGGCTATGGCTACGCCAGACTTCCCGATGTACGCGCGACTCCGGACACTCTCTGGTTCACCGGCAGTACGACCAAAGCTTTCGTGGCGACGGCAGCCGGCCGACTTGTCCAGAACGACAGTGTGCCTGATTTCAAATGGTCCTCCCGACTGTCTGATCTGCTACCTGGAGAATTCGTTCTCTCTGAGGAATACCAGACTCTTCATACGACGCTAGAAGATGCCTTATCACACCGTTCTGGCCTGCCAAGGCACGACACGTCTTATGGATGGGGCGATGAAACTCCCAAAGATATTGTTAAACGACTACGCTACTTGCCCCTTACCAGCGAGCCTCGCACAAGGTTTCAGTACTGCAACATCATGTTCGCGACAGTTGGTGTAATGCTTGAACGCCACACGGGTCTGCAGCTGGAGAGCTTGCTGCATGACTGGATCTGGAAGCCCCTGGGCATGAAGTCGACAACATTCTCTGTACAACAAGCAATCGGCTCTGGGGACCTCGCGGCTGGCTACTACTGGGATGAAGACGGTGAGACGTATATTCCCGAGCCATACTATGATATCTTGCCCGTCGCCGGAGCAGGTGCTACTATCTCCTCGGTGAACGATTATAGTCTATCGATCAAGGCTCTGCTTGAATCTGCGAAAAAGCTGAATCACGAGGCCGGCCCTCTCACACCTGAACTCTTGCAGGCCCTATGGACACCGCGCAGCTATGTTGACCTTGGTTTCGTCAATACCAGCCGCATCGCGTCTTCGGTCAATTACGCTCTGGGATGGATGGTAGTCCAGGTCGACAAATACACTGTTATTACGCACAGTGGCGGCCTGCCTGGATTCGGAACTCAAGTGTTTCTGGTGCCTGAGCTGGATTTCGGCTTCACTTCTATGGGGAACGAGGTGGGTCGGGCCACAGTCGTTGGCGCTCAGCTGTTCCTTCTCCTGTTGAAAGAAATCAGAGATGAGATCGTAATTGAGGAACATTTCGGACTGCAAAAAGTTCTTGAGCAAGTGCGACCATTGTTCGGACCGCCAATGCATTCTGGCTCGAGGACGAAGCAGGCTGGCGTTAAAGCAGACAGCACCACTCTACCATTGCCGGGCGACATTGGAGCCTATCTGGGGCTTTATTCCCACCCAGCATACGGACCCATAAACATCAGTCTAGCTGAGAACTCGTCCACCATCCCACTAACCAACATCATGAACTCACAATTGCCCCTCACAGGCCGGTCTGCAACTCCACAGCTCCTCGTCACTCCCACACCTCGTGTCTTTTCAACATCATTCGTGCTCACGCATACCTCTACCACATTCTTCGATGCTCAAGGCTACTGGATCCACGGCCCTACTCCGGGCAATGATCAAGTCACTTGTGGAAATGGACAGCAATCAGCTGACACCTCTGGTACGAACCGCAATCTCAAATGTAAAGACGAAGCGGTCTGGCAGAAAGCATGGCCAGGTAAGGCGGTGTTCGAGTACAGCCCAGATGGTAAGGTTGCAACTCTGGGCATCGAAATAGAAGAGGAACAAATTCGCGTCGCTGGAGAGACTGGCAATTGGAGGGATGGAATGATCTGGTTTGCCAAAGTGTCAGAGTAATGTCTGCAGTACACTCAACCGGGTTATCGTACATCAAATTGGCTGCAAGGGAATGGCAGATGGCTGGCACATTGTGTCTTGAATCATAGCTTACAGTGCGGCCGTGTCAAAATATCGACTCTAGAACAATATGTCGCATGTTAGATATCGCTAGGAGAAATCAAACGTGTAAGAAGAAGCATATCAAAGCGCTACCCTTGCTAGCCGCACGTGACCACATATGAAACTCCCCGACAGCTATCGCATCAAATTGTCTCGCAAGTATACAATTCCCTGACCGACGCAGAACAATGCCGGACCGATAGCGAACAGCAGAGGTCACGCCTGACCGCCGCCATGGACTTTATAAACCGCCTCTTAGGATCCGCGAACCTCCCAACAAAGAAACCGCCGAGGCCGCCCGCCAACGATCCTCACACGCGTCTGGTTCGCTTCCGACGTGTCTACGGCAACGTCCTCGACCTCATTGACCGCCCACGAAGTCAAGAAGTCGAGGGGATTCTTCTCCGGCAATTACATGGCCATGTTGACCGCGTGGCTGCCCTGTTACGAGAAGAGTCTCGCGCTCCGGTCCCGCATATTTGCTTCCAATTCGCTGCTCGGAATCGTATCTACGCTGCTATCGCGAGAGTAGCTACTGTCAGTCAATATGAGCCGATTATACGGGCTGCCATCGCGGTGTTCGCTGCGCTGGTGGACAGTGAAGAGGAGGATTTCTTGTCAAACAGCCATTTTGCAAAGAGCCTCATGATGTTGGTGAGGAAAGTTGTGGACAGCGGAGAATATCTCATAGACGTGGAGACGGAAACGGCGATTCTCGAATTGCTATTCACCATCTCTGCGAAGATACGACTGCAGCCGGAGATTCTGCCTGTTTGGTTTCAGTCTACGGTCAAGCCGGAGCAAGAGGATGTGTTTGTTAAGGAGAAGAAGAGTTTCGTGGGGATAACGCAGAAAGACGATTTTCCGCTTTGCTATCTGCTGATTGATCGCGTACACCATGAAGGTCGGATTGGTGATTTTGCCAGGACTGGGCTGCTTTATGTCTTCGAAGCTACTGGACGCTCTGAGGACTTGGAGGAGTGGGTGATCAGCAGCGATCTACCTACTCTTATGGCCTCGGGGCTTGGGGCACTTTATAGCCAGCTCAGTCGCGAACTGAGCATCCTGCACGCCGACGCCGAGCTGCCTGCTGTGCTCGCTATGAGCGACTATGCAACTACACATCCTCGAGCTACGGCTGAATCTGCCTTTTCAGACAGGCATAAAGCACACATGGCAACTTTCCTCTCATATCTAGCCTTTTGGCAAGATGTGCTAGACCACTGTCGGAGTGCGGATGTCAAGCAGACACTACTGGATCACTTTCAGATCCTCTTCTTGCAGCAACTACTGTATCCGTCACTTCTGCAATCGAGCGACACCGATGCTGGAAGTTCTATTGCAGTGCTGACATACATGACTGCGATGCTCGAATCTCTTGAGTACCCCGATCTCATCGACATGATGCTTAAGTATCTATTAGCTATTGAAGAGAGTAGCACACCTGTGGCATCGACACCTCAAACACCAAAGACAGCCGACCAGCCTCCGAAGTCACCAACCACGATCCGACGACGGCAGAGTCTGATGCTTCTGAATGCGCCGAAAGACCCCGATGAGGCTGTCGAACCAGCCCTGTTTGATCTTGTAGATCTCATAAAGAACAATGTTGGATCACGGAACAGCCAGTCTGTGTACGCCGCCTTAAAGCTTGCATCGACTTTGATATTCAGGCAGAAGCCTTATGCGATTCATCATCTGGTCAAGACTCGCAAGGCGCCAGCCAATGGCATTGCGAGAACTGTTGGCGCTCTCGAGCTCGAGATCGAGAAATACATGGAGATCGCCTCTTCTCTGCATAGACACTATGCTCTGGATGTCGCGTATGATCGTCTTTGCGAGGACATGCGATACGTGATCGAGGCTCAAGTGCCTCTTCTCCCAGCAAACACGTCCACTGCGGACCAAGTCCAGGTTGGCGGCATAGTGCTGACTGAGGAAGACCCTCTGATACAACTCATGATCGGCCAGCTTCGCACTTTCTTCACCAACAGCATTGATGTTAATCTCGAGCTCAGCCAGGCATTCATCTCTATCTTGCAATGCGTAGAGATTCGACTGGATCATTGGGTGGCTATGAAACCTTCAGCTTATCAGTTCGACGAAAAGCCACTTCCGAACAGACCATGGCAAGCTCACCTCGACAGTGAGGAGCAAGAGGCGTGGCAAAGTGTACAGGAGCGCTCGCGTGCGCCCAAGTGGTCACCAGAATGCATTCCAAGACTGTTCTCAGAGCTCCAGGCTGCTGCTTCCGAGCTTGACGCAGTCCGTGCTAAGATCCCGAACATGGATCAGCTCATTACTGGCAGGAAAGTCATGTTGCAAGCTTCCGGAGTTGATGCTACCGCACTAAGTGAGCCTCCGTCAGTAATGGGCAGTCCGATGCCGCGGAGAGCGATGTTAGATGTGCCCAGCGCATTACAGAGCAGGAATTCAAGTCGAGGGAGAGCACGCACAACTGCTACAACATCTGCAAACGGTAGCCTGGCGCCATCTCCGTCGCCATCAAGAGGACTGTCTGCAGCAAGAGGAGATGGGCGGCCGCCGCGATCTAGCTCACTTTTCAGACCGCCTCCGCCGGAGACGCCTTCGACAACGGATATGCTGATGCAGGTCATCACTTTCTCCAGCCGCCCCTCGAGCACGAACACCTCTGAGGAAGACGAGGCGAGTGACGGTGATGACGAGGAGAAGACTCCTGCTCGCACTGCCAGTCTCAACCACATTTTGACGAATATTGTAATTTTGCAAGAGTTCATTCTTGAGCTTGTTGCTGTTTTACAGGTTCGCGCCGCTGTGCTTGGAGACCGTGAGGTGCAAATTGCGGCGTGAGTGAAAATTGATCGGCATGTCAAAGTTCTTGAATGAAAGACCAGACCGTGACTGGCCCTTTCCCTGCTAGGTGAGAAGTGGCCAGACGTTGTGCTTGATACCAAGGCTGCAGCTGCTCGGTCAAAGTGGTGAAGCGACACAAAGCTCGTTGGAGCGAGTACGATTTGAAGACCATCAAACACCGACACGGCCTCACAAGAATAAATTGAGCATTGCTGTTCGATCTTGCCGCTCCTGTGAAGAGCGTGAAAACCTACACTCCTCGCGACAAGACATCAGCGACAGTGTGGATCACGTTCTGTTCACTTGCCTTGAGAGCTGCGGTCACTCCCAAGCAAGCAAAGCTAGGCTGGGCACGCTCGGCACGCTGGCGGCCGGCTACATCAGATGCTGCATGCACACGGAAGTGGTTCTTATCTCCACGCTCTGCGATGGCATGCGAGAGCTGAGTTCAAGTAGCAATTGCCTGGAAGCGCCCTCATCATCCTCCGACGAGAGAGAGCTGCGGATGGCCGAATGAGCGTGCAGTAGTCCGGGTGACTAGCCTTATCGCTTGTCATCAGGAAAGACAACATCGAGTCGTCGCTGAATCAGTTATGACTTCTGCGACGCCGTCAATGAGGTGCGAGGTGAGCTCTTTGACACCATAGCGGATCGAGCAAGGTTCCTGCAGGAACGCGGCTCGTCGGCAGAAGCCAAAGCGGAGTTCGGCCAACTGCTCATATAGCTAGCATAACACGCTCTTCCACTGCCAGCCACGAGTTCTCATACATCCTACATCTTCACATCGTTTTAGAGTTCCCAAAATGCCTGGGAAAGTACTTTCACCTTACAAGCAGGTACCAGAGACCAAAGCTGATCGTGCGTTGACAGCTTCTACATACCTCTTCGACTACATCACGTATCTGACTTGTACACACAGTGGACTGGGCTGAGCTCGTAACCCTCGACCTCAGTCTCTTCGATCAACCGAACGGCAAGCAACAACTCGCCGACCAACTCGCCTACGCCGCCCAACACGTCGGCTTCTTCTACGTCAAAAACTTCGACATCTCCCAAGAAGAAGTCGATCGTCAATTCGCTCTCGGCCGCGAATTCTACAACCTGCCTCTCGAAGAAAAACTCCAATACCACAACCTCAAAGACCTCGAGAGCGGGGAATACAACGGCTACCGTCCCGCCGGTCTCCGCCAACTCACCGAAACAATCCGCGACAACGTCGAAGTCTACAACATTCCCAAATTCGACGGCTTCCATCACCGTGCTCAGCCTCCCGTTCTCCAAGACCACATCAAAGAAATCGAAATGTTCAGCCGTAAATGTCACGATCTAGTCATAACCAAACTCCTGAAACTCTTCGCTATCCTTCTCGAACTCCCTTCCGAAGACCAACTTGTCGATCTTCACAAATACGACACAAAAGGCGAAGACCATCTTCGCTACATGCACTACAAAGCTCGCACACCGGAAGAGAATAAACTCGTTGGAGAACTTTATAGTCCTGGCCATACGGATTTGGGATCTCTGACATTGTTATTCCGCCAACCAGTCGCAGCGTTACAAATCTTGAATTCGAAGAATGAATGGAAATGGGTTCGTCCACAAGATGCGACAATCACAGTGAATATCTGCGATGCGTTGAGTGCTTTGACGGGAAACTGGCTCAAAAGCAGCGTACACCGCGTTCATGCTCCGCCTGAAGATCAGGCGCATGTGGATCGGTTGGGAGTATTATATTTCTCCAGGTCCGTTTTCCTCCTCCATACACCCTACATCTTTTCGTACTGACTTTCCTACCAGACCAAACAACCACGTCCTCCTCGATCCCATCTCCAACAGTCCAGTGCTGGAGAAACTCGGCATCAAAGACAACGAGTTCACGAAACTCGGTCAGCATTTGACTATGGAAGAATGGTGTAAATTGCGCCAGACGCAGCAGCAGAGAAGGACGAAGGCGCCGAAGATTGAGGGGACGAAGTATACGTATGAGAATGGAGAGTTGGAGGTTATGAAGGGGTATTCGGCGAAAGTTTATAATTGAGGGAAAGGGAGGGGTGGTGGATGGGATTGGGGATGGGCGTGGGTGTGGGGAATCGCTGGTATTGTCGGTTGGGAGTGTGTGCTAGAGTTGTAGGTGGAAGTTAGTTGGGTAAGTCTGGTCATGAGTTTAACTTTAGAGAAAAAAAAACGTATTCTAGGGATCTATAGGAATTAATTCCTTCTATATGTATCTCAAGTGGTACTGACTGGCCGCGTAGTGCGTGTTTTTCATCGGCACAGAGGCCTACACGTATAGGTATGTATAGTCCACTGGCGACAACTGTGGTTCGGTAGAATAAAGTACAAGTACTGTTCACACTCCGGTAGTGGTCTGCAGACCCATGGTACGCATCGAAAAATCTCTAAGCTTTTTTTCTCCCGGAAGAGTGTACTAAGGACAAGTCTCCGCAAAGTACGCTTGAGAATAAATACAACAAGCCCGCACCCCCATCAGCTCACACAATACTCACGCCCAAAATCCACCTTCTATCGCGGCGAACTTCTTCAAAAGTAGCGACCGGCTTTGCGAACATGTCGTCCACAACTCACTCCCTCGCATCCGACTCCGACATGCCCAAGGATTTCTTACCAGAGAAATCCTGGCCTCAAGATAAAGACATCTGCAACATCTGCCAAAATCCAGGAATACCTGCCCAGAGAACCTGTCCCAGTCCATGCACACACGCATGCTGTCTGCAATGTTATCACGGCATCCGATCAAATGGACAAAATTTCTGCTCCTTCTGCCACAAGGGCTGGTACGTTGCGACACGATCCGTCAAAAGATCACCAGCGCCTCCGCCGCCAGAAGAGGTACCGGTCGATTATTCGTATACGGCACAGAAATGTACAGTGCTCGCGGCCATCGTTCTTGCGCAGCTACTGATGGCGTTGGCGGTGTCGTGGTGCGGCCGATACTAGGTGGAACTTCGAGCGATCCATCTCAGAGTGGGAACTGCGAGCATAGTGTTCGACGGGTTTCGGTAGCGGTGCGAGCGTGGATAAGGCATGGTGATACAGAGTCGAGTGTCTGATCTGCATCTCGAGTGTGATGATCGATTTCGTGCATCTTGCTCCGGGTCCTAGGACGGAATGGCCTGCCAGCTCGTTGCCTGGCTGCCAGCGTTGACGCCCAGAGGGCGTTGAAAGCTCGCTTCTTGGGCCGACATCGCGAAGGCGCTAGCATTCAGAAAGATGTCCAAGCCATGCACACTTCATTATTCGTGGTCAGGAGCGAAACTCCAGGATCTCCTACTTCTCAAGGTGCAGGCTTGCTGTCGCTGTCAGGCGTTGACGGCGATTCTGAATCTTTGCGGCGCGACTGCAAGGCAGCACAACCAGAAGAATGATCAGCATCAGCTGGGCACGCAGGCTCGAGCGGCAGCGGTAAAGGTGCAACGCCCGGAAAACCGTATTGTCCCTGACTGACCCAAACACCTTCCTCACTCCGCTTAAAGATAAACATACTGCAGGCTTCACGTTCGCAGCCTTCGGGGTAATTGCTGTGCCTTAACAACATCCATACTTTGGCCTTCGTTATTTTCTCTTGCAGCTCGACTGTGATTGCCAACGCAGTGGCCTTCCAGTTGGGAAACGTCGCCCTTACGCCGAGCAAGTGCTCCCTGTACTCTTGACGGGAGTTCAAATGACGAACATTCGCCAAGTGGAATTGAAAGTTGGGGGAAATGTGGCGGTTGAAGAACGGACCATAGACATCGCCTCTGGACACACTTGGTCAGCTTAGCAGGCGCGGCGGATGTGTGTACAATCTGTGACAAACCCATACACTTCTGTCAGTTTTTCGCACAACTCCTCTATGGTTTTCTCCGCCTGCTGTTTGTCGTACTTGGTCACCCTGCGAGGCTTGTCCGTCGAGGCATCTTCAGTAGTTGCTTGCTGGGCGTCGTCCGAGTCTGGGCCTGGCATCGCCTTGCGCGATGGTGTGCGAGGGCGGATCAGGTCTGCGGTGTGGCGATCAGTAAGTTTTGATCGATTCTGGAAGAAAGCGGGTATAGTTTAGCCAATTCGCTTCTATTAGAACTGCCGTGCCGTGTCGATGACAGAAACTTCGATGCAGCCGAGCTCAGGGCGGTGATATAGTATGACTCGTGAGACAATCACGGGAATGCCAGCGGTGAGCGCTGCACCCTGCGAACCATTGATGGTATGCGCGCCCGATGCCCGTTCCTTCTCCGTGACGTCCAGGTTGTCGCCGTGAGGCCAGCGAGGGCGGCAGTAGCGATGGTTCGAGATGATATAGGCAATGCATAAACGTGAGCGGGACCGGGGTGTGGCTGACTCTAAGCTGCTTCTGGGGGCATCCATGCGGGCACGCATTTCTGACAGCCTGTTCAGCCGGAGCTGGCTACGGGTGGCGCCTGAGCTTCCTCGCCCATCTTACACGAACGTCTACGCAAACGCAAAATGTTCGCAGCACGCTGGAGAAGAAGGTCGATGGGCGGCGTTGGTGCTGAGATACCGACGGGTCTGCACGTCCACTGCCGTCTGCCGAAGTCTGTTTCACAACGTGCTCGGGTGCTGGAAACAGCGACGGATGCTGCTCTTGGCGCGGTGCGGTGGATCGTAGCGGAGTCTGCACGGCCGATCAGGTACGCGACCACCAGCGTTTGCTGCAGCTCGCCGAGAAGAACATCGTCTTCACGAGAATGGGCGAGCGCGAGGCAGACGGACAGCTGCACCAGTGTTTGACGGCAGCGTTGGGAGGCCCGTTTCCACCCCAACTCTGGCATTCATTCACCGGCAGGCTGGCACGCGTCGTGACCCAAAGACATCGCATCGCATACAGGCATGACAAGGGTCTTGTTCTCGCGCGTGCATGGCGATGGAGCACAATATCGACCAGACGGGACGCCGGTGGGCTGTTCACTCTCCAGTCGTCGTTTCCTTCACCTGCTCTCCTCCTTCTTCATCTCTGAACATCTCTCCTTCCTCCTCCCTCACTCGCTGACCACAAGACCATCACCAACAACGCCCTCACAATGCACTCGAGCATTGTCCTGACCGGTCTTCTGGCCGCGACCGTCGCTGCAGTTCCACGCGCAGAGAAGCGCTCGCTCTCCGTCTACAGCACTGTCAATCACATCACCAAGTACCGACCTTCATCGCTCTGCACTGGCGGTGCTCTTTCCACCAAGACGGCCATCAAGGACAAGACCGTCACCTCGACCATCACGACTTGCTCCGCACCAACCACCGAGACCATCACCGTCACCCCAGAGGCAGTGACGACAGTCTGCGGTGATGACGCCGACAGCAATCTGTTCGCACGACAGGAGGCAGGCTGTACCAGCACCACCACGGTGTATGCATTGAACCTTGCCTCTTGAACGTGGACGTGCAGCTAACGGAAGAACAGATCGGCCTCGGTCGCCACCGTCTTCACCGGACAATACAATCGCACCCAGCCGAAGCCTACTGCCAGCCCGCTCGAACAGAGATCGCCTGCATTGCTTCCAGGACTGATCGGCTCAGTAGTCCACCGACTTGGACAGAGCCCTCTCCTCCATTCGAAAGCCTTCGAGGTCGACTGTTTAAAGAAGGTCACTACTCATGTCTATGTCACCACGACCGTGGCCGAACAAGCAGTGACCGAAACCGTGACCGCCGAGACACCGATTGTCTGTGTCACACAGCAGCCAGGCAAGGTACTGGCACCTGCAGACCTATCAATCACAACGACACTGAGAGCGCCCACAACTAATGGCTCAGCTACTGGTGGGGTGTGCACTGTGACAGAGAGTGCTTCATCCACCACTACACAACATCTCAAGTGCGCTCCGACCAACCTCATCTCCGAGATTGGCGGCAAGGGCATTGGCCAGACGCAAGGAGACGAGTCCAACACGCGTGGTCTGGCGCCTGGCAGCGACCCAAGCGCCTGCTGCCAACTCTGCGTCGACACCGACGGCTGTGCAGCCAGCGAAGACGACTGGAAGGCTGGCAACTGCTTCCTGTGGTACACTGAGCCTACCTGCGGTCTTGGCTTCAAGTATTCGGACAACAACCAGAATCTCGCGCCAGGAGCTGGCTTTCTCGTGCAAACAGGGTGTGGCTACATTGAAGAGACTGAAGCGCCAACAGGCGAGTAAGTACTTTATGCATGAGTCGATCACTGGGTCTTTTGTGGAGCACTGGCAGCGGAGGTTATGCATAAAGTAATGATGGGGCAGAGATGACAGAAGCGCACGAACAACAGTCTACATGAAACAGGGAATTAATGCAAAGAGAAAAGGATGCCAAGATTAGACAACCTGGCAGGCTGGAATAGCTTCAGCCACGAACCAGGTAGCTGAGTGCGACTGCACTGATGCAGAGTGATACAATCGAACCCTTCTTGCGACACTGTGTACAAAATCTTGGTCAGAGCCGGCTGTGGTGACGCCACAGCTTGTCGAATTCATGATGCAGCATCCTTCCATTTTATGATGCCAATTGCATGCCATCTCACAACTCGCACTCTTTTCACCTTAAACCGCTTTGTTGTACCCTAAGTCCGCCCATGTCAGCTAGTGAAAGCTTCTAAGCAAAATCGAGCCAGAAACGTCAATTGCGTATTAAAGCGCAAAGTCAAAATGGCCGAGCAGCAAGTCATCCCGGCACGTCACGGCGTCGCGACCTTTGTGCCTGCCGGATCAAGTATCAAAATCGTCAACACTTCTGGAACTCAAGTTGTCGATACATGGGCTTTCGCTCTTCCGCAGCCGGCACCCAGAAAAGATGTAGAGGAAAACGCAAAATCGAAAGAGGAGATTGGCAAGCAAGAAACAGCAAAGGCTGCAGAGAAAGTCAAGGGCAAAAGCGGCAATGATTTGCCCTCACAAGAAGAAGCTGAGCAGGCGACAAGAGAAGCACACGAACAAGCCGAACAACAAGATGGCCAGAAGAAGTCTGGTTGGAGTTCCTACATCCCATCTGTCCCAACCCTAGGCCTCGGAGGGAAGAAAGACGACACCGCATCATCAACGCAACAGAACACAACCGACTCCGCCCAAACCCAACAACAAAAAAACTCCAAATCCTGGGCCTCATACTTCAAACCCGGCAAAGGCTTCTCCTCCTACATCCCCGAAGCAGCAACCGATACCGTCTCAAAATTCATGAGCGCGCACTCCCGCGATCCAAACAAAACCTATCTCGAACAACTCACTGATTTCTCCAAAACGCCCGTCGGAGCAGCTGGAATGTCCGCTTTCACGGGCTCAGGCTATTCAGGTTCTTTTTACGCGGGCTATCAGGCTTACAATGCGAAGAACGCAGCTGATGCACCGAATATGGAATATTTGAGTTTATCCCATTCACGAGCTGCGACGTTACATTTAGTTCCGAGAAAAGGTGATACTCTGGTGACGAATTTACGAGAGCCGATTTTGACGGTTTTGGAGGATCGGTCGGTGGGGGTGCACGATACGTTGATTCCGGCTTGTGATCCGCAGCGGTATCGAGGATTGGGAGTAGAAAAATGGGAGGAACATGGATCTTGCGCGGAGAATTTGGTTCTGGCGTTGAAAGAGTTGAATGAGAGGGCCGGGTTGAAAGGCGCGAAAGCGATTGGAGCGGATGTCACGATTAATAGTGTGCCGGCTCCGTTGAATTTGTTTATGAATATTCCTTGGACGGATGATGGGGAGATTAGTTTTGAGGGGCCGAAGGGGAAGGCTGGGGATTATGTGAGGTTTAAGGCGGAGAGGGATGTGGTTGTTGTTATGTCTGCTTGTCCGAATGATGTGAATGGCATCAATGGGACGAATATCACGGATGCGAACTTTATTGTTCAGGAGGAGGGCGCGAGTGAAGCGATTAAGAGGACGCAGCCTAAGAAGAAGACTGTGCCGAAGATGAAAACTGCTCCGACGCCAGCAGCCAATAAGTCGCCGGCCGCCGCTGCGCCAAAGAAGAAGGCTCCGCCTCCAAGTGCTCCTCCTCCAGCGAAGAAGACCGCCGCTGCGCAGTCTCCTCCAGCACCAAAGGCTGCTCCGCCTGCAAAGAAGCCTCCTCCAGCTAAAGCGCCTCCTTCAGCTACCAAGACTTCGACGCCCGTGAAGCCTGTCAAGAAGCCGGCACCACCTCCGGTCAAGCCACAGACGAACGGCGACTCACCTGCTGCCACTCCTGCGGTGAAGAAGAAGCCTCGTAAGCTTGTCAGGCAGCCAACAGAGTCCTAGTTCAGGGCTGCCAGTTCCGAGGTGGCTACATACGACGCATTAGCATGAAGTACGGAATAACGAAGGGAAGAAACAGTACAACTGAGGAGAAGCTGGATGTGAACTGTATTCATCTATACTCTGTATCTAGGAAGCAATGTACAATAAACCACCAATCAGTCCATGAACACTCTTCTTACACAAATACGCCTCATGTAGACGAGATCGACCACCTTCTCAACTACCGTCACGGCCTTGAAACTCTGAGAATCACATCCTCACCTTCACAACACATCACCAAAAATCACTTCTCCCCTTCCTCCAAAACCTTCTCCGCCTCCCCAACAACTTCTTTCAAACTCTCCGCACTCTTCCTCACCCTCCCCATCTCCTCACCACTCAACCCGGGCACTTCCACACTCCTCACCAACCCCTCCCGTCCAATAACAGCCGGCATACTCAAACAAACCCCCAACTCCTCATTCCAATGACTAACCGGCCTAATAACCCTCTGATCAAACAACACAGCCTTACAAATACTCCCCACCACAGCGCCAATTCCATAATTCGTCGTTCCTTTTCCCTCGATAATCGCTCCGGCTTTATCTTTCGTATTCTCCTCAACCTCCTCTCGGTTGATTTTTACGCTTTCGCTAGTTTTTTCGATCCGATCGAGTGGAACTCCTCCAACGGAAACTGCAGACCATGCGACGACTTGACTTTTTCCATGTTCGCCGAGTACAAAAGCTTCGATATTACTCTGTGAAATCCCGATTTGTTTTGCCAATTGTCCTTTTAATCTTGCAGAGTCGAGGAATGTCCCACTACCAAAGATTTGCGCTTTTGGTAAATTAATAAATTTCTGAGCGAAAAAAGTCATAACATCAACAGGATTCGCTACACAAATCACCACAGCTTCTTTCTTAACCTCTCCCAAACCCTCCGCAACAGATTTTAGAATTTTCGCGTTTTTGCCGACTAAATCTGTACGACTTTCACCTTTCTTTTGGGCTGCGCCGGCTGTGATGATGATGATATCTGCTTGGCCGGCTTCGGAGGGGTCCTCGGCGACGTGGACGCGAGTGCTGGTCGTGTCGCTTTGGAGAATTGCGTCCCGTAGGTCTTCGGCTTGGGCTTGTACGATCTCGGTTTGCGGGTCGCTGAGGATGATTTGGCCGGCTATGGGGTTGAGGATGAGGGAGAAGGCGATTGAAGAACCGACTGTGCCTGCTGCGCCGACGATGGAGATCTTTGTGGGGGAGGAGGTTGACATTGTTGAGATGGGTCGTATTTTTGAGAGAGTGATTGGGCTTGTTGATTGTTTGTTGATGATAGGTGAGGGTCTTCTGGATCTTTGGAAAATCGGTGTTGAGTATTCTTGGATTGCTATGTAACGGAGTAGGTGCGATCGTGGAGTAACGAGAACGACCTGTGGAGTAGCAGACAGCGACACCCGTTTGAGGACACACTGTTGAAACATGTGATATATTGCGAAGGAAATCTGCGAATGGTAGACTGATTGCCAATGCCTGGTGTCACTTACACTGCGTATCGATGATGACTGCTACAACGTCATATCTTGGTCAATGGATCACGAAATTCACACGAGGTCACATGCCAGCGTCCACACTCTTCTGGAAAAAGCTCATAGGGGCTTTGCCAGGATAGCAAGGCTAGAATGTGCTTATCTGCCCGCTTCAGACATGTCGGGCGGATGAGAAGGGATCGGGAGTCATCGAAAATATTGCAAGAGCCAGGCAGGCTCGTCGCTGTGGGTTGCAGGATGCGAGCCCGCTTAGCGCATGCGTGCGATGAGGAACAGGTATGGCACAGCATTGGGAGGATCCTCGGGCTAAGAGGACGTGAGAAAGATGCCGTGGGATTGCGACGTGCCTCATTCCGCTCCTTTAGCTGCACGGCGTGGACGCGAGCAAGGCCATTTCAATTAGCATCGCTGCATTGTTGGTCGCCTGAACAGGCTCCCGACCGCAAGCCGGTCGGCTCACTGGTCCTGAGCACACAAGCATGGCAATCTCTGGCCGGAGGCGAGAGGAGCATGCCAGGCATAATGTCGATGGGCTGTATGTGGTAGCGGACAATCTTTGTGCTTGGCCATGGCACGGGGCATCGAGGTATCTTGGTTCCGTCATGGGGTTGAAGTCTCGCGCGCTACTCAATCGGCATATGCGTCCTCGTGAAGCATACGTGACACCGCTCTTTGCTGAGTGCTGATTTTTGCAGCCCTCAGATGGGCAAAAGCACGGAGAGTGGTCCCATCAAGCCCAACGCGCGAGCGACAGCGAGCTCGCCGTATGTCTGCATAAGTGTCGAAGTTTCCTGCCGGCCTGGACGTTTGCGAGTTATCCCCAAACGATTTTCACTGCATATTCCTGCAGTGCTTCGCGAAGGATGGATCATGGGATCACTTCTCGCGTGCAGGATTCGATCCTGTGTTCCACCAGAAAGCGCATGCAGCTGCATCGCAGAGAAGTCGCCAATGCAGCTAGCATCACAGCGGCTTGCCGTAACAACTTGTGCGACATGCCTTGGCAGTCTCATCAGACCGAGCTAACTTTTCGCTCGAGGTGAGCTGAGCTGACGGCCCGCCTGTACGCAGCGCAGCCTGGCCGAAGGATCGCAGGATTGCATCTTGCACGTCGAACTTGTTTGAAGCAAGTCTGCGGCGTTCGGGACCACTCAGATCGAAGAGGAATAAGCGCAATTGTTGCACTTGGCGCCAGGTGAAAGCTCGCAGAAATCTGCGCTCGTGCAGCGATCCACAGCGTGATCCGTCAGGACAGACGGCAGCCGTCCACTCTCGTGAAGGAGGCGCAGCTGTCAACGCAATGGCGCTTCTTGAGATCGCATGCTTCCACCCTAAGAGCGCAGTAATAGCTGTTGCTGCTGGTGCAGATCGCGTTGAGCTTTGCACCGATCAAGCCGCTGGCGGTATCACACCACCTTCAGCATGGCTGTCGGAAGTCAAGGCTCAAGTGACAACGCCAGTCTTCGCCATGATCCGACCTCGGCCAGGTAACTTCCGATACTCTGATGCAGAGTTCGAGGAGATGCGCAGGAGCATTGCTGCGTTCCGCGCGGAAGCCGATGGATTCGTGTTTGGTCTTCTGGATGGAGAGGACCACGTCGACGTGTCGCGCACTGCGGAGCTGGTCCGCCTCGCCAGCCCGCTGCCATGCACCTTCCATCGTGCATTCGACGAAACCGGCGATCTCATGCAAGCGCTCGAAGATGTGGTGGCCACTGGATGCCATGCCATCTTGAGCTCGGGTGGAGCGAGCAATGCTGCTGCGGGAGCCGATGTGCTCAAACAACTTGTTGAGAAGGCCGCTGGACGAATCGTGATCATCGCAGGAGGTGGCATCCGGCTGAGCAATGTTCAGCGCGTTCGCGTGACATCCGGCGTCTCCGTCTGCCATTCTTCTGCACTTGCTGCAAATAGCGTCACGCCCGACGACCGCGAGATCCGGCAAATGAAGACCATCTTGTCGCAAGGTGGCGATGAGAGATGATTTATCGTATCGGAACGTTGCGTCTGGAGTGTAGCCTTCAGCAATGCTACGTTGCCATCGCCACTTATGGCCAATGCTGCTGAAAGGATCCGCGGGCGCGTCAAACGCGTTGTGTTGACGAAAAGTTCTTGGCAAGTACGGAGATCGGTCCAGTTGAAGAGCATGTGACGAGTGGGGGCAGTAGCATCAAAGAAGGCATGTACACCGTAGTAGTCAAAAGCGTCTTCGAGTTGGCAGTCGAGTGCAGAGAGAATCTTGGAGATTGAAAGAAAAGCGGTTGGAATCGTGGTCGTGGCAGCATCTTTCACCGGTCAGCTCGGCTGGTCGTTAAGCCGACCGCGGACCAAGAACGCATCCAAACGCACTGTAGATGTGAATTGAGATATGCTTCTTTGATCTAATATAACGTGAAGTGGTCCAAGAGGTATCATACATGTATCTATTCTGCGACCCAAACAGCAGCCATACCCATTCCTGTGCCGACACACATAGATGTCAAGCCAATCTTCTTGTTCGTTCTCTTCAGCTCGTACAGCAGGGTGCTAACTTGTCGAGCTCCAGTACAGCCGAGCGGGTGTCCGAATGCGATTGCACCGCCCTTGGGGTTGATCTTCTCTGCAGGCAGGCCAAGTTCGTTGGCGCACCACAAACATTGCGATGCAAAAGCCTCGTTGATCTCGTAAATGTCCACATCATCCTTGGTAATACCGGCCTTCTTGAGAGCCTCTGGAATGGCTTTCCAAGGACCAATGCCCATGAGAAGTGGTGGGACACCAACCACTGATGCTGTCACGTACTTGCCCATAATCTTTTGTCCAAGACGCTCGGCTGTGCTGCGCTTCATCAGGAGCACTGCGGCGGCGCCATCCGAGATTTGAGATGCGTTGCCGGCGTGGATAGAGCCGTCCTTGGAGAATGCAGCCTTGATCTTGCCCAGCGACTCCACAGTGACCTCGCGGACACCATCATCGGCAGCAACAGTGATCTCCTTCTCCTCGTCGGTCTTTGGGTCTGTCCACTTGACCTTCAATGGGTAGATTTCTTCCTTAAAGAGTCCTGCTTTGTTCGCCTGACCAGCCTTCTTGTAGCTGTCTGCTGCGAACTGATCTTGCGCGGCCCTTGTGATTCCCTTGTCCTTGGCCATGTTCTCACTGAGAAGACCCATAGGCACCTTGCACTCGGCTGCGGCCTTGTGGCCCTCGAGCAGGTCACTGAATTCAGTGACAGCTTGTGGTCCGTACTGTGTGCTCATGCTCTCCACACCAGCTCCCACACCGATCTCGATCATGCCTGCTTTGATGGCGTTGGCGATTTCGGCACATGCCTGCAGACCAGAACTGCATTGTCTGTTCAGGCTCTTGACTGCCGTGCTGTCTGGAAACCCGGCTGCAAGAGCCGCTGCTCGGAATTCTGTTGCACCTCCACCTGGAGCCAGGACGCACCCTACTGAAACATCTTCGACCAGAGCTGGATCGATGCCGGAGCGCTCGATCAGGCCCTTGAAAGCACCGTGGAGCAAATCTGCACCCGCAGTATCCTTGAAGCCTCCTCGGCCGCCTTTTGTGATGGCTGTTCGGAGTGCGCAGGTGACAACGATATCATCGGGACGCTTCTCAAGCAGGCCTGCTTTGCCTGTAGCTTGCATGTGGCCAACGACTTGCTGGACTCGGCCTTGCGCGGCTGCGGTTGTGCTTTGGTTCGCCATTGTGTTTTCTGTTCTGTCTTCGAGGAGTTGAAGGAGAAGTGAAGTGCGAACTGGAACAATGAATCTGGTCTATGTGTTTTGGTGTGATCATGCGCGAGCTCCGAGCCTTGTGGTTCCGAGGCGATTGCACATGCCGAGGCACCCTGTCCCAGACGTCATCCGCAGTAAGCAATCTTGTGAAGACTCACCGTGCCTCAGGAATTGCATACTGGTCCTGGGCTCATGACACCCAGCATCAAGAACATCACATGTTTGCATTTGCATGTGCAAGAAGTGAAGGTCGTGCAAGCAGTCGACGAGCCTCCGCACTCCGCAGCCGCAGAGCTAGGGCACTGCCGATGTCGTCGTCCCTTTTCCGGCCACGACTTGCGGCGGTTCCTTTTCCTGGGGAACTCGCATGCGAGCACGCGCTGGATCATTTGAGACGGTGTTGGACAAGGAGCTTGCGGAGGTTTCCCGTCATGTTGACCATTGTTTGGCCATGTGCTAGAGCTGATATAGAAGGCAATATCCGGTCCGACCTTGGCTGTCAGGCGGTGCCGCTGCGCTGTATGCCGCAGACGCCTCCAGAACATCGGCGGCGCGTCTGCATCTGCTTCTGGCCTTCGGCCAGCCGTAAATAATATTAAATCTGCTGGTCATGTGGCTGTCGTCGTTTCCAGGCCACGAGGCTTGGCCGCGTGAAAGGAGCAGCCACATCTCATCGCCCGTGAGTGACGACCAATCCATCGGGACCGAGGGCAGCGTGCACGCAAACATGGCTGTTTTTGCGTTTTCTGCTGCTCGTTGTTAGCCCTACTCGTCGCGCGCGAGCTTCCCAATGAGGAAAGTTGGCATTGTTCTGTCTGGGCTCGCTGCTCGGTGAAACAAGCAGCGAATGCTACCGTCGATCCTGCCTCAGCCTCCAGCTGGTTGTCACCGCCGTGCCTGGCGGACTGCGCCGGTATGATGATGTGGCCTCCGGCCACGCTCTGGCAGCAGAAACACGATGACTACGCACGGGCAAAAATAGGCTAAGCCCTATCTCGGCGCATTCTCAACCTTCTAGCTCAAAGCATCTCCAAAGCTTCGTGAAACTAGGGAAGCCGAAGGAATCGGGCTCGCAAGGACTGCCAAAGCATCATGATTCGTGCAGGGTTCACTTGATTCTGATGGACATGCAACCCGATGCGAGATCGCTCCCTCAGCAGGATTGACAGCAAGCAAGGCTGCAGACCGGCGGCGCAGCGCAGCCCGCCTTTGCCTGCTTGGCTTCGGAGACGAAAAAGCAGCCTCGCGGCGCGTAAGGTGGCGCTCCCACTCCCACCGCGGCCGTCATGGTTGGTGGTGGCCGCTGTGGACGTGCCTCACATTGCTACCGGTGTGCAAGGATTGCCCTTAGGCGCGCAGTAAGCGCCGTACGCCGCACATCTCAGCAGTGACCACGCTCCACTCCGCCGGTGCACATGGAGAGGAGGCCGGCACGCGAGCAGGCCAGTGTGCCCCATTCCCCGGCGAGCCAACTAAAAAGAATACGTACAGTGACCGTCACTAGACGGGCGTATGGCATCGAGGGCAAGTCGTCTTATGAGCCTATGACGCCTCGTTCGCTACACCGCGAACCCCATAAGCGAGACGCGAATCCTGCGACCAGGAAGAAAAGCGAGCCATAGCCTGTTCATCCATCAGGATTCGAGCGCTACATGAAGCCACCAAACCTTCACGAGGCACCGTGGGCACCCTGTTGTCATCAGGCTTGCCCGCTGATGTGCTTTGACCGCATTCCGTAAAGCCTGACTGGAAGCTTGTCTCAGCTAACTACTGCAGGATAGCGATTCGATATAGGTCCGCTCGTGGCCACCTCCCTTTGCGATACGAGACGCCTCGACGACTGCGCTTAGCATCATCAGCTGTACCACTGCGTGGCCGTTAGAGTTCAACGCAAGCATCGCATTCCACGTGGCCACCAGCCAAGGCACTACAGCAATCGTGCGATTCTTTTTTATAAGCCACCCTGCGTCCTCCTGTCTGCACACGCCTCCCACCGTACTCAACTGCCGGACAGTGGCGAACGAATGACAAAGTCTCAGTCATAAAAGACGCCCAGCAGTCCTCCGACAAAGCCTTACGAAGCCTCTGATCCAGCTGCATCCGTGACGCAGGAGTCAATCGGCCACACCGCGAGCAAGGTCCACATAAACGATGCCCACTGCAACACGAGAAATACACTATGTCAATACGAAACTTCCCAAAATTCGCACCGCTTATCAGATGTCAGTAGAGATGCCTTCATCACCTCTGATATCTGCCAACGGCCACGGTTCGATGCTGCTTGGACCGTCGAGGGAGCTGCCCATGCCAGTCGTTTCCCACATCACGAGTATAGCGCAAGCTCAAGCGACATTACAACATTGCGCAACCCGATTGAACAAGTCATGGCAAGGTAATCCTGCCAGAGCATCACCACCCGGCTCTCCCATCGATGGCCAGGAAAAGCGACACTTCCAGCGATGGCTCGAACAATGGGAACAAGCGTTTACCGCGTACTTATCACTCCACATGTCCGGCATGAAGCCTGATGAGGTCACTCGATCACGGATTCTCAAGGCCAACCATCTCTCGTGCACCATCCTGGCCTCACAAGCTGGCCCTAGCATGAGAACTGACGACGTTTTCGCCAACGAATGTCAGGCCATCGTGGAGCTTGCGAACGCGGTGACTGTGGCGCGACAAAAGGCAGGTTCGCAAAGTCCCGTTTCTTCGAGCCCAGGCGCGAGCACACTGGACATCCGCGAACCGCTCTACGTTGTCGTTGCATGCTGCAATCGAACTGGAGTACGCAACAAGGCTATCGAGCTCATTAGCAGGAGCAACCCGCGATGAGCATTCGCAACGGATTAATGCTTTCCCAGCACAGCCCCCAAGGAGTGGAGCAACTAGCTCCCAACTGGAAGTCATCTTCCCGATCAGGGAGGTGTTCATCGTCACGACGGCTCGACGGAAAGCTGGGACAAGAGAACGTGCAGGTTTGCTAGCTCGGACCCTGGCCCCCAGGCTTCCGGCAAGCTCGATCCTTCCGCGCATTCGCACTTTTTCAGTCGAAAGTTTGTCGCGTGCAAAGACTTCACCGGCAGAGCGACGGTACCTCTACCACGCTCGTTCAGCGCCGTACGACAACCTCCGTACATTATCGTTTCGACCACGAACGGTGGCGCGCGCATGCAGGACGGAATTTTTCAGCTTCGCATCGACTGCAACATTGCGGCGCGAGCGCGCCACATGGCCGGCGGCCGACCAGTAAGAGAAGTCGAAGCAGACAGCGCCATTCGGAACCGAAGCAAGACACGGCCCGCAGCCACGCATGCAAACACACATGGCACGCACGCTGCGCCGCGCGAAAGAAGCGAGGGTGGCTTGCATCTTACGCAGTGCTTTTGGGGTCGAGGATCCGAGGCACAGCACTCGCTCGGAGTTATGATCGTTGGCAGGATCCGTCCGGAAGGAGAAAACGATACCGCAAAGTCAATGGAGCCGAGCATTCCAGCGATGACCACTCCAGTCCCACCGATGCGTGATTAGTCTGGGCTGAAAGTATTTTCGGTGCACTGAAGCATCTTGTCGAGTAGATTCGATCTGTCCAGAGTTGCCGCGCAGAGAGCTGATATGGTGAAGGTCAGGTATAGCATGTGTTGGCCTCCAGTGTACGGTGATACGGTCAGCAGCATTGGCCTATGGGAATTGAGATCGACAACTTTGTGTTGACAGACATCGAAGTGCGGATCCAAGCCTTACGAGGCAGGAGCTGCTGTGCACGTCCTTCTATATTCGATCTATACCTTTCGTCCGGCATGTCTCACTTCGAGTGTAGCGCAACCAATGCTCGAGTCATGTGGGTTTCCAGTCATATGGTACCTTCAGCACGCGTTCAAATTTTGACCGCACTCTGGGACGTGCCGTGTCATGCTACCAACCCAGAATATTTACACCTCTCTAGTGAACCACGATGCATAATTTCGCGACTTTTCCACAACCTTTCAAGAAGAGGTCGATCAGCGTTTTCGTCGCGACAAGTCCTACCGATATCTCAGACGTTGTGGATTCTTCACACGAGATCGAATAATGATCCACATCCAGAAGTCCGTACACCCGATCCTACCATCTGCCAGAATACGGCTTGCAGGCGATTGATTCCCGTCTCTGCAACGATGGAGCACGTCAACGATCTCAATGTCTCCCGTCTTCGTCTCGGCTCGGGAACATGCAACGTCCGATTCCTTCGGGATTCCTACGTGGCTAAAGGGCCCTCGGCGTGCAGTCAGCAAAAATATCAGAACCAGATCACAAATCAATGGCGGTTTGCATACCAGACTGGGAAGAGTCTTGATCGGTACCGCTGTCAAATTCCTCGGCATTTCCCATGAGAAGAAGAAAATCCCTTCAGTAAAACTGCAGAGTGAGGCACATCGTCGAGAAAAGCCTCCTGCTAGCGACATCTATCCTGCTTCCTCCGTACTTTGTCTATGCAGCTGTAACGACCTACTCATCCATACCGCACCGCTAAATCTCCATCTCGCAAGAATTTCCGAATTCGTTACACAGAGCAAACTCCAGGTTTCTCAGAGGATCCGGGAAGGATCACAAGTGCAAGCTGAGCTCGCTCTTAAATACCCTACCTCCCGCTAGCAAGAAGGAATGGCACTAGCGAAGAGCCTTGTCGTAGATCAGCAGTATGAACAAGTGAAGGACGAGACGAAGTTCTACAATTCGAGGCTGGAGCCATGTGATACACAGTCTGTTGGCATCTCTTGATCGCGAGGACAATTTCAGGAAGAGGACCGCAATCTCGTCTCTCGAATGTTTTTTCTAAACCACATCTCATCTCATCCATCGATCTCATGCACCCGTCCTTCCAAGAGCAACGGAATCTTGGCTCCCAGGAACATACCACATACCACATCCTTCCCCTCCCATCATCCTCCTCACAATCTCACACCTTCCAAAGACAGGAAAAGCTTATGCTTACAATATGCGAACACGTTCCATCCCAACCATCTCATCCATCTAAATGTCACAATGTAGTCAACCTGATGACAAGACTTCCTCCCCTGCATGAACCTCCTCCGTCAATGCACTCAAGATCCTCCATCCCATCCTCCATCCCATTCATGGAAACCGAATTCCGATCAAAGAAACTTTGCCATTGGTCGCCACACTGCATTGTACACTGCATACTGCATCGGCGACGGCGAACAGGATTGCATGCAAGCGTTCTGTCGTGTTACATAAGACTTACAAAGTGGTCTTGGCTTGCAGAATGTGGCAATCCTTCAATGCATGCATGCGAGAAGCAGATTGGTGTCAGGGGAGAAACGTGGCATGCGTGTGGGATCGATTGTGATGTGGCACGGTAAGTACACAAGTACTTTCATTGTTGAGATTTTGTCGTGAAGGTGGCGAGCTGAGCGACAACCTGATCGGGAACGTGAAAAAAATTGTGGCTGGCTGAAGGACATTGATACTTCTTCACGCACTCACCAATCATTCAGCTGTCGTGGACAAAAATGAAGGCCAGGAGGTGCGCGATCGAAGCCCGCTGAATTCGTGCATATCGTTGTAAACCTACACGATTGGAATAGTAATAGTCTTGTCCAAAACGAAGCTGCTCCAGAAGTCCATAATGCATAACAGAACGCTCACAAATAGACTCGAACCCTTGGCCCCTGCCCTAGTGATCCACTTTACACCACTTTCTTGGGCTCGAGCTCCGTCTCGCCTAGCTCAGAACTTCCATCATCAGTATCGTCGTCACGTTCAATGACCCATCCGTCACTCTCGCTTTCCCTTCGCCTTCGTCCTCGCTCACGCATAGCTTCGTGAAGGTTCTTTGAGACTTCTTCGAGATTCGTCTTCGGATTTGAATCCATGCTGGTGAATCCGAGGCCTTTGCCCGAGCCGAAGCTGAAACCACCAGATCCACTGCCTGCTCGACTTCGACTTCTATTTGGAGTAGTAGGCCGTGAAGCGAACAGGCCGATCGAACCAATGTTCCCGAATGATTCGTTGCGAGGGATATTCGAAGATTTGCTGAAGGCTCCTTGATGTTGTGTTGGGCTGGCGGGCGTAAATTGAAGCGCGTCCAATTCTCCACTCTGGTCGCGGCGATGGCGGGGCGTGCCTGGTCTCGACCTTTCTGGGGAGTGAAGAGGATGTGTGGGGTCATTGATAATGCGATTGTGGTCGAAGTCGGGATAGAGTTGAGGTCCCAGCTCGTTGATCACATTGTTGATCCTCTCTTGAAGTTCCTCGCGATCCGCTCGCAGTCGAACTAAGGTATTTGATGAAGTCGGGTTGACTGACAGCAGTAGAGGTCGAAGCGATTTGAGAATATCCATGCCGATCTCACCAACGCGAAGAGCAGCAAAGCAAATAGCCGGGAAGAAGATGATCGAGCTGATGGTCACAAGCCAGACTGGGACCCATTGTGGGACCAAGCCTGAAACGTTGCTCCTGTACATCCATACAGTTGCGACAATGGTGTAGAAAATGTCCAGAGCTGGGGTGAGAGCCAACGACACCAGAATCTTCCAGGTTGCAACAACGTCTCGAGCCTTGACCTTGACCGTGGATGCGGCCAATGCTTCCCTTGCCTTCTTGATCGAGATGAGCTTTGCGAGGATGAACACGGGTGCGAACAGAATCACACCAGGAAGGGCACCTAAACCAAGGGCGGCCACTTTCAGTGACCTGTAAATCAGCAGGGCGACGACCTTGGGGAAGCCAAATTTCGCATAAGACACCTGATGGTCACGGATATTCAATCGGAACAGAGCTCTGTTGTAGGCCAATATATCATCCCTCAGCTTGATGATCTTGGGATCATCTTTGAATGTTCGATAGCCTTTGATTAGTCGGCGATTGAGCTCAACAACAGTTGGAAGTGGCAGTGGGCGGCCTTTCGGGTTGTACAGTCTGCGAACCGCTTGAACCAGCATCAGTGTTTCGTAGTCTGGGGCCTGCACCGTCACCGCTGAAAGTGCATCATGGACACGATCAAGCAAAGTGCCAACGGCCTCCCGTTTGCGGCCACTGCTGTACTGCTCGACTAATTCAGGCTCGATATCTATTGGAGCGCCGAATTCGATGACGGCACGAGAGCGGAATTTGTGGGCGTTGAAATAGTTCATGCCCACTGGAACGATCTTGACATTGCAATTTGGGTCTTTCTCCAGAGCACCCAATGCCATGATCGCCAAACCCGGTTTGAGTGGAAGCAGCTCAGTTCGATCGTGACTGCCTCCCTCGGGGAAGATACCGATACAGCCTCCGCGATGCAAGTGATTAAAAACATCGTTGTAGACATGAGACTGGTCGACGTGTGGAGCGACGCTGAAAGGTGTGCCTTCGAATTTCTCTGTGTTGGAGTTTTCGTCATTGCCGTCCAGCGGCTTTCCTGTCAACTGTTTCAGAGCCACATCGCCCTTGAACGGTTTCTTCAATCGAAGCTCGGTAGCGCTGATTATCTCTTCGATCTCGGAGTTTGCGGCTTGATTGTTCACGCTGGGCAAGACCAACAGTCCACTTCTCATGTATTCTCCACTCGTGAAATCGGTTCCAGTGCCTCGGATCAGACACGGGTCGCCTTCCGGGTCAGGAAGGAATATCTTGCCCTTCGCAGGCTTCTTCAAATCTAGCGCTCGTCCCACAGGTACGGATCCCACCAATCCGGCCATGAAGCCTATGAACTTCCTTCTCATGCTCTTTTCTGCCACAAGGAAGGCTATCCTGCGATGGGCATCGTGTCTGACTACTCGCATCAACAACAGTGGATCGACAAACTGGTTGGCGTGCGGTGCTGCCACGAATATAACAGGACCTGACGTTGGAATGCGCCATGATGATCGAGGATGTATTTCGCGAAAGAAGAGCTCGACAACGACGTTGAAGATCCAAAGGAAGATGTCGTAAATGATGCCGTCGGTGGTGTCCTTGGCCTTGGCCCTGGCCCTCTGCGGCGTGTGGGCACCCGGCATGTTTCCGGGAAGCGGCGAGTGAATGAATGTCTCACGATCGTTTGGCGGACATTGATACGTGTTGTGTGCGGAGGTGGGCGGTAATGGTATAGATACTGGCAAGTGTGCTTCGCTGTGGCTATCGAGAGGGGCTGGCAAGCAGCGCGGGCGCTGGTGTCCTCGTGGATGGAAGTGGTTGAGAGTCAACGTTCTTCTGGAGCTTTTTACCCTCGTGCAGGCAAGAAGTTGGGTCAACAGGCGGGGCAGCTGCCGTTCGCCTGGAGGAGGTCCGTGCGCCGCGATATCACGCTCACTTGTTTCGTCGTCCTTCCTTTATCTTCCTCATCGCGACACGTCACGACACGTGTGCCCAATATCCGCGCACGCATTATCGGCGTGTTTTTCGAGTAGTCGCTCGCGTCCTCAGCGCCTCGATGCTTCAAGCACTGGCGACATCTCACGACATGGAACAGAGCAGTACAGTATCAGTCCCATCTCTCCACGCAGCCGGGATCTGGAGATGCAGCTGGGGACAAGGATATCAGCGGCACGAGGCAATGCGGGTTCATGCATGCACCGCCCGTTCCCGACCTCGACGACATCAGACTTGGCTTTTCTGTACATGGCTTGGCATGAACTGCTTCAACTTCTCCCAGCATATATCTTGACCATCGCAGTGGTGGAAGCAAAGTTGTAGCGGAGGACAGTTGCTCGACTGATGCTAACGATTTGTAAAGATTTGGCATTAATCAATTCATGCATCGCTTCTGTTCTTGGACCAGCTTAGAGGGCCTATGCATCGGCTTTCTTCGCGCCGCAAATGCAGTGTATGTATGCAGATAAAAGGCACACGCTACGTAGTCATGGGCAGCACAAATCCAAGGTCTTGGCTCCAACCTCTACTGCCTTCTCAATCTCGCCCGTCACTCTCCGTTCATGCTCCATTGATGCCCTGCCTCTCACAAACGATCATCATCGTCATCGTCCTCGTCCTCATTCACCTCCTGCTTGACAGCCAGTGTCTTGACCTTCTTGGTAGGACTCTCCACGTCGTCGTCCTGATCGCACGAAGGACTCTCCTCGCTCTCGGTGGCTGCTTTCTTGCCAATCTTCCGCTTGCTGTTCGCTGGAGTGCCCTTCACCTTCTTGCCGCCGCCGCTTTTGGCTGGAGTGCTTCCTAGGGCGGCGCCGCCACCAGAAGCAGAAGAGGTGCCGACTTCCATGGCTTCGATTTCCTTCTTGATCTTGCGCATGCGGTGCCTGTGGGGTGCGCGAGGGTCAGTGATGAGGCGAAGGAAGTCCTGCGTGTGCTGAAGAGTGTACATACTTGCACGCTTCGACAGTCACGCCCTCTGGCATTCCGGCAACGACTTCATTGAAATCAGGGGCTTTCATTCCGGTCTGCGCGAGGATGCGCATGAGCAGAAGCTTCTCGTCGGCATCGGTCCAGTTGAAGACCATTGTGGGCGAGTGGGTTAATGGTTTGTGAGAGTTGGGTGGTGGTGTTGGATGCTTGTGAAGTGTGTTGTGAGACCGGAGCTGTGGTGTTTGCTTGTTGAATGGAGCGATGAACAGAAGAAGAGCGAATGCTCGGAGGTGGAGTGGGGCAATGTGGTTGAGGTGAAGTGCAGCGGCCGTTGGTCTTCACTTGCGGCACTTGTTCCCACCCTCTCACATGCGTCAATGAAGCTGCGTCTTTCAGTTGCAACGTATTTGGACATGTGATCCATTTCTGTACCCCATGCCTTCGCCAATCTTCACTGCGAGATCCTTCTAGATCCGTTCCTGCGATCTAATAAGTTGCAGCCATTGCTGTGCTCATTGCAGGCAGCCTTCAAGTTCGTAAGCAGATGGTCTTCAACTATTGCATTGCCTATGGTTCAGGGGTCGGATGGTTTCATTACTATCAAACTCGACGGAGACGCAGGCCGAGACTGTCTGCATACTTAAGACATGCTTGAGTCTTGCACACAATCCGGGAGACTGAGTAAGGACGAAGTTGCAAAGAGGGAGGACTATGAAGTCGAATGGGTGCTGCATTCTCTGCTCGCACATGGTGCTTTCATCAGAACTCGGCTCAAACGGTAGATCTGGGGTTGCGATTACAAGGAAAGAGCACAGCTTAAGTTCTAAAGTTCTCGCCAAGCCTGCGGGATTCGGCTTTCGGTGGAATCTGTGGTCGCGAAAAGTCTTGGCAGATCATCCCAACGAGCTCGCGCTTTTGCTGCAGCAACATGACATCGCGCAGGAGTCAAGCCGATGCACATCGGACATAATGAGCGTAGGACCTGCATGCTTGTGCATCTGTATGCAGGAACATCATGTCTTCTGATGCCGCCGATGACAAGACGAAACGTGATGGCCCGTACCCTCGACAGCGCCGCTGCCATCTTCGGACTCGCAAACAACACCCTACGCAGCCAGAAACGGCCAGACCTCTGGCTAGGAATGGCATGGTACTGGTACCTGCTAACCTAGCTTTCTAGTCGAGCCAGGATGTCAATCCAACTACAGTAAACCGTAGCGACACGGCTATAGAGTTTCAGCTTACTCCAGCGCACAGCCAAGAGCTAGATCTCTAGCGACAGAGCAAGGTTACAGGCAGAACATCTCCTACGCCTTACAGGACGTACATTGCTATCCACGCTACATTGACCAGCAATTCAAATTGCAGCGATACACCAACCATAGGAGTCGCCGTACCGTTATTGTGCCTTAGTTTTGGCTCTTGCGAGATTCCAACTGACCAAAGCAAGGAACTAAAGCCCGTATCGAAGGTTTCTTGCCCTTGAAAAGCATTTGACAATCAACGATGGGCACCCCAGCGATAAGTTCATTTCGAATAAAGCCTATCCATCGCTAAGAGCATCTATGTTAAGTACACAGCGGGGCTTGCCCAAGACGATAGAAAAGCATCGAGTCTAGTCTTACCTTGGTGCACATAGTGTCCCCTTTCCGGCTGCACTCTCCATTTGCAATGTTGGCTCTTACATTATGGTCGAGTTTGGCGGTGAGTTTGGCGACGACGGAGGCTTGGGCGAGAGGGGAAAGGTTTTGGACAAGGGAGGAGCGCACTTCGCAGCCGAGTTCGTGGAGGTCACTTTACCCGTGTTGCTTGAACGCCACACAGGACTCCTACCCGAAGGTAGTGGTGAGGGACTACAATGTCTACTTGGTTACTGAGAATGGTTCTACTACTGCCTTATCCAGCACGGGAACGCAAAGCACGCCATTCGACCACGCCAATGTTTACAAGTCACCGGACGGCGGATTCGCTGTTGTCCATCAGATTGAAACGTATGGCCAAAACCGCACAATCACAGTGATCGATTCGAGCCCTGATGATCAGCGCCATCCAAGACCGGTAGTGTTCTCATACGACACGCAATACGCCAGAGGAGAGCCGCACACCTACGGGCCTTCAAACTACTTGGCCGGTGATGATCTACCGATCGTCCATCCTAAGCTCTTTGACTTGACCACGGAGAAACAAATTGAGGTCAGAAAAGACTTCATCGACAATCCGTACATGATAGAAGATGTACGTACTTCGAGGTGCATCAGGCATATCTTCAAGTAGAAGACAGCCTGCGGTAACGAAATGGAACAAGTTGTCACGCGGCGCGAGATAGCTTGTGAGCTCATTGACCGCGAAAATCTGCTGACTTGCACTCTCCTCAACACAGGCCTCGTGGAAGTTTCGAGACAACAAATACCGATACATGTACTACGAACGAGGACTACGGCGAATTCGAATGGTAGAGATCGATGAGAGTGGAGAAGCACGAATTATCATGGAAGAGACGGCTGAACAATATATTGACTACTACACGAAGCCAGCTTGGGTGTTTCTAGACAAAACAGAGCAGATGGTGTACCTGAGTGAAGCTGACGGTAAGTGGTTGGCAGAGCCATTCCCTCAAGCGGGAGGCACTCTACAGCAACCAGCCGTGTGGCAAGATACCGGGCTACTCGAGAGACCTAGTGGCCTAGCACATTAGCTGATCTTTGCATATTTTTGCTTTCCAGGTTACAACCATGTGTACCTCATCAACACCACTCGTATCGAAGGAGGTAACCCTGGTAGCGTAACTATAACGCCGTCGGGTCATGGAGATATGGTACAACAAGTCACCAAGGGGAACTTTTCTGTATACGAGGTCAATCACGTCGACGAGAAGCAAAAGATCCTCTTCTTTACAGCCTACGGTATGGTGGATGGGCAAGACCCCTACTACTTATAAGTGAGGCAATGCTGGAGATGCATTTGGTCGACTGATACTTCGATACTCGTTGCGTAAGTGCTAGAGATGTCGGCTAACTGTTCATGGTCGTTTCCAGACACCAGGCTCGTGTCAACTATGATGGCACTGGCTTCAAGGTTTTGACAGCTGATGGGGATGGACACCATAACCTCAAATGGCTAGAGAACAATACGTTCGAGGACAGATGGTCTCGCGTAGATCTGCCCCTCAAAGGTGCCATCAGAGATGAATACGGTGAGAAGATCGGCACCCTCGAGGTCAACAGCACCGTCCATGATAATATCACAATTCCTGAAAGATTCAACACCGCGGGACGGGATGGAACTACTCAAATTTACGGCATAATCGTCAAGCCGAGACATTTCAATTCGAGCAAGAAGTACCGCGTGATCGAAAACATCTACAGCGGTCCGACAAAGCAAGTCTACCTATAAGAACGACACTTCTTGGTCTCAGAATCAATACTAATCATACGCCTCGTCGATAGTTTCAATGTACCCAAAGGACTCAGCGAGGAAGTACAGTTTTATCTGGCAAGGCTCCAAAACCTATCGGATACACATGCAGTGGTAGTTGTAGTCATTGATGGCATGGGAACGAACTGGCGCGGTAGAGCTTTCCAACACTTCTTCTACAAGAATTTCAAAGACTCTGGTTTCGAAGATCGGAAGATCTGGATAAGAGCAGCTGCCGACACGAGGCCATGGATAGATTTGTCTGGTGGGGTCGGGATCTACGGTGTTTCCGCCGGGGGTTTTAACGCATTGGCTGCGCTGCTATGGCATGGCGAGTTCTACACCGCTGCAATCGCTGATAGTGGGAATCATGACCAGCGTACGTATTCGCGGGACTGAGGCCATCCCTTCATCAGATTTCGCGACTGGCAGTGGAGGGCGATGACCTCGAGTTGAGAGATGGGTGGCTCCACTTGATTGAGTCGTTCGCTGACTTTTTGCTTTCCGAATCCAGGTCTTGCCAACGCTGAATACGGTGAGGTAAGCTATCATTCTACCTGCTTGGAGACGTTCGCTGGCTTACATCGTGTGCAAAAAAGGTCTTCATGGGATGGCCGGTCGATGACGCTATCTACGACGCGAGCTCAAACGTGGTGAATGCACATCGGCTGAACGGTTCTTTGCTGCTGCTTGCTGGCGAGCTGGATGACAATGTCGATCCATCGTGCACATTGCAAGTTGTCAATGCCCTGAACGCGGCAGGGAAGGATTTCGACTTCATGCTTGTGCCAGGTGCTGGGCACGGTGTCCTGCATCTGCGGGACGAGATCGTTCAACTTGGGAAAAAGTTCAACAACTTTTGGAAGAATTGGTTGAGCTCGACGTGACTTGTATGCGCCGGGCCAGTACCGAACACACTTTCGGGGAACTTCTGCATTGTACAGGTCTCTTGTTAAGTATGTCTAGCTCTGGTCTCCATACTAGCACGATCAGTTGGCTGATGAGTGGAGGAATGGAAGGAGCCACAGAGTGGTCTACGAAAATCTTTGTACAGAATGAATCACCTCTCCTATATCGTCGTAAAGAATGTGACTGCATTTATCCGAGCTGGGCATCAAAGACTTCCTACATCCCAAGTCAGGCGCGTGTCTTCGCTCGTTCATTCCCAGTAGTAGTCGCAAATCAAAGTAACCATTGTGAAGTCGTTTGATTCGTAGCCAGCTCGTCAGCGGTAATGTGCGTCGAGGTACCGTTGACAGTCAGCTTTGTCCAGATCAGATCCATTGAAATATACTCGCTGTGGCAGTCGCAGATGAGAGCGAGGTGGAGAGCGGCGATTCAAATCCATGCAAATGGTGTCTGTCAAGTGGAAGGACCAGATGATATTCATACCGCAGGTTCTACTCCTCTGTCTGGACCAATTTCTGACCTTAAGACAATCCGGCAGGGTGAGGACGAAGTCGCAACGAGGGAAGACCCCGAAGCCGAACGGTCGCTTCTCATGGGCGTTGCATAGCCACCAGATACTGTAGTCGTGTCAAATCCTCCCTTGGCTTGTTCTGCCATCGAGTCCAAGGCACTTGATTACTGTACAGAATGTTACTGTTGCTATGCTCCGCACGTGAGGGAGATTCCGCACAGCTCGGCTGAAACGGCAGATCTGGGCTTGCTGTTGCAGGGGAAGAGCAAGGTCCGGGTTGTAGTTGCTTGATGGACTTTCCAAACTGCTCTGTCTGCGCATCGCGACGATGATAGCGTTAAAGTGTGGTATTTTCAGATGTCTTGTAGCCTGAGGAAGGCAACAGGGGTGCTGCGTAGTCGTGGCAGACTAGACTCTTCACTTTAGCTATACGATGCTAGCGTCAGAATGTGGCTTTCCATTGCGCGTCTCAATGCGCAGTGTTCCGCCATGATGCCGTTAAGCGCGCACATTCTGAATAATTGCAGCGATCAGAGTTCTTCATGTGAGATCTGTAATGTCCAGGAGTCTTGTGTTTCGACAAGCCTTCAGCAAGGCTTGTCCTGGTCTGTTGGCCAGGTCAAACCCATGCTCACGCTTCATCCTGCTCATGCAAACACCAACGTTTGATTGCAGGACGTGGGGCATGAGGTCTTGAGGTGAATATGCGATGTGAAGTCGAGGAGGTGCATTCGCGCTGACGATGGAAGGCTCTGGCATATGTGGCGGGCAGTCCGGCACATTCGGCGAAGTGTAAAGGTGGGCAGGCGTGATGCTGAAACAAAGACAGCAGCCAACAGTTGGTGGTAAATATAGTTCGATCATCAAAGAGGTCCCGACCAGGGGATCGCCGTCGTAAAGCGTGACGCGGCTTCAACTGGGGTCTCCGCTCTTCAGGCTTCAGGCTGACACAACTGCTGGCGTGACGCTCTCCGACTCTCCCTCCGCCACTTGCCACTCCTTCCAACACCACCACCACACCGATCAACACACGCCAACACGCACACACACCTCCCACAGGACTGATTTCCTTTCAATATGTTCGGCCGCTCTGTCGGCATCGTGGCCGCCAGCGCCCTGGGCGCCACTGCTTTCCTGATTCCCGCGAACGTCGCCTCGCTTAGCAAGGGCCCGTCCGCCGATCTCACGCCCGTTGCTCTGAACGCAAAGCAACAGGTTCTTCAACTTCCATGCCCGGAATGTGCTTTCTCGAAACCACAGCAGGAGCGGATCCAGGATCTTGAAGAGTTGGAGGATGGCGAGCAGGAATTCCGCATCCAAGGTGGTGCGAACAGCATTGTCGTCAATCTGACCATCTCCGAGGACGGCCAGAAACTCCAGGTCAATGGCGAGACCATCTACCCACTGGGGCTCGAGAGCATACTTGCGCAGCGCATTTATGTCAAACAAGTGGCCTCTTCCGCCTCTATCGAAGACATCGAGTCCGGCAAGGCCCGGGCAACACCCCTCGAGGTCACTGGTTCGGGAGTCTCGGTCCACGAAGAAGAGGTCGTGAGCGAGGAAGGTCACAAGCTCGTCACTGTCAAGCACAGCATCTTCGAGCTTGAGCGACAACCAGTCACGCTGGACGAGGTCAACATCAAGCTCTTGACGACCGTCAATGGCGAACTCTTCCTTGCTCACGTTACTAGTGAAGGTCAGCGCCCAACGCACCCAGAATTCCCAGACTTCTTTGCTCCACCAAAATGGGCTCAGGATATGGAGAAGGAAATGAGCAAGGATATGAAGGAGATGGAGGATGAGTTCATGTCCATCCTGCCACACCCACACCCACATGGACCGGCGGATCACGCTGGTGAGCAAAAGGAGTGCCGGCACTTGCCAGCTACTCTTTGCAAGATGAGGATCATGCTCGAGGACCAGCTCAAGTCTATGCGCAAGGGTGCCTTCAAGAAGCTTGGATGCCATGGACGAAAGGGTAAAGGCTTCGCCCATATCAGGCCTCACTTCCTCCGCATTGGCCAGGATGGTGAAGGACACCACGGACGTCCACACCACATGAGACCACATGGTCATCACCACCACCACAAGCACCACTTCATGCACTCTTTCGCTCGTGGTGTCGTCGCTGTGCTCGTTCCGACCATGGCAGGTCTCGCGGTTGGCATGATTGTGAGTCTTGTGGGTCTGTTCATTGGCCGTTTGATCAGCTTCCTTTGGATTCACTTCTACCGGGGCGGCCGCCGCGGCTACCAGTCTGTGAGCCTCGACGATGAGGAAGAGATTGTTGAGGAGGAGGATGACATGGAGAAGAAGTCCTACGTCGTTCTCGAGCAATCCGAGCCACTTCCTGTGTACGAAGAGGCCCCAGCTTACGAGGAGATCGAGAAGGAGGAAAAGTGAAGGATTTCTAAAACCACGCAACCTGTTCCCGATTGATATTCCTACTTTGGCGCGGAACTCACGGATTCGATGGGAAACGCTAGAATTGCAGTACATGGCGTTTACGTGTCTATGTAGAAGAGGTTTCACAAATGCAATATGACCATAAATGCCTTCGCTACTTGTCTCTGTTTCTTTTTACCTACTTGGAGTAGGTGATTTCCCCAACGTCCGCGTCATCTTCAGCCTCGTCAGCTGCCAGCAACTTCTCTACTGCATTTATCTTGTCTTCGAAGCTCTGCTTTTTATCGGTCCTGCTGCCGACACGAATATCACTTTGAATCCGCAGAACGCCTCTCGCATGCAGCATTGTATGGCATTGGCCGATAACCTTCATGCACTCGTCCCATGTTCCTTCTACACGGAGTCTGAGCACATGCTTCAGAAGAGCTGCGAAAATGTCATTGCTTACCGAGGGTTGTTCCTGCGCTGTGCATGGAGTATTTGATGCCAGTCTTTTTGAGGAAGCGTTGCACTTCAGCGACCTCTTTCGAGACCGAAGCGGTTGGTGTGCCGAGCGGAATGAGACAGAAGTCTTCCCAAGAAAAGTCCATCAGTTTTGCTGGCCGCTCATCCACGAAGTTCGTTCTATAACGCACCTGCGGTACATGCTGCCGGCGTGGGCAGCTTCTCTGGTTGTTCCTGAGCCATCTTTGCAATGAGGTAGGCTAGTTGCGGCGAAGTGTCCATACCTTAGTCACATGGGGTAGACTAATCGTGTGGTGTATTCCTTACCGCGGTCGGCAAAACAGAGTTTGGCCGTGGCAGCTCCTGCTAGTTTTCGCGCGTCGCTTGCCGTGCAACTCCTCATCATCATCGTCCAGACACGACATGCAACATCCTAGACCAGCCCTCCGTCACATGCTCCCTTTTCGGCATCACGATGCATGCCGTCATTTGTGGACCAGGACATGCGTTTAAGGCAAATGCAGGTGAATGATGGCTCAAGAAGGCAGCACAGAGACGGCAGCCGCAAACGACCGAGCTCTCTCCAACTTGCGGTCCAATTTTGCACGGCTCAGCCGCCGAGGGCCAATTGTGACTCGATGACAGGCAGCCTTTGTCTGCGGTGGCTTTTTTCTCATGTGTAGCGAACCGCCAAACTTTCATCCTTCTTACTTGAGAAGTACATACAAGACGTTCAGACCACTTTCCCGACTTCATGGAGCTGCAAATGTCCTCGACGTCCCCGCTCATGCACGATGAGCATCCCGGTCTGGTTCGCGGAATGCGTGCAACGTGACACGCCAAGCCTATACTCGACTGCCGCCGCGGCTCACGTCAACAGTTCAAGCGTCTCGAAATGCAGCTTGGTGTACCTGAACGAAGGCGGGGCAAATTTCGTCTTCAGGATTGTGCCTGATGAGTCTGGAAAATTGCCCAAGACACTGCAGAAGAAGCTGCTGCGAGTGGGCAAGAACTTATCGCATGTGCAACCAGCTGAAGAACAACTACAAGCGCTGGGTACGAATTTCGCAACATTATTCCCAGCCGAGAACCTTATCCAACATGAACTCATCTCTCTGGACGCTGGCACGACAGCTGCGCTCAACATCATGTTGGCAAAGCTCGACAGGCCCAACCATCGCCTAGACGACTTGTTGCCCAGCAAAGCCATCTCTGGAATGCTGGTGACAGACATGACGCCGGAAGCGGGGGAAGTCCTACTTCAGCTCAAACCAAAATGGCTCGCACAGTCGCCGAATGCCCCGAGAGGAGCCAAGAGATGTCGCACTTGCGCCGTGCGAGCTCACAGAGCATCGAAATCCATCCGAACAGCGACAGACGCGCAGCAAAGTTGTCCTTTAGACCTGATCAGTGATCACTCGGCTCATCGCAAAGCTGCTGTTCATGCAATTACCACAGACGACCGCATTCGTGACTATCTTCTGCTTGGAGCTCAGCCACTGCTACAACGGCTGCGCGCATGCCAACTCGAGTTTGATCGAGATGGGGTGTTGAAGACTTCAAGTGTCGAGTCTGTCTTGCTGTTGTGCAGAGCCATGACTTTGAGAGATTGCACGTTGTTCGTGAAGCGCTCTGGATCGACAATCGATGCGAGACTCGGAGACCTTGATCTAAAGCACCCGGAGAAGCTTGATCGATGGAAAAAGGTCGAAGAGCATCTCATCAGCGATGGCTGGTATACCAATACTGAGCCTCTGGAGCATCGCGTCAAGGAGAAAATATGTCTGCTGGCTAGATGACAACCTTGGGAGATGCAGCCTTCTGGATCGAGCTGCGATCTGGTTTTGACATGACCGAGAGCTCGTAAGGCGAGCACACAAGACTTTCCTATGCTTGTGGTGCGACACACAATACACTGATCGTGCATGATTTGGTAATCGCTTGCTGGTCCAGCAGTTGAGTCTTAACGATACATGCTCGCTACATGAGAGAACCTCCCGGACCCAGTGCTAAGAGATACATCTCATGAGAGCGATCAACAAAAATACCAGAGCGGGCCTTCCAAGCCTATCCCAACAGGTATGCGATCCTCAACCAGTTTGGCGTGGAAGACAGGACTGCGAGCTTTCCATCGCTCATTATTGCTTGCCATCTGGTCTGGCAAGGGAGATGGGGTGTATTGTCCGGCGCCGCGATATCCACCCATGACAACTAGCAAGTCTACAACTAGAAGCACTACCACCTCGACCTCGACAACAACCACAACCTCCAATGTACCAACGCCTACCTGTGCGACCTTCTTCATCCGGGCAATCGGCTGGGACCATGCGGGCGAATTCGTAGCCTTGAACGCCGACGTGGACGATGGGAGTGAACCCGGAGGTAACTTCATCTTTTTCCCGAGCCCAACCCAGTTCAGGTTGGTCGCAGGCAACGTTGTTACTGGGAGGGATTTCGATGTACCCTTCACCATCAATCCGATGTCGCCCTCGATTGTTCGACCTTACAACAAGCAGCGCATCGAAACGGAATTCGTGCCGTTGCAATGCACTTTGCCAGGAAATGTCGGGCCGGGAATCATTTCCTGCGTAGCTAACAACTCGACGCTGCCATCCGTGTTTTATACGCTCCCGCCTTGACTTCTTGCAATTCGGATCGTTTGAAGGCGTGGAATTGGTTCTTGAGGCTGTCTGTCCAACAGAGTAAAGCGATAGGAAGCTAACTGTCTTCTGGAACAATGCGGACGATGCAAGTTTCGGAAAGAGGAGGGAGGGGGGATGCATAGCCATTGCAACGAGAAGCGTAGTTTGCCACAAAAAGCCACAACAACCCAAGATGTATTGCGACTGTACAATTTTGAACATTTGGCTGGCTTGACACACTACCGTCGACCAGTCACGTATGTACAGACAGCAGCACCTCACCATGCGCTGATCGTGCATGTTTTGGTAATCGAGCGCTGATTCAGCGGTTAAGCCTTGCCGAGACAAGATGTTCGCTGCACGAAAGATCCCACCAGCTGCCTCTTCGGGTGCGATACTGGCTTATACATCGACTATCTGCGTCGCACGCCACGATACCTCTCTTCGACCATCAGTCGCTCAAATTCCAGACCATCTTCGCGCTTCTCTAACTCCGTAGCTTGGTCGGCCGGTTGGTACCACACACTGCCGTTGACAGGGGTGCAACGCGACTGCAAGGATGATCACGCATCTGATGACGACCACCGAGAGAGTGCCGAGCGAACTTCGCAGAAAATCAACCAAGACCCACTTCGCAATGGGTCCCACAAGATCATTGCGTCTGCTATGAGCTCAGTTGCTTAACAATCGTGGCGGTCTGTTCACGATTCTCTCGCTGGTTATCACACGTTTCCTGCAGTGCCACCGACCCTGCCGTCAAAGAATTTTCGAAACCATGGGTCAAAATCGGAAGTTCGATATGACGGACGTTGAGGGAATATATAAATGCTCTGCTGCTGTTAGCATGGTAGACATTTCTCAAGTCTTCGAACACTCAATTCAGGAATACAAGTAACTACAACTTGCAACAGAACTTACGACACATTACAACAATGGCTTCCGACAGTGCATTCGAAGGATGGTGTGGCTTGGACAAGCACAGTGCTGAGGGCAACATGGTGTGGCAAGGCTACCAGCCTAAGGAGTTCGAAGAGACAGATGTTGACATTGAGGTGAGCATATCAACGTAATCTCGCGAATCTCGTCGTACTGACTATGCCCAACAGATCTCTCACTGCGGTGTCTGCGGATCCGACATTCACATGCTTCGATCTGGCTGGGGACCTACCGATTACCCAGTCGTCGTGGGACACGAAATCGTTGGAAAGGCAATCCGTGTCGGCAAAGACGTGAAGACTGGCATCAAGGTCGGCGATCGTGTTGGTGTTGGTGCCCAAGCTGGCTCTTGCCTCAAGGGTGACTGCTACCAATGCGAGAACGATGAAGAGCAGTACTGTAAGAACGGATTCGTCATGACCTACGGAAGCAAATGGCCATCAGGCGCAAAAGCACAGGGAGGATACGCAAAATACTGGCGAGGATCTGGACATTTCGTTTTCAACATCCCAGAGGCTATCCCCTCGGAACAAGCAGCGCCTATGCTGTGCGGTGGTGTCACTGTCTACGCTCCACTGAAGCAGAACGGTGTCGGGCCTGGCAAGCGCGTCGGTGTTATTGGTATCGGCGGACTCGGACACATGGCTCTCATGTTCTCCAAGGCATTGGGCGCAGACAAGGTTGTCGCTATCTCCCGCAACGACAGCAAGAAGGAGGATGCGCTCAAGATGGGCGCAGACGATCTCATCGCTACTGGTGAAGAAGGCTGGAACGAGAAGCACAAGAACTCGTTGGATGTCATCATCTGCACAGTCAGCTCGCCCAAGATGCCACTCGGCGGATACTTGGATCTCCTCGATGTCGGCGGTACTTTCGTCCAGGTGGGAGCTCCAGATGATGTGCTTCCACCTTTCCTTGCTTTTGCATTGATCATGAAGAAGTGCAAGATTGTGGGTTCGTTGATTGGCTCGCCGGCAGAGATTCGAGAGATGTTTGAGTTGGCTGCTAGTCAGAAGGTGCAGCCTTGGATTGAGGAGAGGGATATGAAGGACGCAAACAAGACCATCGTGGACTTTGAGGCCGGAAAGCCACGATACAGATATGTGCTTAAGAACTGAGTGTCATGAAAGCATGAAAGCCATGTAACAACAGTAATGATTTTTATGAATTGTTAATTGCCTCAAGTCGCGGTTCCTCCGCAGTTTGAATTTATTCCACTCAACACTCGATTCGAGTGTTTTCATTGACGCTTCAGTTCCCTGGCATCACTTGCAGTTCTCAAGATTCTCTCACTTCAACTCTCAGCACCCTTGGATGTTCTTCTCAGCGCCAGCGAAGACTTTCTCTCCCACATCATTCGTCATACATCAACATTGTCACCACTTCACCAATTATTTCATGGACCACCATCAAATTGTTCTGCAAATAGCACAAGGCTAAGCAATGCGGCTCTGCGGATCTGCACACGCATTGAACCTTGTTCGAGTTGTGGGGAGCTCAAGTCATGCGACAGCTTCGACCTGCACTTGCACATTCACACTGCAGCTTATAGTGTTCCATGCCACAAGAAACTTTCTCGCTGGTCGAGAGGCACATGACATGGTGGATCTTTGACTAACCCACCGATCTTCGATCATAGACAGGCTCTCTTACCACAAACCAGCGCGCAGTTTCGCGATCGCATCGGCACACAATGGCCTCCTTCGACGATGACAATGACCCGAACACTGGATCGCAGGACGAGGATGAGAATGAAGACGAAGAGATGGAAGACGTGAATGATGCCGACCAGGACCAGGATCAAGATATGGACCAAGGCGGCGACGACGATGAGGATGACGGTGGGGACGACGACGAAGACAACGATGACGATAACGATGGAGAGGACGACGATGAGCAGAACGAGAATGACTCGCCCTCAGGGACAAAAACAAATGGTCAACGATCTGCAGATGGCGACTCGCAGCACAATCCTGAAGTCGTGGTCAAATCGCCTTCACCACGAGGCTCTGGGGGCAGATCTCCGAAACCACACACATCGAGCGCACATGTGCCTTCAATCCGCCCAGAGGCTCTGACTGCGCAAGCCTACGACATTGTGCCAACCATGGCTGCGCCGCACGGCACTTCTATCAATGCTGTCTGCGCGACACCAAACATGAAATATGTCTTTACGGGTGGAACGGATGGCTACATACGAAAATACGACTGGGTGGATACCGCCAATGGCAAAGTACCGCTCACGGTAGCTCAGAAACATCCCTTCGTCGACAGCGTCATGAAGGCAGGATCAATGGTGACGTACTGGGAGAACGAGGAGCGCTCCTTGCAAACACCACCTCGAAATGGAAATGCCGACGAGGGCAAATGGACCAGTCCTGTCTACTCGCTAGCTGTGGAGAAGCAAGCTGTGTGGCTTCTGTCAGGTCTGGAATCAGGCGGGATCAATCTACAGACCACGCGACATTTGACAGGAAATATCATTACGACGCTGAAGGAGCATACCAGTGCCGTCTCTGTTTTGACATTCAGCGATAATGAGAGCCGGGTGCTCTCAGGAAGTTGGGACAAGAATATCCACGAATGGGATTTGAACAGCGGCAAAGTCATCAGGTCATTCAAAGGAGCGAGCAGTCAGATCAGCGCTATTGAACTACGGCCTTTTAGTAGTCTGTCCGTACCAGAAGTCTCTGAATCGCTGCCAGATATGGAGCTTGGTACTTTCTCTAGCAACAATGCGGACCGGCCGACGCTCAATGGAATCTCAGGTGGACCGAGTCGACGGCCTTCCGGGCTAACTGGAGACGACGATGCTGCTGGCTCTCCAGATGGAAGTCTCTTCGGGGATGGCGACCACGGCTCTCTGTTTGGCGATGACACGGGAGGCGGAGGCGGAGGCGGTGCTAATGCGTTTGGCGACGATGATGACGATTTGACCAGAGCGCTTGAGAGTGAGATGCAGACTGACCAGGATGCGAATGGGACAGGCGATACTCAAATGCAAGGCACCGAGAATGGAGACCAAGCGCAGACGACAGACGCAGGAGGTCAAGCAGACCAAGCACCTGAAAGGAACAACGAGCCCGCCGACGGAGCAACGACTGCTCCGGCTGATGGGACTTCGGCAGGAGAATCACAGCAGACGGAAGGCGAACGACTGGGTGCTCTCGTCACGAATGGCTTGCCGCACTCGGATGAGCCACTGACTGCACCACCCACAAATGATGAGAGTGACAGCAAATCGGACCTCCCGCCACAGTCCGAGAGCATTTTCCTTGACGCATCCTTCGACGGCACGCTTCGGATCTGGGATCGAAGGATGGCCTCGCCAATTGCTACGATACCTACAGATCCAGCTACACCTCCTTGGTGCACTGGAGCGTGCTGGTCGCCAGATGGCAATTTCTTCTACGCAGGTCGCAGAAATTGTACAGTGGACGAGTACTCGATACATCACCTTGGTGCTAAGCGCAGCAAACCTAATCGTACCTTCCGCTTCCAACAAGGCAGTGGTCCTGTCTACGCCGTCCGCGCAATGCCAAACAAAAAGCACCTCGTCTGCGCAAGTCAAGACATCTTGCGTATTTACGATCTGCAACAGCCGGAATCTACGAAGCACTCCAGGGTGCCCTTCACCATTGTTCCTGGACACAGGGGCGGAGTCATCAGCGCCATACATATCGATCCCAGCTGTCGATTCATGCTTTCAGCAGCTGGGAACAGAGGTTGGGAGGGAAGCGGGACGGAGGTCTTGCTGGGATATGAGATTGGTATTCAAGACGAGAATGGAACTTGGCATGCGGTCAGGGCCCCTTCGGCGTGATCAAAGGAACAGATGTATGTTGCACAATGAGTCAATCGACTTTTGACGAATATGGGAGGGGGCGCAGATATCGGCATTGCTATGATACCCTGGAATGCGAGCAATGCTCATGGGCTTTTATTCTTTGGAGAGAGCATTTGTGGCGGTCTACTTCCCATCAATTCGAAGTTCTTGCGTGGTTGCCTACCGCGCCGTTGCCAAGACAGCTGAAGTGCTGGTGAGATCTGAAGTGAAGCAGAACTAGCTTCGGCGCGCGCATAAGCCGGCAGCAAACACAACACAAAACGAAAATAATCGCACTCGGAGCTCTTTCCCTTCTCCACTTCGTCGCTTTCTACCACTTCATTACCATTCGCAAACAGTGCGCGACATAAACCGCACCACAGACTACCAGAGCACAATAACCTTCATACAGCACATTGGTAAGTTGAGACTGACAACAACTTTCGCAGTGCCCGTACCGTGTTGAATAGCACCCTCTCTGCGGTTTCTGCTGGCCCTGAGAAGATAGGGAAAGAGCTGCCAAGGGTGACGAGGTTGCCGCAATGCGAATCGCGCATTCCTCTGCGCTTTGTGCCAGGTCAGAGGTGCTAGGCCTCGATATGCTGAGAATGAGAAGGTGCACGATGTTCGAGAAGTACTGTGCAATCGCGTATTTCTCCGGAAATCTCTACCAGTCAGAGGCGCCGCTGGTAGAGAAAATGCGGATGAAGCACTGGAGCGAGATTCAGAGTCGAAAAAAAGCAGTCACTTGGTCGAATATTTTGTGCTTCGTTTTTGTGTCAATTTCGCGTTCTTCTGTGATTTCGCTCGGTTGAGAGCTACTAGAGCTGGATGTGCGGAGCGAAGGGCAATGTCCGTGAATTGAGAAGCAATGCGAAATTGCATGTTTCTCCAGGGATCTCATCCTTCCGGAGGCGCTGCCAGTACAGAAGCTTTGCATCGATCACCAGACATTATTTGAGAGACAAAGGAGACACGCTCAGTCTGCAGAATATTTTGAAGAAGTGAGCGAATCTCGAAAGCAAGCTGTGCTCAACTTCAGTATATTTCTGTTGTTTCTCCGCATATTGAATTGATTCGGAGGTGCTAGGGGTAGATACATCGGGCACAAAGAGGTGGAAGCCGGTTAGGAAGCAATGTAGAATCGCATTCTTCTCCAGAAATATCGACTCATCGGAGACACTGCCTCAACATCATCAAAATTGAGTCTTCTGATGATGTTGAGGCGAGCAGTCTCCTCACCGAGAGCCAATCACAGCACCTCAACCAGTATGGCTCAGCTGGAAGGCGTAAGAGGGATCCTCCAAAATCAAACGACAATCAACCAAACAAGAAGCCGCGAGCCAAAAAATGCAATGTTTGCGATTCTCCACTTCACGTCAAGGCCCTGTGCCCACTCGTCACGTGCCGCAACTGCGGCCAACAAGGCCACATCGCAACTCTCTGCACCAAAACTCCCGAGCAGATCGAGGCTGATCGTGCTGCTCAGAAGGCCCTCGCTGAGGAGACTGCTCGCCTCAACAAGCACCACATTATGTTTCAGAGGTGAAGAAGGAGAACTTCAGTTGTCTCTCATTTTGAACAAGTAAGATAGGCCTCTATAGTAAGGAAATGGACCTTTACGTTCAATTCTTGCACGCTTTCTGTATTTCTCTGCGCTTCGGGATGGTTCGGAGGTGCTGAATATGTTGATGCTAAGAGTCAGGAGGCAAACTTGGGCTCGGAGAGGACGCTGAGCAGGGGATGCCTCCGGAAATCTGGACTTTTTGGAGGTGCTGGGCCAACAAATCCGATGAGTCTAGCAACGGGCAAGAATTCAGAATCGGGAATACGAACTTCAACTTGCCGCTCAAAATGAAGAAGTAAGGAGAGGGTTTCCATGCTCATTTGTTGTTAACTTTTGTGTTTCTGGCGTTCCGGACTTCCTCAGAGGTGCTAGGAGTGGAGATACTGAGAATGAACAGCTACAATTCGGTTCAGACAGCACGCTGAGCGGCATGTATCTCGAACAATTTCGTACTCTGGGAGGCACCAGAGATAAAAACATAGCGCATCACCCAACAGGAAATCTTGAGAGAATCGATTCCAGTCGAGTCTCTCCAAGATCTGTATCATTTCGGAGTCGCTCATGGTCGCGTTCCCAAGTGCTGTGGAGTGTACATAGATCGAGAAGCAGCGTTGAATGTTACCTGTCTCCAGCAATATTCGCCTCGTCAGAGGCGCTCGAGAGAAAGATATAGCAGATCTCATGATAGAGAGCGAGTGAGAGATGGCGATTCCTGGCGACTCGCTCCTGGAATTGCATAGTCTCGAAAGTGCCCCAGGTCGCTCTCTCAAGAGCGGTTAGAGTTGACATAGATGGAGAGACAAGGCTGAATGTCCATGCCTCTGGGGATTTCCGACTCTCCAGAGACACTAAGAGGGCAGACCTGGCAGATAGAATTATGGAGAGTCTTTCAGAGAGGTCGGCTTGTAGTGACTCGCTCCAGCGATCATATCGTCATGGAGGCATTGAAAGCGGAAATTCGGAGGATGGCAGAGTGGTTGTGATGTCTGCGAGAACCCTGGATACCATCTGTGCTGAATCTTCCCTCGGTGACATCACGATTCTTCATGCTCTCCGTTTCCAGTTGAGTCGCACAATTCTCACTCCATCTGGCGCCAGTTCGTTTCGACACACATCTCAGCGAGTGCTCCTCGACGCCTGGATCGATCCCTGCAGAAACGGAGACTGCTCTGGAAGATGATGTTTTCGAGGTGGACGATATTAACAACGAAGGCTCAGATTCGACGCCTCTGCATTCTTCTGTATTTTCCGTGCCAATCAAGGTGCCTGTCCTGCACGACAATTCCAGTGATACAGATGACGCTGGTGTTCCTTTTGGGCGACCTTCCATCACATCTGCACAGAAGACATATTCATCCATGCTGTCCTCCGGTATCTCTAGGAATTTCCATCTTGTCACAGGCGGTAGAGTAACAGATCTGCAGAACTGAGGACTAAAAAGAGTTGAGAGAGGGCAATCTCTGGCAGTTCGCTCCAAAGGATCATGCCGCATTAGAGGTACTCGAAGTACGAGTCTCTCTGGGAATCTTCTCGTCTCGGAGGCGCTGGTGGTGAAGGAATTCAGGCGACGAGGGGTTTCGTATTTGTTGTGAGAGCATGCCGGGCGGCGTGTCTCTCTAGTAATTGTGCCGTTTCCGAGCCGCTGACGATGAGGACATAGGCCATGAGTAGGTGGAACTCCGTTGAGCAGGTGCGCCGAGCGGCATGTTCCTCCAGCAACCACTCCGTTCCAAAGGCACTGCTAATGTAGATGCAGGCAACGGGAATGTGATCGTAGGTTCAGAGAGCGCGCTGGGTGGCGATTCCTTTCCTGCAATCGCGTCGTTCCAGAGGGCAGGCACATTCACAGTGCATTCAGCCCAGATCAATGGGGCATCCAACTGAAAGAGGTGAAGAACACAATCGAACAGGAACGTGTCGAATACGACGAGACAGATCGTGGCCTCAATGGCGGTGGGTACCCGGAGCTCGGCAGCGACTGGCATGCACGCGATGGCTGCAGGCAGTAGCGACGTGAACAATTGTCCAGAGACCAATCGAGCGGCGTTCCTCTCCAAAGAGTGTGTCGTTCCAGAGGCATCAAGGGGACAGATCAGGAGATTGAGGCAAGGAAACATTCGGAAGAACTTATCTTTGGCGCCGGTTCTCACTCCATGCTTGTTTGGAGATGCTGATAGTGGAGCCGCTAAGGACGATAGATGCAAGGAAATCCTGAGCGGCGTGCCTCTCTCTGGAGATCGTTCCGTCTCAAAGGCGATGATGGAGCAGATACGGAGAATCGATACAGGAAACCTCTTTCGAGAGAAAACTGTCTCTGGCACCTTTCTCCAAAAAGGTACTTTCCCTGAGGGCATAACATGTTGGTGCGGTCCAAGCTGCAGAATGAAGTGCCCGACATCTCCGAGTTCCACATTAGTAGAGTGACGACGAGCGTGCACCAGTCGCCCTCGGACACATCGAACTGCGGCTTCTACTGCCTTCTTTCCTTTCTGTGTCGTATGCATGGACGGGACATGCCTAAAGTGAGTTTCCAGCAGTGGCGATGCTTTATTACGAGCCTCTTTATTGCTCCGCATAACGCTGCGAAGCAGATACAAGACCTTACGCCTCCTATACCGAGCTACAAGGACGGTAGCGCATCGAGCGCGACCTTCGAAGAATTGTCAGAGTCTTTGGAAAATGCTTCCGGCATTAAAGCTTATGCAGACGAGATGCGAGACATAACACAGATGTGGAGATGCCGACGACAAGGAAGATAAGCTGAATGAAGAGAACAACGCTGAGTGGCGTCTCTCTCGGAGACGTTTCGTTTTCAGAAGCGCCAAGGTGTCAGATATTCAGACTCGGGCAAGGATCGGTCTTTCAGAGAACTTCTCATTTTGATGCCTTTCTCCAACAATCCTGCCGCCGCCGAGGTCATGAGTGTGAAAATGCCAAGGACGATGAACCAGAAGAGCCACCAGAAGAGTGATCGTTGCTCAGACATTTGATTTGAGCGGAAGTGTTGAGGCTAGAGATCATGGGAACCTTAGCAATCAAATTCCGTCGAGAAGAGATGCGTGAAGGCTGCTCTCCGGAGGCACAGCCTGTACAAAGCTGCTCAGACATTGACGCCAACGGCCTGCAAGTATCTAAGAACCAGAGAAGGAGTGGCACCACCACCTCTGGCAACTGCCTCCTCGCAGCAATCGGATTCTGGTTCTTGTACGGCGCGCAGTGCTGATTCTTGCGCACACACACCAAGTGGGTCGCTTTCGCTACCGGCAAGCAGTACAACGAGCTGTGGTGGTCGACGCACTCGCTCGTGACCGGAGGCGTGTGATTCGCGACCGCAAGTTGACAACCTTTAGAGCGTACCATCTGGACACAATGACGACCACTGAAGGCACTTACCAGGTCAGATTGGCGCGGTCGCGATTTGGGCGATTTCGCTTTGCAGCTTGCCGAGTCGAGCATTGAAGCCAATATCCCCAGAGCAATCTGGCAAGTGCATGTACATTGCGACGCAAGGAAGAGAGCTTGGTAGGCCAGCGACCATCTCTGCGTTTTCAACGATATCCACGCTGCCGAGGCTGACGATACGGCGAGATTGCACTTGCATTGTCGCTCTGAGATGGCCCGGAACCTCGATGACTTGTCTCCACAAATCTGAACAGATGGGAGCCGCGGAGTATGCAGGTGGGGGAGAATTAGAAAGCTCGAGGCTGGCGCATCCTCTGAGCGAGGCAACTCAAGAGACACGGCCACATCAAGCGAGATATGCCACAGACTCGATTGCCCTTGAACAAGTAAAAGCCCATTGCACGAAGGCAGTGCCAGAAGCAAAGATGGGTATACAGTTCGACTTGTGCTTCTGCAGATCGTGTCGTAGGAAAGCCGTCATAGGGAAAAAGGGCCGTCGAAGCTTCAGCCTTGGTAGCCGTGAGTCCTGGCCTGCATCCCGTTCCAAATTTCTTTCGATGTTCATCTTGAAGCATGTTGCGAGTGCTGTAACATGTAGGAAGAAGGAGAACATTGGAGACAGGCATCGCTTCTGGCATGTAACTCCCACCTGATTCTGCAAACAGGAATACTTTCACTCCCTTTGCACTCGCTTGTGTTTCAGGAGGTCGCCGGAGAGCCAGGAATATGTTCATTCGTAGCAGAAAGCCAAGTGTCGGTCAAGAACCATGTCACTAATGTTCTGTTCCATGTCCAATCGAGTACGCTCAAGAATAGGCAGCATCTGATCATGAAAGCCAGAAGGCATACTGCTTGGGCACCATTTACGCCATTGCAAGCTTGAAAATGCCACCGGTGCATGAGGGACTTCTGGCAGTCGACGAATTGGAGGTCTTGGAGCGCATATTGAGGCCGTTTCGAGAGACGCACGAGAGAGGGGTTTGTCTCTCAAGATCCCGTGTGATGTCGATGTTGCTAAGACTTCCGCTGCCTCACTGGTGCCAAGGAGGTGCTGATGGAGACCTGTATCATGTCAATCCGAGCCGTGTCTTCACCACAACTTGTCATCCCGAACTATGGTCGCCGATGCCGTTGAGGCTCCGAATGCATTTGAAATGGTCTCAGGGGATTCATGGGAAAGGTCGGGCTGCAATACATCGAGCCCATGCCAAGTCTTAGCCGAAAGTTGCCGTTCCAATTGTGCATTGGCTATTTGGAATGGGAGAGAGAGGAACGGAAGCAGCATCCCACGCAGCGGAGCACCCACTTCCCATGCTGAATCTGTCCCGTCCGGGCGTGTGCGATGATGGTGATCCGTAGTCACAAAGGACATGTCGTCGTATATTGAACACATGAGCGTCTGCTGCGCGGCGAGCTCGATCGAAATGCGCCGCCTCTGCAGCTTCAATCTAGAAGATCAGTAATCGCAGGGCCCGAAAAGTGACACAGTTGTGCAGTCGTGCTCAATAAAGCCTCGCAAGCCGCACCGATGCCGCCATCGTGCTGAGTTGGGCGGGCCACGAGCAGTGTCAACGGCGCCGGTTGATGCGCGTAAGCGGAATTGTGGTGACGGTGTGGCAGGACAACCACATCAAATCTGCCACTCGACGCCATGCGAGACACTTTTGCCTCTGGTACCTGCATATCGGAAGCAGCGCACCGTGGCCACACAGCGTCTGGTACGACGTTGTGCGTGGAAGTCGGCGCGTGCGGTGCATTGCCGCTACCGAGTAGGAGAGTAGTTCGCTTGCGGGCGAGAGATGATGAATGGAGGATGGAGGACGTCGCACCTTCATGCGGGCGGGCTGTGGTGTGAGGCGTGCCTTCTTTCTTCCGGACACCTCGTGGCGGAGCGTCGACAGGGAAGCGGCGGGTGGGCAAGGATGAGCCCGTCTGCGGAAGCCTCCGCCAGAGTGTCGTCGACGACCTTCATCCAACGACACACCACACGCACAAACGGCGACTGCGGCATCGATACCACCCCTCTTGGCATCCAGCAGTCACAAAATATGTGCGCGGCGCAGTAACGCAATCGAGCGTTCATGCCGACCCAGCGATGAGGAAACTGCCGCCGCTGTACCAAGATCTCGTGTCAGATCTGGCGAGATGAGCGATACGTCGCATTGGGGCAATGCGACTGCCTCATTCAGCCATCAGGCGGGCTGGATATCTGCACCGAAACCTATCACACGTCGTGGAAGCGCTCCCGGAGCACTGCAGCAACGGCGACCCACTCCAAGCGCATTGAAGGCCCACGGATCTGGACTGGGGACACCATCAGATTGACAGAGGCGCATCGGAAAGGCGCTGCCGCGGGACCGCGTACCGCGCGCCGCTGCGCAACATCAAGTTTCTGTATATGGGCCGTGTGGCACACTAGCACTCCTCGCTCCTGTGTCCCACGCATCCACGGGATGGACGACTTCACCGCGGACTTCCTCGGTTGCCCCGGCCGGTCTGAAGTGTCCAGCAGCCTCGAATACGCATGGCAAGCACTCAGCATGACCAGGACAGGCACATGGTACCACCTGCTCGGGCGGGAGGTCGTGCAAGAGGCGTGCCATCGCGTACCGTTCAGACTCCTGTCGGCTCTCGAACCGGCAGCAGAAAGATCAGCAACACGCAATGAGGGTTCGCTCTGCGCGTCTCCCGCACGGGCACACCATGCCGTGTTCGACGCGCTTTGACGGACCGACTGGGATGTCGTGCAGGCCTGTCTGGCCTTGTACACCAAGACCACGGCCTCGGAAACGCGTACGATCTGGCCCTGAGCGTGTCCTATTGCTCCATCGTCTTGCCCAGATTGCGTATGATCGACCGATCCGCTAGGTGGCCACCAAACGCAAGTTCTTGTCTGAGCCCGCCCGGGATGCTCGTCGGCGCCTTCCAGCTTGTCCACGACTGCAGGCCATCATCGGGCCCGTTCCTGCTCCAGCATCTTTCTGATCATCGTGCCTCCACATCGCCTCCGCGTCTACTAGTGTCCCCTTAGATCTAATGTGCTATCCATGCGCGGCGCCGAATCCAGCATCGTTGGCTGCCCTCGAGTAGCGCTGGCGTATCAAGAAGAGCAAGACTGACGTTTAGACAGCCTTGTCTTGAGGAATTCCCTCTCATGTCTTCGGCCCTAGTGGTGGATGACGATATTCGCGGCATGCCGTTATTGCATTGAACAGGGTGCTAATTTGAGATTCAAAGAGATGTCCCGAGGGATGATGGGTGCCGTGAAGTCATATATAACTCTTAAGGTTCAGCTCCCATCGGACCGGTAGAGCTTCTAAACCACTCTAGCCTAACCTACCAAACCCTCCAGCAACACACCTTCGTCCCGCAAAACCATCGACGCCATTCTGTCCTGCGAGTTTCAAAGTCCCTACGGTCTAGCTAACGTGAGTACTTCCCGGTTCCCCAAGGAAGGGGTTCGCTGCGACCTCAACCCTCTCGTGGCGCATCTAGTAAAACCTTGCTAACATCGTGTTAGTCAACTATTGGCTGCAAACCCTTCTACTACTGCTCGGTGTCGACTTGAAACGCTGTCAACAAGCATCCCTCTGCGACTTTTCTTTGCACAACCCACCCACCAACCATGTCGGATTCCAATCAGAAGTCGTACCTTCGCGACGGAAGCGGGCCTCGTGCTGTCGACAGCAAGAGTCGAGGCAGCAGCCGACGCGATGACGACAAACAGCGATCAAAACACAGCTCGTCAAGACGGCCATCGGATTCAAAGTCCAGCAGCCATCGTCGGGAGGCGTCAGTAGCGTCCAAGTCGGAGGGTCCTACATTCGAGCTTGATGTCATTGGACAACCATCCAGATCTATCATATTCGGGCAAACGGTTGAGACATCCGTCATGGTCAGCTTGCAATGTCCATCACCAGAAGTTGCTGCGAGGTACCAAGGCATGGACACTTCACGTCTCATGGGCGTCGTATCACTCGTCGCCGACTCCAGAAGCGGCGGACGAGTACCCGTCGAATGCGGCACCCTTACCGGCCAAAAGATGTTCGACTCAGTACATGAGTGTTCCAACGATATCGCGGAGAGCCTTGCACGCAGCCAACCTAGCCGTCTCGCACTCGGCTACCTGACATTTCCACAACTACTCATCCGACAACCTGGATCATATCGACTACGAGTCACACTTATCAAGATGGGTGGCTCTGGATCATCTGGAGGCTCAACAGTCCTGGCAACCGACAGTGAAACCATCAAAGTCGAGCGACGCAGCACAGGAACCAGCACTAGCACCTCGCGCAAGCACGGGAGATCATAAATTCTGGCGCAACTAATACACATTTTCGGATTTTGTTCTTGTACATTACGACATCTGGCGAAACAGCACTCTTTGTATTTTACTCTAGCAACTTGGCGTGGCGTCCGGTGTTCGGACTACTGTGGTTATTTGAATGGGAGGGAGGCACATTGAAGATTTGAATATTTCTGCTGCTGCTACTGCTCGATTATTGGAATACGGCGCGAGGAACAATTCGGACAGGACGATGGGAAAATCGACAGAGTCTCATAGTTGGCACAGTCTGCTGATTGAGGTTGTTGTACATTCCTCTTCTTAGACAAAAGTAGAATGAGCATTGGTTGTATTGAAGAAGAACTCTCAAGCTGTACGTGCCGTATTACAAATCTCTGGCATCGTTACTGCGACCTTTTGCCACGAGGTGTTCTTGGTTCCTTTTCTGCATCAAAAGACTTGCTCCAGGATACCTCGTCTTTACTGTGCTGCCTCTACGGCATTCGACGTCATCTCACATTCTTGCAGCCTGGGATACGCTGGAATAACACACTGGCATTTTCCCAGTCTCAATTGTATCAAAGCCATAACAGTCCTCAGATAAATACCACTCTTCCTCGGCAGGAAGCCCTCACTCTCAACGATGCACTTTCATCACTAATCATCGCTTCCTCAACTCAGCTTGGCTGAAGCGAGTGATAAGTGAACAAGTCACAAAAACCACCAGCACACCATACGAGACAAATCAGACCCTCAGACCCTCATTGAATCGTCATAGATTATTCGTTATTCGCTGTTCGTAAAGTGAGACATGGTCGTCGGAAGAGTATAGCGCAGTACAGTAGTGATTACGGTGTTCCTTCCGGTCTTTCGTTCTCCTTCTGATCCGAGGAGATAGAAACACGTTGTGTGTACTACAGGCAGGGAAAACCGTGCGTGGGATCGTGGGGAACCATTGTGTTGGGTGGAACTAAGATATGCGGTTCCCTTGTATGATGCGATGCGAGAGGATGGAGTACGGGATGCAAGTAGGCGAGGTTACGGTTACGGGATGGGATCTGGGAGTATGGAATATGCAAGTAGGCGAGGTGTTCCAATACGCTTGCTTGGATGTTTTGCAAGGTGGCCTGGGTACTTGCATTGATTACTGCCGACTCTTTGCTGTGGCTTTCATCAATCAAGATTGTACTTCATCATCGCACCATCGTATCGAGAGTCCACTTTCTTCACGCTTGCTTCATCTTGTTGTACAATGTTACACGTTCTCGAAATGTGGCTCGAGAAGTGGAGATTGGGTTGTAAATGCCAAGAAGATGTTTTCGTGTTCAGGAGATTGAGAATTGGAAGGCAGGTTCGTGTGCTGTAAAGCAATTGCCGTTTTAGGAAGATGAAACACGCTTTGCGATTTCTGCCCTTGGTGACACAGAGCTGCAGGTACAGTGTAAGAGGAGATGAAACGAGAATCAGCTGAAACGAGAAGGTAGGCGTGAGTGAGTGGGGCTCGGGTTCAATGCGAAGGCGAGAATTTGGCGTGTTTATCTGATCAACATCGATGCATGATGGAAAGTGATGCTTTGGTGTTCATGTCCGTTGTTTCTGTAGACGATCGCTTTTTGTTATAGGTTCCAGACCCACGGGCTCCCGCTGCAAGCATCTGCCTCGATTCGAAGCATGCGGCAGCCGCATGATCTTTCCATGCCTCTATCCGCAATATGATGCGAAGACATGATGTCGGAGTCAGCCATCATGGGATGGACATCCCACGTTTTATGCAATGGCCTCGGTAATCGGCCACGCGAGAAGGATCGCAAACATGGGGAGGCTCTTCTTGCATGCGTGACTTGAAACGCTGCCATCGCGTGTACGCATGTGTAGATCATGCAGCATCTTGCTTGACTGGTAACATCCGAGCCGAAGTCTCGACGCACGATGTCCCGAGCAATATTTGTTATACATCGCAAGACTTCCACTTTCGGGTGCGTAATTGTTGCGCGTTGGTACATGGGAGTAACGGCGCCGGTGAAGACTTGTAGTTTCGCAATTTCATAAGAGCTTCGAGGAGGCGGCTCTCATCTCGGCTGATCATGAAGGTCCAGCTGAGGTGGACGTGGGATGTTTGAGGCAACGAGTGCTTCGAACAGGACGAGTTGAAGCTAGAATGAGTTGCCTCTTGCCTCCAGCAGTCCTGTTTGAGGGCTCCGCACTCCGTAAAGGGATTCCGTCTCGTGACCGCTTCACTCATGTCCAGAGCCAAGCGGGCGGTGGTCACGCTGTTTGAAGTCAGTCGCCCGTAGCAACCTGTGGGTGTACTGCAGCAGGCTACGAGCCACCGTCGCTTGTTGTGCAGGCCGCCGTAGTTCGCATCGGCTAGCTGCCGTGGCCTGCCGTGTCGCTTCCATGCTCGAGGCATCTCGGTAAGGCGTCTTTGCGGGTCCAAATCGGCGTGGGAGCCGAATGTGACAGGTCATTCGCATTGATCTGACATGCATCGCCACGCAATGCTGTACGCGATCCTGTTGCTCGTGCCTCGTGATGCTCCTGGGATCCAATGAAGCAGACTCCGTTCACTTCTCACTGTTACCGACCGCTTGGCTCGCGTCACAGCAGGCCACGTTCGACTTTCCAGAGGTCAAGTGCCAAGCCGGGCGTCTCTTTTATCACAGCATAGATGTCTTGTGTGTTTGCTAGTTGAGGATGTCTTCGGAAGAGTTGCAGGACAATGTCTCGTAGGCCTCTGTCGGTGTCTACTGTTGACTGATAGACCAATTCGATCGCCTCCGCAAGCTCGGGAGCATCGTAGTAGCACGCTGCTGCCATTTCGAACTTTTGCTTTGCAAGCTGTTTCAGTGACGGAATGTCGTATTTCTCGCCCAACGCGTACACTTGTGTATGCAGCACCAGATGCGATTCGGACTCGGTGTCGTCGTAATCTTCTGCATATCCTACTTGATCGTCGTGCTGGTTGCCTTGTTGTGGAGTGTCAGGTCGATGCGCAGTCGTCGGCGGCTGTTTTGCAGAAATGCTATTCGTTCGCGAGCGTGAAGGTGAATCTTGTTTGTCGTAGAAGCCCGCTTGAGCAAGCAGAGGGTCTTCGATTTGAGAGAAATCAATCTTGCTCGGCGTTGCTTTGCGATGGGTGTATGCTCGGTGGCGAAACATTTCGGCAGGTCGCTGCTGTGGCTCTTCGTTCAAGTAGTCAAGATGATACAAATCTGCTCGTTGTCAATACTTTTCACGCACGATTTGCGCACCGTGAAATGCTCACAATGGATCATTTGCCCGACTGCATCTTCATCATCTTCGCTCAAATCGATGACCCCAGTGTTGGCTTCGCGGAATTGATGTGAACATGCGCCGTCAAAGAAGCCACTGCGAGAACAAACGATAGCCTTGTGCACGGCCCACTGTTTGTAGTTGCATGTGATGGTCAAGTCTGAGAATTTGCCATTGAGATGAAGCCTTCGTGGGCTGTTAGAGATGCCCATGCTGTGAGTGACGTGCAGGTTGTGAATACGCACGCAGACAGAGCATTCATAAGCTCTCTTCCAGAGCTCGAATCCTGCGTGCTCGGCGACATCGCCATCGAGCGTTGAGGTCTTGCGACACGTTGGACAGCTGCAGCAGTGCCCTTGGTCTTTGGCGAGCCGATGAAGGGCGAAAGTGGTCCGGTCGTCGCTAACAGAAGCGAGCTCGACACGCCGACAACGGTGCAGAATTTGTCTTACGCGCGGTTCTGCAGATGCAACAGCCTTGCCTTTGGGCAAACAGTCGTGATGGAAACAGTATGTCAGCAGGATGGCGATGACGGGCGGCTATCGTAGATATAAGCTCCGAGCAGCGACTAGGAAGGTGAGTAAGGTTATGATCCACTTCGACTCGGACATGTCCGTCATCGAGGGATCCTGTCCAGAGCTACGCTATGGTCGTGGCTTGGCACCCAAGCTGCCCAAATGCAGATGCCGCCTCGCTGTTGATCACTCGCCAGACAAGATGATTGGCGCACGTCTGGCGTTGGATGTCTCACGCGCGCGTGGTAGCGGGCTGTGATGGCCTCCACGATTCTGACCGAATCTGACGAAATGCAGCTGATAGGGCTGGAGGCGTTGACCGAGGCCGTTCCACCCAGCCAGTTCAACACAATGAGTATTTCGGGGCACATGAAGTGAACGCAGTGCTCGAGCATTAGTGAGGTGGGTCACGGGTGGATGCAGGATTCATGAATTATTACCAGATGCGTGTACGGCTGAGGTCAAGCAACAGCTGGATCCTCGCGTTCCGCATCGTCGGTGCCAGATGCCAACATAGCGTCCGAGGAATGTGTTCAGATTTCAGCCACATCAGGTGCAGCACAATCAGCCTGCACCAAATGCAACTCGCAGGGCCATATGTGTGACAGAGATTGAACGTGAGGCACTGCGGACATGCCGCTCTGGCCAAAACACGCCCGTCACCTACAGTCAGCCGTAGCCACATTGCGCTCCAAGGTCGCGGTGGCTGAGAGTCTTGCGTGAATGGCAGATTCACCTACCAGTTCGGTAGATGTACTGCTATGAGTATGTATCATGGCCCTGGCCGATGGAGCATGCATGATCCGGCCAGCTGGAATGAGGATGTAACAAATTCTCCGAAGGGCCTGTCATCGACCTGCAGACCTGCGCAAAAGCCTATAGCCAGCTCTAGAACATGTGCAGGAGGGACCGGTCGCAAGTCAGCCCTGGATGTGGCAGGAAGGTGGCAGGAAGGGCTGAGTTTTGGCCATGTTGTCCGGTTCAGCGGCCCGAACGATGGTAGAACAAGCCGCAAGTTGCAAGCGAAGCGTCTTCCAGTCCCGTTGTCACCGTTGGCCTCGTGTTCCATCGGCCGGGCTTCCATGGTGATCTCCTCGGATTGCTGAATGTGTCAGCATGAACGGCGCCTGAGCGCGGTCAGCCGACGGAGATATTCGCAGCACGCGACAAGTTCGTAAACATTTCCAAAGAGTGTTTCACAGGGTACGACGCCCCAAGATAGCAGAAGGATGGATCGCAGGGTTGCGTTGCTGTCTTTACCCGGTCAGACCAGATTGGCTCCTGGATAGTGATTTTCTGTATCGTTATGACATTACTCTCAGACAAGTACAGTGGCATGGTACCGTACGCTCACCACAGTGGGAATTGCACGCGGAGCACGCGACGCGTTTCACTGAGCTGTGAGAGGGATTCGAAGGTGCCAATGAGTGAAGTGAATGCAAGATCCGTGGACAACGCGATATTGTGGGTAAGAGCAACTGGAAAGCTGAGCCGCTGAGGATGATAGCAGAGGGAATTAGAGATGGTCGGCGGATGTTTGTGGAACAGGAAGAGTCGCGTCAACGTGAGGGAGCAACATGTAAATGCCAAGACTCGTTCACTTACATCATCGTGGGGTGCCTGCTGCGTGAGCTGCTGCTGCGATGGTGTTTGGTGAAGCTCTCATCGCTGCAGCAACACTTTCTGTCTGCACCACCTTCTGAGCTGTACATTCGATCACCTGCAGCTTGCTTCAACACCACCTTCCATTTGCCTGGGCATCTCCGCACTGCATTGCGCGATTGCTCAGATTTGATCTGCCGGCAGCATGACGGGCGACTTCAAGCTGTCGGCCACGTTGCGTGGCCACGAGGAAGATGTAAGCATCGGCAAGCCATTGCGCCACCACTCATTTGATGGTAATTGCTGACGAGCAATTGGCCCATAGGTCAGAGCAGTCGTCTTCCCGAACGGCCATCTCCTCTTTTCCGCTTCTCGAGATAACACCGTCCGGCAATGGAGCCTCACATCGCCGAAACCGCCCGCCTTCGACGACACCATCGCACTGAAGGGCTCACATTGGTTCAACGGACTGGCATACGCTCCGCCATCGCAGCAGCATCCTAAGGGTGTAGTTGCAGCCGGTGGCCGCGAGACTTTCGTGTTTGTAAAGCAGGTCGGACAGTCGCCAGACGAGGATGCTCATCGCATGCTTATTGGGCATGCGGGCAACATCACCTGTCTCGCGCTCACCGAGGATGGTAGCAAAGTGGTCAGTGGAGGCTGGGACAGTCAGGTCTTTCTATGGGACATCGAGGGCGGCAATGTAATTGCAGAGCTGCAAGGTCATGATGGGCCAGTGTGGGGTGTTGAGATATACGACAGCAAATTCATCTTGACGGCATGTGCGGACAAAATCATTCGAGTGTTTGATTTCAACGGGAAATTGCACCAGGCGATCAAAGGGCATACAGACGTTGTTCGGTGCTTCGCGAAGCTGCCATCTGACCACTGGTCTGGTGGTGCTGTGGCCTCTGCGGGCAATGATGAAGTTATTCGGATATGGACTCTGGATGGGCAGCCAATTGGTGAGCTCGAGGGACACACGGCGTATATCTACGATCTGGCCATTCTACCGAATGGAGATCTGGTGAGCTCGTCGGAAGATCGCACAGTCAAGATATGGAGAAACGGACAATGCATACAGACCATTACGCATCCCGCGATCAGCATCTGGACTGTTGCGGCTTGTCCAGAGACCGGCGACATCGTCAGTGGAGCGAGCGACAACGTCATTCGAATCTTCTCTCGCGATCCAGAACGACAAGCAGATGCAGAGGTATGAGTGACACAGCAATGAGGTAGAGAAAGTGATCGTGAGTCGCTGACGATATTGCAGACTATCGCGAAGTTCGACGAGACAAACCGCATGTACGCGATACCTGCAGAGACTGCGGCCCAAGGCCAGCCGTTTCAAAAGGAGAATCTACCAAGCCCAGGTACGTCAGATTCTGCTCCTTACTGCATTTCAGTGCTTTTTGCGACGATGCCCAAAACAGAAATGCGAAGGAGTGGCTGCATGAAATTACAGTGCGGGAGCTAACGCATTGTCAACAGAGGCACTCCAAACACAAGTTGGTCAAAAGGATGGTCAGCAACTCTTCATACGAGAACATGACGGGAGCGTAACTGCTCACTTGTGGGCTTCTTCTACGAGTCAGTGGAACTTGGTACGTTGTGTGGCCCAGTCGAGCGAATAATGAGTTCCGACACTGACCTCTCGTGCTGCAGATTGGGACAGTCGTAGAGGGAGAAGGGACAGGCGCCAAGAAGAAGACGTACAATGGACAAGAATACGACTACGTCTTCGACATCGATATCGAGGATGGCAAGCCTCCTCTCAAGTTACCTTACAATCTGACAGAGAGCTCTTGGGACGCAGCACGAAAATTTCTGGAACGAAACGAACTTCCCATGACATATTACGAGCAGGTCGCGAATTGGATCTCAGACAACACCAAAGGCGCCAAATTTGGCCAAGGCTCCGGCGCTTCCAATCCTCCCCCACAAGCGCGAGATCCTTGGGGAAGTGACAGTCGATACCGACCTGGAGATGCTGGCTCTGCCTCAGTCTCCGGACAGCGAAAGCTGCCGCAACGATCATATGTTGAGATCATCGAAGGCAACCCCATCAACGCTATCAACATTATTGTTCAAAAGTCAGGAGAGTTGGGCGGCGTACAGTCTGACGAGCTTGAAGCGCTGAAGAAGCTCTCTACGCAGCTTCAGAACAAGCAGGATCCACGACCGACAGACACGCAAACCTCAACACTACTGAAGATCGCCTCAACATGGCCGACAAAGAGTAAGGTGCCTGCAGTCGGCGTACTCGCACTACTGGCCGTTTCACCTTCCTTCATCAGCACGACCTGTAGTGGGGACAAGACAATCGTCGACACCCTGGCCAGCGCTGGTGTACTTCAGCCTCATCAAGAAACAGCGAACAATGCCGTGCATTCCATCCGGCTCCTCGCGAACTTGTTCAAAACCGATGCTGGATGCCTAATTGCAGATGGCACTTTCGACGCTGCTCTCAAACTCGTCCGGTCATACGCATCCGAACCAGAATCGCCTGCTCAAGTCAGGGCCCTTGCCACGCTGTACCTGAACTACGCGGTACTGTTGACAAGCCAAGCCCCGGCTAACGAAGCTTCACGGCGAGAGGCTCGCGCCAAAGCTCTCCTCCTCGACATCGCTGGGATATTAGAGAGCGACAGTCCTCATGTATCCGATGCTGATAGCTTCTATCGCGCCCTTGCTGCGCTCGGAACATTACTCACGCTTGGATCCGATTTCAGGGCTGCATACAAGGGTGCACTGGGCGGCACTCTGGAGCTGGTGCGTCGCAAGCCAGCCGCACAGTCCCAGAACGTGAAGGAGCTTCTGGCCGAGGTTCAAGATGAGCTGCGAGGTTGAGTAGATTACGCGAAGCATGAGGGATGACATCTTTAATGAGGCTACGCTAGATCACCTTTGATGCTTTCATTGCATAGCGTAGCGGACGAAAAAGCTTGACTGGCATGTTCATACGACGGATAGACCTTTATAGACGTTGAATAATGCAAAGATCATGTCTACATGCCCTATCCATTCCTTTCTGTGTTTGTGCAGGCACACAGCGCCTCGTGTTGTGCGACCACTCCTCCACCCTGCATTGCAAGTTTTTGGAAACGTGTGAAAACGGCAGTGAGAGCTGTATAACAATGATTGATTTCTCATGCTATGTTGCTCAATGCACATCAGCCACATCCTCCCTCCCACGCATTGCTCTCCCTCCTCCCATCGGCAATTTGTCTGCCTGATCTACTCTCCTCCGCCACTCATTCCGAATCCTCCTCGCCTCCTTCTCACTCACCCACCCATCCGGCCTCTCACCATGCTGCCATCCTGGATCCAATCTCCGTTTCCGCCTCCGACTGCGACTTCGTGCCACGCTGCTCCCTCGGCGATCCCGGTTCCTTTCTCGCTTGTGCTGAGAGCCAGAAGTAGTCGTTGCCGGGCGAACGAGGCCAGCGTCTGAGAGTAAGACTTCAAACTCAGGTCCTAGAGGATATTCGGAGATTCGAGAAGTGTGGTCGCAGCAGGGGGAGTGTTCGATCGGGAGGAACCAGTCGAGTGGAGATTTGCCGAATACTGCGAGGAAATTTTGATATGTGCTGCCGAGATCCCAGGGGTTGAGGCCGCGAGGTGTTTCGAGGATTGCGAAGGTTCGGGGCTCTGGAGCGGGGATGGGGGGTCTGTTGGTGGGAAGTTGGAGAGGGTAGGTGATTGTGCCTTTGAAGAGTTTTGAGGGTGGTAGTTGGAGAGGCGGAGCAGGAGGTGAATGTGAGACGGATTGGCGTTTTGCGGCTGATGGGCGGCGGTTTTGGCGTTGGAAGTAGTTCATGTGTGCTGGATCGTCTAGTTCGGATGTGAGAGGTCGTTCGCTGCCCTCGTCGCTCATGCGGTCGGCTTGCGATTGCGAAAGTCGTGCTGGAGGAGGTGGCGCCAGAGGATCTTTTTGCATCTCCGGAGGTAAGATGACAGCCAGGTACATTCTGCCGCGGATACTCTCGACCGTAGTAATATTCTTGAAGGCCATGTTCATACTGTTCAGAACCATGCCAGTGGTGAATAGTAAGAAGAACCCAGCCAGACCCAAAGCCACGAACCAGTGAACATCCTCCTTCCACTGGGCAACATAGTACCCCAGAACCCCAGTACAAAAGCCCGTAAAGATCATCGTGTAAAATAGAAACTGAACAAAGAAGTTGAATGACCTCTCGCCAACAACTCCTCCCACCCAAGGACAGAAGTGGTCCATCTTTCGCGTGCATCGTCCAACATCTTGATTATGATGCGTTCGGTCCGGTTTCCAATTCTTGCAATAATCGCACCAGATCGGCATACCAGTATAATCGCAGACGAAGACATCTCGCATCCAGAAAGCTTCCAATCCAGGCTGAGGCTCCACGATCGTTGGCCGTTGCTGATCATCTCTGCCTTGTGGTACATAGCCTGGCGAAATCGCCACAGCTAGAAGTAGTCGTAACCATGATGTCGCAACTGGTATGAGAAGAACAAAGTATACAGCTAGGATCACGATCCCGCTGGTGAGTCGTCTTGGTTTGCTTCTTGGTGGGTTAAGCAGATAGTTGATGCAGAGTCGTCCGACGATCACGTATGATGCGTATCCGACGATGAGGACCAGGAGAACGGGAATCACTCGAGCTGTCCAGAGCGACACCCGGTTCCTCGGGGCCATGCTCCGTGGTGTTCACCTTTGTAATACCATTGCTTTTGTTGTTGATGTGGAGTGTTGCGCAAAAGTTGAAACGGCCGCAAGTGATGACGGAAGATCGGAGGGCTGGGGATGTGGCTGGTGAGCAGGGAATGGAAGGTTCGACGAACGGCTCGCGCCAGGCGGCAGAAGCAGGAGCTGTCTCCGGTCTAATCACTTGGCAACGCGGTAGAACGTCTTACAGCGACAACTCAAACGCAACGCGACAGTGCTACAAGGCTTGAAGAGTCTGTCTGTCAAGAAGCGGGAGAAGTGTCAACTGTGCGAAAATTTGATAAACTAAAGAGAACATATTCTACCTCTATCGTCCTTCACCACATATCCTCTATCCTCTATCATCCATCGTGTGTGCTCTATTGTCTGTCGTGATGGCTCTATCGTGTACCTCCCACGCCCTGTCTATCATCTCTGTGTCGCCCAAACTTCAAGCGAACGCCACGGCCGTGAGGAGAAGCCAAAATTCAAGCGCATTGGTCGAGCATTGTTTCTCGATCGCCGTTTCTCATTTCTGGTACACATAGCAGTCACCACATTTGGGGTGACTACATATAAGGCAGACATCTCTAGTAAATGCCGGATTCATGTGGTTCTTGCAACGAGAACAAATCCTGAGAACCACGTTAGTCCTCAACTGTTCGTGGGACCTCGCTGTGTCTGTTGTAGACTTACCACCAGCCCCTCATAGATGGTCGTTGGTAGGGTGGGCTAGCCTGGATGCCCATTGAGGCGCCCGAAGAACCAAAAGAGCGCTGAGCATTGCGAGATGCTTCGACGTTGATGTCAATGGAAGCTCCGGTGATGCATTCAGTGGTGGCCATGTTGACCTGCTCAAGGGAGATTGCCTTGCACATGTCTCTGGTAGATGTTGATGCTGAGTGATATCAGGATGCTGCGCGAGATCTGTCTGCGGGATGGAAGTTGTGTTCTTGAGTATACGAAGGGAACTGTGCTGAAGAGAGTCTCAAGGTATCAGTCTGTTCTCCTATTATGTCTTTGTGAGAATGGCTACGAAACATGAGGCTTGCGGAACTCATGCAAGTGTTTAGCAGCTGCCTGCGGACCGGGTGCCGTCGAAGGGCGACGAGAGTGGCTATACACCATCACGTCACTGGTAATGTGATTGAATAGTTGCTGGCAAGAAAAGTCCTCACTCGCGAATGACAGGAACCGCCGAAGGGCCAAGCACTGTTTCAAAGTTCAGGAAGACTTGCTAGCGCGAAATGCGCGGGACATTCTGGAAACAAGAGCGATGTTTGGTCCATAGTTGGTAGTCGCGTCTTTTTTCGAAGACCTCGTGGACCATCGGTGTGGCTTGTAATGCTTGGGCACAGACGAAATTCGGTTCTGCCGTGGATCGATGAAAGCCCCGCCCTGCAAATCGCCGCTAGCAACAAGTGCCACGGACATGAAGTCACGATAGTCTTGCCCTGTAGATGCCTCCTGGAGGTGAAGTCAAGGACACTCGTCTCCGCCAGTGAAACGAAGCTTGAGCCGCCTTCTTGTGGCGGTACACAGCGCTTACGAGACGGCAAAGTTTCCCAGGCAAGCTATATTGATACCGCGAAACAATTGATAGCGGTGGCAATTGAGCAAACGTAATGGCGGCCCCTGAACAAAACGTCCGAGCGCAATACTGTAGAAGGTCAGCCTGCAGAAACGTGGCTGGAGAGGGCACGAGCGTACCGTATAAGCCCAACCAGTTTGTTCAGAAACTTCGCTGGCGTGGCGTACCTGTATGGTGAGCGCGGCTAATGGAAAACGTGGTTTGCAAGCGTGAAGCTGTTAGACGTCGTCAGAGAAGGCTCCAATTGCCGTACCACCTGAAGAATTGAACATTATGGGCCTTGCTGCGCCCAGCAGCGTGGTCCCCAAAGTCTATCGAGCACGATCTGTGCAACGAGATGCCATTTTCCGTCAACTCGCGTTCCTAATGGCCGGCAAAATCCACTGCTGAGGCGCAAGTGGACGTCAGCGCTCCGCACACAAGCATTCAGCTCGCCGTTGAGTGTAAAAAGTGCTGACAACCAAAAAGTTGCAGATGCGGTAGTGAGATTGCCGAAAGAGGCGCTGCAGTGCCATGTGCCCGTACCTATTCGCTGCAATCGTGCAATGGAAGCTACCGGCATTGGTGTCGCTGATTTACCAAGATCTAGTCCGATACGCACAGCATAGTGCACATTGCCGGTGCGCCAGCAGGTATCTATACAACTTGCCGCAAATTGCGTTTGGGCACTGCTTGTTGTGGGCGGCGCGAACTATTTCTGCCAGGCACCGGCTTGTGTTGTTCCTCATTCTTCAAATGGATCACGTATATTTTCTTCCGGATGGCACTGCCTTCTCTGCGTCTGAGTCCCGTCCACCGCCTTTTGTGCGGGAAATGAAGCCTGGAGGTTGAGAGCCTTGTTGAAAGGGCCGCATTCTGCCTTGTTGCCTTTCACGTTAACATGGTTTGTACTGCCCCAACAACCCGCCTTGTTTAGAAGCACCGCCTCAAATGTGTCGGCACGCGACCAATTTCATGGCGAGTGTAGCGAGAGTATGAAGCCGCCAGTGTTGATGGTATAGACAGAGCAGTGAGCACAGGAGTGAAGTGGTGGAAGCTCCAGACTTGGCGGCGATCGCCATCCCGGCTCTTTCCATCCTCGGCTGCGCGGAGCTGTGCAATGTCGTCGACGGTTTCTCGTGCCCTGTCCCGGGCCTGTTTTCTTTCACTGGCCTCCACCCTGTCTTGGAATCTCTAATTCAAGAAAATCAACTCGACACGCCGGCTCATCCTCAAAACGCCCGTCCTTCATCAAACAACTGCTCACGGGCCTCGCACACACTCTGCAGAGCTTCTGAAGTGTGCGCAACACTTCCGGCGCTCGCTGCACAGCTCTTCCGATGCGACACGCGACATCCTGTCTCGCTTGCGTCAGCTGCAGCACCGTAAACAACCGACCTCCGTGGTATTAGGCCAGGCAGCACATCGCGACGGCGACGCAGCACCACCGCCATGGCCTTCAACTTCAACTGGTCGCCGCTCATCGCGGACACGGAGCGCGTGCGCGACATGCTCACGAGCGCGTTAAACAAATCGCCGAAACCACCCATCATCGTCGACGACATCATCGTGAACGAACTGAACCTCGGCGCGACGCCGCCCGAATTGGAAATATTGGAGATTGGCGATTTGGCAGAGGATAGATTTCGAGGCATTTTCAAGATGAGCTACGCGGGCGACGCATACTTGACTCTGAAGACTAGGGTGCAGGCGAACCCGCTGAACACATACCTATCAACAAAGCCGAGCTTCGCGAGCCCTCAGCCGCTGGCAGCGAGCAGCAGTTTGACGATTCCGATACAAATCACACTGTCTGAGATTCGACTGTCCGGCTTTGTGATCCTGGTGTTTTCGAAATCGAAAGGCATCACGATTGTGTTCAGGAACGACCCTCTGGAAAAGCTCAAGGTCTCGTCGACCTTCGACTCAATACCCTTTGTTCGCGATTATCTTCAAAAGACGATTGGGAATCAGCTTCGAATACTGTTCATGGAAGACCTGCCCGCGATCATACATCGACTATCTCTGCAAAAGTTCAGCCCAGATTATCAAACAGCAGAGAATCAGGAGCCCAAGAGGAGCGAGCTTCCTTCAGACATTTCCGTGGATCCTCTCGCGAGTCCAGCTCTCGGTGCGACTGATGGGATTCTCAGCCCTGGTGGCACCTTATCGCTTGAAACACCAGTCGAGACGTATGCTTCGTTCTCGCAGAAGAACATGATCCGACTCGCGACTCTCGCGGAAAGCCAACGCACTCTCAGTCTCTTTACGCCATCCATGAGGGATACGGTGTACCGTGCGTGGGCATCCGCCTATCGCGATGAGATGCAGAACGGCACCCTTTCGCCCACCCGGCCCGGTCTTGCCAGGCTTCAAACATCAATCGCCTCGCGTAGCGCCGTTTCGTCTGCGACGTCGCTAGCTTCCGGAGCCGGTACAGAGACTACCAGACCCAGCCTTGTCGCCATGTCCTCCGCAGCGACCGTGTACACCCTGAATAGCACAGGATCTCGAACCCGGCCGAGAAAGAGAAAGAACAGGGTCGTGAATCTGAGGAAGAATCGGCATGAAAATGATCACACAGAGACTGCTAGTGTTGGAACCAGTGGATACGACGACAGCGCAAGTCATTCGGGCTCTTCTCCCAGCATGGTACGATCGAGCACCGAGGCGACTTCGGCAACAGGGAGCAAGTTGCGCGAAGGCGAGATCACGACCCCGCCCAGGAGCCCAAAGAAGAAGGTTGACTTCAAGCATAAGGCTGCGGCGGAGGAGACTGCAGAGAGAGCCCAGCAGTCTCGATCAAGACCCATCACTCCTAAAGATTCACTGCAAGTCCCAGAGGAAGATGACATTGATCGAACGCCTCGAGCATCAATGTACGTGCCACGGGAGGAGCAAAAAGTGCAGAAACCTGCTGTAAACCAATTGCCCCGAATGCAGGCCTTCCCATCTCGGTCACCTTCGCCGGAGGTCAGCCGACGACCTTCGTACGATCTCCGCCGTTCTTCGTCCGAACTCCGATTAGAAAGTAGGACTTCATCAGAGATCAAGCTCCAGAGTCTCCTCACGGCCTTCAGCGAGAGCAGTACTGGTGGCATCTTGGAGCGAGCGTGGATGGAGAAGATGGCAGGGGACATTGCCAGAAAGATCACCCAGGAGCGCACCAAGAACAAAGCATGGCGCGCTCCTTCCGAGGGAGGCATCGAGGAGGAAGCCCCTCCTGCGTATGTCTCCTAGTAATGTAATGAATTTTCATGTTGGTTTCGAGAGCGCGGCGTTCGGAGGACTAAAAAGACTGGAGAACTCATCACGATGAACGGCGTTACGACTCTCCTCACTGTTTGGATGGAGTCTTTGCCAGGCTGAGACCTGAGATTGCGATACAGAGGCCATGATACCCCATAGAAGGCCGTGGACGCTTATTAGACGCATCCAATACTACTTCGTGTATAGCTAGGTATGCATTCATAAAATATTGTATCTTTGCACAAATGCAAAATCGCAGTGCTCTTGACCTTCTTGACAGGAATATGTAACAGCTCGCGCGGCACGTCGTCTCTGCTACGCGCGTGTAGCCCGGAATCGAGGGTCGAAAATTGTTCACGATCTCAAGCACATCTTCACGATCGATCTGTATACCAAAATGCCATGCGTCAAGACCCTGGCGAGCCGGCTAGTCGGTCATGCCAAGCCTAGTGCCGCGAACCTTGAATCGGCGAAGTCTGAACATCGTCACGACTTTCTCTCGGAGGACTTGCAGCTTTTGGGCAGCACAGGATGGTTCAGCACATTTCAAAGCAGAGCGAGACAGCTCCGGAGTCTCCAGAAACTTCGCTCGAGGGGAGTTCGCGGAATGCGAGACATTACTCCCGTACGCGTAACCTCGTCATCTCATGTCGACGCGCCCAACAACTGCTACGGCCCGCTACCCAACAATGCCGGAGGATGACCATTCTTCCGTATTGAACCTCCTCGCCCGTGGTTTCCGACTCGTGCGTGGCGTCATGCCGGTAACTTGCTAGAAGTTGAACACGATGCAAACAAGCCTGCTGAAATCCTTGAAGACGAGGAAGGGTTTGTTCAAGCAGAGAGCCATCTCATGTCCGCGTACGAGTAGGCATCTTTCCTTTCAGCCATCGGGTGGAAAGCTCGTCTACGCATAGTACGGCACTTGTGCGGCTCTTCGCTTCCTAGCTACTGCTGCAGAAATGTGCAACGCCAAATCGCCATGCCGCGCAACTCCGGTCTGCCGCGGCGGGCTTGCCGATGCCAGGCTCGAACAGGTTACTACCAAGCGACCACGAGGCATCATGTTGCTAAGCACTTTTTCTTGGGTGTCGAGGCAGTTTTCTTCTGGTTCGTGTTACTTTAAAACTTGCTCTCGCTGCCCTGTTCAGCGAGAGAGGAGAAATTACCAGCTTTCCGTCTTGCTTGCATTTGAATTGATTGGGACCTTGCACGTACATATATATTATTGGAGTTCCGGACCCAGATCCAGACCTTTCGCTTTGTCCGTCTAGGCCCTCGTGGACCGCGAATTTGGCCAGATTGCACTTTCCGCTCACGGAGAGATCTATAGACGGCCACCTTCTCCATCTTCGGTTTTGTTACGATTCACACCTGTTCAATCATCAGACACAGAAGACAATTGTACTTGCAAGGCTCGTCGCAGCTTTCTCAGAACTCCCCGATCCCGAAGCTTCGGAACGCAACTGAGATTGAGTTGGACCCTGGCCCGTCTTTTCTTCACGAATCAGCGAGCCTTTGAGCTGTCCATATCGGGAAGGAACAGACATCAACGGCTAATACACGACTACGAGTAATCGATTTGGCTTTCAGTTTGGTGGTATTTGGGCTCTCCGCCCTTGGAGAAATATATCGTCGCTCAAAGGAACTTCTCAAGTGTCGCACCGAAATTCCAACAGCCAAAAACAACGCAACGACTGCCAGACTGTGTTTCATCACGGATCTGGTTGCTAAAAGGTCGAATCAATTTTGCCTCGTCAAGCGAGAGGCTGAAACCTTCAACAATCTTCATCATGTCGGCTGCGTCTGTCATAAACGTCCGCGTTACCGCATGCGGCTGTGGGAGATATATCAGAATGGGCCTGGATCGATGCACAGAATGCTCTCGCGAGCTGCAGAGACAAGAACAACAACGAAGCACATCGCCAAATTCCGAAACATCCTTCTCATCGTCTCGAAAGTCTTCGACCCACTCGTCACGGCCGAGCACACCAATTGGTCCTGGCAGGCCATCGCAAGCACTGAATGCACTCAATAATGCATTCTCATCAGAAGACGCACTGGCTGGATTCTTCCCACAGTCGAGTTTCAGATCACCCAGGACGAAGCAAATGCAGATACGAACTGCATCTGTCCCGTCGCAAAGGCGTCCAGAGAACGATGCAGCGGCTTTGAAAAGTTCAAGGAAATCATTCAAGGAGCACAGAATCGGTGGTTTGGACAAGCGCTCAGTGAGCGAGGATGGCTACTCGCCGATGGCAGCAGCATTTGTGCGTGCAGCGAGAAGAGTCCACTTCGTCGATGGGGAAGCCGATAAGGAAAATCGTGGGAGGTACGAGAGCGGAAGGTCTCGATTAGAGCTTGAGGCGCGGCTATTTGATGGCCCAGCATGATGGTTTGTTGCAAGATGAAATATGTTGGCTTGATAGCGTTGTGATACCCGGTCTGTATGAATTAGCGCGGCGTTGTGAATAGCTGGGGAAATGAGTCTCTATTTGTGAAATGAAAACGGCTTCTCAAGCCAGCAGTTTGCTATGCGAATTGTAGATTGCACACTTTCGTGAATCGATGCTGTTGGAATTGTGCCAATATTGCTTCCCAGCTTCTGGCTTTCCTCTCGGTCGAGAACGCAATTGTTCCCATGGTTGAAGTCCGTCTGGCATTGTTGACCTGCTCCTTGTCTGGACCATGGGCTCTGTCGTACGGATCACGACGTCGGCGTGGCGGCCGAGTTCTTCAAACACGTCTGCACAATTGGAAATGCTGGCATTGGGGCTCGCAGGACCGGAGGAGGGAAATGCTGCCCGCTGTTGCTATGCAATACCCTCAAATTCGGCCTCCAGGCAGCAAAGAAGCTGCACGCGAAGCTGGAATATAACATAACATTGGGGTCGCAGGCGCATTTAACGCCGATGTCAAGCCATGGCACGCCCTCTGTTTGGTGTTGATGGCCCTTGGTGATCTCGTTCTGGTTCTGGAAGTCGAGACTTGACAAAGTTCAAATTCCCGCGGTTGCCCCGCAGAGCCTCATCAATGCCAACAACACTTCGCTCCAAGTCTTACACCTCTCGCCTCATCTCATCAATATCAGCGTCTATCATCAGAATGCGCAGACATTCGTCAGTCTTGACTGAGAGTCAGATCTCGAGCGTCGAATGCTGAGATGAGCATTGATGTCCTTATTGCCTCACAATGGCCACTGGCCACCACTTCCATTTGTGGAGCCTCCGTAAATTCATCCACTCCGGCATCGACCCTTCCGATTGAGCGAAAAGCACGGGCAAGTTGCATAGTACCGACCCACAATGCTTCGACATTCTTCGTCACCCACCAGATATTTCTTTGCACGCTGCGCCTCCTATCCGACTTCATAGCCATTCTTTCACTCTTTCCTTTGACAGACCTACTTCGAAACCTGCTAACAGCACTTTCCTAATATTCCTTGAAATATCATGCGTTTCTCTACTTCCCTCGCTGCATTGGCAGTGACAGCTCAACAAGCTGCAGCGTACTACAAGGGTGCGTAAGAGAGCTTGACCATCCAAGCTTTTGCTAAGAAATGCACAGGCTTCAACGTCGGTGCCAACAACCCCGACGGAAGTTGCAAGACCAGAGAGCAATGGGAGGAGGCCTTCAATAAGTTGAGAGGTCTGCCGCAGGACATTAACACAGTCCGCCTCTACGCATCGAGCGATTGCAATACTCTTGCAAACGCGGTACCAGCTGCTCAGAACACTGGCACTCAAATCCTTGTTGGAGTCTGGACTGAGGATGCTGCCCACTTCGGCGCAGAGAAGGCCGCTCTCGAATCAGCGATCAACACCTTCGGCCACGACTGGATTTTGGCAATCTCGGTCGGCAGCGAGGATCTTTACCGCGGCGATACAGATGCCAATACTCTTGCCCAGCAGATCTACGATGTGAGAGGAATGGTGAGAGCAATGGGTGTTGAGGCCGAGGTTGGACACGTTGATACCTGGAACGCTTTCACCAATGCCGCGAATGATCCTGTGATTCTTGCTTGCGATTTTATTGGTCTCGATGCATACCCGTACTGGGAAGGTGGTTCGATTGAAGAGGCATACGACTTGTTCTTCAAGGCATACCAAGCTACGAAGGACCATGTGCAGTCGGTTGGAAGTGGTGCCTGGGTAGTAAGTCGGAGTGTATCTCGAATCATCTGGATACTGCTAACAGAACATAGTGGATCACCGAAACCTCCTGGCCAGTCACTGGGGACAACTTCGGCAACGCCGTTCCTTCTGTTGCCAATGCCCAAAAGTTCTGGCGCTCCGTGGCCTGCGAACTATTTAACGAAGCGCATGTGTTCTGGTATGCCTACCAGGACTACAACGACTCTCCGTCTTTTGGCATCTTCGACTCGAACGGCAACGCCATCTACGATTTGTACGCATGCTAAGTTGACTAGCCGCCCTGGGTTCTATAACGATTGGAGATGAGGCACAGCTAGACCACTCCGCGTAGTTTGAGTATACGACAGATCTCATTGTTGCGCTCACGTGCTCCGTTCACCATTCACCTCCCATTCACCTCCCACCAGCCCGTAACGCCGCGAAGCTTATTCCACGACACTTGCTTTCCCTACTTATTCAGCAGGCACCTCTCCTCCACCGACGTCGCGACATCACCGAAGAAATCTTGGAAACAGCAAGGTAAGTCCTCGCGCACAACATCTGCTCCTCGTTGTAGCAGCTGGCTCACCGACACTGACTCTTCCCGCAGACTCCTGACGCGACGGCCACACACGATGGCACCCGAACACAACCCCGTCGCGCCTGCGACTAATCAAGGCGGCGCTACCTCATCGCCGACGACGATCCCAGATCCATCCACTTGCTCTTTCCTCGACAAGCTGTCGGCAGAAATTCGAGTGCAGATCTACGGCCATGTCTTCGGCGAAGCTACCCATGTGCGACTGGCGCCCGACCACAACCTCACGAACGACACTAATGGAGACGCCGAGTCTTCGAAGGCATCCCATAAGTCGTTTCCCGTCGAAACGTCAATCATGGCGGCCAACAAGCAGATTCACGAAGAAGCCATCGAGACATTCTACAACAAGAAGACCATTTGCTTAACGTTCGCTCAGCTCCACACGGCACTCGAAGCGCTGGATTCCGGCGCCTCTCACCATTTGGACATGGCTCGCCGCATCGAGATCGTCGGGTGCAAATCAGCTCGCGTTGCCAGCGTGCACTACTGTCTTTTCAGACTCCATCTCTTGCCGCATCTCAAGTCTTTGGTCATCCTGACAGAGTACCTCACCACTATGGGACATCCTGACCTGCACTGTTCTGCTCAACAGTGGATCGCCGACATGGGGTTATCTGGTCTCGTGTGCATTGATATTGGCAAGTTCGAGTTCAAGGATGACAGCAAACTAGCAAAGGTGCAACTGTTGAACTCGAAATTGGTACGCATGTGGCCAGCTGTGAAGAGCACTCCAGAAGACTACGATCCAGTCAAAGAGGTTGCGAGGCTAAGAGATGAGTGGGCAATGAGCGGGTTCGTCAGCAACCTCTATTCGTGGGCGAGTCACACGTCACTGCGCCTATGGGTGGCAATGCATGAGGCACTCGTTGTGTACGCGGCAGACAAAGAAGCAGACGACACTACCGTCACTCAAGATTTGGAAGACGACCACTTCATAGACTGGATGCGTAGCACCGTTCAGCGCGGACCATCTTTCACACACTTCGTCAACAGACCAAGAGGCGGAATCTCAATGCACGCACTCGGTCCTCAACATGATCCTGCTCGACTGGAGGCTGCTACGGAATTCTTAGCCATGAACATCACCTCATACAAACTCCACGCAGAAGATCTGGAGGAAGGTTTCCCGTTCCGCATAACCTATGCCTCGCCTTCATGGCCAGAGCTTGGCGGGGTCGATGTTGGTGCAGAGCAGTCCGAGCAGTATCGCATCGATCAAGCATGGATCCGCGAAAACTGCTTCATCGACTATCCATGGACCTCGACACGCCGATTCGACATCGATGTCGTTCGAGATTCACTGACCGGTAACCCAACCTACGGCCCAGTGTTTGGCATACACGATATCTACGTTGCATCGAAGAAGACTCTTCAGGAGATGTGGTATATCGTTCTGGCCTTGTACTGTGACGTTCCCGACGACTCCGCGGAAGACGAGCACGAAGGCGAAGTATGGACCGACGAGTATTGTCTGAACGGGCCACATCACGTTGCCTGGACGACCTCTCATTTACGCAAATATATGAGGCTGAGCAATCACTTCCTCTCGCCAGAAGAGCGGTTTACTGCAGCGGAGATTGAGGATGCTTCGCTCGAGATCCTATCGGGGATTTTCACGTTGGCCACCTCGCTCCGTGCTGTCCGTATGCAAATGGATAAGGATTTCGAGCCAGAACCATTCCAGATGATTGAGGGGATGAACCAGGACGAGAATGTCTACTGGCCGTACCTTGCTCAGGTGGCGCCATCTCTTCGAGTCTTTCACGGTACTGTGATGAGGCTCGCTGAGCAGGAGAATGGTGGGATCCAACGAGAGGGTGATGGGTCCAATCAAGAGGTTGATCAGTCCAATCAGGAGGTTGATGAGTCCAACCAAGAGCGTGATGAGTCCAACCAAGAGGGCGAGGAAAATCAGACAGGTTGTGTGATGGCATAAGGACGTTATGCTGCGCTGAGGAGTGTACATTTGAAACATGGCAGCGCACATGTTGACCTGTGAAAAGGCATTTGACGATGGGAAAGACGAAGCTGATAGTACCTTCTACTGCTGTCGAAGACATGAATGAATCGCGGGCGATGTCCCTGGTGGCGACAAGTCTGTGATGGCTGTTCAGAAATTGCATTAAAATGTATGACTAGACAAGCGGCTACTTGTTCGAGGTTGACAATGCTCAAAAAGAGGCATGAGGAGAATTGCAGGATGCATAGCCTCTATCGAGCGGCAGTAAACCGCAACAATACAATTGAAAACTCAGAGTTCCTTTCCTGTCTCTACTCCTGTGCGCTCTCGCTTGACTGACAACTGCGTACGAGCTTGAATTCGCTCCGCGTCGCCGGCTCGCTCCATACTTGATCGACATCTCTGTCCTTGCCTTCGACTTCTTCTCGACTTTGTCCATGCACTTCTCGCTCAAGCCTCGTTGCAATTCTCCTCTTCGCTTGCTGTAAAGTTCTTGCTCTTCCTCTTCCTGATTGGATGGAATTGATACACCTCCACACTCCAAAACAGTTCTATCCTTGTTCTCCACAAACCCCACCCGCAATCTGGCTCTCACAAAACCTTTCCTCTCTCATTCAAGTTTAGCACGCTCCATAGGTATTATAACAACCCGCGGGACACGACTCTCCAAGTCCTGGGGTTACGATGCATGGGCAACAACAGTGTACTGTTCCACCGCCTCCGCACTAATTTCCAAATGGTGAGCAGTTGGTCACTTGTTGTGTGTGATGATAATGAAGAATAAGAAATGTGGGATGGGGATGTCCGGATGGTGGTTGGCTGCGGGACAGGAATCTTTGGAATTTTTGTTTTCGACTTACCCACCAGGTCTGTCCACGTTCTTCTAGCTGGACTGGCTTAGCGCTTGTCGCGCCGAGGGCAATGAAAACGGCGAGGAGAGTTTGGAAGGTCTTCATGTTTGGGGGTTGGGGATGGAGTGAAGATTCAGCGTGATTGTTTGGATTAGGCTTGGAAAAGGAAGAGAGTATTGGGGTAACAAATAGATGTAGGACTTGCAAGATGTGGCGGAAATTGGACGATCGTTGGGCCGTGTGGGCGCAACCATTGATATATGCATAGTGGTCGCTTTTCGCCAATCTGTATAGAACTCGTTGGTTGGAGCCGAGTGGGAGTACGACCGCGTGTCTCGGGGGCAAGAGAAGAGTAAAGATATCATGACTGTTGAGTGTCAGGAGATCAGCGGAACATGCTCGGTAGTGATGAAAAGTGACACCATGTTGTTTGTACAAAGGCATACTGTACAGTAAAGGGCTCGAAGCAGCTTGAGTGTCTTGTACACACCTTTGCCTAGCTGTAAGACAGCACCTTCTCGTCAACACAGGTGTTGCATTGCAGAGAGTTGGAAGGAGTGTTGTCCAATGATGAACCGCTTTCAGTGCCATCCGAGACCATGATAGGCGTCTGTGCCCGGCGAAGGACGATGGCGGAGCTCACTGGCTCTCAGCCACTCTCGCATTTGCAAGGCTTGCTATTGTACTAGCTCGGAGGAAGTGAGAGCTTGGGCTGTTCGTGCGACGAACTAGGATAGACCGGATAAGCCACTTCCAGGTCCAGAAGAGGGCCTTGGCGTTCTTGTGGTACGGCTTTGGTGACTGGATCGCAATGTTATCTTCTGTACAGTCGCTGGGAGGCCAGTTGCTCATTCACTTCACCCATCCTCCTCCGCCTCTTTTGCAGCCCTTTCCTCCTCCCGCCTCTTCTTCCTCGCCAGCAAATCTTTCAACTTCTTCGCCACGCCGAAGCTACCTTGCGTATCCGCTCCGCAATTCGCGCACTGCTTTTTCTTCTCCTTCATATACCTCGTCATGGCACATTTCTCGCAGAAATAGTGCCCGCATTTTGTCACGACGGGATTCTTGTAGCTTTCCTTGCAGATGATACAAGCGAAAGGAATCTCCATCAACATCTTCTCTTCATCGTCCATGCCTTCGGTGTCTTTCTCATTCGCCGCGCCGGGCTTCTTGTCTTTCTTCCCTGCTTTCTCCCATTCTTTGTCCAACTGCCATCCTTGCTTGTAATCTTCTCGCGCGTGAAGGAATTTACAGCTGTCACCAAAACCACAGAAGCCTGTTTGTTTGTAGTCTTTGCAGACGTCTGGTGCAAAATCTGTCACCGTGATTGTTCGAACGTTCGTAGGTGCTTTTTGGGGGCCAAGTTGCTTTCGTTCGGGATTCTTTGCGATGAATGTGGAGTATTTTGCTGTGCCTTGGTATGTTCCGTCTGTTGCTTCGGGAACTACTGTCTCTGAATCTGGCTTCGCTTTGCCATCTTTCGCGGCGAGAGCAGCGTCGGTGTACCAGCTCGAGGCTTTGGTTGCATCGTCGTTGGCGGTGATGTTGGTAGAGCGATCTGCTTGGAAGGCGGTGTACTTGGTCGTGACCACCTCGGACTTGGGGCCATTTCCAGTTATTGTCACGCCCTCCCTCTTGCGACGCTTGATCCGTGCACCCTGTTCATCGTCGGTATAGTCGTCACTGTCGGAGGCCGAGTCTTGGGGAGGAGGCGTGGCTGGGCGTTTGCGGATGTTGGTATTTTTGGCGCGCTTCTTGAAGACGGGCGCTGCTGCTGCTGTGTCGGCCATGTCTTGCTGGGAAGTCAGTGGTGGTAAGAGTGGAAAACAGTACGTCAGAGTTGAGATGCATGTGAAGCTTGTGAGGCAAAAACGTGCTTAGTCAAGAGAATTTACCGGCAGCCACCAAAGGCACTCGACTCGCGCCTTCTGCCCGCAACAGGGGGTGACTTTGGGGGAACTTTGCCGCCTGATGAGACGAACGACAGACAGACAGACCTCGATGATGCACCGCACCAGCAACAGCCTGTGAGCGCTGGGTTGTTTGTTGTCGTGGTGCAGGTGAATGTAGCAGGGTTTCTCGGCTCGTCGGCCAATCGGCATGGGCGCTGCGTCTGTTGATGATAAACACAGCGGGCATTAACTTACAGTTTGGCGCACGAAAGTCTGGAGGTTCACGTCGAGCACGCGCGTTGCCGCCACAGCCCACTTCCTCCATCACTGCACTCGTTGATTCACTACTGCTGCTTGTTTCCGCCGTCTTGTTGTTCGTTCGTTCTTCTTCCACCCCTCCCCTCCCCCGCCGACGGATCCCGGGCGGCTGCCGTCGTGTCTGACAGCGCCAGACAGCCCGCCGAACACCTGGCATTGTGCGTGCAACCCCGCCGGCTCTGCATCGAAACCGCGAATACACTTCTGCAGCGCATCCGCCCGCTGCTCTGCCGCTGCACGACACGACCACCGACCCGACCCTCCGACCCTCCCTCTCTCCTTCCCCCGGCGCCTTTTGTTTCTCCCTCCCAACTCAGGCGCGGTGCGAGAACTCGACAATCTGGCCTCGCCGTCGTCGCCCGACGTGTGCGACGAGCAGCAGCGCGCCCGTCCGCTCGGATACTTCCATTGGTTCTGCTCCTGCATCGCAACCTCGCCCATCCAGCGCTTCCCGAGACACGCACCCGCGTAGGCCGCAGACAGTGCCAGACACTCGTTCCCGCATACGCGCGCCCGCCTTTGCAACCTATTCCTTTCCTTTACCATCTTCCTAATACCATTGTAATCAGCACATGGAACGGCGACCCATGGCCGAGATTGTGAACCCGCCGGCAGGCACGGCGAATGCCAATGGGAACGCGGATCCCTTCGCCCACACCTCTCCTGGAAATGCAGGTCCATTGCGATATGGCGCATTCGACAGCGCCCACTTCTCCGCCCTGTCCACCAGCTCCCCCTCTTCCGCGAGACGCGCCCTCGAAGCTCACATGCGGGACACGGACAGGCGAATCAAGGATGCTGCGCGGCTCGGCATGACGCTCACCTCGCAGCGTGCAGAACTGGCTGCCAAGTTGAAGGAGGTTGAGCAGATGCAGCAGGACTCCGACATCCCTGCCGAGCTACAGGGCAGGCTGGCAGAGCTTGAACGCGAATACAACGAGGTTGGTCGGGAGTCTGCCCGAGCTTTCCTCCCCAAGTCGAGAGTTGCGAGCGAGAGCGTGGACTGGACAAACTCTACTGTCATGTCCGGCTCAGGACGAGACTCGCCAACAAAGATGTCCGCTCCCTCGCGCAGACAGCGAAATCAGCCCACTAATCGAGTGCACGATATCGAGTTTGCTACCGAGATTAGTACCTCCCTCCTCGCCCAAGTTCGGCAGTTACAGGCAGCCCTGGCGGAAAAAGATGAGCAGCTCAAAGACACCACATCCGCCAAAGCTCAGCTTGAAGCTGAGTCTGCTCAACTATTGCAGCGACTGCGACACATGGACGAGAGTGAGCAGAAGTACAAGGACGAGAACTGGAACCTCGAGACTCGCCTGCAGGACGTCGAGGCTACGCTGAGGGAGAGCTTGGAGAAAGAGCAGCGACTGTCTCAATCACTCAAATCCGCCCAGGCCGATAAAGCTGCCAAAGAACGCGAGCTGGACGAGCTGCGAGTATCACATGAGAAGCTTTCCGAAGACCAGGCGAATGCGCGCAAGACCACGGATAATGACTTCTACAACCTGCAGCGTGATCATAAATCGCAGCTGACGGAGAACGAGAAGTTGCAGGCCAAGGTCCGAGAGTTGACCTCGCAAAATACAGAACTCGCACGAGGTCTTGCATTCCGAATGGGGCAAGGGGTACCTCAATCCGATACGGACTTCATGTCGGCTGAGGAGAACTTGCAGTCAGACGATGCCAGTCCGGATCACAGTGCGCCAGCGTCGCCCATCAAAGGCACTCCGGCTCGTCATGGCATGCTGGAAACGGAGACTCTCAAGTCCAGCTTGAACCACGCCCATCGCATGATCCAGAATCTTAAGAACAACATTCATCGTGAAAAGACGGAAAAGATCGAACTGAAGCGCATGTTGCAAGACGCACGCGATGAGCTGGAGCAGAGGCGAGACACTACAGGCATCATCGCGAATGTAGCCAAGAAGCGCAAGAGTGAGAATGATTTCCGGTACAAGCGACCTTCAAGCAGCAGGCTTGGCGCCACCCGCGGCAGTACGACAGAGATCATCGATGAGCCGGACTGGGAGGATGATGTGATGGAGCACACTCCGAGCAGAGGCCGAGATGGAATCATGTCCAGGGCTACTGTGGCAGGACTTGCAGCAGCCAACGCATACAACCGTGCATATGGCAAGTCGGATGGTGACACTACTGATGCCGCGTTTGAGACCGCCAATGAGACAGACACTGGCTTCGAGACCGCCACCGAGCGCGGTGCTACCACTGAAAGCGAGGCTTTCGCCACGGGCGTGGAAGAACTTGGTGATGACACCGAAGGCGATGCCACAGAGACCGAAGAGAGCTCAACCCGCGTTCTGCGTCCGAAGATGTCGAACAAGCGCATGTCATACATGTCCACTGCGTCTGACTCTGGAGACGAAGATGGAGATGACATTGTAGGCACACCTGTACGATCCACACATCAACCAAAGTACAAGCTGCGTTTGAGCCGTGGTGGGCGACGATCGAGCCGCGTCAGTGACAGCCATCAAGATTCGCCGCAGGCTCTCCTGGCCAGTCCGAGCTCGAGCGTTGGCACACCTCAGCCTGCTGGCATGCAATCTCTCGGTGATGAGTTGGACGCTCTTGACGATGACGACAGCATAGATGGAACGCCAATTTCTGAGAGACAGCTCGACGGAAGCTTCAGCACAGAGACGCCGACAACAGAACGCCACGCCAGCGTCGAGCCTGGCACACCCAGCACGCCGACCACGTCGATGAACGACCACGAGACGGTCGACCTCCTCTCGCCATCTCAAGCGAGCGTTGGTGCCGCGCAAGCTTTGCCTAAGCCAGCGATGGTTGATGCAGGTATCATGACTGAGCCCTGGCAACCGGAACCTGTTGCGGAAAAGACAAGTCTCTTGCAACATGCAGGTGAAGTGGCAGCCGGGGCTTTGGCAGGCTTTGGATTGAGCAGGGCTGCTGGTCAGGGGACTGGCGAAGATGTTTCGCGACCTACCACAGCGCACACGGCCATTGACGAGAGCACGACCGTCGACACTGGCTCGCAGCCCGCACGAGAAATTGAGACGTCGGCAGAGCCAGTGCGTACAATGGTTACAATTGGCACCGATGCGCGTGGCGTGCCTGTTTCCATCAGCACGGGAACTGATGCTCGTATCATTCCAACGAGCAGCATTGGTACCGATGCTAGAGTGGCGAGCACATCGCACACAGGCACAGACGCTCGGGTGCCGGTGCAAACCATTAGCATTGGCACTGATGCTCGCGGCAACCCCGTCACCATCAGCATCGGCACCGCTACCGATCCAGAGACCGAGAATAACACGCTCCTTGTCGGGCAGCTACCACATGCATCGTCCTCGCTGGACCGATCTCCCCTTCTCGCAGAGAACACGGATCCAGAAATGTGGCCACTGCCTCCCAATCAAAAGCGCATGTCAATATCAAGTATTCCAAAGAGCGTGGTCCTCGACGAAGAGAGACCGCCAGTGCCATCTATGCCGCCACCGCCACCACCGGTTCAGTTGTCCTTCTCAGAAATCGTGTCGCAGGAGTCGGAACCGGTCCTACCGGAGCTAGAAACACCCGACGTTCCTCGCAGAAGCTCCAGGAGAGCTGATCTTCTCTTCGTTCCTGATCATTCAGACGAGCAGACAGTGCTCGGAGACCAGTCGCAGTTTGATAACACACAAAATGACGTTCTCGCTCAGTCTGCCGATCCGTCTGTTCTTGACAGATCATTTGAGGAGCAAGTCACACCTTCCTCAAGGCAGCCTCTGGCAGAGATGTCAGCTAATGCACCGCCATCACGACCACCACCGCCGCCGCCGTCAAGGCCACCACCGCCACCTATGTTTGATGAAGGCTCGCAGACGCTGCTCTCTGGAGCAGAGATTGAGAGCATGATCAAGAACAAGAAAGCCATCTCGAGGCCGGCTTCTTCGAGATCGTCGAGGGGCAATTCGACGTTCACAAACGCAGCCGCGGCGGCATCACTTGCGCTAGCTGTCAACACGCCTTCCAAGCGTGAAGCTGATCAGCGCCCATCCATATATGAGTCTCCAACGCTACATCCAAATGGCAGGAGACCCTCCAGTGCGGGCTCGATGCGCAAGAGAGACGCGGCCATCGCTGCTCCTCCACTCCCTGCAGACCACAATCTCAAGATTGCGGCTGCGCAAGTCACACCTGGCTCACCAGAGCAGCCACCGTCCCGCGGAAACATGGGTCCACCAGGCATGCCAGCTTCGGCATACAAGCGCCCCAACACTCCAAGTGGCCGACCGCCTTTCGAGCGTGCGCTTCACTCGCGAGACTCGAACACTCCTCGACAAGCGCCACCAAAAGACAAGCGAGGTATGGCGTCCACTATCCCAGCAGATCGCGTATCACATCGAACTTCTGTCTCGTCATTTGCTTCTGAGCTTGACGAGCGTTTCAACATTTCTCGTGGCATGATGTTGCCGCCAGATGTCGCACCTGCGACTGACCCGCGCATGATCCAAGCCATCACACAGACCATGATTGGAGAGTTCTTGTGGAAATACACCCGCAAGACCGGCCGGAGCGAGACCTCAACGACTAGGCACAGGCGATTTTTCTGGGTGCATCCGTACACCAGAACGCTGTACTGGAGCGAGCATGATCCTAGCACTGCTGGTAAGAACATGATGAAGGCAAAGAGTGTCGCTATTGAGGCCGTTCGAGTTATCTCCGATGACAACGCCTATCCACCTGGCCTGCACAGAAAGTCGATTGTCGTCATTACTCCGGGTCGTGAGATAGTATTCACGGCACCCACGGGTCAGAGGCACGAGACTTGGTTCAATGCGCTGTCATATCTCTTGTTGAGGACTGAGAGGGAAAACAAGGAAGCAGAAGACACCATGAGCGATGCTGAACTCAATGAGTTCGATCCTCATGGTAGCGGTGTTTCCGGAACTGTTCGACGCAATTTCAGCAGACTGACTGGCGGTACCGCCAATGGTCGCAGCATCAGTCGGCAAAGCCGACGAACCAGCCTCAGCAGCTACAACAGCCGAACCACGAGGAATACCAGCCCTCAACGACAAGATGCTACTGTGACTGGCAGGACATCTGCGGCTTCGAACCATCGCGGCAAATTGGCTCCCGCAGCAGCCGGCACCCTCCGAGCGACGAGCTCCAACCCATCGCGTCTTTCCTCCAGCAGCCAGCAAGGTGGTCGCTTCAGCTCCATGGCCTCACGTTTCCGATCGAGTAGCACTCAACGAACGACGTCTGCCCTGAGCAACCGCAAAGCCGATCCCAGCGACCCCGCGACTATATACGATGCGAGCGTTGTGGGAGACTCGGCTGAGGATCTGAGAGCTGTTATTGAGCGACAAGAGCGAGACGCAGATCGGTTGGAGAATGTGAGGGCTTGTTGCGATGGTGAGTGCTGACCTCAATACTTTTCATGTTAGACATGATTGCTGACCACTCTTTTACAGGCAAACACGATGTTGGAAGCTTGAAGAACCGAAGCGGAGCTGGCAGGCACCGTTTCAGTGCTGGGCATCATCATCACTCGCATGCCCATGGGACTGCTTCAAGCCGGACATGAGCCAAATTACTTTGGTCGCTGCACAGCATTTGGCGTCTCGTAATCGTAAACCATTTGATTTCCTTTGTCTTTTTGGAATGAGTGGTGGAAGAAGAAAGAAGAATTAAACGAAGAAGAAGAAAAATTGTTCAGTCAAGCCATCAGTCAGTCATTGGAAGATTCTCCCGCTCTCTAGAAAGCTTTTTGGTATTGTGTTTTGTCTCGTTGCTGGAAAGGAAAGCACAGCGTCTTGCTCTCGCTCTTCATACAGGAAAGGCGTTTCCAACCACTACTACAGCGACGGCGTTGCATGAGATGACGGCTGCGCTTTTGCTGATTTGATGGAGTGTTGCTTTCTTTTGAGAGAGAAGATAATATCTATATTACAGTGTATGGGAGATGATTGAGAAGTGTTGAGTTTCCTACACTTTTGTGAGAAATGAAGTTGCTTCTGTTGGCATTCACAGCTTTGGCGTACTGCTCGTGCTACCGTTGGTCGACTGGAATCGAGTCTCGACAACATTTTCGTTGCCTTGATAAGCCTCCATCACGACTTCACCGTTAGGGTTATGGGCCCATTCGTCGGGCTTGTCGACAATGAAGTACTCCCAGTTACCAGCCCAGTGGTCTGGCACATCGATTTCCAGCCTCGGAAACCAGCGATATGGCGGCAGCGGCGGCGGAAGCGTGATCAAGCGGCGAGCGGCGTGGACGGCGTGAGTTCTTGATGTTCTCGTGTATCGTCAACAGGCGACGCAGGCGGCGGAAGGGTGTGAGTTCTTGGCGTTCTCGTGGAGGTAGCAGTTCGAAAGGCCGGTACGTGCGAGTAGCAGTCAATCTTGTGTAGGCGGCGGAGGCAGCGGCGGCGGTACAGCGTACGGCGGCAAAACGAGCACTAGGAGGCATTCTCAGTCTCACAACAAGCGGTAGTGTGATGGAACTGACAGGTCATGTTTTGTTCGCACAAACGTGATTTTCTCGTGTGACCAGCAGCCAGCGGCCAGCGCGGCAAGCAATAAACAGAGATTCAGCGTGTCTTGAGTAGCGATGTAAAATCTTACGTAAGCGCTTACAATCCGCTTGTAAGCCAAGGAATCAGGCTGTAAGGCATCCGTAAGCGACCTCTCTGCATATAAGAGTAGAATATAGCAATATATTAAGCGCCTCTAGACTCCTTATCTAGAGATATTAAGAATAATTCTTACCTCCTTCGTTTATATACGTTCT